ATTAGAATATCGTCCAAATAGACGATGACACAAACATCGAGCATATCAGAGAAGATGTCATTAACAAACCGCTGGAAAGCCGCAGGGGCGTTCGTAAGGCCGAACGGCATAACCTTCCATTCATAGGAGCCGTAGCGGGTCCGAAAGGTGGTCTTCCATTCGTCACCTTCAGCGATTCTGACGAGATGATAAGCGTGAGCGAGATCCAATTTGGTGTATATTTTAGCTCTTTTCGGAGCGTCGAGAAGATCTGAAATGAGTGGGAGTGGGTAGCGATCCTTTTTGGTGATACGATTGAGTCCACGGAAATCGACGCAAAGGCGAAGTTTGCCGTCTTTCTTCGGGACGAAAAGGACCGGAGCGCCGTGAGGAGAGGATGAAGGGGTGATGGCACCAGTAGCCAGCTGTTTGTCAATAAAGTCTTTAAGGGCGACTAACTCCTTTTCAGACAAAGGATAAATACGGCCGAGAGGCGGCGAAGCGCCTTCTTCCAAGTCAATCTTCAAGTCGTAAGGTCTGTGTTCAGGAAGAGAATCTGCAGCAATCTCGTCGAAGACGTCTGCAAACTCAGCATACTCTGCTGGTATAGAAAGAGGAAGTGGAGAGACAGTAGGAGCGGTGGAAGAGCGGTCGGCGGCGCGGGCCGCGACTTCTGAGTGGATAGCACGAAGAAGGATGGGTTCCATACCGGCGTCCTTGCAAGCCCTATTGAAGACTGCAGCACCAACCAGTGCAATGTCAACCTCGGGGGCTTCCAGCTGAGCAGCGAATTGAGAGACTGTAGGGTAAGAATAGATGGGTTCAAAAGGGAATTTGGACAAAAGGGGCTTGGCCCGTGAAGTCCGAGAGCGGGAGCGAGAGCGAGAGCGAAGTGAGTCCCCAGGAGGGGTCTCCAGAATTGTCGGTGAAACCGACGGCGAAAGTTCCGGTAGCGGAACAGCGACCTTTGCAACAACAGTGTTGATGGCAGAAGGCACAGACGTCTGTGGAGAATCAAGATGTGAAGTGTTACGGAACGTAATGTTTCGAGATGCCCAGTCAATCAACGGATTGTAGCGGGATAAGAAACTGTAACCTAATACTGCTTTACAGGATGAATCTAAATGTGTAACATAAAAGGGTAATAGAAGCAGCTCGCCGGAAGGGAACCGAACGGCGATATTCGCCATATCGGTAATAGGTTTAGAAGACAATGAACCATCAAAAAGACGAAGATTAACAGGAGAAATTTTGGTCGTAGGAATAGAGTTCTGAGAAACGTAACGAGTATCGATGAAAGAGTCAGTAGAACCAGAATCAACAAGAGTAGGAAATTTAAGAAGAGCAGAGATGGGTTCGGCCGGCGCGGCCGAATCGGATAAAGGAAATTCAGTAGTCAATGATATTACAAGAGATCGTTCAATAGAAGAAAGAGCGGACGCGTTGAGATATAACTCCCCAGGTGAGGTACGAACCTGATCAACGCAGCTCCCGTTTCGTACCGGGGAACAAGAGCTGCGGACTAGTTTTCCGAATCCTCTTCAACAACCTCAATGGTTGCTTCGGGGGTTTCTTCAACCTCGGCAGCACGGCCCTTCGATTCTCGGGCCTTTCGCTTATTGCAGTCAGCAATCTGATGCTTACCACCGCAGAAGAGACAAAGGTTGTTCTTCATCCTTCTTTCCTTCTCGGAGGGAAGGACTTTCCCATCTGCACCAAGATGGTTGAACGCGGGGCGCTGACCGCCGGATTGGCCGGAATTCGAAGAGTTCTGGGGCTTACCATTGTTATTAGGCTTACCACCAGAGAAGGGTTTAGGCTTCGGCGTGAACGGCGCCGAAGAGCCAGATGGCTGAGAGTTGTTTTGCTGGTTAGTAGAACCAGTCTTAAAGTCCGAGGAACCCTTCTTCGGGTTCCGAGCAACAAAAGGCTTACCAGCCTCGCGCTTCCTAGTTTCCTCGCGTTTCCAATAACGATTGTCAATACGAAGAACCTCTTGATGGTAATCGGCGAGCGTCGCCGGCTCGGGCAAACGCGCCATTTCGTCCTTGATGCGCTCAGCTAAGCCTCGTCCATAAGCCCATTTCAGGGCAGCAGAATCCCAGTTGGTACTAGCAGCCAGGGTGTTGAACCGGATATTGTATTTCCGGATGTTCTCGGTTTCCTTCATCTTCAGATTACCGAGAGCATCTTCGGCCTCGCCTTGGGCGTCGTAAACGCCGAAATTGTCCTGAAGCTCCTTTACCAGGGCCTTGAAGGAGGACGTCCAGGCCGGCAGCGAGTCGAGATCCGGATCGAGGATATCAGGGACAAACCATTCTTTGGCTGACCCACTGAGATAGGAAAGGGTATAGTTCACCTTCCGTTGGTCGGTGAAGTACTTTGGACGGTCATTAAAGACCAGGGCGAGATTGACGAAGAACGTCTTGAGTTTTCGGGGGTCCGAACCGTCGAATACCTCGGGCTCCTTGACCTTGCTCTTAGATTCAGAGCTGTCAGAGGGACGGCTGAGAGCGGCGAGGACGGTACCAAGGGTCTCAATGGAGCCCTTGAATCCCGAGAGGAGTTCCAACATAGCACGTTGCTCGTTGGGGATGTCAGGAGATATGGGAGAACGAGGTCCACCAGGTCCACCAGGACCACCAGGTCCACTGGGGTCACCAGGTTCACCACGCGGTAAACCGCCGGAATCGTCATCCAGATCGTTGTTGTTATTATCGGCGCCCGGATCGTCGGGGTCGACAGGAGGGTCTTGATCATCGTGATCACCGGTGTCCAAATCGAAGTGAGGAGGTGGGTCACGAGGAGATTCAGAAGCAGCGCGACGTTGGGGTTGTTTCCCCGTACGGCGGGCTATGGCTTGGAGGATTGGAGAATCAATACGAGTAGTTGAACGGCCCCGAGCCGGAGCGACCACGGGGGGTTGTCCACGGCGAGGGGTCAGGACTTGGACAGGTTGTCCGTCACCAGTGTACAATGTACTGTACTCGAATTGTTGTTCTTCTTCCATGGCTTCAGGAAGAGTCGACGTAGTAGGAACTGTAGCTGGACCGAAACCGCGATTACGGCGACGTGGTTGACCAATGGCAGAGATAGAGTCGGAGAATGGGGCAAATGATTGGGCTGTAGTGAAGAAAGTGTTTTCTTCGGAGTTAGCTCTAGATTGAGCTCGAGTTTTCGGAGGCATAAAAAATGATATGTCAGTACGACGTTAACGGATTGAGTTTAATTATACTGTTAAGATCATGTACACCGTGTAACCGTGCCAAGGCCACAGGGTGTCTAAGTGCGGAAGACGAATGGGACAGTAGTGAAGTTATTAACAACACCGCCGTTACGCCGTTAGTCCCCGGAGAGCGAGAGTAGAGAGAGAGGAGCTAAGTAGCAGCCAGGTCGGAGCGGCGGTATCGCCGATGACGAGGAGCGGACCAGAGAACGTCAAAGTCCTAAGGTCGAGGAGAACGTACTTCGAGGCGTTGAGCCTGAAGACTTAGAGAAGAGTTAAGTTGAGAAGGGAGATCTAAGTTGATAATTAAACTGAGGAACTACAGTAGCGTACAGGCAGTATTTATATCTACGGAGCGGCGCAACGGGGCGGAGCGCCAGACTAACTACTAGGAGTTATACGTGTAGTCCTGCAGGGTGAAGTAAAAGACAATAAGGAGGGACTAGAGTGAAAGGGTATGTGTAGCGAGAAAGAACAATAAGGAAGAGATTACAATAAAAGGTAGATCTTCGGAATACCGAGCGGCGGAATGGAGGCCCGAGGCATGGACTTGACACCTTTCAAAATATTGCAGAAATAGTTGATAAGTGTAAAACTGTTTATACAGTTGCTCAGCTTATGTAACATTTGCACATTGTCAGCAAACCACCTCTGAGTAACAGAAAAATATGCATACCTGAACAGATAAATTATGCCTTACAAACAACTTCTACAAATATTTCAGCTAACAGAAAAAATCATGAATTAAATTTGATAGGTTCATCTTACAATCAACTCTATTATTTGAAGCATGTAGTGCTATGTAGTGTGAGATAATGTTCATGTATGTGGGATATGTCTACCAGCCTGTATAAACTGGTTTTGTGGCTTAGTTGTAAAACAATTCTAACCTCAACCTTATGATGGTCTTCTTATACTGCATACATAAAGAGGATTGTTGGAGTAAACAAATGACTTGCAGAATTTTGGGACATAGGTTATATATTCAGCTTGGAATTTACATTGTTGTTTTCTGTTATTTATCAAGGTTCATGATCGAACGGACCGCTGCGCTTGCAACATAACCGGTCACGACCGGATGCCAACTGTGATGCCTTAATGGCAGTTCATTTGAACTGCCATGGCTTTTGCGTCCCGTGTGACTACGAAGCAATGGCCTTGCTGAAAAAAACTCGAATGCTCTTCATCACGAACAAATTCGAAAATACGTGGTTAATCTAATGCTCTCCCTTCATAATTCGACACATAATGATGCACATACCAAAAGATTGCGATGCAAGCTACGATTCCAAAAAAAGGAAAGGTCAACTGGTACGGTGCAATTGAGCAATCAGGGAATGTAGAGCGGGAGATCTGTTGATTTTGCTACGACTTGGTGTGGCAGAGTTAGCTGCCAATAGATTTTTTCTCGCCATCTCCTGAATACATGTCTAGCCTTTTATCATTTCATTGTGAGCGCTATTGCGCAACTAAACAGGCATCCCTGTTCCACTCTGTTCCAACCTGGGTACATAGAATAACTATTCGACATTGCGGCCCCGTCATTAACTTCCACGGAGTACGCTCTCCGTCGGGGCGAATGGATTCGTATCACGACCTTCGGATCAGTCCACCCTGATTCTTACTTAAGGGCGCAAGCTTAGAGGTTTTCCCGAATCCCTAGATTTCCTGGATCTCTCCTACTGCTGGTCAGCTAGACTTTCCCCGCGTAACAATCGCTCCTCCTTGCTGGCAAGGCTCGAGCTTTCGTCCCTCTTTCTTACTGCGACTCCGATTTGTTCATTCAACCACTGCCATGCGTGTCATTCTTCAGAATGCTTCGGGATTTTATGTAGGCCTCCTCCTCATTCTCAGCGCTCTCTTCACCGTAGCCAGGCCCCTTTCCGCTCCAGTGAGTATTATCATCCCACCCTACAAGCTGTTGCTCTTACATTGCAATCCTTTTTTCCAGGGGACGTCCGATAGTCGAAATCCTGATCTTTTGGATTTGAACTCGACATTCCAATCACAGTCTAACGTCACATTGAGCGGCCGATCCAATTCGCATCAGGAAACGATGAAGGGGAAAGTCACTTTTGGTCCGCTCAACAATCGTGGTCTCAGCGACAATGAGAATACATGGGCCCAACTAGCAGTTAGAGCCTTGATAGGAGAGGCGAAAAATGAACACGACAGCAAACACGACTATCATATCACTCTTGATTTTCTAAACCAAGCCAAGTATTCTGGTGAAGTTGGGATATACGAATTCAATGTAGCTTTGGAAGGCTGGCATTGGCTCAAGCCGGGAGCGAAGTCTAGACTTGCGGGAAGGGTGCACTGGGGCAGTGGTACACAGTTTTCTGGCGGAGTGGTTCGCGGGAAGATTTCAGGATCCTTGAACTACATCGGTCCTGATAACGCCATCTATTTCGAAGTCAACGAACGTCCGGTGGAGATGACTTTGCAATAGTAATACTCTTGTTTCGTGGAACATAACCAAGTAATTGCCTATAAGTTTCGCGTCTATTTTACGCTCATATATTATGCACATGTAGAATGCGCTATGACCTTGCCTCAGGTGGGTTTTAGAAAATCCGAATTTCATGATTGTGCATTAAAATGAGACAGGAAAGCTATAGCTAAGGTGGCAGAAGTGTGAGAGTGCTAAATGCGAGGGGGAGAGGATGTTATGTACGGCGCGTGGTTCAATGCTACGGTGCTACTGGTCTGTTAATGGAGGGGAGAATAAGTAGGGTAGGGTATGATGATGATATGATAGAGCGAGAAGAGCCGAGGGAAGAAACGAGTGTATAGATGAGTAATGATTGCTTTGTCAGAAATATGATTCCTTGAGGGGGAAGGTGAAGGTGAAGACGGGAAAATGAGGAGGTAGGCAGCGGCGTATGGTATAAATCATGAACGGCTGAGTATAGAGTAACAGAGAGAAATGACCGGACGAAGAGAACCAATTCAAACGTCCCTGCGGAGCGTAGCCTAAAAAGAGAAGACGAATAGAGAGGAAATCGATAAATGAAACAAAGGACATGAAGAAATGAGTAATGTACAAGATGAAAAGTGGATGGATGGAAGATTCAATTGGATGAAGTTACGATACTGTTATCAAGATGAGGATAGATGGATAAAGGAACGGAACGACATGGTCTTTCCTAGATAGCATCAGAAAGAAACAAACCACACATACACCGCTTCATATACTCGTATACTTTGCTTCACATCACAACACATCCACAACATCCTCCCTTTCCTGCATCTTCACTCTCATCTGCATCCACTCTCTGTACTTTCATGTTCCCTTTCTCCACATCACCATTCATCTGGCCCACTGGCTCGGGTTGAGATGGTCGTGGCTTGTAACTAGAAAAGGGTACGGGACTCGATGCGCGCTTACTGGGAATTGTGTTGGTCGGTAACCTAATCTGGTCATGAGCGGTTTCCATTCTCGATTGCGAGTGAGATGGCTGGCTGTCTTCGTCCTCTTGCTCCTCATCGTCCCTCTCCGTGTATGCTGAATTCTTCGTACCAAACTCGTCCATGGGTATATTCTCTTCTCCCTCGCGTGGAGGCCGATACTTTGAGTGATCGAACCCGAAGGTTCCGGGTGCAGGAGCTATAGTGACTTCATCTTTCCTTTGCTGTGGACTTCCGTCTGCGCGCTCATAGTGTCCGTCGAGGCCTTTTTTACGTGCAACGACAGGGAGGACGACCTGCAAAAATGTAAGGAAAAAGAAGGAAATTGTATTAGGGATGCACGTACATCGTCCCAATTACCTGCTTTTGGCACAGGTTGTGTCCAAGTAGGTATTGCATTCATAAGATCATCACCCGTATCAGGATAAGCAGCGATACTCCGCCTATACTCCTCTTCTTTTTCTCTCTGACGTTTATTCTGCGCGAGCTTAGCCTGTGTTGCTTTAGAAGCTGCGAGACGGGAATTGGAAGACGGAGATGGGGTGGTTGAGTTGTAGGATTTTGTTTTGCCTTTATTTGATGCGGAAGGGGGAGAAGTAGTTCCAGCTCGTTTTGATTGAGGTGTACCATTGCTAGCACCTGCTGTTGCATACGGACGCTGGGTTGGCGTCGCCGATGAGCTTGATAAGGCGGAAGTAGAGGCGCCAGCAGAAGAGGTTGGGAAATACGGCGGTTCGCTTTGACCGCGTTGTAATTGTGTCGGAGTTGGGATACGTGAAGGACGTGGTGTAGTTGTCCGAGGTGGTAACTCTTCTGGACGGTAATACTCTTCCATAGGATCATAATATTCTTCCTCTCCGTCGTCATCTTCCTCACCGTTATCTGTTAAAGGATTCTCGTCCATCACTCTCGCAGCTTCCTTTGCCTGTTCTTCGTCCAGATAAAAGCTCGAACGTTCACCTAAACTTCCAGCCCGTGGTCTACCTCTTCGCTGCTTTTCTGAATCAATAGCATCTGTTATCGCGTTCTGCTTTTTAGGCCGAATATTATGACCATAATTGGCAATCTCAAGCATCTCCTGCCGCTTGGCGACCCGATATTCGCCTACGCCGCCATTTCGGGACACTTCGCCACGATACCAGTGCTCAAAAGGCCGTTCTTCAGAATCATTTGACGGTCGTGGTTCAGGCAAGATATCGATGGATGATACAGAGGAATTTGGAGGCGGAAATGGAGCTGGTTCATTCACGAGTCGAGAATGACTTGGGCGTTCATGAACAACCCAAAGGTCTGCGGCGGCTGCTGCTGTTACTGGGGCAACATCGCCTGGTGTGGGCGTCTTGGTTCTGTGCTGAGAGTGACTCTGACTGGACAGACTGCCGGTTCGACTGCGCGTTCGCTGTGGAAGAGGGATCCTCGATTGATTCGTTTTGACGCTTTGGTTCGGCGGTGATGTAGGGCGCGACGAGGATAAGGCTCGGTTCGTATTGTTCACATTGGAAGGCTGCGAATGTGTCCGTGAGCGTGAACCGGGTCGACTGCTTGTGCTGCTGCTCTGCTGGTGTTGGTTCGGCTTCTTATTGGCGGTAGTAGTAGGCGGTGGAGGGGCAGGTGTCGATGTATAATGGAAAGTTGAATTAGAGTAGTCATCTGCAGGTTCTGCCGACGACATGGATATGGCTGATATCCGGCGTGCTAATGTCCGGCTTTCACTTTCCAAGCCTGTTATCCTGCATGAGTAAACATTCATATTTTGATAGTATCAAGGAGCTGTACGTTTTCTTAAAGCCGGTACAACTTGTTCGTCCCAAGATGGCCCTGGACCTGGTATCCTCGCCGTCTGTGTGAGTGCCATCCAAGTCTAAATCGAGAGAGAGGAGGGGTTGAAAGGTCGAAAGAAATAGAGGGGAAAGTCCAGCGTAAAGGATGTGGCACGTCGGTAAAAGGAAAGCGGAAAAGGCGGCGACTATAAGGAGAAGAAGAAACGATTAGTTGAAAGCAACATCAAGTAATAATGACCGTTTAGCTCCTCAATGGCCTCTTCATCTGTGGGAAAAATATGGTTGGCCGGCGACTTCGGCACTCTGACCTTGACAAACTACCACCACTGTAGCTGAGAGACCCTAAAGGAGAACTATCGCGATATCTCAATCTTGAAGACTGTGCTCTGAATCAGCATTATCGATAAAATCCTCCTAGTGCACCAAGACCCAAACAACGTCTATATCCTCTTAATACTCGTTCCAAACTCCATCACAATTTTCTTCACTCTATACTTGTTTCTAGCTCACTTTCCCCTAGCCGCTAGTTCGTGAACGTTTGAACTCCCGCGGTTCGTGGTTATCATTCGCGGTCATGAGCGCCAATCACCGCCACTATCACAGGCCGATGGTCTACGATGGTTTAGCCAGCTGCACTTGCACCACAGAATCCCGACCTATCTCTCTCGACAAAATTTTCTCTGAATAAGGTGACTGTGACGCTTATTTCTCGCCTCGAGATTGGATCTCGATGAAACTTTGTACATGCAACCTTATGGCTCTGTAAAAATGGTTAGTCTTACAAGCCTTACAAGGTACTACTCCTCGCCTCCTTCCGATTCCTCTTCTCCCAACGTACTTTTCTTTCTTCTTTGACTTCTTCATGCTTCTATATCCAGGCTTCTTTTATTTACACAAAGCTTATCAAGTACTTCAACCTGGATGTTCGCTCAGGATACTACTGTTCTTAATATGGGCTCTGAATTCGACCGGATCACTTAACATTTTCTTCAGCTCTCTATGTACAGCTTTGTTACTTCATCGTAACTTTACTCCTTAAATCCTAGGATCTTTGACCTTAAACTTTGAAGACTAGGTGGCATCTAGCCATTCGCTTACTGTCTCCGACGCCTATCCTGGCATGACCATATTCCTGTAGTGTCCTCGGTACTTTCAATGAAGTTACTATATCAAGAAATGCCAAAGCGATAGTTATCGATCGAGTCCATAGCATTTCAGTATTTTCAGTGATACGTCAGCGATTCTGGGGTGGTATACATATACCCAGTAGATATGTACAAAACATACATACATATAACAACAAATTCTTCAAAGCCCACCCGTACAAACAACAAATAAGTGACTTACTTACTCTTAAATACATTATCAACGACCTACAAGTCATGTCCGAAAATACCTAAAAGTATAGATAAAATATCAGTCAGCTTTAGCTCAAAGCTACTTCAACTGGGATAGAGAATATGTTGTAGACCAATGAGCGCATCGAAAGCCGAAGGCCTGCATGTCGGGTCGTCTGATGCCATGGTACGGAACAGTTCATGAACAGGTTCTATCTATACGAGAGAAAAAATTAGAGGCGCTGAGAATTGGGTGCAAAATCACGAACCAATATGAAACCACTGTCACTACCATCTTCAGTAAACTCAGATTCCAGTGTCAAAACACTTGACGCAAACTGCCAACAGTCCACAGGAAAAGGCGAAAACCGATGTCGAGAGTCAACAATCTCCGGAGGCTTCGAAGTTAACGGCCTCTTTTTACTCTGTTCCTTGCTCTCGGTAACACTTTCTAGCGCACGTTTTCGCGCTAAGAACGTGTCTTTGGTTGATTCCTGTTCCTCTTCAGGAGGTTGATATGCGAATAGATGTCCCCCGAGGCAGAATCTTTCTGCAGCAGGCGTACTTGGAAGAAAAGATACGGCGCGGTCAAAGTTGGTGATGAACACCCGAGGACTCCCCGTGAGAGGACGTTTTTGAAGATGCGAGAGGGGCGGGAAGTCGATGAGGAAGTTGTCAAAAGTGACGTTCTAGGAGTAAGTTATTGATAGTTGAGGTACAGCCGATAATCAATGCAAATTTAGCTCACAAGATGAGCAATGAGGTTTTGATGAAGAAAGTCTAGAGCCTACATATGGTCCAACGATATTCAATGAACAAAAAACGTTGAAAATGAATGAACATCGAACAAACCTCTAGGCACTGCGTAAAGATCTCCATCATATCTATTTCAGCGACAAAACGCATTTTGTTGGGAACGAACACTTCCGTTAAACTAGCCGTCACCCTTGGGAAAACGCCCAATATGATATCCTTCAACACAATCTCGCGAAATAACGGAAGAGTATGATTAGAACGAATCAAAGCTTCTGGGGCGGTTGCTACTTGACGTAAAATTTTGAGTGAACGAAGACCATCTCCGCCCACGGAAAGGACACGAATTACAACGTCTCCGTGATCATGCCGCGCTGGCCATAGGATATGTCTCTGTGAAAATAACAAAATCGTGCGCATTGTTAACGTATTATAGAAAAAAGCTTAAGTTATTCGCGACTCACAGGAGTAGCTAAGCTGCCTATTCCCAGATCAGGACCCGGACCTGGGGAATGCAAGTCTGAAGCCCCAACACTTTTCAATTCTTCTTCTTCAACTTGTGCAGATACGGGTATCGCATACAAAAATCCACTGGAGTCACCATACTGCCGCCCAGGAGGTGTTAGAATTCCCGGCTTCAAAGGGTTTAAATGGTCAAAAGACCATAGCCTGTACCCAAACCCTGCAAGGAAGCGGCGCAAGTGGTTCCAAGATGTGATATATCGCGTATGAGTGCGCCATTCCGTTAAATCTTGAGGGAGCTGTAATCAGATCATCGTTGTATCATCACCAAGTTTCAAATGGTATCCACGCACTTTTTTCCTTAGAAAATGAATTGAGATTGCTTCAGTATCTGATTCAGAGTAGGCAGATCTTCGAAAGAGAAGCCAGGATGCAACGAGAAAGCCTGGTGCGAAGACAGCAGTAGCTGTAACAAGCAGCATTCGACAGAGCTACACAGAAATGTTGGAATGTGGGTCCAAGCCTCAAGGTGGTTGAAAGCGCTATACTTAAAATGAGGCTTTCATTTGATCTAGTACCCACGATGAAGATGCTTTAATACATGTTCGTTATGTACAACATCGTGACTTGAGTGCTATTCCATATATAGGCATCGCGGATGCAGCGCTGAGCGCGTCGCGCTGCTCTGTCGAGTTATCGGTGGTAGTGGCGGAAATGACGAAGACCATGAGCGCTTGTGGCAAGCGCTCAAATATCATTGACCAAAACGTTGAACTCCGACACTGCAGCGGAAATAGTACATACATTTCCTACCAAAAGGACTAAGTATCTTGTTGATTCCGCTATACACGAGTTTCATCCCAGCTCTCTTCCCAGAAGAAACTTCAGAGGAACATCAACCTCCCTCGCTCTCAAATACTCCCCGACACTTTTCCCCAAAGGATCGACTAGGCTTGAGGAGCTCACACCGTCTTCAAGGATCCCAAAGATGACGAAGTGAACTGCATGAATGTAAGGCATCTCGAATCGAGTTATTTGGTATGGTCGGGATTGGAATTGATCATGAGGTGGATAGGCATCCTTTCCTAATAGTTCTCTCAGCTTGTTAATTGTGAGTAGCGACCGAAGCCAGGGCCATGCTTCGGAATTTGCATTGCGAACCCAAAACCCGACGTTGGCGTTCCCGCCTTTGTCGCCCGAACGGGCAAGAACAAGTGTGCCTGCATTAGAATCATAACATCAGTGTTCTTTCAAGTTGAAGGGCGATGACATGGGAAATAAGGTTGAGGTCAATCACTTACCAAACGGAACCCTCCTCGTTGGTCCAAAATTGGCCAAACTCAGTTTGTCATCTGGGTCGTAAGATCTCTGACCATTGAAGAGTTCTGTATGTTCTTCTTGGATGGGTGAGATATCAATCGTTCGGCCTTCATCACTCTTTCCAACGTTGTCTAGGTGAACTCGCATGGTTACGTCTTGCTGAGAGATGATCGCAGGGAAATACTTGATGAAAGGCTTTGGAACTCCATCACGAAAGTCCAGACTTCTGAAAGAGGAATCTCTTTTATTAGCACCACTTCGTTGAAATGGTTTGAAATGGACGGTCAACATATACATACCTACATAGTCCCGGGTATCCCGCCATCCCCATCGTCAAAAAGAGGTTCATGAAATCACTGATGACATCCTTTGTCGGCGCCTGCACAAAGTGCCGAATCATCGCAGTACAGTCTTTCTGTGATTGAGGGTCATTATATCGTAGCTGAGAACCTGGACCAATACTGGCGCTAGGCTCTGATGCAGGCAGTGAATGCAAGCCGTATCCGTAAAGGTCGATAGCAATCTTAGAAAATTTTGAGGGATCGGTTTTCCTCATTACCTACGCCATATGAGTTGACAAGTAAATGATCGACCATAGGATGCTTACCTGCATCTTCCAACTTTCGTATTTCTCCTTGATATTCAGTCCCACGGCAAACAATGTCATCTCCGCCTGGTACCCACCAAGGGAGCATACCGCGAGCTTGGTGGTCGGCGGAGGGGGTGATCCTGTTATACCCCATACTCGGACTTTATTCTTTTCGCCCGGCACAGTTTCGACGCGGACGTTCTCGAGATGAGCGACAACATCAGGATTGAGATACTTTGGTCCTTGAATTTCATACACTAGCTGAGCGGTGACGGTGTCTACAGTGACGCCGCCATTGGATCCCGGGTGTTGAGTTATCATACATGATCCGTCGTCCGCGAGCTCGACAATGGGGTAGCCAAGATCGTAAAACTTGGCTTCTGGTGAGCCTGGGTCCGAAAAGAGGTTACAAAAGTCACAAAAATTTCCGCCGGTAGTGTACTGTCCGGTACATTAGTGGTGAGAACTAAGAATAGAGAGGAGAATGAAACACACAGGTCCACACTCAGTAATATGTCCTGCTACGAGGCTACCCGCCAGCTGGTCCCAGTCAGTCAAAGACCATCCATGCCACCTGGAGTGTTGAACTCAGGAAGGAGAAACTAAGAATTTCGTTAAGTTGTAACGCACCACGCACCCAGGGCCATGACCGGCGAAGCGTCGCAAACCCTGCCACAAACAATAATTTGTGCACCGTCTTCGAGTGCTGCTAGGATTCCTCGCAAGCCAACTACGCAAGTCTATTGATTCAAACCAACCATGCGCTTTAAATAGATATTTACCATAAGCGTTTGCACTAAGAATCTGTCCTACGTCTCCATCCTTGAAGGCATCATTCAACGTCTGCCCAGGAATATCCAGATGCGAGTAGATCTTTGCCGCACCATGAATATCAGCAAGGTTTGCTTTGACTGTGTCGAGGACGTTGTCTCCTTCAACCCAAGCAAGTTTTGTTTGGCCCAAAAGTCCTTTCGCGTCTAGTATTCTCTTGATCTCCTCGTACAAGCCTCGAGGATTCAGTGCACCTCCGTCATGAACCCACTTGATCCCGCGGTTCACAATTTCCTCTGCAGCGTTCTCCCACTGGAGCTGTATGAGAGGAGATTGTTCGTAGCCAAGCTCGGGGTTGTCGATCATCTGATACAATGAGGAGATTGGAGTCAGTCTTACTAACGAGGAATAGTAGTAAGTACTAGAATCCTGTACGCACCTCAAGTGCTCTCCAGGGAATATTTACTTCCGCCAAATAATCACTAAATATCGCATCGATGGGACCTTCGGTGGCTAGCCGGTATAATTGGTCGGGGCCATCCCCAATCGCGCCTGAGCTGTAATAGGGCAATGATCACTTTGAGAGTATTTGCGTAGAGTCAAAAACTGATACATACGAATTCCCTATCCTGATTGGCCTTCTTGTACTTGTGGTATCTCCCATGATGATGATTTAATTGCAAGAGTGAACCGGTATGTACCGAAATTTAGCTTCATCGTTATCGTGAGTTAGGAATAGGATGAATCTGGGATGAATACAGTGGAAAAAACAAGTGGAGTCCGAGGCTCCGAGGAGTTATGGTTCATTCAACCGAACACGGCCCGCTCGGCGCTCTCGTCTTCTTCGGTCCTACCAACTTAATGTCATGAGTGCCAGCGTTTTTACGACAGTCTCCGGGAATTTCGCGAAGAAGAGAAGGAGAAAAGATAACTCAGGTCACAACTTGTGCTTCACTAAGAAGATAGAAGACTCTTTTTGACCTCCATGACAAGAATTATCACGTTTGCTCTTCTGGGAGTATGGGTTCTGGGATTTCGGGGAGTTGTCTTTGGAGCTAGTGTCGACGCTGATGCTCAGGTCTATTTAACTGGCCCAGCTGCTAATCCTCCGCCGTTGGAAATTCAACCGCTGATCGTCTCTGGTCCTTCGAAGAACCGGGTGGACTTGGTCTTCTTCTCAGATGGATGTGAGTTGTTTTTGGTCAATGTCACTTTGACTAGATAGATGTTTTTTTTTCAATGACACAGATCTTTTGGAGGAGAAATCAAAATTCATGCAAGACGCGCTTCGTCTCGCGGAAGATGTTTCTGGAAATCACACATTCAACACCGTCAAACCACTGATGAACTTCTGGGCAGCGTTTACTGCGAGTGAAGAAGTGAGGTTTTAGTTGATTCGTTATCGGGATATTGATTTTGAATGTTCTCTCCTGTCTCGTAGAGTGGCGTAGGTACAGGAGGAAAGCCGAAAAAGTAGGTTATCGATGTTGCTCCTTCATATAGAGACTCGGTCTTTTACGCGACAATAGGACACCATATGGTTTATACCGTGACGGAACTGAACTTCGAGCAGTATACTACGCTTATCCCGAAGTAGCAGATGCGGCATGCACCTCGATGGGTGAACAGTGCGATTTTCCAATTTTACTAGGTAAGCTCCCCTTTTCGTCTCTATTTTCTGCATATAACCGACATCGTGAACAGGCAATGATCCTCTCTACGGCGGTCTTGGCGGTAGGTTCACCGTGATCACGTCGTCGATACTCAACGGACCCCAAATCCTCCGACACGAATTGGGGCATAGTATTATACCCGTCGGCGAGGAATACGACGGAGGTTTCGCGTATTTCGGTGTTAACGCGTACCACAATGCCAGTGAATCTGTCCCATGGGCACATTGGATGGCCGAGGAAAGCAAGAAGGACCCTCAGTCCACGCCTCCCCGAATAGAGCGCAGCGTGATGCCCATACAAATATACCCTTGGACCCTCCTCAACACCTCATCCCCATACACAAGTACCTTTACTTCCTCTGGAACTTTTCCACGATACATCGTTCGGTTTTCCTTATCGGGTTTGCCTGAGGAAACTGACCTCCGGGTGGAACTAGATGGAAAGAATCTTGGATGGAAACCCAAGGTGGGGTTGGGTGTGGACCGGTGGCATTATGATATCAAACTAGGGCAGGGTTGGGGAGATGAGAATACAATAGAACTTGAGAGAAGCGGCGGGTTGACGGGTGGCACGCACGAGCTTAACTTTGTGCTTCTCAATAAGGCTAGAGAAGGGGAAGCACAACTTTGTAGTGCAGAGGTGTTAGAGTTTGGGTCGGAAGAAGAGTGAGAGTTTTCTGGGACTTTGACGGACATGGCATTTACTGACAATTTAATAAGATTTGTCTCGACTCCAGGATACTATGGTATTTTTCCAACGTACGCATATCTCGTCATTGGTTTTTTGCTACAATAAAGACCTCCCGTTGGACTTTATACAGATACTCTGACACCAATGAAACCTCCTACCGACCCACAAACGAAGATTGCCTCATGCGCATTGTCACCACGCCCAACTTTTGCAGTGTATGTCTAGAGGGTCTCTGGCATGCACTGTTGAGCCAGGTCAGATTGATCGATGATTTGGTTGTTTCAACCATTAAAGGGAGCGAGGTCGCGGGAATGACAACAATTGAAGTAAAGCTGGTCCCGTTCGCCCAATTCCGTTTAGACCTGGAAAAATTGAAATCTACACAATCGTCGGACTGGGCTCAACTCAGAGCCCTTGCCGAGGCGGAGCACTACACTATTATCTGGTACAAAGACAATATTGCTCTCCCCGAATTCGAAAATCAGACGAAGATTGAGGTGATTACCCATGCTACGTATGCGGTCGATGTTCGTTTTCATACCCCGGAGGTAAGATTGGACAAGGAGGGCCATTTAGGAGACCGGAGGGAGGTAGTGGTATAAGTGAAGTACTGTTAACAATGTTGTAGTACTCGTGTAGCAATTGCCTTATCAACAACGATCGATATCTGGAAATGAAGAATCGACCAGGCGGGGAAATTAAGCTATTTAACCTATGATTACTTTTGTGTACGGTTGAACTGTGAATTAGAGATAGATGCGATGCACCCGGGAGCTGTACAGGACCACGGGCACTCTCCTGCTCTACTTAACACGAACCCATTCTCGCTCCCAACAACAAATTGGTTTTCCAACACCAATTCCTCCCCCGTCGATTCAAGTTTACCTTCATCTCCTCCATCACGAAGAAACTCTGGACTGGACACTGTCATGAAAGCCACGGTACCATGCCGAATCGACGCAGAGTCTCTCCATGTTTCCAACGACAAGGGTTTGACGGAACGGCGGTGAAAAAACTGCACTCTTGCTCCGGCAGGGGGGGCCATAGTTTGCGTATTTAACGAAAGAGTTCCCCGAGATGGGTCGCCGGCTGTGATAGCGTGTAGCTGATACGGCGCAGAAACACTTGGACTAAGAGAAGGTAACACGCTGAGGTAGAATTCCATATCGTCTTTGAACCTGATAGCCGTAAACGAAGTTGTGTCAATACCCGCGTCGCGAATGCGGGAAAGCAAAAGCTGAGTGGGATTGGAGAAGTTGAGGGTGTTGATGAGGTTTCCTTCGGAGCTTTGCACCAGAATTGTCAGCCAATAGAACGATAATTACATGAAGTTCGTCGAATTAAGTACCCTGTAACATCCAATGGATCCCCAAGAGGTTGAATGTCATCTGGAATATCGAAATGGAGCGATTTGGGTGTTGTGAACGCAACACCCACAGCACCGGAATCAAGAATTTGCTGGTTGTGGAACAAAGTAACTGGTCTGCCTGTGATGAAAGGTGTAGATGAAGCCAACAGACCAAGCTGCGCGACCAAATTTCAATTCCAGAACGGCTGTAACAATGTCCAACTTACTGACTTGACTAGCTCCAGGAAAAGACTCCGAAATCGCAGACGAAAGACCTTCCGGGGAAAGATCTGAGAAATATAGTATAGAGCTTGCGTGCTCAGCGTCGAGACGCGTTAATTCGTCTGGAAGGTCCTTCCTTGTCCCTCTGCCATTTGACTTCCACAGACGATCCCAGTCGACTGTTCCTTCTAGCAAAGTCAAATCCTCTTCTTTCCTTTCATCCTTCCGCCGAAACGCGTGCCATCTCCCGACTTGGGTTTTTTCTTGCCCAGCTATTGTCGACCGAAATGAAATAGCATTTTTTGGATCAAAAAGGGCTATGGAGCAGGATATATATCCGGAAGAAAGTGGTGCTGAAAGGCATCCAAGCGAACTTGTTGAGGAAAAATCCATTAAGGTGTCCACGAGAGACGAAAGCTCCGACGACTGAGTGGTGGCAGATAGTGCGAAGAGAAATGTATGAGGTGTAGAGGCATATTGAGATTTTATTCGTTGAAGTCGAGAGAGTACGGAAGCGGAAGAGCGAGAGATGATGGTGGTTGAATGTAACATCCCAGTAACATCTCTGAAGGCTTGCGTCGAAGTTGGATTACATATGTATATATTCTGAAGTCTCATACAATGTGCTAGTAGATATCCCACTACCATCGGTAGGCGCAAAAAAACCATAGATCGATAGAAACAGCGATAGCGAAAGAGAAAGATCTTATAACTGCCTGTACTTCGTAAGTACTTCACACAACCTTCTTCCCCAGCAAAGAATCCTTCACGCTCTTGCCTCCCTTAGCCTTCGAAACCTTGTTTTTCTTTTTCTCCCCAGGCGCATCGCTTTTCTTCTTCTTCAACTCCTCTTTACTCAATGATGCTGGAACTTCCTTTTCATCAGCAACCAAGGATTTCTTGTCCTTCTTGGGTTTCTTTTCCACTGCGTCCGGAGCAGGAGCAGTATCCATGACCATGGCATCATCTTCGGGACCTGCTGCAGGATCGATTAATTTTTTCCCTTTCTTCTTCTTCTCCTTCTTCTGCTCCTCCTTCCCCTCCTTTGCGTTCTCAGTAACGGCAACGACCACATCTGTCACTTCAGTTTCCAGTGCACCATCACTTGACAGTTTCGCCTTCTTCTCCTTCCTCTTTTTCTTCGGGTTTTCATCCTTCACCTCTACCTCTACCGTAGGTATTTTTTCCGAGACCTCGACAGCAGGAGTCGTCCTTTTCTCTTTCTTTGCCTTCTTGGAAGAGCTCGTGTCCTTTTCCTCTACAACTGTCGCGACAGACTCGACCTTCTTCGCCTTGACCCCCACGTTGTTGCCCTTCTTCTGAGTAGAGGGGGGTTCCCCGTGTGTAGAGACAGAGACGTCAACAAGGGGCTCAACAGGAGCAGTCTTTGATGCAAGCGGTTTTTTCGATTTATTTGCCGGTGCAGACATAGACTCTGTGGAAGTAGTAGCGATAGGAGCAACGATTGGGGTAGGAGCAGGCTTCGTGAGCCCGCCGGATGCCGTAGGACTGGGTTTTCCCTCTTTTTTCTTATCTTTCTTTGGAGCATCCTTCAAAGCAGAAGTATTAGGAATGGTGGTGGTGACGGAAGCCGCATCTGCAGCATCTGTAGTTTCTGCCGATTTTTTCTTTGTCGATTTTTTGTCAACAGCAGCTGTGGCCTTTTTCGTGGTGGCAGGAGTATTGGCAGCAGTGGGAGTAGGGGCTTGTAATGCAGTTCCTTTCTTTGCTCTGGGTTTAGAGGCAGAAACGACGTCTTTTGCGGGGGATATGGACGTGGCGGATTCTTTGGCGACTGTTTTGGCGGGAGTAGACACGATCTGTTTGGATTTCTTCGATGTAGTTGGGACATCGACAGTGCCATCCTTGGCAGACAACGAAGATCCATCAGAGCTCTTTTTCGACTTTTTCCTTTTCGGACTTGCAACGATCTGGTTGTCTTCGTCTACGTCTGCCGCGCGCTTTTTCCCTTTGGATTTACCCGTCTGCATAACCGCTGGCGAATCACTCTTTTCGTCATCTCCGTCCATATCCACATCTTTGTCGGCTTCGTCACTATCCATAGATTCGTCCTGTTCAAGCTCTTCATCCTCATCTTCACCTTGGCTCTCGTCTTCGTCCTCATCTTCTTCACCTGGGCTCTCATCTTCGTCCTCCTCGTCCTCCGCAGTCAAACCAGCCCAGCGACCGCCATCGGTATCGTCCAGTGAACAACTCCAAATTGGCAGATTAACGCTATTGCTCGTTTTCAGGCCGAGACCCTGGATATTGTCCCACCCGCCATTCACTCGTGCAGCGATAGCCGGTAATGCAGTCTTGATATTAGCAACAACCTGAGCCGCTGGTTGAGAAAATTTGCCAACTTTGATTGACCTAGACCATAAGCGCTAATCAGTGTACATCAAAAAAAATTCGATTCACGAAATACTGACAGAGCAGTACCACGAATGGATGGCATATAGGTCGAATTTATTGCACGTTCTAACTCCTTCTTGAGATCCTTGCGAGTAACTGTGACAGGAAGAGGTTGCCTTGAAAAAGGTAGTTAATGGGTTGAGGAAAAATAAGAAAATACTGGAAGTACGCAGGCCTCACTTCTTTGCGTCGAAAAATTTCGATCCGAGAAGTTTTGGGAGAAGGGGAATAATTCGTTTATCTGCCAGGAACAAGCCATGTTCCTTCAGCAGAGCGCGACGGGCGTCGTAGGCTTTGAATTTCCCTTTGAGCTTCTCAATGCCCACGACCTTATGAATAAAATGGATATCGTTGTCAACGATTAAATCTTTGTACGTTCGTTGCGGGTCTTTGGTGATCAGGCAAACGGACTCTTTTCGAGGATCAACAATTGGATAGGCGACCGGACTGTAGATCGAAATTTTAGTATTGAATGTAGTATGTTTTGAGTACCGACAAACATTGTGAAGACTTTGAGACTGGAACTCTGGGGTTGCTTTTTTAATGCCACCGTCAGCCAGAATGATTGTTCCGTATCAGGTAGCAGCTGCGTATCAGCCTTTTTGGCAGCAACATCCGATACATGGGTGAAAAGAGCATCAACGGCCTGCTCGCAATGGTTCAACGACACCCGGTCGTCTATTAATTCGTCTTTGGCCATGACGAAAAGGTTGGAACAATTTGAGTGAAGAAAGTGAGCGCCTAATGAAAAAAATTGTGCGGCTTGTTTCGGCATACACCCTTGATCTACATATCAGTCTATGACTCGTCGACATCTTCGCCACAAGTTGGACCAGCACGTCGTCGTCGTTGGTGGCATACATAAAGTAAATTATGTGCTGTGTACCTTGGTTGCACCTCAACGGGCTCTCCGCCACCCCAAACCGCGGAAAGTAACGCCAGTTTTAGAAATCAGACCATAGCCTTAACACTTTCCGCAATCTCTCTAGCGAAACTTTCATGAAGTAATCATTTCAGCTGTTCAAGAGCTCTGTTGAGAGTACGTAGGGATACGTAGAGGTACGAAGGGGTACGACCAGTACGTATGCCAATACCACAGAATACCACCAATCAAGATTTGTGACATCTTCCACATTTTTCCTTCGCATCTAAATGTTCGGAATTTTGGAACGGCTCTCCCGAAAAAATCCTGTTCTTGGCTTGTCCGTGCCTATGTAACACTATATGCCAGGTAAAACCATTGAATGCATAGGTTGAGTACCTGCGGTGAGTGAAGTGCCCCCTTCTCACATGTCAATTATCATGTTTTTGTCTTTCTCGGCAACTGATCTGTTCTTCTGGGAGGCGTCTGTAGCGGGAGCAGTATCCATGACCATGGCGAATCGTAGCCCCCTTCTCTTATCCTTCTCCGACGTTCTCTTGCTCCTTGGCTCCTCTTGCCACCCGCAACTTGAACTAGCTCAAGTGCTTTGGCCATTCGCCACGCTAGTGAGGTTAAATCTATGGTACAAGGTTCTTAGGCTTTATAGCCTTCGTGCTTCCAATCAACCATGTAACGAGCAATGTGGAGATTATGAACAATTCCTCCTGTCTTACTGCCACAAACGGAATTTGACTTGAGTCTCAATCAGTACCTTGAACCGGTGGACGCGTCGGGTTCTCGGAAGGTCAAGCATGCTATCTATCCTGTGCCTCGACGTTTACCTTTTGTATTCCACGCCGAGTCGTTCTAGATTCGTATAATGATTCTAATCGCTTCGAACTTTGGACCTCGGTACAATCAAAGGTAATCACCCCCGCATCGCAGACACGCGCAAGATCGACGAGTGATCGCAGGGCCTGCTAATTCCCGCAAGTTCCCGCACCATATGATTAATATCGTGGCCGAAGAGTCAATAATCTCGTGGGGTACTAGTAATCTTTTTTTCAACTCCAAGGACTTCCGGAAGTAAGTTTTTCATTTTTTCTATAGGTTTCTATTTGAATGCCCATTACAGCACCTGGTGAATGTACATATGTTTTGCGACTTAGTTCTCATCGCAATACCTGCGATTGACCCGCATATGCAAAAATTCATGCCCTAAAATTTTGTAGACAGGCATCACGGAAGACTTCCTACAAACGGACGTACACCTTAATGAACTTTCAGCTGGTATCAGCCCACGATACAACATAATACTGAAAGTCATTCTTCCTTCGCTCCAGCTCGTACAAATATATTGCGGATCGTCCTGAACCTGAATTTTTGACTACCATGTCACGGATTCATGTAACCTTTCAAGTTTCCATACTGAGTGCTGCATTTGCCAAACAGTCATTGATACGTGTGAAGATTCCGGCTTTATTTGTTCCCGAACCCCCGTTCACCTGAGTCTGTCACGTAGATTGACGTTCTCAAGTACCACAAAGATTAAGGAGCTGAGCTTGTCATGGCTAACCGTATTTCAACGAAACTTTCTATTCCTCATCCGGCGGAGGTTGACTGTTCCATCGTGGGTGTGCTAGAACAACTTTCAGAACTCAAACCTTGTCCTGGCCGTAAAATCGCTTTGGTATGTTCCATATATGGATGTTCTTGTCCTCTCCTTGTCTTAACATTACGATAGATTCTTCATGGCGCTGCGGGGTCAGTTGCATATTAATCATTCAGACTCTGTAAATCATTCGATGGATAGCCACAAGGACTACCTATTTCTGAAACGTCTCGCACATCGTCTTCCTATGGATTCCTTTCGTTTTGATTTTCGGCAAGCATCTACCAACGTACAACACGTTGATGAAACTTAGCTCATTGTTCTCTAAGGGGCAACCACGAGACACCGGGTGTTTGGAAGCAAGGGGGCATGGATGATGATCTAGAAGATATTCGTGTAGTTGTGGATTTCCTTAAGGTCAGGTATGGCTATGTAATTGATCTTGTTGTGGGACACAGTAGAGGGTCAATTGTGGCCTTTCGTTGGATTTGCACCTCGGAGGAAGGAGCCAGTATATCGGGCTTCGTTAATGCTTCAGGACGATATCGGATGAAGGTGTGTCAAGCTCGATCCTTATTCGCCCACCAATACAGTATTTAGATATCCAATACAGAAACTTTTAGGTCTGCGGTAGTATATTCTCTCTCATTCATCCGCTAATACGCTGTTCAGAACGGGAAGATATCAAGCAGTGGCAACGTTCTATGTCTGCGGAAGGACATCACGTTTGGTCTCCTATAGTAGCGCGAAAACAGGTGTCTTTCAAAATCTATCCCGAGGATATGACGACTTTTGCAAATTGGGATACCTCTTTTGTTTGGGATTCGTTCCCTGCGTCTCCAGATGTTTTGACAATTCATGGGTTGTCAGACAAGGCTGTACCTTCGTGTGTCTTTTCAATCAGTCTTGCCGCATAACCTGATGCTTTTCCCGTTTGAAGGTATGATGCGATTATCTACGCTCGCGCATTGAATGAGAGAGTTCCAGGAACTCACAATCTTCATTTGATGGAGGACGCCGATCATAATTTTACAGGGCGTCAAGATGAAGTAGTAGATATCATTTTGGAATGGTGGGATAAGCACGCGCAACGTACCCTTAAAACCGGAATCTGGATGTCGGGGATCAGAGGCAAGCTTTAAAAATACTCTGGGATGTAATTTACTGTGTCACTTTTAGGTATACTTAGAATCAAGTTAGAAGTCGATAATGTGATAAGTATCAACAAACCAACTTCCTGATTGTATCTGTTCATCACACATTCCTGGTGTGGCTCCGGTCGCTGGTGCGTGTAGGCAGCTTCACGCTGTAGAGCAAATGTAGATCAGCTGTGTACTGCGTATGCTTGTCGTGGTGACATGCTGTCATCTATGTCAAGACTCAAGGAGAAGGAGTGAGACAGTGTATTATATGGTTGTATGGGTTACTGAATGGTACGTTAGTATGTACAGTCTTCGAAATACACAAGGATTAACTAATGGTCTAAAAAGTGGAAGATAATCTACAACTAAAGCAATACATAAAAATAGTCTCAGTGGTCCTTGGCGCTCCGCCTGGGGATCCGTCGTCGCCCTCGGTTCGCCCCTCCTTCCCTATGCGCGCAGTGTGAAATATCTAGATCGGTTGAAGCTCTCTCGGTCCACAAGTCATTTCTCGACTGCAGCCTTCAGCTCGATGTGGCCACAAGAAAGTGTGATGCAAAGGTTTTGCATGTATTAAGATGGGTAGTAATGTTGTATTATGCGTGTGTAGACTGCATCGGGCAGTTGTGTGATAATAGTAAGTGGCAATGCACTGGTGCGAGGGGAATGTGACCTCTCTAGAAGTGCGCTAGGTGCGACGAAGTCTGGGATTAAAAGAACACAGGGCCAGTGGATGTGGCAGCTCCTCGTATTCCTCCTTGGCTTCCTGCAGGCTTTCCAGATTGTGGTTGACTCATTGCGAGAGTGGATATGAAGTTTATGTCGCAGAGAGAAGAGTATGACAGACTAGCCTTAATGCTGGTCTCTGCTGGCGAGGGAAGACTCGAGAACTTGGTCAAAAGAGAAATAAGAGTTGTGCTCTATATATACTGCTTATAGGCAATTCCCGGTTCGCGAATAGCTTTGGATCCAGTTTGGATCTGACACGCGCTGACTCGTATTGTAAGGAACCTGACGGTTCCGTTACAACATCACCTCTCGTAACAACTTCGTTAACTTCGCTCTGTACTGTGAAATTCTCAGGGAACATCTTACGTTTCTATAAGCAGCCCAATGCCTCTCAATGGTCGGCTTTTTTTTTGCTCGTTTCACCAATCATGATATAGAAAGGAATACAAATGTGCATCGTACACAGCTATTCTCGCATTCGGAATTTAGAAAGCCTCGTGCCTCGCAACTTGACGCGCTAACTTTAGGTGTACAATTGCTGGGTACTTGCAGGTATACAATAAAACTGGAACAATGATCCACTTGGCACAGCATAACTCTGGCATAACTGTTGTTGTTGACCACCGGCGCACTCGGATTCTACGAAATCGTACGGAGAGCAAATTTTTGCAATACTCCGAACATATATTTGCAGAGACCCTGCATAACCGATATGTCTCTCTCTCCTGACTGGAGGAATAATGTAAGCGAAATACCGCCTCCAATAGACATATCGAAGGCTTTTCGGACTTCGAGGATAGATAAGTCCGTAATGGCTATAACCTGTATAGATGCCGGTATAAATTTCCGGGCTTTTGTGGGTTTATCAGATCCATGTGCTCATGGTAGTTGGGGAGAGGTAGAGTGTGCATGTCTTCCATTTGCGAAGGCAGAACAAACCCTCCCGGACCCCCTCGCACTGTGCTTCTTAGTCACTTAGTACTTATCTCCCCTTTTCCGTGGACATTGCACCAAAGTTGCGCTATCGAACCAACTATAAAGTGCTCCAAATACCCAACTGCTTGTCGTAAGAACGGTATCACCAATGTTCATTTACATCTTTTACCAGAGTTCGCGACAAAATCGGTTTTTGGGGTCCCTTTCAGCGAGCGACCTCGGTCCGGGCTATAATTTGGATGAAGACCAAGGAATTGTCCGTTGTGAATGTAAATAGTTGATTGGTCGCCCAGGAATTCAACGGAGGAGTTATTCTTGGAAGATGATTCGCCACCAGTTGAATAATTGAACTTGATTGAACAGAGTTGGTTCGATTTTTCTGCCGGGACTAAGCCTCTAGAAAGCCTCATGGCATCATTGAGTAGATTGAGATTCAGGTCTCATCGTCCATCTTCAGGTGGCACCCTCTCACGAGCGTACGCCACTCGTAGTAACGTCTTACGATTGAAATTTAGTGAAGCTGACCTCACAATCCTTTCGTTACGGTGTGCAGTATGTGAGTCTGGCGAACGCGCCTTGCTCTTAAGATACTGCAAAATCAGATCGAACAAAGCCTTTGGCAGGTGTCATTTGTGCGAACATGAACGGGAGTCACCATTCGCGGTTGTAGACGTCTTAACTCGCCTTATTTGACACTTACTGGCGAGGCTATCCTTCGCAGGGAGTCCCATTCAAGTTTAGTCTTCCGAGACCTTCAGGTCCATGGTACATGATAGTTGATATAGTTAATCCACGACTGCAACCAATTTTCCTCTGTAAAATAGTACAAAGTCAATCAGCGATGACTGAAGATCATGACAGAGCAGGACAAACATTGTTTGGTTTCCTTCCATATCCCTATGGGCGTCTTGAATATTTTTCCATGAATATACCTATAACGAAGGTAAATTTGCTATGTCCCACGAACGGCTATATAGATTCGCGAACTTTATGAATATATGTTTTGATTGGTCCCTGCCCATCTTCGCCAGTAATTAACTCAAGGAAATCGTCGGTGAACCTGGAGAAATTTGAAGTCGATTCCTCAAGCGAATGTGACAAAAACCATACCCACCTTCTGATGAGATCGGCCTGGTAAGCCATCGTGCGAGACCGAAGGGTCGAGCCTTGAATGCGAAGACGTTTGTAGAGGAGGGGGGTAAGCTCAAACTCGGATACCTTTGCGCCTGTAAATGACATCAACTAGTGCGTTGCAAGTGAATATCAAGCGCGAATACCGCTTAAGAGAGCGAGCATGGTCATACGACCATCCATCGCCATCGATTCTATATTCTTGTTCCAATGATTTTGGCCAACAAAGTCGATGACCACATCTACACCTTTGTTATTGGTTATCTTCTTGACTTCTTCGGCAAAGTTTTGGGTTTTGTAATTGACACCGTTCGTGGCACCATTGGGAATATTGACCAACCAGTCTAGCTTTTCCTTGGTCGAAGCTGTGGAAATCACGGTCTTTCTACCCTCAAAAGGTCAGTGCAGGTACGAAAAGAAGTTAATAGCCAACTTACGCGCCTCTGACACGAGCCAGCTGGATAGCGGCAATTCCAACACCGGACGCTGCCGCATGTACCAGTACATTCTCGCCCTCCTTCATCTCGCCATATACCACGAGAGCTTGATAGGCTGCCACGAGGGAGCGTAAGAAAGGTTACATTACATTGAAACTTACTATGGGAACATCATGCCTGTTAAGAATACTTCCGGTATACTTGCGGCGTCGGTCCAGCTAAGGTGAGATGGCTTTAGAAAGAGATGAGTTTCCTGGACCGTGATGTACTCGGCATAAGCACCCTACGCAAGCAATTTTGAATCGATTTTAGTTGATGCCTGACGAACAGAAGAAATTGTTCTCACTCCTCCCGCAATACCAAAGACTTCGTCGTTCATTTTGAACTTGGTTACGCCCTCACCCAGTGTGCTGACGGTTCCCGAAAACTCGACACCGAGGATATCAGAGGCTCCAGGGGGTACAGGATAGTTTCCCTTACGCTGAAGAATGTCCATCCTGTTCAATCCGAATGCTTTAATCTAATCACATTTTCATTAAGTGAAATTAATGAGCTGTATGCGGATTTTACCTTGACTATAACCTGACCATATTTGGGGTCCGGAGTTGGAGCTTCACCTAGATAAAGGTTATCAATGGGGCCCTTGCCATCTTTGACGAGAATCGCAAGCATTTTTGAGATGGTAGTGAGAGTCTGAAAGAGATGCCTTGATGACGTCGCGTGTGATAACTGTCTCCCGATGCACACTGAAGCATGAAGCATTGTACATGACTGCACAGTTGAACACACCAATGGATTTGGAATGCTTTAAATTTCAATATTCGGCGTTTAAGACATTTACAGTATGTGATGTTGATCATAATCAGGCTCAGATGAAAACAAGGATTTTCATTACTGCCATTTCGTCAGCAGATACAGGCCACAATTCCCAGTGCAGCAAGCGGATCTTAGTGGTTGGAGGTGTAAGAGCTCTCACGTTGCTTGATATGTTACAACGAGGGAAGCCTGAGTGAGCAGACCTTATTCAGAGGGATGATTAGAGACTAGAAGAGTCAGAGAACGTTTCGAAGACATGGTACTGCAGTGATGTTCGAGCCGCATGAGGCTTCAAATGGGAGATTGATGAGCCACCAGTTCTTAGTGTTACCGCGAATGCCTGCTTTAATGAAACGAGCCGTTCTATTCGTACTATCAGTCATATTCTGAGTCCCAAAAAGGTACGCACAATCGGGATCTTTACCGTTTGTGGAGCGAAGCACTAGGAAGCGGTCGGAGAACCGTGTAACTTTTGAAGAGATAGAGACAGATAAATAGAGTATCGTGAACATCTACGTCAATTCCCCAGATGCAGTTATTCTTGGATAAACATAACGTCCTTCCAGGGCACCGTGAATCAAGCTGGAATTAACACACACTAAACACTGGTTCAAGATCGTTCCCTACAGCCACCGAAGTTCACCGAGGTCCTCGCAGGAAGTTGATGCTTGCAATAATGGAGTCAATTGTCTTGCTGTTGATGGCGCATTTTTCAAACATCTAGTATGCACTTAGATCACCAAATTAGCATGGCGCCTCTTCGAAAACTGCGACTTATTGTAGAAGCACGCCTGACAGTGAAAAACACCGACCCCTAGCAAATCGAGCGCCAGTTGTTCCTTGATGAGCGTGCGTCGTAGCCAGGGAGCCAAGAAGTTCAACCTTGAGCAACAGTGCACGAATCCTTGCAGAGCGGAAAAAATTTGGGCTTCCGATGAAAGATATTCAGAAAAATTCCAGTGAAGAAGTTTCGGATGAGACAAGTCGCTTGATAAACGGACAGGATTAATTTTAAGATCCAAAAGGGTTGAGCACGAAAGATGGTTTTAGCACCACCTGGTCGAAAAAGGTGTGAAGGGAAAGGCTACATACTTCAAGTCTTCAACGGTCCGGGTCGGTACTGTGTAGTAGCTCACGTGGTCGAGTCACGTGTGAAGAACGCTAGCTTTTAAACCGCGAAAAAAAACAATCGTGCCAATTGTCTCTTTCTTCAAGTTCATTTTGCTTTTCAAGTATGACAAGTTCTGGGACGTTGATCTGGGTGAGTAATATTTCGTGATTCTTACAATGCTTTCATGATGCTCTTTGCTATGGTCCGTGTTTCCTAGAGGTGACTAGACATCATCGCTATAGTATGCAGATAACTTTTTACCTAGCCTTCTGAAAAATTTCCCCGTTCGGTTTTCATGTTTCAAGAGTTTCATTCTGACTCTTTGCTTCAGATGTTCGGTGCTTTGCTATGGAAATCGCGGACTGTACCTCCAACGACTGGTTTCCAGATTCTTGCTTCTTGGATTCTTATTCTTCCCACATCGTGTAACTTCTCGCTGTACTCTCATCTCCATACATATTCCATAGTAATATCACAATGTGCGATATCTGGTTCATGTTGTTTTTGGAGAACTGCATACGCTCAATCCACCCTTGTTGAATCATCTGGCTGGATGTCCGATTACATGAACGAACCCTTTTCAAAGCACCTTCATTCTGCAAAACAAAAAATAACAAGGCGCAAGCTCCGGAAAGCCTCAGACTGGATACGTTAATACACTACGCTAGCGTAGCTTCAAGTTCCAATATCTTCAGCACCTTCAATTATCTTCACTTCATCTATTGTGGAATGCCGCGCATCTACATGATACCATTGTAAACTAGGGGCCGGCTGTTTCTTCACTGGACTGCGGCTAGTTGAGCCTATAGAGCGAAGTAAGATTGGCAACAAGGCCAAGTGAAATAGGAAAACGTACGGAGAAAGTTGTGGAGGCCGCTGGACAACCTACACCGGGTCCGTTCAAGTTTTGCAAGGTCACGATAGAGGCTTCAATACGGGCTGCTGCGTCTGCATTGGTGTTACCAGTAGGGAATGACAAGGAGACACTAGGGTTATTGGTGGCATGTCCAGCGGCAACGTTGGCGTTCAAGTCCTAAATGATGGAGGAACATCAGAGCTGAGGGAATACGGGATCTCAGTACTTACGGCGATGAATGTGTCCCGGTCCGGAGGGCAGCTACAAGGGATTTTAATGTTATTAATTCCTATTTATAGGAAGTCGATCAGCGAGACGGTCAAAAGTCCAGGAAAGGTTTCATACCGATGCAGTTTCCAGTACCTATGTAGATGGACAAAGATTATGATATTAGTAGTGTTTAACAATATAATGACGATATCCCACCATCCGGGCTTTGGCCTGCTGTAACGCCGAATTCGGGAACGAGTGAAGCATCTACACCACCGGTAGCTGGAGCGGTGGAACTAGCAGTGGCAGCAGCAGAAGTAGGAGCAGCAGCAGCTACGCCAGATGTTGACGCAGCGGCAACATCACTTGTACCAGCTTGAATAGCTGCCTGCTGCGCTACAAAGGTAGTAGATGAAGCGGGGCATCCGACTCCGGCTCCGTTCAAATTCTGTAGTGTGACGAGTGCGGCGTCAATGCGGGCAAGTTGAGACGCTTGCGAGTTATCTGAAGGAAAAGAAACTGCAACGCTCGGGTTGTTCACAGCGTGGCCTGCTGCAACATTGGCGTTAAGGTCCTGAATATGTTTATTGTTAACTATTTCAAATAGATATACGTGCGGATAAACTCACGGTGATGAAAGTGTCGCGGTTGGGAGGACAAGAACAAGGGATCAAGATGGGTTGACCGTTTGGTCCGTCAACTCCATCACAATTTCCTGTAAGCATATCAAGATCAGCTCATGATACTTGGTAGAGAACGTGAAATTCCATTTACCTGTGCCGTCTGGATTTATGCCAGCCGCGAGTCCAAACTGGGGAATCAAGTTGGGATCGACATCACGTCGAACGGGCATGGAAGAGACAGAAACAATAAATGCGCCAGCGGCGAAGAGAGTATTCGTGAATTTCATTGTATTTGGGGATTAAAGTCGATTTAATCCAAATTTGAATTCGAAAAATACTTGACGCGAAGGGATCGAAGTGAGAGAGAGTGCAGTGGGTTTTGAAAATGAGAAAAGAATGTGTTATCCTGCTTCAAGCTAAGGACGAAGAGCTCAGTTGAAAACCTAAAGAAACCGGTGCTGAAGGGAAGAAAGGGAAAGAAGGTGGGGGTTTTTGAGTACCCACTATGGTCTTTATGTACAGTCACGGTGCACCACTTGCGCCACCCTGCTCGTGAATTCAACAATGATTTTGATAATCAATCAATCACTGATGCTTTGACACGTTCGTCTCATTGTCGTCTTCATATTTGACCTCTAACTTTTTGGGACCTCTTTCGACGTTTTTTAAGAATTCCTAATTGCAGGCTTACTTAGATACCCTCTCAGTATTCTGTACAAACTTTTTCTCGCTGAAGAATTACGCGGCAGTATTCTTGTCCCCGTGTATCAATCCAATCTGTCGCCAACCCGTCGTTCTATACAGACTGCAGCTGATACCGGTACCAACCAATGGTGGCAACCATACACCCAAATGCATATGGAAATCTTTTGCATTCATTGCATACCCGTTCTGTATCCGCGTTACGACGAAACGACAATTCTCAATATCCATTCGCAATCTGCCTGCTACCCGACAAGCATCGAAATAATTATGCAAGGACATACTGAACTCGCCAAACAATTTGTCTACTTGCGGAATGCCGGAGTCAGTCGCTATTGAACGCATCTCAACCTTCACTTCTTGTATCCTCCTGGACGGTCCCAGCTCATCCCAGCTCATCCCTGAATTTTATCTGATAGACTCACCATAGCGGTCCAAGTCAGCTTCTTACTTCCCCGGTATGGCATCTATTCTTTGAAGCTGTGCTCTTTTAATTGGTGGATCCTTTTAATATGCGCTACTAATATTAGTGTGGTATTGATTAGTCTTGATATATTTTCCTATCATAACCTCGACATCAAGTGCCCATTTATATCATCATCACACGAGGCCGAAACCTGCTTCGTTAACGTTTGTGCCGGGCATTTCAAGCCTTCATCGGGTAGCCCATGACGATTTCATACAAGCAAAGGTCAACAACTCTACCCTAATTCCTTTGTTCCGATATCCATTGGAGCTTGCTTGCTCCTCTCCTCAGCAATGCTGAGCCTTTTGGCAGGGGTCATGTTGCGGGCTTTTGGAGTAGCTCTTTGCGTCAGTGAGTGTTGAGCTACCATATGCTGCCATCTGTGCCTTTCATCTTAAAAACTCAATCATCTGGAATGTATAGGTACCATGCCAGCCTTGGCTGCTCGTTCCTCGACGTTCGCTGATACCCTCACTTGCTACGTCGTGCCAGCTTCAAAAGTGTCGTCAGTCATCGTGTTGATGACATCCACTGCTCGCATTACGCCGCAAATTCTAAGTGGTGAAAGTACATCGACTTACTTGGCGAAGGAGAGATATCATGTGGCAACGTCTAACAGATCACCAATCCCGGAGGCGACCAGTATGTTTGCCAACTTGCATGATCTGGTCTCCGAAATGCTTATTTCATTGCATTGCAGGTACTTCGAAATACGGAATACACCAATCTACCAATGATCGCTGGGGAAACGCCCGGCGCACATTCGATCACAGTCAGAGCACAATCTGTGTAAAGTCACAAGCTTCGGATGATGTATCTTACACCAAAGTGAACATTGATGCCACGGTTACGGCGACCCCTGTGAGATCCGTCGTTCCGCTCTTTACGCTTGCAGCCAATACATCCACGAACAATATCACGACGACTGGGACATCTGCATCAGCGTCCACGGCTGTAACGACGAAAAAACACTCTGAGTAAGCATCCACATTAGTCTTTTTCTTTCAGTCTATACCGAATCGACTCTTTAGACGAAACATAGTTAGCCGCGCTGTAGGAGGGGCTGTCGGGGGCGGCATGTTTCTCTTGATCTTGGCGTTGTTGATGTTTTTACTTTTTCGCCGGAATCGCCAACGAAGACGATCCCCTAGTCAGCAATACCTTCGCTCAGCCCCGATCACCTCGCGAGCGGTCTCACAAGACCGTGATATGAAAGACCCCAGCTCCCGAACAGCTTCACCCTCTACATATACTTCTACTCGCACTGCTACGTACTCCAAATCGTTTGTGCGTCCATGGACAGCAGATCTGGAGTCAGGAAGTACTTTCAAAGATGACTCATCTGTAACTACACAATCAATATCTTCTCCCTTCATACCACCAGCTCCTCGAACAACCGTTCCCGAAGCCCCGCCTCCCCTGGAAAGACTTACAAGTGATTTGAGGGATCGACCATCAAGATTCGTAGAACAGTTGATGGTTAATTCGACGGATCTGGGTGTTTTGTTGGCGATTGCAAAAGGTGCGTAGAATCGAGATATAATTAATATTTTTCAAAACTAATATTTTGTTAGCTGAGGCGGAGCAGAGGCATGAACAGCATAAAGATCCTACACCCTCGTCGTCAAATATGAATCCCGCTTCAGGTAAATATATGTCCCTCTTTGTATATGGTTAAGCCAAGCTAGCCTGATATTTGTTTGCAGATTCCGATCGCACGAATCTACCACCTTAACATAACATGACGACTCACGACCAGATGAATCACCTATTTCCCCATTCCCCGCCAGTCGCAGGAGACAGGGTGGGGTCATCCGACGTTACGTACCCTGAATCAATCTGCATGTGTCGTGACACAACGATTTTTCGATTTTTCGAACATTCGTGTTATATTCAGACACTTTACAAACTTGATGATCATAATGGGTCAGTGAAAACCTACTATCTACACCAATAGTCTAAGAATTTTATTGTTATTCATCATTTACTGTTACAGCTTGCTACCATGTTACCTGCTGGCTCTTTTGAAGAACCAGGGACGCGAGCCCGCTGTTTATCAATAAGTGCACTCGCGAAAGAACGTTGTTGATATGTTTTTGACTTTCAGATAACCCTAAGTTTCTTCGTCCTGCTATGTATGTACAAATCATACTTTCCGACTAGCTTTGACTCCGTGGGACGTTGTGCATCACTTAGAACGCGTTCACCAGCATGCGGATCCGGAGTCTGTTCCACTCTCGCTACGCCGCATGTAAACACTTTCATTTTGATATTGAAAGCTATGTCGGGACAGAAGTCACAAGCATACTGAAAAGCTTGATTCTCCGCAGGAACTCCGTTTCTCGTGTGCATCGGTACCCACAGTTACATATTGAGAATAAAAATCGATCTTCTGTTCTCACTTGTATCAAACCATGTCGCGTCCCAATGGCTCAGATGAACTAGACGTCCTTGTAGTCGGTGCAGGCTTCAGCGGAATCCACCAGCTCTATCATTTCAGGAAACTGGGATATTCTGTCAAGGTTTTCGAAGCTGCTTCAGACCTTGGCGGAGTATGGTCCCATGGATATCCAGGTACTCTCTTACCCCCGTTTGCTAGTCAGGATACTTTCTCACAGTATATAGGCTGTCGTGTAGATTCCGACCATCCACTTTATCAACTTTCACTTCCGGAGCTATGGGAGGACTTCATATGGAAAGAGCGTTATCCTGGCTGGCGCGAGTTGAACGAATATTTCCAATACATCGATCGGAAACTGGACGTGAAGAGGGATGTTTCGTTCAACACCAGAGTTGTCGCTGCACGATTTGATCAAGAGATAAACCGATGGATAGTCACAACAGAAAATGGACTCGTTGTCCGTCCTCGGTTCTTGGTGTTATGTGTCGGATTTGCATCGAAATCGTATACACCGGAGTTCGGAGGACTAGAACGGTTCGAAGGTATCTGTCATCATACTGCACATTGGCCCCAAGAAGGCGTAGAGTTGAGGAACAAGCGGGTTGGAGTAGTCGGGACAGGTGCATCCGGCGTTCAAGTAATCCAAGAAGTCGGACCCGAAGTCTCTCACCTCACTGTATTTCAACGCACGCCCAACATGGCGTTGCCTATGCGCCAAAAGAATTTGGACGAAAAGTCGCAGGAGCAGCAGAAAGCTCTTTATCCCTCGATGTTTCGTCGGAGTAAACAAACTGGTGGTGAGCCGTGAATTGTCCTGGATTCGTACTCAGATGAAGTGAGCCGGACTTCGATAGGTGGATTTCCGTATGAACGATACCCAAAAACTTTATTCTCCGCCACACTGGAAGAACGCCTATTACACTGGGAAAATCTATGGTCTCAGGGCGGCTTCCATTTCACTGTGTCCAATTTCAACGACATTCTGATGAATGAGGATGCTAATCGCGAGGTGTATAATTTCTGGAGAGACAAGGTTAGAGAACGGATACACGATACGAGGATTCAAGAGCTTCTAGCACCCACTATCCCTCCGCATCCTCTAGGGGCCAAACGCTGTTCATTGGAGCAGGTATGTATATTTCAGTAGAAAGTTTCTTGGAGAAGACTTACAGTATAGTATTGCTAGTCATATTACGAAGTCTTCAATCAACCGAATGTCACCTTGGTCGATCTGAATGAAAGTGACATATCTGAAGTGACGAGTAAAGGAATCTTGACCAAGGACGGAGTTGAGCACGAATTTGATGTCTTAGTACTAGCAACCGGGTTCGACAGCCTTACTGGCAGTCTTACGCAGATAGATATTCGTGGTGTAGACGGGGTCTCGATCGCAGAGAAGTGGGCCAACGGGGTATACACGAATCTTGGGATGACTTGTGCTAATTTCCCGAACATGTTCTTTATCTATGGGGCACAGGCACCGACCGCATTCTCGAATGGACCTACCTGTATCGTGCGTCCCGCCATATTTTGTTGAACAAATTCTAAGCCAAGGCGTTGACAGGAAATCCAAGGACAGTGGATCGTTCGATGCATCAGACATATGAAAGAGAACGACTTGACGGCTATATACCCAACACCTGAAGCTGAAGCTCAATGGCGTGCGCTGATTATGAATACGGGATATCGTGCATTAGTCAACAACGCAAAATCGTGGTATGTTGGGGCGAACATACCAGGAAAAACCGTAGAGCCATTGAATTACACGGGAGGGGTGAACCAATACCTTGAGATCATTGAAGGGATCGCGGAAAGAGGGTATGAAGGCTTTGGATTTATGTCTGAAGGAGGGTCTTTACAAAATCTAGATAAGTAATTTCTCCAAGATCAATGAATCACCTTGCTTGGTTTACATATCACACCCTGGAATTGGACAATTTTTTGATCTGCAGGCACACTTTTTTTGAACTTGTTTCGTTTCAAAGGTTTCACAACTCACCATCGACATAAGTCCCTCACCTAGCTTCACCTAGCATACTCGGGCCTAATACGGAGGCGGAGACCCCTAACACCCTCGTGGGATCATGAAATTAACCACTCGTGTGTCCCGAATACACCCTGCACACCCCTCTCCGGATTGCTTCGATTCGCTCGCAATTACATCGAAACCTTTCCTGCTCTTCTCACAAACGTACGAGGTGTACATAACTAGTGCCAATGTCTTTTTCACTGCGGATGATCGAGGGCAGCATGTGGTTGATGGAACACCCTCGTGTATACACTAAGAGACACCAAGTACATATTCAGCTTATCCGACGGGATTTATAACAGCATCGAAGAACTTCCCAAACGATTGTATGCTGCGGAAGTCTATAAAGGCGCCTGGCGTATGAGCGTATGCATTTACACTGGATACTTAAAAGGATTTTAGATTTTGGGGTGTGCGTTCTTCCCAGAGGCTCATCCTTGGAGTTCTGTTGAATGCCGATTTTTGCTATTCGAAACTCTGATTCTCATTACCTCTTTTCCGAATTCACTGCAACGCTTCCTACGTAAATTGCTGCGCCATGCTTCTAGCAAAGATTCCAAGAACACGAGTGGAAATTACTGTTTTTGACGCTTGTCTCTGGCTATATAAGGATCGATCATTGGAGGAAACATCTTTGCCTCCCACAGCTTGAAGCTAACCATCGTAATGAGCTCTGCCTCCACACCTGATACATATCATGACTCCGATGCTGGGTCAAATCCAAGCCTCTCAGCTTCTGAAACTACGAACAGTTCGAAAACATCAGGCGATGGAGTAGGACTGTCCAATGCTCATGATCAACTAGGACGGAAACGTAGGTACGCACTGGATTTGGTCAATCGTCTTCAAAACACAGGGTATGTCACTCTACTCTCTGCTCCATGGTTAGAAAGTTGACCACAATATGCAATAGCATTCAAACCGACATTGATCTTCCTCAAATTGCTGTGATCGGCAACCAGAGCGCCGGGAAGTCGTCTCTCATTGAGGCAATCTCTGGTACTACTCTTCCCCGAGCTTCAGGGACATGTACTCGGTAGGCTGCTTCAGTCGATCTTCCTTTGTCGAATCTTGTTTTCACTCTTCATTAGTTGTCCTACTGAGTGTCGATTGACTAATGTAGCTGCACCTGCACGTTGGAACTGCGTGGTTTCAATCCGTACGATTACTGACAGCACTGGTCAACATCTCGGTCAAGCTCGCAACGAGCCTTTTGGAGAAGTGATCTACAACAAAGCTGAAGTTGAAGACCGTATTCGACGCGCTCAACGTGCGATCCTAAATCCGCACATACCTCGTAGTCAAATCCTGACGGGGGACGAGGAGATCAACGATGGGAGGACACTCACATTCTCGTCAAATTATGTTTCTCTGCAGATCAGTGGCCCTGATGTCGCCGATTTATCGTTTTGTGATTTGCCAGGTCTGTATTCAAGACTTTTGTTTCACTCGAGCTTTTTATTGAGTCTAATTATTTTCCCACTTTGCAGGTCTCATTCGATCCACCAAAGAAGGAAGCACGAACGACATTGCTCTCGTCGAGGGTTTGGTAGAGTCGTACATAAAAAAGCCTAGTTGCATCATCCTTCTCACTGTATCATGCGAGAGTAAGCCTCTTTAGTTGATCGATCCGTTGTACGCTAATCGACTTGAAACAACCAGCTGATCCTCAAAATCAGGGAGCTCTTCAATTGGCTAGGGAATATGATCCTGAAGGACTTCGCACAGTTGGTACGCCGACCGGGATTATACCTAGAATAATCAACCTGTTACTCATTTTCTCATAATAGGTGTCCTCACGAAACCCGACAGAATATCAGCTGGGGACGAGGAAGATTGGGTCCGCTTTGTCAAGAATGAAGGGGACTACAAGCTATTGAATAATTGGTTCTGTGTCCGACAGCCCAATTCGAGTGAACTGAAATCAGGCGTCACCTGGCAAGAAGCCCGAGACAAGGAAAACCAGTTCTTCACTGCGACTGCTGCGTGGCGCGATTTGGATCCTATATATCAACGTTATCTTCGTACCCGCAATCTCGTTGAGAGACTGAGCGGTATCTTGTCAGACCTCATATCAAAGCGGTTAGTGCTCTGATTGCTTTTTTATTGAAAACTCCCCAATTCATACCCAGACTTCCCGAAATCCGTGAAGAACTCCATCAGCTCATGCATAACACTCGTAAAGATTTGGCACAACTTCCGAAAGAGCCTTCCCAAGATCCTATGAGCGACATCTCGGCAATGATTTACAGCTTTAGTTCCAGACTCTCGAGAGTCTTAGAGGGTACCCCGGAAGCTGAAGCTCTTCTTCAATGCATTCGACCTGCTCAAAATGCATTCAAGAGGGAGATCCGTAAAACAGCTCCTAACTTCAGGCCGTATGAGAAGAAGTATGCTTCACAGAGGAATATGGCGCATTTCAAGTTTTTGAATAACGAGGAAGATGAACTGGAGTGGGATCAAGACTCAGAGGACAACACCGAAAGTGGCGCACCTGTTTACATTGATGATGTCAACCGTCGAATACAAGAGTAGGTTCTGCTAAGCTGTTGTATAGGGTACTCTTACTCACTCGTTCTCAGTGCTCGTACTCGAGAGCTTCCCAGTAGATATCCTTATGTTGTTGAGGAATCATTTATTCAGCAGATAACGAAGCAGTGGTCGGCACCTTCGCAACGCCTCTGCGAACTTGTTTACAGAACAACACTGGATCATGTTTTGCGACTTGTCAAGGATCATTTCTCTGAGTTCGGACAAGGACTCTTAGAGCGGCAAACAAGGTAGGATTTCAGAGCAACGAAATGAACTTTACTTATCGTAAATTTTCTTTCAGACTTATTATAATGGAGCATATGAAGGACCGGTTCGAGGCCACTAAAGATCGTATTGAATGGCTCCTTGACCTTGAGCATCGTCCATTTACAATGAACACTCATTACTTTTTGGATTACAAGGACAAATTTTTCTCCTACTACAAGAGTTACAGGGACCAGGATTTAAATCAGGAGCTTAATTCTGCCCTCCAAGCACTGGAATCGGAGCGTCAGCGCAATCAGTTTGAATGGAGTTCAAATGCAGCAGTGGTCAATGAAATACTTGCAGGCCTCATCAAACTGGGAATAACGGGCGTGAAAGCAGTCGATTTGGTCAAATTTTTACCAACAGACGGAATGGAAGGAGCGCTGGATATCATGGCAGGGGTTCGAGCATATTTCCAAGGTCTTTTTTTTGCGCTGTATGTGATATTATTCGGATAACCTGAGTTGCTTCAGTGGCATACAAACGTTTTGTCGATAATATTCCTTCGGCTATCGATCATGAAATGGTGCGAGGGTCTGAACGAGATCTTATTCGCACCTTGCCTTTAAGACTCGGTATCCATGGCCCAGATGGACTAGCTATCTGCAAAGAGTTGGCGCAAGAGAGCACACAAGTTGCAGCGAAGAGGGAGGAGCTATCCAAAAAATTGGAGAGGATGAAGGCAGGAAATGAAGAGCTTTCGCGCATATTTTGATCTTGAATTCTTGTTGATTTGACTGAAGGTTTTTTGTTTGAGAAAAGATTTGTATACATATGCACATGTTTGTATTCCGGTACCGTACAATCTGACGCATCGCAACTGTGCTGGTTTGTAATTTGCCTTTCTCTTCTGAACCCTTCATGAACACAACGGGCCCGTTGTCGCCGACAATGGATCCCGAGAAACAACCTCGTTCTCCAGAACGCCCGGCATTTTTTGTTCGGTCAAAGAAACGAATAACGATTCGTAACTTGTTGAGCCTTTCATGCTTTCTGATCACTGTCTATGGGCTCCAATATATCGCCATCCACTCAACCTCTGAGTCAGTCGTCCTTTATCAGGAAGGCTGCAGCAGACCGATAGCCAAGGCATTGCCCACTAAAGTGAAGGAAGAATTGTTCTCGTGCGTTGAGTACCTTTGAAAGATATTCACATTCTTATTCGTTTCTCTAGCTCCGTTCCTAATACCGAGAACGCAACTGCTATTGCGAAACAATATTCCAAACATCCTCATCTTGCCGGCTCGCTAGAAGATTATCACGATGCGCTGTCAATCCTCGAATTCATACAGACGGAACTCAGTATAATTAAACCTCACTCCCTCGAACAACCGATTTACAACGCCGGTACTCCGAAATCCCGCGCAAAGACCATTGGTCTAACCTCTCGGCTTGGTCCTCGAAACCCAACAGCGTGGATTGACGTGTACTATCCTTATCTCAATACACCGCTGGATCGTTCGTTAGATATCCTCGATGGGACTGGGAGTTCAATCTGGAGCGCAGACCTGAGAGAGGATGGAAACGCCGGTGACGAAGATGCCGCCAAGTACAGAGATTATATCCCTCCATGGCATGGGTTGAGTGCACACGGCGAGGGGCAGGGACAGGTGAGTTAGTTCGCATGAAGTCTGCTCATAATCTAATTCCTTTGAACCTAGCTTGTCTATGTCAACTATGGCGCGTACGAGGATTATGAAGAAGTCATTGCCTCAGGGCAGAACCTCACTGGAAAGGTTGTGATCGCACGGTACGGCGGACTCTTCCGTGGTCTCAAGGTCAGTGTTCCCTTTTGTTCACTTTGGATACGCTGAACATCGTCGTCATCAGATTCAACGCGCTGAGGAGCTCGGCGCAGCCGCCATCCTTATCTATTCCGATCCTCGAGACGATGGCTTCGTTACTGTCGAGAACAATTATGTTCCTTATCCCAATGGGCCTGCACGTAATCCAACATCCGTCCAACGTGGCTCTGCAATGTATCTCTCTTCGTATCCCGGAGATCCAACAACACCTGGCAAGCCTGCCTACGACAAGGCAAAGAGAGAAGAAGCCAAGAATATACCACGTATACCATCTCTTCCAATATCTTGGGCAAATGCAGAGAGGCTGCTCAAGGAGATTGGAGATGTTTATACAGAGGTAGGGCAAAATGGGTATCGGAAGCTTAGCGGGAAAGCTAGCGAAAAAGAAGTCAAAGTCGTTAATCATGGTGAAATCCTCGCTTTATGCATATGTTGATAACCTGATTGTCCTTTAGTCGATGGCAAGATTACACCCATTTGGAACACCATGGCTGCTATACCAGGGCATGTGAGGGATGAAGTAGTGATTGTTGGATGCCATCGTGATGGTCCGTATATCCATGCATTGGGTTTGTAAGAAGCCACTAATTTATTTGTAGCTTGGGTCCTTGGCGCTGCTGACCCTGTGTCTGGCACTGTTGCCTTACTCGAAATTGTTCGTGGTCTTGGAACCTTGCTTCGCAGTGGTTGGAAACCCTTGCGGACGATATTGATAGCTAGTTGGGATGCAGAGGAAGTATGTTTGCCTTTATTGCAATTCCTTGTACTATCAGTCGCGCTCAATTGTGCCTCTTTACAGTATGGTTTGATTGGTTCTACCGAATATGGTGAAGATTTTGCCGAATGGATATCTGAACACGCTGTAGCGTACCTGAACGTTGATGTATCCTCCGCCGGATCCAGATGGGATGCTGTAGCCTCACCTTCTCTTGCACACCTTATCAGACAAACAGCAATGGATGTGCCGCATCCTAGCGAGGAAGGCAAGACTTTGTGGGACGCAAAAGAAGATGAAGGCCCGTTCAAGCCGTTTGGGCCAGTAGGCCCGGATGGAGAGTTCGGCCTCGTAGTGCTCAATAACGGTGATAGTGATGTCCAAGGTGTCAACACTACCATCTCTTCCCATAGGATCCTCGAGATCGGTAATATCCATGCCGATGCAGACGTTATGGAAGCCTACGAAGCTACTAGGAACATACGTTTAGGTAAAACAGAGGGTAAAGATGGTACAGCTGTAGGCCCAATGGGAAGCGGGAGTGATTTTACGGTCTTCCTGCAGCGATTAGGGGTGAAATCAAATTACTCCTCCCTAATCGTTCATCCACTGACTGATATTCCTAGATTGCTAGTTCCGACCAAGGCTTCGCCGGCACTCCTTATGATGCACCGTATCATTATCACTCAATTTATGACAGTTTTCAGTGGCAAGAGGTCTATGCTGATCCTGGTTTCAAGAAACATGTGAGTTACCAATTGATTAAGAGGTTCTAAACCTCTGAACTTCGATATTTTCATTCGCAGGTCGCGATAGCTCAGCATTTAGGGTTGCTCGTTTTGCGTTTGACGGATTCAATCGTCGTTCCGCTGAACACCACCCAGTATGCTCTTGAATTGGACGGTTATCTGGATAGGTCGGTTGTTTTGACTATTCTAATCATTGCGATCTCAACATTCTACGGTGCAGAGTCGAGTCTCTTCTTCCCTCCCTCGAAGCCGAGGGGGAAATTTTGACTGTTCAGACCGCATTTTCTACTCTTCGGCAATACATTGCACAGCTCCAAGACATCAGTATTCTCCTCGATATTGAAAAACAAGAGGCAGAGAAACATTTCAAAGAGCTTTTAGACCAGATGCCATCCTTCCCAAGCTCAACATTCATAGTTACGACCGGTGGAGCCCGACGCACGTTCGTGTACCGATTCAAAGAATGGGTCAAGCGTCTTTTTGGCGTTCAATGCCCCCGGGACACATTCTTGGTGGATTCTTGGGAAGATTTACTTTCCAGATATGACTCAGACGAACAAGACGACGAGGCTCTTGCGGGATGGTTGGAACATCGACTTGCTACTTCACATAATTATGAACTGCCGGAACTCCCTGACATTCCCGACATTCCTAAACCACCTACGCCTCCTGACATTCCTGGCATTCCTGACATTCCTGATGTCCCTGATATTCCCGATATTCCCGACATTCCCGACATTCCAAGCATACCTTCACTTTCGCTTCCTTCGCTACCTTTGCCTACATCCACCCTTATCCTACGTTCCCCACCGAAGCTTCCCTTGCCTCCCCTTATTCTAGAATTTATCCGCGCTGCAAAGCGAGTCTCGCGTGCGAACCGCAAACTTTTCCTGTTCGAGCGTGGGTTCATTGATGAAGGTGGAATTAAAGATCGAGAGTGGTATCGCCATTTGGGTGTGGCGCCTGGAAAGTGGCTGGGTGAGGTGTTCTATCTTCTTTTTTGGCCTGATGCACTGATTTCGTCATCCTTTCTCCAATAGGATATGGCGCGACCACATTCCCCGCACTCACAGAGGCTATCACAATCGACAAGAACCTGACTGCAGCTATTTTCGAGAGTGGACGACTGGTGAAGTTGTTGGAACAAATGATTGAGAGTTTGAGGGTCTAAACATAAGAAGAATGATTTAATTCGAGTTTTTATTCCCTCAGTAAGTTCTGGGATTTTGTTATATTACTCTATATGCATGGCAGTGTATGATTTATTACTATTGTGACTAGTGCGATGCATGGTGTTTGAGTTGTTATCTGACCTGATTACACTGACCTTCGATTCCATGGACATCCATTGGATGTCTTTCACCAGCTGACCACAAGAGTCTAGGAGGATGATCCCTCCAATTCCCTCGTTGTTATTAACCTTATGCATAAGTTATCTCTCCTATTCATATCTGAGGGAGCTTTTACTCCTCCAGCTGTAGTTCCATTGCGCAACGTGTGAACCAGAATCAATTCATCCCACTATTGGCCTGAGTGAGAAGGCTTCTGCAAGCACAGTGCCAATGGCATATATAGTTCCTCGAACAATCCACTTTTCACTCCTCAATCATGTCTACACCTGCTGCTACCAGAATGCCAAATGGGCAGCATATAGAGACCGATATTCTCATTGTTGGAGCCGGGTTTGGAGGGGTATATACATTATACCATCTCCGAAAGCTAGGCTATTCCGTGAGAATCTTCGAGGCCGCTTCTGATCTTGGTGGTGTCTGGAGGAACAACTGCTATCCAGGTAATCACCTTCCCAACTCCCACTTTGGAATGAAGTTGATATTGATATTCAACCAGGTGCCCGTGTTGATTCTGAGGTACCGATATACGAGTTTTCTCTCGAAGAGCTATGGCGAGAATGGACATGGACCGAAAAATTCCCTGGATACAAGGAGCTACGCCTGTACTTCGACTATGTCGACCGAAAACTGGATATCAGAAAAGACATTGTTTTCAACAAATATGTCGTCAAAGCGGTCTTTGAAACTGATACGGCTCGATGGAAAGTTATGGCAGAGGATGGAACAGTGGTCCATCCGAGATTCCTTGTCCTTTGCATTGGGTTTGCTGCCAAAGCATATGTTCCGGATTTGAAGGGCATTGAATCTTTTCAAGGTATCAGTCATCATACAGCAAAGTGGCCGGAAGAGGGCCTGGATCTGAAAGGAAAGCGTGTCGGGATTATAGGGACTGGCGCGTCTGGGGTTCAGGTGATACAAGAAATTGCCGAGGACGTGGAGCAGCTTACCGTCTTTCAGCGTACGCCAAATTACGCTTTAGCGATGAGGCAATCCAAATTGGACAAATCGGGGCAAGATAAGATGAAAGTTCTGTATCCAGCAATACATAAGCATCGTAGAGAGACTTCATGTAGGTGTTCATTGATTTTGATAGCCTCGAGTACAGTACAGCTGACTGGTCAACGGGAAAGTCGGTTATCGTTACCAACCTTTTCCAAAGAACCTCTTTGATACAACTCCTTCAGAGCGGCTGTTACACTTTGAAGAGCAATGGGCCTTGGGCGGCTTCCACTATCTCATACACAATTACGCCGACATCGGGGTGAATCAAGCTGCTAACGACGAAGTATACGATTTCTGGAAAAACAAAGTGCGGGAACGTCTGCATGATCCCGACGTGCAAGAGAAGCTTGCACCTTCCATCCCACCGCACCCATTCGGTGCTAAGCGCCCGAGTTTGGAGCAAGTATGAGATCCCCTTCGCACATCATATCCACTTCACTAATCTCAAGTACCACATAGAACTATTATGAGATTTACAACAGGCCAAATGTCAAACTTATTGACCTAGGGCAGTCTTCTATTGTCGAGGTAACACCAAACGGCATCTTGACTGCCGACGATATCGAGCATAAACTCGATGTCATAATTTTCGCCACGGGTTTTGATAGTGTGACCGGAGGAATCACTCAGATAGATATTCGTGGTCTTGGAGGAAAAAGTATCAAAGACAAGTGGGCAGAGGGAATTGCTACCAACCTCGGTCTGGCCACGGCCGGTTTTCCCAACATGTTCTTCATGTATGGACCCCAGAGTCCTACAGGTGAGAATCCAATTGTTGCATGCATAAAATCACCTGTAACTAAGTTCGTTCTGCTTGAAACCACAGCTTTCTGGTGCGTAAACATATTCATCAAGAATGACATTAATGAACCCTTGTACCCTTCTGAACCCTCATAAAAAGTAATGGGCCAACATGCATAGTGGGTTCTATTCAGTGGTATACATGGACAATTTCTAAGCCAGCTGATACCAGGAAATTCAAGGAGATTGGATTGTCAACTGCATTGAACATATGATGTACAATGAGCTGACATGCATCAATGCTCAAGAAGAAGCCGAGAAAGAGTGGCGGAGACAAGTTCTCCTGTTGGGAAGTATATCTCTGGTTTCTAAAGCGAAGACGTCCTGGTATCTTGGGAGTAACATACCAGGGAGCTACTTTACATTGAACCTTTACGGAATGGCCCTTCTAATTTTCTTCTTTTATACAGGTAAAGTTGTTGAGCCGTACATGTTCATGGGCGGAGTGCAAAATTATGAAAAGGCGATTCTTCAAGTAGCCAATAAAGGATATGTAGGGTTTGATCTGAGCTGAATGATGTTTCGTACATATTGCTATGTGTACCATTATTCGATGCAATGACTCGTCGAGCCAGATTCGAGCACCGGTGCTCATTATGCTCATGATTCTACGACTGGGTGTCGACGCGCAGCCAGTTTTGCACATACTGGCAAGTCCGACTATATTCCTTCCTCAAGTGTCACTCCCATATGAGTATATAACGGCCACCTGCGTCTAGGAGCCACAAATAGGCACATGAGTGTCGATAGCAGCTAAAATGTAGACACGCACCAATTTTTATGGAGGCTCCCAAGATGATAGTGGTCTACGAAGCATCGTACCCTGAATCTCCAAGCCGTCACCCTCCTTGTACGCAACTACCAATTCCCCAGATGATTGTGATCCGTTGAGATGACCGTCCTCTATTGTCCGTATCCGCGATTCTAGTTCAAAAGATTCCTCCAATGGGGGAGAACTAATTGTCAGCGACATACTAGGCACTGCATGCTCTGATATTGGATATGTTTCGTGCTTTCTCCAAAATAACAGTCGTCGTAGGATATCCTGATATCACAATCAAGTAAGTAGACATTCCAATGGGTCAAATTCTCGCTTCACCTCGTGCGTTCCGAAAACCAACATGACAGCGACAGGGACTGTGGAAGTGGATTATCTAGTATCTATTTCGAAAGGCGTACCGATGCTTACACATTGAAAGAAAAATGTTGAGGATGTTGTAAGCCAGCTCTAATTGAGGTACAGCTTGATCGAGGGATTCATTCGGGTCCGGAGTGAAGACTATCAAAAAGTAACCGAATCCAGCGCTTTGGGCGCATTGTGAGCAAAGAACATTGCAAAGTTAATGAATCTGTACGCACCAGAGGGCCAAAAAGGCACAAACACTGAACAATGAAGCTCGGACGATCATGGAAGTATAATGGCCAAGTTGTGAGGCTCTGAAATCTGACCAGTGTTTTCTCAGCCGAACGTAAATCATACCTGTCCGATTTAAATCAGAGGCATCAATAAGGTAGCGACCAACTTACCGTTGATGATGAGCATTGGGATAACAAAAGCGATAGTTAGCCCAGCAGTCACACGTCCTCTAAGTGTAGCAACGAAGCCTTAAGACAGAAACACTCGGAGACAACAGGATGGTGACCATACGGTATAATTTGGTTGACTGCACAATAAGCCACGACATTGAAACTTGTGTCAGAACGATGGATGAGACTAAGCTGGAAAGCCAGCATTTCAAATGTTATGAAGATATCCCGAAAAGTAAAATAATTACCGCAAGAAACAACGCGACAAGAGTTAGGCCGGTCGCATACGGAAAAACGAGAAGCTATGAGGTTGTGTGTTAATGAAATGTAACATAAATGATAGGAAAGTATGGCACAATTCTCAACCACAGTTCCTGGTAAGGTACAGCATGCAAGTTTAAAGCTGAATACACACTGAAGTAGAGCTGCACGACCCGATTTACCAGTTTCTTGCGTATATATTCCGAATAAACGCACCTGAACTACCAATGTTAGCGTCGCGGCAGTCGCACTGCGGCATCAGAACGTATGTACATGATTTTAATCTTGAGACGCGAATACAGTGTAATCACTCACGAAGGAGAGGATGCGTGTATGAGTGCCGATTGAATCAAGCATAAGTCAAACGGCGGGGATGTATCGTGATAGTGGCCCGAAAAAAAGAGGAGCAAGAACGCTATACTGTAGAGACACCAGATCAAGATGCAGTTGTACCACGTCGCCTGCCTCGATACGGGAGAAAAGTATGCGATGATCAAAGTAGCGACATTCCCGATGAGACCAGCTAGTTGCAGTCCAATGAATACTTTGGTGTAAGCTAAACAGCGCGAATTAGTATAGATATTAGGCCAACTGAACTCACAGCTCACAAGAGGTCGTATCGTACACCAAGTCAGACGTTGGAAGTTGACTGATAGTCATCGCAGGCCAACTTAGAGCCTGAGGATTCACGGACAAGTACTGAACGGAATTGGAGCTGCTCGCGTCCACCAATCGCGTAGCTTCTGGTGTTCCTGTGGTGCTTTCTTATAGACAAGCAGCTACAGGAGATAAGCAGAAAACTGAATGCCAAAAAGACAGGAGAAGAAAAGCCACGCTGACAATCCCAATGAGTTGTCTTATTTATATGATTATCACGGTAATGGCGACAGTCGGACGCTGAAAAAATAAACATGTCAAAACTAACTTCCAGTGAGAAACCGTAGCTGTACTTAGTTTACTTAGTGCACCCCATATTGGATAGAACGTTCGTGGCCTTTCATAGCTCCAGCATAATGCAAAGACTTCCCATTCCTATATATACTTGCGCCAACAGTCAAAACCATACCTAGACGAGATAACATGTCAACTCGATATACTCACACCTGACGGGAACGCTTTTCCCGGCCGAGAAATATATAGGGAAATGAGAAGAGCAATCGCCGATTTCCCCTCAGTGAATAAAATTCTTTCCCATAAGGAAATAATTAGGTTTTACGGACGGGAAATGAGTAAAATATTAACTGTATTTCCCAATTTAGAAATATAGTATTTTTCATCAGATGAAGATTATCTTTCGCCTTTGATAAAGATTATCTTTCGCATTAGATAAAGATTACCTATTACGAAAGATAAAGATAATCTTTCGCGCTAGATAATTTTTAGATTGCGCGCTAGGGAAATGGAAAATTTCCCGGTTCGCGAAACCAAATAGCTTAGCGCCTCTTAGCGCCCACCCAGACATATGAGTGGCACTCACTCTAGTTGACACAGCTCGACACCCATTGGCACTATCTACAGGTTGCAGGGTTAATGAATCAATAGGTTGGTTTTTGCTGAGTTTTTGGTAGAGGTGGCATGCTTAGCCACTCATGTCTTTAGGTGGGCGCTAAGAGGCGCTAAGCTATTTGGTTTCGCGAACCGGGAAATTTTCCATTTCCCTAGCGCGCAATCTAAAAATTATCTAGCGCGAAAGATTATCTTTATCTTTCGTAATAGGTAATCTTTATCTAATGCGAAAGATAATCTTTATCAAAGGCGAAAGATAATCTTCATCTGATGAAAAGTACTATATTTCTAAATTGGGAAATACAGTTAATATTTTACTCATTTCCCGTCCGTAAAACCTAATTATTTCCTTATGGGAAAGAATTTTATTCACTGAGGGGAAATCGGCGATTGCTCTTCTCATTTCCCTATATATTTCTCGGCCGGGAAAAGCGTTCCCGTCAGGTGTGACTTCGTGCTTTAGCTGAACGACATTCGTTGTAGCCAGCTATATGCGCTTCCACTGAGGTCTGTACGGCTATACTGACTGCGAGAAGGAAAGAAATTAAGACGGTGGGACCGAGCGAGATAGTGGCATATGGCACAAGCACAAGTTCATAACCTTGATGAAATTAACGAGGATTAATCTTGAACGCATCTTCAAGACGTGATGTGAGAAAGGTAGAGGACTCCTTTGAATCGAGCAACTCGAAGCGTAATCATGATTTGGAAGGATATCGATAAGCTGGGTAAAATCCGCACAGTGATATTGAATCATATGTAGCCTCGACCTAAGTTTTGCTCTGTTTGAATCTCTTGATTTTATTCCGCCAAGTTGTGGGAGAAGGATTCAACGAAGATGGATGGAATACAAGCTCGGCAGGTCCTTGCACCAGCGGCCGGAGGGATGCGACATTATCCGTCTGCCCAATGGTGTAAAACGTTACAAAAAAAAAGACTAAGTTTCTCTTTATTTCACTTCAAACCACTCCGACATTGAGGCCTCATCAACATCATGGGTGCGTGAATCCAAAGAAATAAGAACCGGACGACTACGTTGTACGTCTACGCCTAATGAATAAATTATGGGCGGAGGTTAAATGAGATTTGTGTCAGGCTCACCTAGGGTCATTTTGAGTGTTCCCTCCTAACCCTCCGTCCCAAGATCGTACTATCCTCTCATTTGCTGCTTCCCTTGGCGTAATTACAGTATCTGTCGAATATCTCGTGCCGTTAGTTTTATGGAATCAGAACAGTACTCAGCCGGGTGGTCCAGAGTACTTGGGCTGACGGTCTCTACAAGCTTTGAAATGAGGACTAGCTGCCTATGTACATAGGCCTACATACGCCTTGGTCAAACTATGTAGAGAGCGAGAGCCTAGAGGCTTATTCTGCCATTTGGCTGTTTATGGATATAATGGTTATGGTAGCAGGGTTGTAAATTTTGGGTTTTCAAATTTGCCGAATTTTCTCGCGCTGTCTACATACTTAGGTGTCACATGTCACCAGTCACTTTTAGTACCGTTCACGATGGTCGATCTCGATTCTTGCCTTTGAAATTCGCTGCTACATTGTGTTTTTGGGCTCTCTTCTCAATGTTGGCACGACCTCTACTGTTGCTGCTATAATTTGCATCTACCGTACGAGGAGTAGTAACGGCCGGTGTTCTTGCTATCCTTATGGCCCAGTCCTCTGTTCAAACACAACTTCGGTCTTTGGATGACAATCATTCTGGTGAGTTTCACGAACGTAGCATGATATCCGAAGCTAAGTCAACCTTTAGTCTCTGCCACCTTGTTTGTAGTCTTCCAGTTGTCTGGCTTCATTGGAACGCTCTCCACTTTGTTCATTGCGTATTTTTCCCCCATCACTCGGCAAGCAACGTGGTACAACTTTCTAGCGTTTTGGATGCTGTACTGCCTGTGGTTTCTCCTCCTTTTCTTCTCCGGCCACTATCGCGACTCCCAGCCATCATTAAAACTGTGTATGTGCCAATCAGCACTAATTCACTCCGCTTCGCCTGCGTGAGTACAGCTCTCAGTTATCATGTATTTCTCCTCATTCTTGTGCGTCTAGTGCGAGTGCTGGGACGCTAGCGTTGGTGTTACAGGTGCGGTGGTACATGTACAAAAATAACTGCAAAACAAATTAGTTTCAATTTTCAGCTCTACTTTAGTGTGCATTCTGCACTTTCACGAGATGGCATAAGATTCCAGAGATTATGGTTGCGTTTGGTAGGACCTTTGTTCATGTATACCTCACTTTGACCTCAACTCTCTTAGGCGTTTGCACTTCCTTATGTAGTAACACTAACTCTAATGACTTCCGTTCTTGTTGTAAGTCCATTCTAAAATATGCCGACCACGCCGATTCCAACCCAATCTGTAGATGAGCAATGCTCCTGGAACTGTTTTCATCGTCTCGCAATATTGCTCTGTTAATCAGCTTATTCCGTGCGCTTCTTTGTTGCTGTCGTTGTTGTTCGTCATTCCTCACATACTTGGCTCTCAGCGGGAGACTCGCTGCTGGCTTCACTGTTGTCTTAATTATACCGATTCTTTTTTTGAATGGTACGTGTTAACGACTTCACCGAGTTTGTTCTGCTTCTGAGCCTGTATCTCTTATCCAATCCAGCGTTGATCTATGTTCGCCTACGAAAGCATTGGTCTGAATTCAGATCGTCACGTCTCCGCAATGCAACTTCCATGATTATCCGTGCGACTATGTTTAGTATATGTGGCGTGTTTGCTTTTTTGTGGGTTTCAGGCTGTCACTATATGTTCAAATTCCTGCTTATCGCAGCTTACTCAGTGTTGGTATCATCTTCTTCACTATAATTTTTCCCAAACGGCCAGGAGAGACTGAAGAAGACGAGGTTGCGCGATTGAGTAAGGAATATGAGGTACTGAACGTCATACTCGGATTATGTGAGCAATGCCTTATATTCCAATATTGTGGTTATCAATTCTGTTTCTTCTTTGCTCAATAGTTCCTGTATTTGTGGTGGTCATTTTTGGAACGCAGCGGGTTTGTGCGCATTAAATTTGGGTGTCCTTCACAGCTCATTGGTTGGTCATAGGACATATTGCGCCGCTTACTCTTTTGGCAAGATCAAACTTCGTCCTCGCGGACCCAAGAATATCCTATCCCTGAGATTTCGCTCGAACTCAGTATATCTCACCCGGGGCAAGGAGAAGGAGACCCTGGGCTCGATTCAGCGCTGCATAGCTCTACTCGAATCGACTATTCGGAAGCACATACTGCCACAGGCCTCGTTGACGATTTCCAAACAAAATAGTCATCACGTCGAGATATCTGACACGACGACACGCGTCCATACTTAGAGGCGTGTGACCATGAATCGTTCAAGCTGGTAGCAGGAAACCTCTGATCTCTCTACATATCCGGATCCTGTATCATTTAGCTTGGAAGTAACGATTATCAGTCTCCGTACGTTTCTGGTGTGCGCACATTTGTATATATATCTGATTATAAATGTTAGTAGGTCCGAAAATACGTCCTTCACTGTTCAGTTAAGCTTATCGCGTATCAAGTCAACATTCCCTTCTGTACTTGAAAGAGTAAATCCTTCATACCCTCCATCCGCAACTTCCTGACAAATCTGCGTGTACTTAGCTGCACCACCGGTATACATCAAAATTTCTACTTTCTTGTTTTTGACGTTGGCCCCAACATACCACGACCGCGCGGTACTGATCAGTCGAGTAGAAGCTTCAGACATGACTTGCTGCCGCCAGGCAACTTCAGCTTCATGGGTGGCCTCAATACGCGTCACATTATGTTCCAACATGGTTTTGATGCAGGATACAATCCAATCCCCTTCAGTCTCCTGTATGCGCACATTAGTTCTGAGCTTGATCCCATCTCGAACACTTACTGCACAAGTAGGCCCGGAACAAACCGCGGTAGGACCTTGCGGACCATACACGAAGAACAGGTTTGGGAATCCAGCAGATGTGAGCCCCAGATATGTGTACACTCCATCTTGCCACTTTTCCTTGATACTCGTGCCGTCGATGCCACGGATATCAATTTGGGTTATTCCTCCCGTGACGCTATCGTAACCTGTTGCAAGAATAAGAGCATCTAATTCGTGCTCTATTCCGTCTGCAGTTTTGACTCCCTTGGGTGTGATCTCAACTACGGGATTGGTCATAATATCCACCAGTTCGACGTTATCTTGATTGTATACGTCGTAATAGCATTGCTCTAAACTAGAACGTTTGGCTCCCAATGCATGCGGAGGAATAGTTGGAGCAAGTTTTTCATGCAAGTCGGGGTTTTTGAGTCTTTCGCGGACTTTTCGTCGCCAAAAAGCATATACCTCCTCGTTTGCTACCCGATCGGTCAAAATATCATTGAAGTTGGCAAATAGAAACGAGAAGCCCCCGCTTTGCCAGAGATCTTCCAAAAGCAAAATACGTTCTTCCGGGGAGGCATCAAAGAAGTTTTTTGGATATCTATCGAAACTAAGGCCAGCTGCGGTACTTTATTGGGATGTTTCACAATCGCAATTGAAGATACCACTCACCAGCAGTTTGACGCCTTCTTCGATATAACATTGGATAAAGTGTCTTTGCTTTATCCTGGCTCACTCTATCCAATTTTTCCTGGCGCATTGGAATGGCCAAATTTGGCGTGCGCTGAAAGACTGTCAACAGATTAGGGCCTTCGTCTGGGGGTAGGCTAGCCAAGGTCTGTATGATCTGCACTCCAGAAGCGCCAGTCCCAATAACTCCAACCCGTTTTCCTTTTATATCTGCGCCGTCACGAGGCCAGCGTGCACTGTGAATTATACCGCCGCTTCCACGAAATGAGGAAAGGTTAGGGAGGTCAGGAATGTATGGCTTAGATCCGAATCCCAAGCATAGACATAGAAATTTTGCTTGGGCAGTCACTCCATTCTCTGTGATAATGATCCACCTATCCTTGCTGGCATTAAAATGCGCACTAGTGACCCTCGTGTCAAAACACACATCCTTCTTCACATCTAGCTTTTTCTCCACATGCTCAAAGTATGAACGCAGCTCCTTCTGACTGGGATAGCGTTCAGACCAGTACCATTCCTTCCACAAATCCTCGGAGGAGAATTCGTACATGGGAACAGGTATATCTACCCGCTGATTAACAATCAGTCATCGAGAGTATGTCAACAAAAGACTTTGGCAGACCGCGCCAGGAAAATTGTGCCAGAACCATACTCCTCCCAGATTTGAACCGGCTTCGAATATTTTTGCGCGAAGGTTGAGGAGGCGATATTTGTGTAGTTGATATATACCTGAGAAACCAGCACCGACGATAAGAACGTCGAGGTCGTAGTCGTAGGTGATTGCGGACAAGGCACCCATTCCAGTTACGAGAATCGAAATTAACTTTTGAGACTTTAAAGCTTTAAGAATACTGTACAGGCGGGTGAGAACAACGCTGAATGTGGTGGGATTAGCCATTCTAATTCCAGCAACTAGATATTTCTGTTTGTCAATGCAATCCTGGTGTTCTCTCAGACCAGTATAGATTATGTGGTCACGATACAGATAGCATATTTATCAATGGAAACCCTTCTCGGGAGCGGAACTGTTTTGCATCTCGTTCCGCAAGGTAGCGCAAGGTCGAATTCGGAAGGACGGGGTGGCGGCCCGTGCGAGCTTTCCTCCACAACTTTGTACTACGATGTCAAAGCTCGGTGATCCTATACAAACATATCAATCAATCCTCTATTAATATCACTGACCAGTCTTCGTCACCGGAAATGCCAACAAGCTGAAGGAAGTTCGGGCGATCCTTTCTGCAGGGAATCAGCCCGTTGAAATCGATTCAAAGAGCTTGGATAGTATGTAATAGACAGTGGACTCGCAGGAACTTAATACCTAATTCTTTTGGATTGTAGTCGATGAAATACAAGGATCTACTCAGGAAGTCTCCAGAGCGAAATGTAAACGTGCAGCGGAACTGGTGCGGTTTTTTCCTGTCTCTAGTACATCGATAAGGCTCATTTCTATTGTAAGCTCGACGGTCCCTGCATCACTGAAGACACTGCGCTCTGTTTTGAGGCCTTAGATGGTCTTCCTGGCCCATACATTAAATATTTTCTCGAAAAGCTTGGCCATGATGGGATCAACAAGATGCTTGTGGGATTTGAGAGTAAGAAAGCTTGGGCATTGTGTACGTTTGCATATTGTGCGGGGCCGAGTAAGTGGTTGTATATCGTACTTCGTAAGGGCTAATTTTTTTCAAGCCTCTGAACCAATATTATTCGAAGGACGCACTGATGGAACTATCGTACCTGCTCGGGGAGCAGCAAAATTTGGTTGGGATCCGGTTTTTGAGCCCAATGGTACTGGGTTGACGTGCGTTCGTTCCGCTTTCTTTATTTCGTTTCACCTGAAAACTCTTGAACAGATATGCAGAAATGGCTTCAGAACAGAAAAACCTCATTTCACATCGGTTCAAAGCACTCGAGAAGCTCAGAGTGTATATTCAGTCGTTGTAAAGATGCCTGTATCATAATCGGTGCTCCATGTGGCCGCCAAAATTGACCCGGGTACCAATAGAATTTCACAAGATCGAGCGCATAAGTTGCGATATGAAACCAAGGCTATCGAGCGGTACAGGAGGTACTGATATTCCCTGGTGGTATCCTCGCGTCACATTGGCGGAAAAAGTTACCACAAGCTCGCATCCAGAATTTATAGTAGATTCCAAATCCGGATCCTGAATTTCACAGTTTACACCTTGCGGTAATACCGTCGCGGTCTCCAAGGCGGAGGTCGAATATGACAACAGCTTCAGAGAAGGAGCTAGAGCGTGGTTCACTGTATTCAGAGTAGGTTTTTCCCGTCTACTCGAATAGAAATTGAAAGCTGACGGTATTCTTCCCCTAGTTATTCATGGCCAAGGTCTGTATTCCTGTAGCTCCCAATACTACTGAAAACATGAAATAGCAATAATAAAGGGGTGGCTTGACCAATTCACGAGGTGTAAGTAGATAAAACTTTATATTACCCTAAATAAGTGGAGGTTGGATGGTAATTGGCTAGTCTGTTGAAGTTGTATTTATCCATCGCACACCTGCGGCCTCAAGGCACACCACTCTGGTTGAAGCCTAATCGCTTTGATCCCTCTCTGAACCATTCGATACCGCACGTCATGCAGCCTAGGTAATGCTTCAGAAATGTTTCCCACTCTATCAAATCCATCTGGAAGTGTATCACCGGTCCAGAAGATTTCTGCTGAACTGGCGGCGCGAGGCCAGACGATAGAGTCAAGATTTTCTGGGCCTGATTGTTCAGTCCAGAGAAGTTGTTCACCTAAATTCGAAACTGAGCTGGAAGACGATATGAGCTAAAGCGTGGAAAGAGCGTACCTCCAAGAACAAGAGATACTTGTGCGGAGGATATATTGGCGAGTGGATTGAAAGTGTATGACTGCGAGGAAGTGAGTACGCAATGAAGGTCGCTGCTGCCTCCATCCAGAAACCACTCACTTCTTGCCAGGTTTTGAAGGGATCGCACCAGCTATTACTGTATGGAGACTTCCAGTAAATCTGGAAGATTATGAACAACAGAAACTCACCCGGTTGGGTCATTTCCTATCCACTCTCCAGCGCCGCAATCCTTGTCAAGAATCTTAATGAGCAAGATACAAAGGCTTCAAGGGGCATTTCTACCAAATAAAAATAATTTGATGGGGCATGCACTATGCGGTAACCCTTCTGTACTACAGCAGCAGCATCATCTGAAGATATCCAAACCCTGATACAGAATGATTCGTTCAGAATATGGTCTGAAATGGATACAGACGTACATTACGATGGTATCGTTTCGGAGCGTCGTGGTGTTGTATTCCAGAACCATTTCTGTTGCATGAATTTCAATCGAAAACTTGAATGTTGATTATCTTTAGTCAATGCTCACCTTCCCAAACAACTGCAGTTTTCCCCAATGCATGTAATGCCCCATGCGTGGTCGAAGTAAAAATGTCCAGTGCCTCGAATAATGTTCTCCCCGACTCATTCAACATCATCTGTGTTGGTCCATCCGCAGCATAGCATGCCGTATCTAGCTCATCTCCTCCGGTAGAAAACATCGTTGATGGGAGAGTCTCGGCGACAGCGGCAAGCACAGCTGCAGTGAAGTTCGCTACACTGGCATCTGCGAGACGAAGTTGCCCTGCGGGAGGCTCGCCAGCGAAAGTGATCCAGTCCGAAAGATAACAAGCTACATATTCCGGATGGGATGCCCCAATGATTGCCGTATGGCCTGGAGTATCTATTTCCTGGAAAAAGATATGGGTTGAATGAACAAAAAGGAGGCTGAACACAGTTTGTACAAACAACTAGGACATCAATGCCTCGTTCTCCGGCATAGGTAACCACGTCTTGAATATCGTTTGGCGTGTAGGATTGATTGGTGGAGTATGCCCCAGCTTGAGCTAGCTCCGGAAATTGGACAACTTGAATAGGCCAACTTTGCGAATCGGTAATGTGCCAATGGAAAGTATTAATCTGAGATAAACGAGTGGGGCTTCTTGATAGGCTAAGGAGGTGTTTCTGTTGAAAGTATGCTTTACCTTCACCAAGTACATAGCATCCAGAGTACGTTTAATGTCTGACACACTGAAGCTAGTGAGAAAGGGTACAAACGGTTAATAGGATTGAATGAATCCGCGGCGATTGACTCACAAGTTTCGAGCAGTATCCAACATAAATCCACGGTAAGCCTGCAGAGGTGTTAATGCTTCTGCCTCCTTTCGGAGAACGAAACCAAATTTACGTATGCAGGAGAATCATTGACGATTGTCAATGGTGCATAATTAGTATATATGGTCCCATCATACGTATACCATAGCTGTTCAAAGGTTGACAACCCACGCAGAAGTCCAAGCGTTGTATTAGCAGACACCACTCCAGCAGAACCGTCCAAGGGCACAGAAAGTGAATAACCCTCGTCCCTTGCATCCAGAGCAACTACAGCCTCGGTCGCAATCGGCTGAGCAGTAGACGCACTTTGTTCAAGGGCGAGCATCAAAGTGCGTAAAGTTTTCGCGCTTCCGAATGCCGTACTATCAGACGACCCCCTGCCTACAGTCAGCCTCCCGAGCTGATCAGTCTGTATAGAATATTTTGTACGAGTTACAGCATCAAGAAGATCTTGGGGTGGGTTGGTGAAATTGATAGAGATGTCGAATGAACCAGAAAGCTTGAGAATCTGATTTCCTGAATCCAGAGAACGGGGTATCGGCCAGATACTGAGGCAACAAGGGATTGCTGAAAGAGCAAGTACTATCGCGGTGATGAACAGAGGCATGTTGAACGAAACTGAGATAAGAGCTTCATGTATAAGTAGATCCTTGAGCTTAGTGGCCACATGTCCTGTCTGTATCTTCTTCTTCTTCTTCTTCTTCTATGCACGTCATCTGAGCAGGAAGGGGACAACAATCTTGATAGTCCGTGCATCACATATAGCACATGGTAAATCAAACCGAGGAAAGCTATATGGTTGGTTCCAATTGATCAAGAAAACAAGGTGCATAAGGCAGCGCACTCAATCAGAGCTGCTCCCAAGCTATGGCATGGATGGAAAGGTTATCAACGCGTCGTTCAGTTAGTACTGGAGAGTGGCAAAGAACGGCAAGCCGAACAGCTGAGCCGACGAAACTCCGACGGAGTCAGTTGATCGTGAGTAGATTGATGTGCAATACTTGCTTCACATTAGAAATTCTTCATACTCCAAATCTGCACTCAGGCTTTCCTTTTGCTACTCCAATATTACATACCCACTATACCGGTTATAGTGCAGGCGACCTATATGTATCGCTACGGAACTCACAGCTCGACCGCGAATAACATAACTTCAAATTTCGTTTGGCCTTCAGACACCTTTTCCTCTTCACCTTACTTCAATGATCGTGGGTTGAACGGAACTGCTCAACCTATAATAGAACGAATACATGTTCGTGCTCTCCATACAATCTGATCATTGCTCATATGCTATGTATTCAAGCCACATTCACGCCCTATAGTATCTTATTACTTTCCAAAAGGCGTCGGCGCGCATCATTATGGGGCGAGTACACGGTAACCTGATCAATTAGATATCACTGCTTATCTGCGCATGAAGGAACGGCATCCAATGAAACCTGCGAGGCTTACACTTACCAATGAGCTAGTTTTTGGCTATGGACTGCACAATCAGATTCATAACATATATGACGTCCGGTCTGCAACGCGAGAAGAACTTTCAGTTTACCATGATGCAGACTACCTAGATTTCCTATCGAGGTCAGACTTACCAGCTTTCATCTCGACAATACCTGAACATGTATGCAATGGCTAGAGTTACTCCAGCAAATCAATCAGAGATGCGGAGTCTTATTGAAAAGTTCAACTGTGGGGAGGATTGTCCCATTTTCGCAGATATGTACGATTTCAGTCGCATGTACGCTGGTGCTTCCTTGGCGGGAGCGCGTAAACTGTGTGCAGGCACGACAGACATAGCCATCAACTGGTCAGGTGGTCTCCATCATGCCAAACGCGGAGAACCCAGTGGTTTCTGTTATGTTAATGATATCGTTCTAGCGATCCTTGAACTTTTGAGGTATGAACATGTGTGCCCCTTCTTTTTATAACACTTATCATCCATTGTCTCAGATACCATCCACGAGTCTTGTATATCGACATCGATATTCACCACGGAGATGGAGTCGAACTTGCATTTTATCAGTCAGACCGTGTTATGACTGTATCATTTCACAAGTACACAGGAGACTTTTTTCCAGGTACAGGGAAATTGGATGACAATGGTTACGGGGCTGGCAAGAATTTTGCCCTCAACGTACCTCTCCTAGACGGAATTGATGATGACATGTATCTGACTATATTCAAAACCATCATTGAAGATACTGTCGCCTCTTTTCGTCCCTCAGCTATCGTTCTTCAATGTGGCGCCGACTCTCTAGGATCTGACCGACTAGGTGCCTTCAACCTCTCTATAGCTGCTCATGGTGAATGTGTGAACTTCGTCCGCGCTTTCAACGTCCCTCTTCTCGTGGTTGGCGGTGGGGGATATACACTGCGAAATGTATGCCGTTGTTGGACATATGAGACATCTGTACTTGTCGGAGTGTCGATACCCAATGAACTCCCTCGGACAGTTTATGATTCTTTCTTCGCCGATTCTCAGTGGAAGCTACATCCTCCTCTTAGTGGGCGTGTCGAAAATCAAAATACCCCCGCCTCATTGCAAAGAATCACAATCAGTATCCGGAATAAACTTCGTTATCTTCAGGGTGCACCAAGCGTTGCAATGCAAGAGATCCCGCCGGATATACAGGGATTTCTCAAAGATGAAGAGCGTTCGCAGGAGGAAATACAAGAGGAGATCAGTACTGCTTCGGCCGGTGAACAGCGTATGGACACATCAATCGCTCGGAATGAGTACTTCGATGGTGACAAGGACGTTGATCACGATTCTTCTCCTCCTACCCCTCCTCCTACACGGGTCTCTCGCGGTTCCGCCAGGAGGGGGCGTGGACGCGGTGGGCGAGGAAGGGCTCGAGGACGAGGCCGTGTGTCCTCGGCGTCCGTTGTTGATGAAGATGATGATAACGACGACGATTCTCCACCACCCCCACGTAAATCGAGCCGAGGTAGAGGTCGAGGTCGAGGTGCGAAGACGCGTGTTGCAGTGCCCGAATTAAAACGAACACCAGATCCACCTACCGAAGCTGAATCTGACACTCCAGGAGCATCTCATGACATATGAAGGACTTGTTGGCGGTCTCTATTCTAATGTACTATTCACATATGTTCTCTTCGAAATTCACACTTAGATATCGATTTACGGTAGTAATAAAGTCACCGACTCTGAAGGAGGAGGTCCTTGTAGGTATGCAACGGTTGTGTTTTGTGAGATCAGATTGCATTGATGCGAGGTTGATGCGTGATGTTGTGGTATTATATGTATCTGAATTGCCGAGTTATTGTATCCAATATGAAATTTCCCGAGTTCATGTATAAATTAGGTTATCTGTATGTCAATTTACATGCACGACTTCGTATCTTATTTGGGTGGTTTGTCTGTCCGTTATAGTGGGCGCACATACTATTTTGTTTATCTTTCTGTCCGTTGGAAGTAACATTACCGGTTTTGTTTATTTATACGGCCGGAATACAGTGTATATTTTATTGGCAGTTGTGGGGATGTCGGGAATTATCGTATTGGTGTTTGCTCTGTTGGTGTGATAGTATGTTGTGAGGTCAGTATAAGAGGTGTTGTTGCATAGCTGTCATTACATATTTGCGTTGTGAGTATGCAGTCATTGTCTGATACTGTTGTATCTTTGAGTGGGCATGTCCCTCTCTGGTTGTTACCAGAACATATCAATAATTGTCGGATTTATTTGAGCAAGCTTTCAACTAAGGAGTTGATCAATAGTAACAGGCGTGTTAAACATAATGTTGCTGTGGATGGTGTCATTGAGGCATTGTTGTGTTTTGCAAGTAGAAGTTTTGTGGTTGGAACAGAAGGTGTTTGTTTATATTCAGAGGTACATAATCAGTGTGTTTTAGAGTTTGGTATGGCTGTTGTTAGTGTGTTGCATGCACATTTTCAAGTGGATATTGGAGGTAGTCGAAGTGATGAAGTGTTGATAGATAGTAAAGTATTGCCGGTGATAATGTCTGTATTTCAGGAATTGTCTGAGTTAGAGTTGGTTAGACTTAGGGAGTGTCTTAAAATTTCTGAAAGAGGATCAGGTTCATCACTCAATTTTTGCTGTTTATCTCCTTATGGATTATCTGAAATGAGATCAAATAATTTGTTCAAGCTGTTGGCCAGATGTTTTCAAAGGGATTACAGGCATTTTTTCAATATGGATGATGTTACACTCTCAGATGAATATTTGTACTCCTATGGTTCAATCTTTGTTGGTATGGATTTAAGAGATATTATATTTCGGTTATTGAATGTATTGGGATATGAGGAGAAAATATTGCATGGTATTGTTTGTGTTATACCTGCAGATTATGTATCTGAATCTAGGAACAATGTATATAGAAAGGAGAAGAGACGAGATATTCGTGTACAGCATGCAAGTGAAGAGTATGATTTATTGCATAAACCTTCCAATGTTTGGCCTCAACCAGTGTCTGTTGATATTCGAATGCAGTGTTTGCGTAATTTCCGTCAAGCAGTGCAATACAGTTCACCATTAACATGTGCCTGTTGTGGATGTGCTGATAAGTTGCGAACAGGTAGTTATAAGCAGCAATCAGAATGGTTTAATTTGTCTATTCTGAAAGTCACAGATCCTCTTATTTTGGCAAATACTTCTCAGTCACGTTTTACTTATATTTGTAAAGATTTGGATGGTCTTTTGTTAGACAAAAGAGGTATCCGTGCTGTTGATATTGATTGTTCTTCATTTGAAATGTATTTTTGTCGTGAGTGTTATAATGCAATGCATCGTATGGCTATGCCTCGTTTGGCTTTGAATAATTATTTATATCGGGGAGAGTTAGTTGACAGTATTGAGAATATTAGTTGGGTAGAGGAAATGGCCTGTGCAATATATCATACAACAGCACATGTTGCCCGTATATATGGGTCATCAAGCTCTGGTGATCCATTACAGCTGCATGGAAATGTATGTGCTCATCCTCTTGATATTTGTTCTATTGCCAAAAGATTACCTTGGAGTCCAGCGGATTTAAATGATTTGATTACTGTAGTATTTGTAGGTAAAGCAAAATTAAATGAGGATGATGTAAAGAAACTTAAGCCATATTTTGTTCGGAGAAATGTTATCCGGTTGTTGTTATGTGATTTGTGTCGCCGTAATCGCTTGTATACAGGGTTGTATACACTAGATGACAGTATGTTGGAATTATATCCTGATAATGATTTGCTTCCAGGATTGCAGGATCGTATTGTTTATGATCATGATAGTTCAGCTGATGAACTTTTCGGAACTGAATCAAATGGTTTTGATGATCATCCTGCAGAGTTATTAGGTGGTTCAAAACAAGATAGTGTATTATTAGAACGTTCAGGTGTATATGATCCAGAGTCACAGGATGTTCCTGCGAGATTTATGACTGCTTCATCAATTCATAATATTGCTCAGTCATTGCCTGTTCCTGGTGCAGATGTTGTATTAAGGTATGATAGGGATCCAATCAATGAATACAATAATCCTGATTTATTTCCTGGTATGTTTCCGACTTTGTTTCCATTGGGAATTGGCGGTTTTGAGGATCATCGGCGCTTTCCTGCAGTTTCTTTGGAAGCTCATGTTGAGTATCTTCTTGATCAGAGTAGTCGTGAGTTTCGGTATCACCATTTTTTTTCTTTTGTTGCTCTGAACTTGATTCAGCGCAGGAAAGCACATCTTCATACTACATTGTGGGTATCATCTAACAAATTTTGTGATATTGCCCCAATGTTGTTGAGTGTTTCTCCAACAGTATTGTTGGATTTGGCAGACAAATTGAAGAATGAAAAAGATAAATCTGATTTTTCTGATGAGGAATTAAATGCTTTGCAGTTGTTGAACAATGTGAACATAATTGCTGCAAAGATACCTGGTTCACAGGCATCAAAGACAGTTACAAGAAATCAAATACGTAGTTATTATGGTTATTTTGGTTTGCCACATTTATTTTTAACACTTAATCCATCTGCAGTTCACAGTCCTGTATTTCAAGTGATGTATGGTGAAGATGGTGTTGATTTAGGCGAACGATATCCATATGTCGTTCATCCACGTAGTGAGCGCGCTTGCCGTGTTGCTAAGGATCCTGTTGCAGCTGCTGATTTTTTTGATTTTATGTATCATACAATCTTTGAGTATTTGTTTGGTTGGGATTTCAAGACAAGCAAAAGCACAGCTGATGGAGGCATTTTTGGTCATCTTCGGGCATTTTTTGGTTGTGCAGAACTTACAGAAAGAGGATGTTTTCATGGTCATTATTTGTTGTTTTTGAGGGGTGGACTGAATCCATCTGAAATTCATCAAAAAATGCATGAAGTCGAAGGTTATTGTTCACAGTTCCTTGCATTTTTTGATAGTATAATACAATATCATTTGCCTAAAGTTGATGATATATTGGTAGAAGGATATGAACCCCGTATTGAAATGCCTCCAGATGTTCCTAGTATTGGTAGTGATAGTGTAACTTTTCTAAATTGGCAAAGACTATTTGAGGATGAACATAAAAAGATTGGGGAACGTTTTCAGCGTCATCAGTGTAGACCAGTGTGTCATAAGGGATATAGTAGCAGCAGTAATTGTAGGTTTGGTTATCCACATGAAGTTATTGAAAGTTCTAGATTTGATGTTAAGGAAAATTCAATAATATTTGCACGTAGAGAAAGTGATGTCAATGGTCACAACCCTGATTTATTAGTATATACTAGGCACAATCACGATATAAAGTGTATATTGTCAGGAAAGGCTGCAAAGGCTGCAATGTTTTATATATCCGATTATATTACCAAAATGCCCTTAAGCACAGATATCTTATTATCAACATTGTCCAAGGCTGTTTCTTCAATCACAGCTGAAGAATTAGATAGTGACCCTATTATCAGTTCAAAAAAACTGTTGCATCGTTGTTTGACACATTTTGGTCGCAAGCAGCAAATACATGCACAACAATGTGCAAGATATTTGCGAAGACTTGGAGATAATATGGTATCACATGAAACAGTAATTTTACCATCTGGTAATTTGATGTTATTTGTGAATCAGTTACATGAGTATAATTTTGATAGCGATAATTTGGATAGCAATAAGAATGAGTTAGATATACAGCTTCTACTTGGATTTAAAGATGGAAAGATGTTTAGTTATAGTCAGATTATGGATTATTGGTACCGTGATACATTGCTTGTTGATATGTGCTTTTATGATTTTATTAGATATGTTTCATTGCATATACAGAGTAGAAGTAAAACCATCAACACTTCTGATACGCGGTTAGGTGTGTTATCACGATACAAACTTATGGTTGGTCATCCCTTGTGTGATACACATGAGTTAATTCGACATACTAATTACAAGCAAGGTGATGTGGGAAAAGAGTTTGTTCCTGTAATGGTTGGAGCAGTACCACCTCGAAAGCATCATAAAGATTATCATTTGTTTGTTATTGCACATTTCAAGCCATTTTCTAATTCCAAGACTTTAGTTGAGGATAGTATTGATGTAGATTTTGAACATTTGATGTTGTCTGATGAACATAAGAGGATACTGTGTAATTGGGAAGAGATACATGAATGTGTTGATCAGCGAGATGCTGAGAGGTTGCGTAAGAGAGCAGATTTTTTAGCTAAGTCAATACATTTGCCTGATAATGTTTATAGTGTTTTGGATGATGATGATGAACTTTCTGTTTTTGTTGTACCTGGTAGTTTGAAAAATCATGATCGAAAGCTTGATAATCAGGAATTGCAGTTGTTGAAAACAGATTTGACATGTGCGGCATGGTTAAAGGAGGCATCAGTTGCAATAAAGGAATCTATTATGAACAATTCAAATAATATTTTGAATTTACCTCTATTGAGTGATATTAGTGTACAGAAATGGATAAATGAAGGAAAGGTAATGGCAGATCGAGTTGCAAGTCTTCGTTATAGTAAACACAATGTATTGGATCAACATTCTCGTCCTGTGGAAAATAATGATTTAGTTGATAATATTGATTTTTATAATATTAAGGGTTTTGGAAGGTTAAATGATGCTGACTGTGAGAAATACACACCAATGCAACTAAAAGCTAAAATTGCTGCAGATTTTCAGTTGAATGATGAACAAATGATTGCATTTGAAATCATTGCATCCATGATTATATTTCGAGAAATATTGAAAATACCAGAGTGGATTGGAAAGCAAGCATTAGTCATGAATTTAACAGGTCCTGGTGGAACTGGAAAGACACATGTTATATGTGCAGTTCAGAAAGTCATGGAATATTATGGAATGGATCATACGTATCAGGCACTTGCACCAACAGGTAATGCAGCATCTTTAGTTAATGGTAAAACTATACATAGTGGTTTGAATATCTCGGTTCGAGAACATAAAAATGGTAGATCAAAGCGGTCTTTAGGTGAATTAAGTGAAAATGTTGCTGTTTTTGCTACTGTTAAAAAAAACAATTCATTGCGTAAAGAATGGAAAGATGTTTGTTTGTTATTGATTGATGAGGTTTCTATGGTTGATTCAATCCTATTGGCTGATATCGATGGTTCTTTGCGTTATGCAAAAGAGAAACCTGATGAATTTTTTGGTGGAATCAATGTTATATTTTGTGGAGATCCTTTTCAATATCCACCTGTCGGAACTCCTCTATATATTCCAATACGATCTTCTGGTAAACAGACAGATGAGGAATTAATGCGTCGCCTAGGCCGTATGGCATGGAAGTCAATAAACACTGTTGTAGAATTACATAAACAAAAACGGATGGAGGGTGATATTGAATATGCAGCAGCTGTAGGGCGTTTGAGATTGCGTCAGTGCAATAATTCAGATGTGGATCTTTTTAATAGCCGTGCAATTAAAACACAAAGTAATCCACATGGTGTGATTTTTGAAAATGAATCACAATATTTTGCATCAATTATTGTGTCAAAAAATTCTATCCGTAGAGCTTTGAATGAATATAAAGCTGCAGCCATATGTAAAGGAATACGGTCACCTACTTTGATTGCAGTAGTTGCACATGATGAAATTCAATATAAAGATAGTGGTGAATCAGGTCTAAAGAGTAAAAAGTTGTTTCCATCTTTTTATGAGCAAGCACAGTTATTGGCAATGGATACATCATCTGGCAAGTTGAGAGCAGGTTTACCTGGTGTGTTGAATTTGTATATTGGAATGCCTGTAATATTGAAGCATGAAAATTTGAATACAGAGCTTGGTATTACAAATGGAGCAAGGGGTTTTTTGAGAAAGTTGGAATTGGTAACTGATAATAATGGTCTTACGTATTGCAAATATGCGTTAGTCGAGTTTCCAGATAGTAAAGTTCAACTTGCAGGTCTACCTAAGGGATATTTCCCAATTAAATCAAGGTCATGGAGATGTAGCACATATATATTTGATAAAGATAGAAAAAAAGTTTTGGTGTCTGTTGTAAGAATGCAATTACCTTTTGAACCATTGTTTGCTCTTACTGGTCAAGGAGCTCAAGGTCATACTTTAGCTGCTATTTTGTGTATGTTACATCTGGGTGGATATGGTGCATATGTTTCTGCATCTAGACCTCGAAGTCGTGAAGGGTTGTTCATTACCCAAAAGGTGACAATAGATGATTTGAATTTCCCTGTTGTACCATATGATCTTTGGTTTGAAGCAAGAAGATTTGAAATAATGGCACATAATACAAAAATTGTTTGGGGATTTGAAGAAGGAATTTTGAAAGATGTACCAGATGCAGAGGGTGAACAGAGGTTGAATTTTTCAAATATACATTATGAGTTTACTGGATATAGTGGTAAGAAACGGAAGCATGCAGATCCTGATTTCAATGAGAAAGTACATAAATCAGTTAAGATAACTGGCAATGAAGTAACTTCCATAGATAAGTCAATATATGTTAATCATATTGTACCGAGGGGACCTTCTTGGGATAGTGGTAACTGGAGTTGCTGTTTTGACACTGCACTGGTTGTATTATATAATTGCTATATATGTATGTCTGATAACAGCCGTAATTTATGGCATAGTCAGTCATCTTCAAAACAGATATTTAAACATTTGGAAGAAATATATGGAAATAATGTAAAGCAAATGTATACATCAGTGTGGAATGTAGTCCGTGATTTGTGGCGAAGTGAAATATTTAGTGTTTTTGGTAGTGGTTATTTGCAACATGGACATGTTCTTTTACCTGTATCAACACTTATTCAGTGTCACTTATGTGATTGGAGTGGTGTATATTTGGAGTTGAATGGTAGATGTAATTTGCATGGTGTTATGCACAGATATATGGGAAGCGTTAAGTGTTATAATTTACTTGCTAAGCAAATGGAACCATTGTATTCACATGAGGCCATAATTAGTTCAACTCAGAGTTATATTGATGTTCTGCACAGTGTGAATTATGTTGATATAAGTAATGATACAGCTTGTGATGCACATTGTGTATCATCATTTGTAGTGCATGATGTCTCCACACAAGTAATTGCATTTGAATTGAATGGTGTGGTTGGCATCATTCCATCTGATGAATTGAATGTACCAGTATATGATACAAGTATATGTTTAAAGTACCGCTTGAATTCAGTGATATATTATGGTGATAATCACTTTACTGCGCGAATCATTAATACATCTGGCATGTGGTTGTATGATGGTCAAGTTAATCAAGGAATATTTGAGCATGATGTATTATTCCATGGTGAAGTTGATATGAATATGATGGAGTTGAATGGGCGGAAAGCACATATATATGTATATGTATTATGTGATTAATGAAAGTGGTTTTATTGTTTCATTGTGTTGAATGCGGCTATGCTTTTCACATACCAATATTATGATCATATGTTATGATATGTCATATGTAGTCATATGTAGTCATTTACTATATGCACATTCCAGTACTTCATTATGTAATACAGTTGTACAATTATGTATATAAACAGGTCATATCCTATACTGGAATCCAACTTGCTTTTCTCTCAATATTATTGCCTCACTAAGACTATAGGCTTTGTTACCCAGGTATGGTGCTAGAGAGTATTCTCACTATGTAACCCTTGCCTGCTCAACAGGTTATGGGCCCCGGATGAACACTTTGATGAGCTCTAGCTTGCAGCACTCTCTGGTCTATTGTTGTCATTGACGCATCTATTTTATTGCTGTCTGTGAGACAGACCTTTATCCGGAATGTTGCCTGTGGCGCTGAAGTCAATAATACACCTAACAGTGCTGATTATGACATTGCCCAAGAGTGCTTGACACTGTAGATGATGGTTTGCTAGACATATGTTGCAGCTTGTCAGTACTGGCAATAACATTCATGCCATTTTGTTTCTATCTGTTGTCTTGAGCATTTATGAATTGTATGCTGACATTTTTTGTTGATCTTATCCAGATTACAATGTCTTTTGCACTTTTTAGTGCTGTTAACACAACCCTCAAAGGTGATAACTACAACACCTGGACCTTTAAAATGGAAGTCTTTCTGCAAGGCACAGGGCTTTGGTCAGCCATTGTCTCTGACCTGCCTGTCAAGCCGTCTCCACTTGGAACGGCAGACCTTGACAGTGTCAAAGTCTACAAATCCTGGAAGGAAATTGACACCAAGGCTGTTGGCAATATCTGCCTCCGCCTTTCTCCGTCAAGGCTGACATAGCTAAGAAGACCTATAAGGTCAAAGGTCTAGGCGCAGTCTTTGATAACTTTGCTGCCACCATGGTTGTCAAGATGTAATACAAGGGAAACCCACTTGCAGCTATGACTGATATTGGATGTTCTTCTCATGTATGGATGATTGGCATCTCTGTCTACCTCGAATTTCTGATTTTTCTATCCAAGCTTCCTTCACATTATTCTGTCATCGTCCAGACTATGTCTCAACTTGGTACACAGGAGCTCAAGCAATTGACACTTGCCAAAGTTCATATGGTAGTTATAAACACTTTCAGCGGAGACACCATTGGCAACTTCCAACCGCAGAACGGGAACAAGTTTTTGAATGTTCATTGCAAGGGAAATGGTCCCAAGTTCTCCCAACAGTAGCAGAAGGTAGAGAATGGGAATGAACACTCCGACAAGAAGAAGCATAAGTGTAGCAGTGGAAAGAACAAAAAGGCTAACAAAAATGCAAACACTGCCCAAGCCGATGCAGACTCTGTGCTATTCAGTCCGGTTGGCAGTACTGTTGACTTTGGTCTGGTACATACCGATCATAATGCTTGTGTTCTGGATGTGTGCAAGCACTCCATTCACCCTCCTTACAATTCTCCTCCTAATGCTACATCACTTTGTCTTCATAAGAAGACAAGGATGGCCATCAATTGTGCCTGTAACATTGGTGTCTGCATGATTGCCAAAATCATTTGCACCCTTGAGCCGACTGGGCATATTTCAGAGCTGGACAGTGGTGATGCACTTTATCCTCTGACAAAGTGCACTCATGCAATGTATCCTGTGGATTATGTTGAGAATGGTACTAAGGCTCCTACACTACCTCCTACACTACCTCCTCCATCTCCTGCTATGGACTTTGAAGTCCCAGGAACTGCTTCCTTTGATCCTGATGAGTTGATGAACTTTAACTTGGATCGGGAGATTTTGGCAATTACTGGACTCATGTACACCATGGGGTCAGTACCCTCCTCTGATCTTGATTATACGAGATGTACTAACACACCTTCATCAGTTGCAGTGGTGAATACATGCAAGTCGGCCTTTGAGCCTGTTCTCTTGTCTGGCTCATATAATTATTATATCAATGTCAAGTATATATCCAATGAACATTTTTGCATACATGATGTTTCATAATCTGTGTGCAAGAAGTGTCAAGGTAAACAGAAAAATTAAACCAAATGGTGGATGAATGACTCTGGTTGTTCTAAACGCACTACCTTCAGGTTGAGTGACTTCATTGAGTATGAAGACCTTGAGGAAAAAGTGCTCATAGCAACTGCAACTACAACTGCCTATGTTACTGGCATTGGAATCGTCTTGATACATTTTAAGGATGTAAGAGGTCACATTGATTCAGCATGAATCACTCCAGTATTCTATATGAAGGAGTTGAGTCATTGCCTTATAGCACAATGACACTTTGTACAAGATGGCAACACAGACAAAGTTGACTTCTGGGACAACGATGGTTGATTACTGTCATTTGAACCAAGAAGTCACAGCAATACAATCTACATTCTGAAAGATTATTTGCCCCAGCTTATAGCTGTAAACTTAGTGATCCACTCAGTGGACTACACTATGATGCATCACCATATGGGTCATCCATCGTGCAAAGCATTCCCCATGAGGAAGATCTCTGTGAGGGTTGTGTGAAGAGAGAAATGACTTTACGTCCATTTCTGCCAACTAATTGTTGGGCATCACGTCCCTTCGAGATTGTTCACTCAGATTTTGAAGAATGTACAAGTATACAATATTTTTCTTAGATGGCTATCCTTCATATGGGTTCTACTCCCACCTGGAAAAGAAGAGCACATCTCTTCTGGCGATAAAGCAATTTATTGCACTGGTCAAAAATTTGTTCAAGACTAATGTCAAGCAATGGATGTCTGACAATGGTGGAGAATATAGATCCAATGCACTTGATCAGTTCTTTAAGAACAAAGGTATCAAAGCATAATGGTCATCTCCTCATATTCACCAACAGAACAGAAGAGCGAAAAGGTTTATCCGGACTAGTATTGAGAAAAGTGAACCACAGCACTTTCAAGACTGTATTCCTGATTCCTGGTGGGAATTCTCTGTTGCAAATGCTGTGAGTGTATATAACCTCACTCATATGTGTTGTCACAAATGGAAGACACTATATGAGATTGTGTACAATAAAGTTTCACATGTAAATCACTTGCGTGTTTTTGGCTATGGCATGTATATCTATCTTCATGAAGAAGTATGGGTAAACAAACAATCGCCCAGGTTGGAACTAATAACATATCTCGGAGTTTCTGATGGTGAACACGGAAATATCTACATGTGCTTGATCAATACCATGTTCACTGCTATGCACACAGTATTTGATGAGAAGTTATTTCCTTGTTGTAAATCCTCATAGCATCATCACTCTATGCGACTATGAGATTGCAATTCTGTTACATTTACTTCTTTTTCATCTTATCTTTTTCCTTATCCTTTGTCTTATCTTCTATCTCCCTTATCCTATATCTTGTCTTATCTTGTCACTTGATCTATTATTCATGCTTACTGATACAACATGCGCTTTTCATTTACTTATATTAAACACAGCAGTCTCACAACACATATACAGCATGACAATTGAGCTTTTATTACTTACACATTGTTTTACTTATGTCCTACTCATGTTTACCACTGACCCAGGGCATTGGGCATTACTAGGGTGGAGGGTTGTTTATTCGTATATAGGCTGTAGTTACTTGCTGTATCTCCTTAGCTTTGATCTTGTCTATCCTGCCTGGTTTAGCCTAAGAACTCTGCTTGTCCCCTTTATCGCTCCACTTTTCTAAGCTTTCTCTGAAGTGTGATACCTGGTGATACCCATCACTAGAACCAGTTGCTGATAGAAGATCAAAGGTACTCTTACTGTCTATCGCACACTACACAATCATATCCCTATCACAGTTATTCCAGCTCACGTTTTCACTGGCCCTTCACGGACTTCTTCTCTCTATTCGAGCAGTGTTGTCTATAGTACAAAGGTGTAACGTTGAGTCTGACACCGTATTGGCAGACAAAGGCGTCAACTGATCACTAATCTTTGTAGAGGGGTCTTTGCGTGCATAACAAGCTCCATTCCTAGACAGGAAGGGTGCATCTGTTTATTAACCGAGAGTGGAAGGCTGTTTCTGTTAAGATCATGTACACTGTGTAACCGTGCCAGGGCCACAAGATGTCTAAGATGGGACAGTAGTGTGTAAGACCTGGGTCAGAATAGGTCTTAGTCTTAGGATAGGTTTGGTATGAGAAGTTTACGTTGTAGCGTGCTAGGAGCAGGCTGGAGCTTGAAGGGAGCTACGGAAACCGCGAACAAGGACGGGAATGACCTAGTAGTGACTGGGACTGAGAGATGTAACCCTTGGAGGGGTTCCTGTAAGGTCCAGGGAGGTCCCTAAGGCGTAAGATAGAGGAGGTGGAGGTACGAAACCTAGTAGCATTGTGTAAGAGGAGTTGTACTCGCTAGAACGTCAACGTGAGATCGAATAGGTCGTATGGAGATTAGGTCTTGAGTGTATAAGCTCCTGAGAAGGTATACGCCCGGAAGGGGAGGTCCTGGGAACTGGGGGTTGGAGGTGGACGTCCTTGAGCATTGGAGGTGGTAACAGAGAAGCGGCAGGTAGTTCGACGTAGGAGGTAGCTTTGATGTTACCTAGACTGAGGTCCCAGAGCTTATGGAGCAATTGGGGAGCTCAAGGAGGTTTTGGGAAGGTTAGCTCACCAAGGCGGTAGGCATTGGGGAGCTTTAGTATTGTTTGAGGGAGCTCGGAGACTCACTCGGGTTGCTTAGACGTGAAGTTAAAGCGTGTATTGGATCGTATAGATGATCGTAGAGACGATAGACAGAGTTGAGAGGACCAGAGATGAAGAAATAGAGAGTAGAGAGAATTCCATATAGGTAGCAGGTACAAAGGGACAGGGACTGGACCTATGTAAAGGGTGTGTGTTCAAAATATACCAAGCTGGGGCTTGGGGACGTATCAGAGCTACTTAAATAGGTACAGGAAGTGAACAAGGGAACATCAGGGGCCATGAGGCGTGTAATCGAGATTAGTACCTTAATGGGGTAGGTGTAGGAGGGCTTCAAACGCGTGTCGGGGGAGGTTTAGGAGCATGCTTGCCCTTAATTTCTTAGGGTCGAGCCCTCGAAAGCTGTTAGTATCGGGAAATACTATTAGTCACCAGAGCAAAAATTTTATATCCCGTTAGCATCGGCATTTGTCCCTTTAGTCATCAGGAAAATTTCGTTGCTTCACCGTAAGCCGAGTACAATTTGAAGAAAAATTTTCGCTGGTCCGTGCGCAGTTTTGCCCTATAAAAGGCCCAGGGTTTTGCCGCTAAGGGCCTAAGTCTCCCAACTTCTAAGTCAATAATGTCTGCTAGCTGCACCATCACTACCACCACCAACACTTCGACCGCCGGACCTTCAAGGCCGCGGCCTGTCCCCCCTCCGCCCGCCGATCCCTCCGTCCATGAGGAAGATCTGGAACATGAGGAAGAGGATGAGGACGAGATAATCCGGAGGGTGCAGGCACGCGTGGAGAGGGTAAGAGCGAGGAAGGCGGCGGAGGCAGCGAAAAAGGCCGCAGAAGAAAAGGCTGCAAGGGCGGCAGCAGAAAAGAAGAAGAGGGTGCAAGAGGTGCAGGAACAGGCCAAACGGGCTCGACAGCAAGAAGAGGAGGTCGCAGAGCGGAGGAGGCTATTGGCCGCTGCGGCAACTGCCAGGAGTCAACGGGGAACCTCCCCCTGCGAGGTGTTGGTTTCGCTGCAGAGACCCGTGGTCGAAATCTCCAAGTATAAGGGCAACGGAAAGGGAAAGGCTAAAGCCCAGGTAAGTCACCTAATCCTATAACTAAGTAGTTCGTTTAACTTCCTCCTGCTAGCCTGTTGACGAAGACCCGGACAATGGCGCACTTATATTCCAGATACATTGGATCACTATTTATACACACAGGATATAGAGTCTGCCCAATTGTCGAATTCCTCCCGGAGTCAAATGTTGCGCCATCAATATTTATGACAGAGGAGTTTTAGAAGGGAGTTCGAAGTTGCTATCTTGTAGAAAGGAGAGATTGGAAGAGGCAGAAGAGAGATTAGAGCACATAGCCTGGCCAGCATCTTTGTCAACATTATCTTCATCATCTGAGATGATGACCTTGGGACTTTTGTCCTGATTCCTCCTTGATAGATATATAGATAGATAGATACACGGCTCTGCCTAAGGTGGGGTCCCACAAGGGAACAGCCGGGCCCAACCACCTCTACTGCAGCAAATGCTCATCCGACACGGGACGGTAGAATGCAGAGAGAGAGGAGGTAGCACAAAGACATATGTAATACAGAACACGAATCAGCCTTCATCAGAGTCCTCATTGTCAGATACAGCCGAAGCGTCTAGATGTTGTTGATCAGCACTTGTATTTAAGTAGTACTACACCAGACCACAACGTTGTGGATAAATTTAGCGGTCGATACAATTAGAGACCAGTCGAAAAAAATGAATGCCTTGAGGTAGTGTAATGCGGTTGCATCGGAGAAAATGGAGTTCACGGGGAGAGGTTGGGATTGTTGCATGGCGGCAATGAGAACATAGAGAGATGATGCTCAGCAGTGAAGGGCATTGGAAAAGGATGTGCTGAGGGATTTCCGGTCGATGATTGTGCACAGTTGATTCCATTGTTCAGCAGTCGTTAGGATGCGAAGCAGTGAGGGAGAGTCTCGAAATAATTGGGGAATGAAGTCCCCACAGAGTAGCTTGGTGATAGTGCGACAATGAGAGTGAATCACGACGGGTGTGATAATGATGAAGCCCAATAATCTGAGCCTTCGCTGGACCTTCCTCCTTTGGTTCCAGACGGTGATGAAGGAGGGACAGTTTGGACCATGAGTAGATGTGGGTTTGAAGCTCGGATTTGATGGAGAAATCAATGGCCTGAGTGAGTTTGTTGATTCGGTCTCCATTAGTGGAGGTAGACGGTGTTTTCCTGGGAGGTGGGCAATAGCATAGTCTAAGTCTGAGAGCCAGCATGATAGTTCCAGGAGGGCGGCCACATCAATGAACTGAATTCCCAGCTATACGTGGTGAAGATAGAAAGGGCCTCAGGTGACGAAATCAAAAATTCTCTAAGTAATTATTTATTCTGACGTAGTCTACATAATCAATCGATCGAACTACTGCCATTAGTTTTGCAAACGGCTGTAAATTAATTGTACTGTGTGACTCTATATCCTGTGTGTATAAATAGTGATCCAATGTATCTGGAATATAAGTGATTTTGGGATGATGTTGCAGTGCTAATTCATAAAAAGGAAAGACACACTCCTGCCAGACTGAAACATCTTTGCTAGCAGCCATTTGGGCCCGGCACTTGTGAGTATAGGAATGTCGTATTCTGCTCCTTGTGACTGCGAGAAGTTATATCCAGCTGTTGGGTATTCTCGAAGTTTAGGATCAGTTGTTGGTCTTAAGGGCAAATCACACTGTGTGGCTGTGCCAGCACATAGTTCTAGCCCTCCATAAGGGTCTGTGTGTTTTGGTTCTAATCTACTTTGATTCAAACCTCCAATTCGGATATACCCATGTCAATACAACTAAAGCACAAATCATGCTGAATCTACATTGATTAAAGGAATATACCAAATTCTTAGAATGATTCAAATTGATTGATTGAAGCTTTTCCCTAGCTTTCAAAGCTTTGTGGAACATTTGACAACGCTACCCCTTGCTATTCAATAAATTCGATAGTAGTGAACTCGATATTGTGTATTAGGTTGGTTGGTTGGAGTGCCCATTTTATTCCATCCTTTCTCTTTTACACAAAAACGAGGCAAGCTTGTTAATGCAGATGGCCAGCTGATCTGGACTGGTGGAAATCCACCCCGTCTTGTCCCATATCTGCACCCATACCAGGACCAGCGAACCTTGTCAATATCCATGCTTACTCTGACACCAGCAGTGGCTATGGCATTGGCCTATGCATCTGCGGTTTTTGGCAGGTGTATTATATCCTCCCAGGATGGAGAGGAAAAAACAAAGAATGGGACATTGGATGGGCAAAAGCAGTCAGATTTTACCTCCTCATACTCATTATCTCCAAAGCTGCTCCCAAGAGCCAGTACAAGGTCTGGGGAGACAATGAAGGAGTCGTTGAAGGATAGTGGAATGGGAGGAGCAGAAACCAAAACACAAATCATATATTCAGATGCGTTTATGAAATAACTACAGTACTAGCAGTCAAAGTTCACATCTGTTCCATTGCCAGTGCAAATATTCTGTGACCCTGGTCATATTCCGGAAAGCCAAAGTGCCCCTTGCAGTGCAGATTTACTAAATGCCTGGATAGCAACCATGAGTGGCAACTATGCAGGAACTTTTGTAAAGAATTATGTTCACAGTCTGCGTGCATGGCACATGATGGATAATTGACAAAACCTCCTTCAACACCATTGTCCAGGGTGCTGAAGACCTTCAAATTGACTGAGCCCGCAGGAAGAAATGTGTATCAATCACCCCAGACTACATCTCAAAACTGTTACAAAACCTCAACCCATTCAACCCCCTCGATGCTGCTTGAAGTGAGTTTTTACTGCACAGCAAGGGTGGTGAGGTCACGGTACCCAACCTCAACAATTTCTCCCCAGACAAGCATGTTAATCCCTTGCATATTTGAAGAGCCACAAATCACAATGGCTTTGAAACCACCATCCTATACATTTCATCTACCAAAAGCAGCCAACTTGAATGCAAAGATCTTTACTATTCCTGACAACTCAGCTCTACAGAGCCAGATTCTTGGTTTTGGAACTACCTCACAATCAACAGGCCCGGCGGTTCAGACTATATATTTTTTTACCTTCATAAAACTTCACGCAGGCCTCTCACAAAACACACGTTCCTGTAATGAATCAACAAAATAGTCAAAAGTCAAGGCCTACCTGTCCTTCAAGGTCACAGCATACACCTTGGCATTACTCTCCAATACTTGCTCCAAGGAGTTTCTTTCAATGCGGTTTGTGTAGTAGACAGGTGGTAGAGTGACGCCTTTTTACTTTACCTTCAAAAGCATGCTGAAATCATGGCACCTTACATACAGCTAGAGCTTCACCAGGAACTAGTTCAGTACACAATGCCTCCAGTACGATGTGAGTGCTCTTCTGCAGCTAGGCTATCCATGTTTGTTGGATGTGTTTGGCACTCCTACACACTGGGAATCGCAGCTGACTGTGTACACATTTCAGCAGAATCTCATTGTGGCTCGGACCCAAAGGCCTCCGACTTCCTCCCAATGTGCTCACTACTCAACCATACAATCCATAGTTTTGATTCACACTTGTACTCTATATACATAGCCTCCAGCAACAGAGATCATCACCAGAGTTCCAATATTGACATTCAATTTTGCTGTTTATTACAATCTATGATGATTTGTTACATTGATCTTCTGGTACACTATTGAATATCCAAAGTCACTACAAATTAGTGAATTCCATACATTTGATTCACATTTTTTTATTTATACAACAGAAGGAGATACATTCTGAAGTGTCCATCCATTTGAAAACATCCATTGTTGATGTCCAACATGTACAGAAGTAAGAGTTGGACACTGAAGTCGAAATTGTATCAATAATGTTTCTTCAATTGAAGTAACCGGTGATAGTGTAAGATGGTGTAGTTGTCGTAAATGTTTACAATGACTGAGGAAATCATCGTACATTTTATCCTATGACAATAATGTCAAAATTGTATTGTAAAAAGTTGGTGGCACTCACAATATTTCTAGGTAACCAATCCCATTTCAGAGATAGGCACTTGACACAGGATATTCTCTCCATAAGAATCCGTACAGCCTCGCTGTCCCAGATAGATACGTTGACATGGAGATTTTCAACAACCAAATCTTTGGGTATGTCTTCATTGGCATATACGGTATGAAAGCAATGGTTCACGATATGGATATCAGTGAGGAGGGTTGATTTTGATGCAATGTATGCAAGAAACCGTACAGGTCCAAAATAGTACCTGATGTTCTTACCAAATGACCAGTGCTTGTTTAAGTTATGTGGCATGCACCCCATGCCATCAGGCAGCGTGAGATCCGTGAGGTTGGGGAATTGATAGAAGAGAGTGAATATACAGTCAATAGTGTCGGAATAGGATGGGGATACATTGGTCCAAAAGGATCGTGAGGCAGACAGTGCTAATTTTTCCACAGTGGTTGGTAATTTTTTTCCTGACCAAATCCATTGTCGACTCATTGTGTTATGCCATGTAATGGACAACGAGATGAGTTTTTGACATGAACATATCATCTCCAGGTCCTGATTCTTGTCGTGCCAACACATCATCTTCAAATACAACTTTTTGATAGGAAGGTTCACATCACTGAAGTCAGTAATGCCTTCGCAACAGCAGCGTTTGAGTTCGAGACTATGAAGATGTCGCAAATTGGACAGATCATTGACAAAGGTGCTCGGTAGAACAGCACCTGCCAATATGACCTCTGTTAAGCGATGGAAAGATGGTAAAAACGTCGATGATCGTCTCCAGGATGCAATCCATCTGCGTCTATGACGAGAATGGACAAAACCCAAAGCAGTATCCGACTTGTGTATTGACCCAAGTCGAATATATTTGATATTTTCGATGACATTTCGGTTAGTCAAGTCCCAGGTCCTTTTCGCGAGAGATAGTTCATTCAAATGATGAAAATATACTGATCGAAATACGATATTTCCGACCATTTTCCGCATGAACTTGCAAATTAGTACCACAGGACGTAAGTCGATATCGTAAACTGTGAAAATATACCACCATACGTCAGCGGGTAAGCGACTGAGTATTGAGTGGAAGCGGAATAAAGTGTTGGTGGCTACGAATGATTTGATGGGTAGCATGGACGATGAGAGTCTACACATGAATGCGAGGCGAATACATATACCAGCAGTGCTCTGTATTTAGTTCCTGATATAGAACTGGAGACTTGATGTTATGTTAATGCTATATGTTCTACAGGATGAATTGGTAGGTATAGTATATTCTCAGGCATGTTATAAGTGGGATATTGATTAAGACACTAAGATCGTACATCGTAGAGTCGACATGAGTGAATCAATGGTATCTTGCAATACATATTGGGAAGCGTAGTCTGCACGTACGTTGGTTCAAAATCGGTACTTGTATTTCGCACGTACATTGGTTCGAAATCGGTAATCGTATTTCGTACGTATGTTAGTTCCGATTTGTACATCGTACGTCGGCGAAGTCCGTGTACATCTATATGATCCATCCTTCGATTTTCAACTACCAATACGACTTATGAAGGCGAAGAATACGGTTTACTCATAGTTCTGTGTCCGATGTACCTTCATACAGCTTTAGTCGTTGCTAGATGGTTTGATATTTGCTTAAATATAGCTGGAATGCAACAGATGATTCGTGTTCTATCTTCTCAATGGCCTTCAACTATTTGCTGTATGTCGACAAACGTTACCGTTGTTTTCACCGATGTACTGAACACTTTTTCATTCTACAAGACCTCTAGAGACGTCCGATAACATAATGGACTGCATACCTTTGCCAGATCTGGTTGCCCTTGGTAAAACTTGTAAACAATCTCGAATCGATGTCACAAAATACAAGGAACGGGTTTTTAGCATTCAACATGCATATCGCAATTTTTTCAGTGTTGAGGAGATTGCAGAGTTTCAAATGTTGCAGGTATGAACTTTGATTTTGAAGGTGATAATTGATTTTAACGTTGTATTTGCTTCTCAGCAATCGATTGGATTATTGGTTTCTGGCTCAATCGCTCTCGAGTTTTTCAATCGAGAAGCTTATGATGGTGACCTGGATGCATTCTGCAACGTCCAGCATTGTAAAGTTGCTGGAGAATGGTTAATGTCTCATGGTTACTTGTACCAGTGCAAAGAAGGTCAAGCTGTTGAATTCATTGACTCCTTCGCGGAAACATCTATCACCTCCACCACCATTGATGCAGATCCAGAGGAGTATCGGTCTAATACAGTCGCCGCAGTTTGGGATTTTGTGAGAAGCTCCTCCAAAATTCAGCTCATTGCTACATGCGATGCACCTTTAGAATGCATCTTTTCGTTCCATTCAAGTTCGTTGGTTATATTATGCGTAATGACTTTGTATACATACTAACGAAGTTTTAGCCTGTGTAATGAATGTCTTGACACATCGAGCGGCATATTGTCTTTTCTCTAAACTCACATTAGAAGACAAGACGACAATGCTCATTGACACTCAACCGCCTTTAACCCAACGAGAAATGTATCCGATTCAGAAGTACAAAAATCGTGGATTTAGCATCATGCACAGGCCTACGTTCAGGCTAATTTGCGATCCGTCGTCCTCGATATCTGTTTTGACCCCGAGATACATAGGTGACAAACATTGTTACCGCATACCGTTTCGTCGACCATATGCTGGCACGGATGCTGTCGACTTTTTGGAGCTGAATAGTTGGACCATGGCTTATGTGACGAATTACAACACAATCAACATAACTGTTCTTGATATACCAGGAGCAGTTGTCAACTGCGTATTTGGACCACAAAATCTTGCTCAGGTTAGAACTCAACTTTCTTCTATAAAGACCCTCATCAGATCAGGCGTATTACGGTACGAAAAAGCCTCGAGAATAAGATACAAGCATATGCTAATTTTATCCTTAGGACTGATGTTGCTATAATGGCGATTCAGATCATTCTTCGAGAGTCAAATCAACGACCGGTCATCGAGAGTTCATTTTGGATTGAATTTCAGAAAATATTCAATTTTATGAACGACCGTGAATGGACGATGAACCCTGCGACTGCTCAACAACTAATAGAGTTGTTGATAGTTGTACGTCACCAGTTCGTCGGGGTAACTCTGGTTAGTATCTGTTATGGATGTTCATATTCTGTGTTGAAGATATCTACTAGGATGATCCTTTCATGAGTGATGATACAAATGATGTTGAGAAGTTGGTGTTAGTACTAAACATTGGACCTCCAAAGACACGCGTTAATCGGGCGAGGATGACTTCGTGGATACGTTCTTTCGCAAATTATGATATAATCATCGTATTGCGTCAAAAGATGTAGAGTAGAGTTACAATGTATCAGTTAAGCCACCGATTTTTTCTTATGTACCATCAATGTATACCTTCAAATCAGTAATGTCTGCATTACCACCTTCTCCGACTGACTTTGAGATAGTGGTCGGACGTGTCTGCTTTGCGTGAGCTTGGAATTGTTTGCGGAGAGGCTTCAGACCATGTGGGACAGCAAAGTGTATATATGTTGAAGATATTCGTCTTATAGAAGTAGAGCAGCTTTTGTAAGCTGGCCTACATGAGCTCAGAGTGTTTGCGGATGAGGAGGTGTTCACATTTTGATTTGAACTCTTTACTGGTTTTCGTGTGCAGGTATCTTTTTATATGGTCTTCTTCGTCTCGCAGACGCTCTTGTTCGTTTCGCAGACGGTGTTCTTCCTCTCTCATGCGGTACTAGGCGACATTGTTAGATGCAAGGAACGTTTAAGAGAGGAAGACCAGTAGACCTTATGGAAGTAGGTTCAGTGTTGTTGGAGGAATCCCATGTCCGCACACAAAGTTCAAGCCACCCTTCTGCGTCACAACAGCGAGGTCGAATTTCCATGATCTCCATGCGTAATAGTGCTTGATAGCAAAGATTTACAGGTTTTAGTCAAAATTTCGAGGGCAGCAGGAGTTACGTTGGTAGTCATATTCTGTTCTTCGACTGCGTACCAGATTGAACCTCTGAGAATGTCACCGTTTTACTTGGTTGGAAAGAGGATTGAACGTGATAAAAATTACCCATCATTGGATACCTTGACACGCTGTATCCAGTTTCCGCCTCCGCTGTACGACGAATTTTGCGTCGTGATTTTACCTGAATGCACGATGACTTGCTTATCTAGAGGATATATTATGGCGCTCCTAATGACGGCGACCTGACTGAGTTACACAAAACATCAACTGTGAAATGTAGACATACGAAACTGGCATGTTCTGAATCGAGAATCTATTGGAATATTTTGCATTTTGTTTCCCGATCCGTGTAGAAGAATTAGGATGAGGTTAATGCTTGCACTAAGCCAAACCGTTCATCGTGTCATACCTATGGCGTGTAATACAGATATTCCTGTCTTTGTACTGGTCCCATGCTTGGTTCCTTCAATACATTGATCTTATATACCCATTTGCAGTTGTGAGCACCGATATATGCTGTGACCACAAGGCGGAGTGGCGCTCCATGAATTTTGGGCAGAGGAGCGTCATTCATGTCCCAAGCAAGGACTTCGGTGGCAGAAGAAGCACGGAGTTTACGCAAAGGTACTGAGACGGCATAGTTGAATACATTATTCTTCCTGGTGAAGGCGAAGAGTAAGATAGACGGTATCGGATGAATGAAAGATGCAAGGTTCCACGTACTTCAGATAAGTTATCTGCGCTGATAAATTCAAGGTGTTCGCATTCGGGAAGGACACCATCGCAAGAGAGTTTAAGAACTTTTTTTGAGGGGAACACCTCGGTAAACCGTTGTCGTTCTGCAATACGAGATTTAGATAATGTTAGCCAACTCAGAGTACATATTTGACCCACATGCGCGTTCGCCTGTGTTACACAGGTCAGCGAACGACCAATCTTTATGGTATGGGTAGCAGTTACTTAGCTCAAGGTGCATTTTGATGACCTGGTCACCTTCACCGGGATATATGTTAATTTCTTCGATGTGTTGCTAGATAGAAATTTTCGGGCTCAAAAGATTTGAAAGGATTGAAGGACTTACAGTGTCGCTGCAATGGACAGTCACTGTAACCTCTGCTTGCCTTCATGTACTGCTCGAGCAAGGGTTTATGGAAATGAGCAAATGAAACTGAGGGAAATTTCTTGGCATCCTTCAAGTCTTTTAATGACATTTTGATAGGTTCGTTAACCAGACCAGCAATCTCGAGCTGGTCAACATCTCTGTTAACATTAGGCAACTCACCATGATTGCAAACACTAAGCAACAGGCTTAACAAGCGTGAATGTACCGAGGTGGATTCGTGCTCACAAATGATATTTGCTATCTGTAAGCTTGCCTTGTAAAAGCTCATTTGTCTTTGTTTCATCGTTGTACGGGAAGTCAAGGAGGTGTAGAAGAAGATCAGGCTTCTCGCGTTGGAACGTATCCCAGCTAAAGTGGACGATGCTTTTCAATCCAAACGCTGTATCTAATGAGCACCGGTTTTGTGGGGGGCAGAGGAACGAATTGAAATTTTGAAATCGGTGTAAATCAGTAAGGACCTTTGAACCTCAAGCCTTATTTTCTGGATACTGCTCCCATTCAACGTATCTATGAATATGTCGCTTATGCGCAGTAAATAGGTGAAGGGAAAGACAAACCCTGTCCGGCCCAGTCGTTCTTCGGGAAAAGAGCTCTTCGTATTGATATTCTGTACTTTGGAGTCAGTCATGATAAGTATAGCTTTGATGGGAGGAGAAGTTATTGTCCATCTATCCCTATGTAGTTATATATATAAATGAGATAGAAGATGCGATCATAGGATACTCTTTATCCTGCTTCGGCTCACTTTCTCCCATATCCCAGGAAATTCCGTTCATCTGTGCATGGGGACGTCAAGAATATATCGCGGGTCCACCTAAACCCCTTCATTAATGCGAGTTCTTCAGCAGCATCAATCCGAAGTCGCCAAGCAATCGTCTAACGTTCAAAACCCTATTGAATGTACAAGCAACCACTGTGTGAACGGGGTTCTTAATTCTTATGCTGCAATTGTGAATATAGGACTCACGATTATTTGATACCATGAGGTTAACGTTCGATGAATCAAAACTTCGGATATCCCTAATGTCCAAACTATTTTTCTGGCCGCGGTCTTAGCTTATCATTCCATTCATGACATATATCTCATCCTCGTTGCAGGCAAATATCTCCTGCCGAGGAATATCTGGACGGAAAGTGGACAGACGACCGCGCAATGGAACTGCTCGAGTAAATTAGTGGTAGAATTTTAAATAGCATCCGTATGTAGCCATACAGATATATCGACCAGAGTAATTATTCTTCTATTCTCCAGGTATGAACCCTTCTAATGAGCCGACGAGTTTGATATTTGCGTGGCATACAGATTTTTAGGATCCTTGGCGTATTCCGGAGCTAGCAAAGGAAAGTGAGCTATGATTGTAGCGAGAATATGGGAACACACACATCGGATAGCCATGTCTTGAATTTTGGCAACGTAGTAAACAGTGATAGCGCCCGCTGCCATGAACGGCCACATGGGCTTGAGGACCCGAAGCCAAGTCATTCAGCACATATTCAAACCCTTGGTGAAAAAAAACTTGCGGGCGTAGGCCATTTGCGATAGCCAAGGAAAGACATGGTACTGCGTATATGAGAGTTGGACCAGAAGAGTGTTCGGGACTCACCGTGACAGTAGAGATCACATGATAACATGAGCGCCAGTCAAGTATTTCGGTACAATCAGGCTCCGATTATCTTCTACTACTACTGGGTATCAAGTGTCAAGATATCGAGTAGTAGAACGTCTAGCTTTGACTTTGGCTTGATGTGTGGTTCTACGGCTTCAAACGTTTCAGCTGGTAATAATAGTGCGTCAGCGCCTGCTGTGAGTTATACTTTCACCGTTTCTCTAGGTTATTCCATGTCCTACCCTACGTGCAATTGTGGGTAATTCGACTGATTCTTTGACCTTAAAAAGTGGCGTCAGTTTTCATTTTTCGATTCCATTCCGGTGAAAGATATACATGATGCAAATAAAACTCCAGAAATATTCAAGGTGCGCGAGGTTAATTTCTTTTACTCAGAGGCTGATCCGGTGACTATGCAGGCTACTCTCGAAATTTCAACAATCACTTCATCCTCCCAGGAATCCTTGTAGCCGATATCTATGGCTCAATTCACCTTTTGGACATCGACTTCGAATCTATAAGCAGCTGGCTAGCTCATGTAGGAGGAAAGGTCACACACATGGTGGAGAAAAAAGGCATTCTGGTTACACTTGGAGTACGAATCCCATTGCATGTATTGCCCGCAATCATATCCACGATCGGCTAGGAGGAGAACACAGCACAGTCACCACTCATAAAGATATGGGACATTGGAAAGAAAGACAGACGAACAACCGCACCCCTTCTTCTGCGCTCAGTTAAAGTTCAACCTAGCAATAGACCACGTCCAGTGAGTAATATATGTTTCTATAGAACTTGACCCTTACGATTGGCAGTCAGACTTATGTCTGGACCAATACCGTACTCTGATTCTTCATCCTCGATATCCTCACAGCGAAAGAGTTCTACCTCGTGGACCTCCCAAGCTCGAAACCCCGTCTCTTTACGATTATACAAAGTTCTTGGTACCAATTTCGACGATGAAGCTACTCGGGAAGCGTTGCAGACACTTTCAGAACTCTATGTCAATAGCAGCTCATCTGGCTCCACCGTAGATGCCAGCTCGAAGGTGAAGGAAACTCCCAAGAGCAATGCACATTTTGATGGCGCGTTGCTCGAAGATGGAGAAGACGAAGACGACGATGAAGAAGAACGCGCTCAATCATCGATTGGAACCTCAAAATTAGTAGAAAACACGCCAGGGGAAGCAGCTGCAAGGGCAAGGAAAAATCTGAAGCGGGATATGGAGCTCAGGCTGGCTGAAGGCAGTCGACATTTTCTGAAAATCTTGAGTGAAGTTGATGAGGTGTGTACTCACTTCCCGATCGCAGTATCGTTATTCATCTACCCAATGTCCTATTCAGACTGGTTGCCCTTCAAAAACACGTTTCGGCAATGCATACAAGCTGTGACGAAGCCGAGAAGCAACTCCAACTTTCAAATGAAGCGAGCAAATCCCTTCTTGAACGAGCAGGTAATCTACGTGAAGAGAGGTGCGTCTTTTTTGTCTCCTCCGAAGTCCTCTACATACTGAGCGCAAGAAAGGCAAGAAGTTGAGGACCGGAAGTCAATTGTCTCCTTGTTCCTTTCACGATTTACACTCACGGAGGAGGAAACGGAGGCGTTGACATCTAGAGATGTACCAGTGGGCAAGCGATTTTTTCAAGCTATGGACAAGACGGAACAGATCCGAGAAGATTGTCGTCTGTTAATGGCCGGCGAAGATGGTCCAACGAGAGCTGGGTAAGCTCGACAAACAATCTCAATTGAGATAACTGATCATAATACCTAGTATCTCCGGCCAGGAAAGACATTATGGCATCTACCGCCTCTCAACTTGAACAAGGCTACGAGAAAATATTTCGTTGGTGTTCCTACGAGTTTCGTCAGGTTGGACGCGATTCTCAGCTTGAAGTGAGCACGATCATGCGGGAGGGCGTCCGTCGCCTACGAAAGAGGCCTGAACTCCTCAAGTACGTTCTTGTCACGGATTTCTGTTCTTCTTTGTCTGACAATCTTCGTCCAGTGAATCACTGGCTGCGCTCTTACTCACCCGTCAAACAACACTGACATCTTCCTTCCTCACTGCCCTTACGCGTGGCGGACCTTCTGGTCTCCCTCGACCTATTGAGCTCCATGCACACGATCCTCTGAGGTATATCGGCGACATGCTTGCATGGGTTCATCAAGCTATTGCCGCTGAACGGGAGTTCCTCGAGGCCTTGTTTAGTATCAAGGAAGACGGTATTTAGGTGTCCACGGTTGCACTCTCTGCAAATCTTTCCGGCTTGGTCATAGGCTTTGGCACCGGCACAGTCCTCTTATGTCGACATCTAGATTAACCATTGGCGTCCTCTGCATCGTTGACTATTGTCCCCAAACCACGAACGATACATGAGTCACCCACTGAATCTATCAGTGAACTAGGCTTCCGTGAACCCATTTTGCGTTCCTTGAGTCATGCTCCGGACGCAGCCCTCAGGTACTCGAGAGAGCGGACAGACCAGACTGACTCCAATCTTTACCTGTTCATCGTGACGACCAATCATGTTCTTGTTCACCAAGCTACTGGACGCGGCACTGGCAGTTCTGCCGTCATGGTGGTAGACGAAATCGGCGCTGGACTAGGCTGTGCGGTGATGAACGAGTCGAATATGATCGTTGCACGCGACGAAGCCATATATATGTGTGCTATTGAAGGCAGGGGAAACGCATTCGATTATGAAGGCAATAAATCCGCTATCCACGTACACTCCTCGTACCTTGTCATTATTTCCCCTCCATTTGTAGCCTCTGCTTTTGCTGCCTCTACTACCGTCTGCAATTTCATTCGCGCCACTGGTGACGATATATCCGAGATTAGCAAGGTTCGTTGTGCATCATTCGATACGTCCATTTATTGACTGTATCTGGACAGGTCACTGTGTTCGATCACGCCAATAAATTCGTTGCGTACAGTGGAACCTTCTCACAAGGCGTTCGTAAGATTTTTAGCGCACCTTGAGGTGATGTGTACATTTTGTGCAACAACGGAGAAGTACCTATGCTGCAAAGTCATGTAGTCCTGCTTCACTGATTATATCTTTCTAGCTGACCCATCTTATCGAGAAATCTACTTCGGCCAAACTGGATATGCTGTACAAAAGGTCGTTATACGGTCTCGCCTTGAACCTTGCTAAGACAAAGAATGTTGATGATAGCCATGTCGAGGATATTCACCGACAGTATGGTGACCATCTGTATCCTTCCAAGAATGACTACGATGGTGCAATGACCCAGTACGTGAAGACACTAGGTTGGGTTCAACCTAGGTACGTGATAAGGAAGGTAGCATGTTTTGGAAGGTCTGCTGTATTTTACTAAGGGGGGACATCTAGTTCCTGGATTCCCAACGGATATACAATCTGGTAACATACCTGCAAGAACTTCACACTCAAGGTCTTGCCAACTCAGTTCAGACCACTCTTCTGCTGAACACTTACACAAAATTAAAGGATGTGTCGAAACTGGATAGCTTCATCAAGACCGAATCAAAGTATTCAAGAGAGAGGAATCGATTGCCTCAGATGAACTGCCTTTCAAACTCGATAATGCGATATGTTTCTGTAGGCAAGCCGGTTACTTCGAGCACGCTGGCTATCTTGCTAAGAAGTACGAGCGTCACGAAGATTACTTGAGCATACAAATAGAAGACGCTGGCAAATATTCGGAGGCATTGCTTTATCTTAGGAAGTTGGTAATGGATGATGTATGTTGCACTACTCCTTCAGTTGGTTATCCATTATCATTCGTGCATGGCCATTTTTGTTTAGGCTGAAGGGAGCTTGGCCCGCTATGGTAGAGCTGTACGGAGTAACCTTCCGCAAGAAGCTATAGAACTGCTCATTGAATTAGTGCTGTGTCGAAGTCCGCACTTGGCGGTGCTTCCTACCTTTCGTTTCTTACTCTCCATCGCAATTCCATTGCAAGGCATGCATCAGAGAATGTCACTGTTGCTGCCTTGTCAGTCAAAACCGTACGAGTCGGAGATACACAAGACGTAGCGGCAGCTTGAATAGCGATGGTGCCTCAGGCACTCCACGAGGTATCTCGTCTTCTCCCACTACTTTATCGATGATATTAGGTATCGCACTGACGTCTGCGCGTCTACCTAATTTGACACTATCGAAACGGCCAAGTCCGCGCTTATACTTTGCGCACTTTGTAGACCACATGGCACATTTGTGGTTTTTTTGGAAACTGTTGCGTTGAGAAGATGAGGACAGTGTCAGTGAGAATTTTCAAAAGGAAATGTCTGATCCAAGCCGGTTGAGCACGACGCCTGACATCGACGATGAGGAAGATCGGCACAATCAAGTAGCTGTTTGGAATACATTACTGGAATTTTACCTCACCCTTCCAGGAATATCCTCTTCTCTCGGATCTTCAGTGCCTCAGGATGAGGTAGTTTTGAAGGAGAAAGCCCTCCGAGTCTTTCGCAGTGAAACAATGCTCTACGATACCACGCATGCCCTTTTTTTAATGCTTGAGCCGAGAATATATCAAGGGTTTAGTCCTTCTTTGAGAGATATGGGAATGTCCGAAGACGTTTTGCGGATCTGGATGGAACGTAACAAAGAGCGTGCCACGTAAGTACTGAAGCATCTTCAGCTATACGGTCCAAAGCATCCACATCTTTATACCCTAGTACTTCGATTTTTTGATTTCATCCCCAGTGCTCTTTTTTTCGCCACATGGACGACGTGAAAGAGATACTACAGCATTGCCACCGTTCGGCATTGTAGAAGTGTTGAGTCGCAACGAGTTCGCAAGTGTTGGTCTGTTCAAGGAATGGTTCATCGACCGCATAAGTCGGGAGCGGGGTGAGATATAAGCTGTCAGTTTCCTCTTTCTATCATGTACATGACCAGGTCACTGATGTATAGATTACTGCTGTAGGAATGGGAACGGGTTAGCTCGTACAGAATGGAAACAGTCGCAAAGTTCAATCAAGTTCAGCAGCTTTTTGATTCAGAGCAGCCGAGGGTTTTTCATGTTACTCGTTGCTCTGCTTGTGGTGGGCAACTGGATCTGCGCAGTATTCATTTTATGTGTAACCACATCTATCATCAAAGGTGTGTTCCCGCGTGTCCTCCTTGATTCTCGCTGATATCTTTTATTTCAGCTGCCTACCCGACAACGAGACCAGATGCCCTGACTGCGCTCGGACATACGCTGTATACGAGAGATACGGAGGAATAATGAACATCTGGCGGATCATCATGATTTTTTTCTTTTCCAAGTACAGGAAGGAGGGTTCAAAGCTCTCGCGAATGCTTTCAGTCGAGGACTGTTCAACCAATCTCGATTAGACTACGTTGTTGTCTAGACAATATCGTAGCTCAGTTCAGAGTACGTTTTGTTCAGAACGCTTCTAACAATGAATCTCTTCATATGGCATCCTTCTTGTCGGAAATATGCATGCAGGCGCTCATTGAGAAGGCGCGTAAGTGACTCTACGATGGCCTATGATAATATCCAACGTTGAGTCACGTATGAATGGAGGCGCAAAGGGAGGGCTCATAGATATCAAAATGATTGGTTTCATACCTTCTATCTAACACCGCTCGAACGTGTGCGCGTTAAAATGTTGATAATGTGCAATTAATGGTGGACGGCACCGGCGCTTAGACCAAGTCATTCGAAGCTGCATCAGTGTCCGACACACTAACCAAAACCAGTGGCAATGTCTACTGCAAGAACTGAATGTCAAAAACGACCTTTGCTAACAGCATTCTCGATCCGGACCCTAGGGATGTGGTTTCGTTCGAAGAAAGAACTTAGATAACTAGAATTAGCTTCATTGTGGGTGTGATTGCATATATCGTTGATACAGTGTCTGAAGGATTACCGACAGATCAGTGGGACTTTTAGCAAGATAAATCGAGTCCCTGATGCGTACTTGCCTCTGTTTAGCCCGTCATTACTCATTGACGGTGGTAAGGTATAGCTTCCTTGTGATATACGATCCACGACGTGACGATAGCGTTGGAAGGCGTTGATTGGCTTCCCATACTTCGTTGAGCTTGTCAATATTGACAAGTGCTATCGAGGAAATAGAAGGAGGCATGACTAGATCAACACATTGATCCCGATATGATGAGGATAAATTTGGATAAATATTAATTAATCAGTGGTGCGTTGGTTTTCCCACTTCGAAATGACCAGAACTAACGGTTGGTAACTCATTAATTTGTGAGCGAAGAGCCTCAAAGGCTTACAAAAGCTTGTATTCATCATGGAAAATCGATACGTCAACTGAAATAAAACAGGACAAGCAGGAGTATGATAATATACGGTTGGTTGAATTAGAATATGGTAGTAACGTAGTATAGACCATATTAAGAACTAAATGAATCTGCCGACTTTCATTACATATAAAGATTAATTCAAACATGTAATCTCGATTTAAAGTGAATCTATCTAAATATACATAACATATGTTTATGCATATGATATAAGACCTGCCCAAATACTTATCTTACAATCTTTTGCAGCCTCCTCATGGAAGAAAATCCTCACCTTGCGGTTGGTTATGATTATGAAGGATCTATACAGTCAATGCAAGGTAAGGCTAAAAATATCATCTATGTTTCTCATTCACATAATAAATACAATACACAGTCTCATCAAGAAATGAAACAGGATATTTGCTATTGCCACAGTCATTTGAGCGAACATGTAAGTGTTGGCAATTAATTATAACATGTTTGTGAAAATTTACTTGATATGTTAATTAGCTGGAAATGTGGCAACGAATTCAAGTCAAGAACTGACATCTATTTCTGATGATAACAATGTTACCGGAAATAATCATGATATTGATGTTCAGCACTTGCAAGTCCTAAGAAATGCAACAAACTCTGAAATAAAGTCATTGTCTGATGATTCAACAAGCCTTACTGATTCTGGTATGTCAGGTAATATCAATCCATTTACATTACTAATTATACTGTTCAGATGTTACAAACACATATCCAGATTTGTACTTAACTGCATTTGCCTCCAGTGACATGACCACTACTACTGTCAACAACAACAATGCCGACCATAACAATTGTTCAAGTTTGACTAATTTATATGATGCAGATTTAATATGTCCAATGTAAGTTTCCTTCATAGCTGTATATATTGCAAATATTCATTATCATTCTAAACATATTCAGTTGCCAAGACATATTGAAAGTATTGTTAGTTTTTGATTGAACAATATTTTGATATGTGCTACAGTATCTCAGCTCAGTTACTCAATCCATGTGGCCACACAATTTGTGGTCCATGTGCCGATCAATGGTTATTTGATCAAGTAAGTTATATACAAAATTCCATTCTTATTCATTTATTGTTGTTTGAAATTGATAGGGCGCTGAAACTTGTCCTACTTGCCGGAGGAAAACAAATTATCTGCGTCCTTTGATACCAAATATCACAGTGAATAACTTTGTTGAAAGTTATATTCAAATTTGTGCCCTCACTGGTGATCGAGATTGGCAGAGTAATGGAAGTAAACTCATTGATTGGTTAGAAAGAATAAAGTAAGTCATACATGAAGCAAATACAGCATCTGACGCATGCAAACAACAATTTTAGCCAATGGAAAGCAGTATCTGAATAGATATATGTGATAATATGACTGGATGGTAAATTTGCAAGTGGGAAGGGGCAAACCAATATGTTACTCAATAGTATTATTACATGTAGCATATACAATGGTCATGATTGGGGAAAAGGCTGCAAGCAGCAGGTGCCAAACACTTCATGAAAGTGGTGGGCAACCACCATTTCGATGAACTAGTGCATCTTCTAAGAATAAGTATCAGGCTTCAGTAGAGCATCTGAAAGCTTACCCTTAGAGTAAGTATTGAATTTGGAGGGAATAGCTATAATTCAACCATTATGACAAGTCTATTTGCAGGAAAATGAACTAGGTAACCCATCCATAACTCATCTGTAAAACATGGATATTTGGCTAAGGGTTGAGAGCAGATACCATTACCAAAAGTAATGAGAGCAGGCTACAATGAGTGCTCTCACTAATGGAAAATGTTCTGTGATAATAAGCATGAATCATTTCGCAGATTCCATATTGATATATATGGTTCCGTGGGAAGTGTGATAAGGCCAACTCACCTCCAACAAAATCAAACAAAACATTTTTGTAAGGAGTCTCACCTAAAGGTTCTGCAATGAAGAAGGATAAATACCACTATTTATAAAGAGGACAATAGAAGTATTATATAAGTGTGCATATGCAATAATGATCAAAAATTTGTACAATAAGAATCACTGCTTGTTTGTGCAGTAGATTTAATGAGGCAGAAGCAGGCTACATTATGTAATGACTGCATTAATTAAAAACTGATGTTGAGAAATGATGTTGTCACAAAGTGACAGAGGTGGAGTGACTAAATCGGATAGCAAAGTGAAACATGAGACAGAGGAACTAAGTGAAGTGTAGTTGTCAATACCATGGCTCCATGCTTGGCTTTCCAAGATTTGCAGTTGATTGTAATCATTGTATTGTTGTTTTTTTCTGATTACACTTACATTGTTGATTAGTGTATATCTGTTGTCTTATTCTGCACATTGAAGGCAGTAAATGTATAAACACTAGTAATTAGTATATCACTCTGTCCTCATATGTCAATTAGTTAGTATAAATACTCCTGTGCTGTACATTAGTTCTTCAGTTTCACTATCAACTATGATCAGTGCTATAGCCTTGCTGTTTGTAAGGCTCATTACCTTAGACACTCTTTGTGTTGACCTTCAAACTGATAAGTCTTTGGTCTGTTTGTCATTAACACTGTAGTTGGCTTGTGTCACACCCTGACCCATTTCCCGCTTCTATCAAGCTTGTGAGAAACCTCCATTGCCTTTCCATGCCCCAAGAATCCTTTACACTACCTTCTCATACCTCATTCTATTGTTCAATACTCACAACAGCTTCTAAGATGCCAGTGTCACTGTCACCTTAAGGACTAGGGACCTTTGCAACTACATGAAACATCCTATTCCCATTAGTAACTAGTCTTAATTGCTGACTTTACATGCATCAGATTATCAATTTTCCTTTGTTAAGTACCCTGTAGCTATTTGAGCAGTCTGGTAGTGTCCTAAATGTCAGCATGGTATATTTTGATCACTCACCCTTTAACATAGGTCCAGTCCCTGTCCCTTTGTACTTGCTAACTATAAGGACTTTCCTCTACTGTTTGTTTCTTGCCTCTACAATCATCTACATGATACAATATATTCTTTTACACTATGTTCAAGTATCTTAAGTAATTACCCAACCTCTGCAAATGTCCGTTGTTTGAAGCTAATTTTCTTTACACCTGCCTTAAGCTCCCTACTTGCTCCACAAATATTGAGACATTAATTCTAAGTGATGTTGAAGTTCTACATGACTTCTAACCACATATTGCTTTTCCATTACCACCTCCACTATTTGGAAACACCAACCACAACTGCCTCTTGTTCCGGAATCTCCTTTCCAGGCTTTTATTTCCCATTAGGAGCTCCTACTCCTACAACTCCTGTTTCCTAGTAACTCTAATGATCCTATGTTGATGTTTGAACGATTCATAGCACTCAATCTGCTCAATGCTTACCAGCTCACAAGTCTATTAACCCACGCTGGCTGTTGTCTTAGGGATCTCTCTGGAAGTTCCAGAAATTACCTTAAGGGTTACACTTCACATTCTCCTGCTTTTAGTAAGTCATTGCAGTTATTTGTCACAGTTCCCATAGCTCCTTTTCAGCTTCACCTTGCTCCTAGCACTCTACAATGTAGACTATCTATACCACCTCTACCAATAAGACCAATTCTGACCCAGGTGTTGCATTATACCAAGCTCTCCCATTAACAAATAGACTTGTTGTGACAAAATGTCCATAATGTCAACAAAATGACCTTCTACTTCCAAAGCTGAAACCAACATACAAAAAAGTGCTTCATCTAATGGAAACACAACACATGCCCACAAATTCAATCAAACCACCAGTTCAGTTGCCATTATGGTAGTAGCTGGTCAATGACTTCTCCTCGACTCTGTTCTAAAACAGTCATTTGGGGATGAAACCTCTAACAAAGTGGGAACTTCAGAAGGGCATTATCCAGTGGCTGGGGAACAGACATTGGAACAGCTTGTCATAAAGTATGCAACCCCTATTATTTTGTTGGAGTTGACCCATGTGCCTTGATGCACAGTATGCCAATACCCACCCATTTCCTTTTCCGTGTTGACCACTACCTTATCTTTGACTCCTATATGCCATCCAGTTCATTACTTATGTCTTGTATTATCATAGAATACCTCATTTGTTTCACCCACCTCGTTGTATAAGTGAGGTATATCTTTTCTATTTACTTACTTCATTATTCTTACTTACATGTCTCTCATAGTTCTTACATTTGTTCTTGGGCTGTAGGGTACTAAGAGACTCTAATATAGTTGTTTCACTCACCTTGCTATACAACTGAGTCCTTACATTCATTCTCTGGCTTTTAGGTTATGGGCCCCATAGCTGCTAAATCAGTCACAAGAGAATACAGCAAGTAAACAACTCACATTGAGCACACAGAACATACTGTAAACACACACACTTAATCTACACATCAACAAATTACCTATGTTATCAAGCATACCATTCATGTATGTTCTTCCTGTAGAACAACAGTTTGCAGGGATGAATCTAGCATCATGGAAACTACAGCTTAAAATTTTACTCACTGTGAAGGGACTGTAGGGTTATATTGATGGATCGATCCCTCGCCCAAGTCCTCCACAGACAACACTGAACAATTGTCAATGATGATGTATCTCTTTTTCTTGAACAAGTCCTTCTTGACTGCCGAGAGAGTGAGGTGTGTTCATCCGATGTCTTTTGTGGAAATCTCGGTGGGAAAAGCAACCAAAAAGTGCTGCAAATACTTCATATCTTTGAATAACGTCGCAATTGCTTGAATAACCATTGTTTTGCCCATTCCCGAGGGTTCATGGATTAGTACTAACAGCTGTTTCTCAGGTTCCCCTGTGAGGTATGATCGTACACTTGCCTTCAGCAAGTCTTTTACATGTTGTTGCTTCTTGTTCGGCTGCGTGCGTGCTTTGGCAGAACCGGCGTTAATTGCATGCACATGTACTTGATGTTAGTACTCACCTTTGTTAACGTCCTGGAATTAACGTGGTATGGTATGACAACGTTACTGAGGTGTAGTTGTATGCTTTTCAAATATGTTCAGTAACACCACATCCTTTATCTGGTTCAGTTGTACTTCCTTCCTCAAACCAGTGTTCAAATCCTCTGCTTCCTGCGCACAGTATCACATTTTCCAAAGGACATCCACTGCGTTTCAGCAGCTCTGATATTCTGCAGTGGTGGGAGTGCCTGACCTTGTCTAGCAGCAAAATTGAAAACAGTCTGATTTACAGATTCTGCGTTCATTGTAAAGGTTTTGGATACATCATTAACAGGGGGTGTTTACTTATCGGGCCATTGATCACAATTTTGATCAAAACATCGTGGGAATTACAGGAAACAATCTGCTGTCGTATTATACCCCACTCAGAGCCCACTCTTTCTACCGTCTGTCTTCCATGGTGCACTGCTCAATAAAGCGTAGAAGCCTGACTACGTGAATCATCGCCATCCATCATGTAGTCCGAATTCATCCAGGGAGCTACTTTCAATCTGTTCATCATGTATTGTTTACAAGACTCTGTACAACACTTCGGACATTTCTACAATTTTACTTTGTCATTTGCTGTCATTGTAATCACATGTTAGGTTCTTCTTTTCAATGATTACCAAATTTCTACTTACAACTACTTCATGTACCTCCAACCTTCATTCTACCACCTTTCTGTGTGCACAGTGTTGAAATCAAGCTGCTCATCTTCCTCCCTCAGGGACGCCAATGGATGCATTACAAAGTGTTTCTCCTCAAACCCATGCAGTAACCTTATTGTGCCACAACCACGACTATGCCATAGTGCGACATATGCGCTGAACGGATTGATATCTGGACCTCTGCACGGTTTCTCCAAGTCCACAATGATGTACTCCAGTGTCTGGCCCTGCCCTTTGTAGTCAGTGAATGCATAGCCCAGTGTCAAAGCTACTTGTCTTTGGTTTACCGTTCTTCTTGACCTGTCCGGCAAAACGATAGTGAATGACGCTTCAGTTGGTATGATTGGAAGAAGGCCATCTTCAATGCTTTCTATCTTCACATTTGTCTTTCCACTGGGACAAAAGAACACAGCAATACCATTGCTTTCATGCTGATTGCGACCTCAACCCTATGTGTGAGATTACCAGTGTGTTTTATGGTCTTCTTTGCTATGCTCATGCACTGGTTAGTCAACAAAGGGGAACCTTTTGCTGTGTTTTTAGCTGGGCAGGAGTACAACCAAGTCTTATTTACTGCACAATGCTGATGTATGGCACTCGCATTCCACCTTTTCCTTGCCAAATTATGCGGTGTAATCAACACTGCATTGCTCCACTCTGGGCCTTGGAAGTCTGGTTTGGGGTTGTCTAGTATGTTGAGACGCAGGCCATGAAGAACTTCAATGTCTTCTCTGGTACAAGACCCCGTCCTCAATCAATTCAGTAATTCCTGCCATCATTTGTCACGTACCCTCATCTGCTGTCGAAGTGTCACAACCTTGTCGAAGCAACTGTAAATTTCTTGCCCTTTTTGTGCATGTTTACCTGTACACTTGGGATGGTATAATGCTGCTTCACCATTTGCCACAGGTGGGAATTGATGGAAATCCCCACATAGTATCACATTTATTCCACCAAAATACAGTCCTTCACCAGGTTTGTTGAGCTTGCTACGAATGTGTGTGACAATATCACTAAGGTTAGCCAACAGATCTTTTGTTGCCATCGAAACCTTATTAATGATCAAGTACTCCACTGGTCCTATGTTGGCCACCCTTTCCTGTGCAGTGTACACCGATCCTTCTACCCAGTTCTCACCTTGCGGCCCTCCAATTGACAGACCTGCCCAGGTATGGACTGTCCAACTGGATATCAATGTCGCCGCGACACCCAAAGTAGTGGTCTTTGCTAGTTGAGGTTCAAGATCCATGGTTTTGAAGGTTTCCGTTACTGCATTAATTGCAACGGTTTTCCCCGTGCTTCCCGGTCCTTGAAGGATCATCAACATCTGTGTTGGTTTCAATCCGCGAATTGTGACATGTAAATGGTCTTCCATGATATCATGAAACAACTTTTGCTCCGTATTCAGCATATCACATAGTCGCGGTTCACCCTCCCCTGTGGATGGAGTATCCGTAACTGGTTCAACTTCTGGCAACGAAGTATGGCCACTGACACTGCCAATATCATCCATGTTGTCATTTACAACTACCATGTCTTTCACTGCATATTCCTTTAGCACATCCACCCACTCTTCATATTGCACTTTGTCCAGTGCAGTACATCTCTTTGCCAATGGCACTGAGGGGTCAAACTGATACTGCCTTTGAAAGATCCCAGCATCGAATGCATGTTCCATTGTGGTCACTCTGAACCACTCTTCATGCCCTTTCTCCATATGCTGAGCCCCCAATATATCCTCCTGTCAAGTCCGTGCCGCGGGCCTCCATTCCGCCGCTCGGGATTCCGTAGATCCATTCCTTATTGTAATCTCTCCCTATTGTTCTTTCTCGCTACACATACCCTTTCATTCTAGTCTCTCATTATTGTCTTTTACTCTTTCGTTCTAGTCTCTCCTTATTGTCTTTTACTCTACCCTGCAGGTACTACTCGTATAGCTCCTAGTAGTTAGTCTGGCGCTCCGCACCGCCGCGCCGTTCTGTAGATATAAATACTGCCTGTACGCTACTGTAGTTCCTCAGTTTAATTATCGACTTAGATTCCCTCCTTAACTCTGTGCTCCTCTAAGTCTTCAGGCTCTCCGCCTTGAAGTACTCTCTACTATAACCTCAGGACTTAGACGTTCTCTGGTTCGCTCCTCGTCACCGGCGATTCCGCCGCTCTGACCTGGCTGCTACTTAGCTCCTCTCTCTCTACTCTTGATCTCCGGGGACTAATGGCGTAACGGCGGTGTTGTTAATAACTTCACTACTGTCCCACTCGTCTTCCGCACTTAGACACCTTGTGGCTTTGGCACGGTTACACGGTGTACATGATCTTAACAGTATAATTAAACTCAATCCGTTAACATCGTACTGACATATCATTTTTTATGCCTCCAAAAACTCGAGCTCAATTTAGAGCTAACTCCGAAGAAAACACTTTCTTCACCACAGCCCAATCATTTGCCCCTTTCTCCGACTCTATCTCTGCCATCGGTCAACCACGTCGCCGTAATCGCGGTTTCGGTCCAGCCACAGTTCCTACTACGTCGACTCTTCCTGAAGCCATGGAAGAAGAACAACAATTTGAGTACAGCACCTTGTACACTGGTGATGGACAACCTGTCCAAGTCTTGACCCCTCGCCGTGGACAACCCCCCATGGTCGCTCCGGCTCGGGGCTGTTCAACTACTCGAATTGATTCTCCAATTCTCCAAGCCATCGCCCGCCGTTCTGGGAAACAACCCCAACGTCATGCTGCTTCTGAATCTCCTCGTGACCCACCTCCTCACTTCAATCTGGACGCTGGTGATCACGATGATCAAGACCCTCCTGTCGACCCCGACGATCCGGGTGCCGACAATAACAACGACGATCTGGATGACGATTCCGGCGGTTTACCGCGTGGTGAGCCTGGTGACCCCAGTGGTCCTGGTGGTCCCGGCGGTCCCGGCGGTCCTGGTGGTCCTGGTGGACCCTGTTCTCCTATCTCTCCTGACATCCCCAACGAGCAACGTGCTATGTTGGAGCTCCTCTCGGGATTCAAGGGTTCCATTGAAACCCTCGGTACCGTCCTCGCCACTCTCGGCCGTCCTTCTGACAGCTCTGAATCCAAGAGCAAGGTCAAGGAGCCAGAGGTATTCGACGGTTCGGACCCCCGAAAACTCAAGACGTTCTTCGTCAATCTCGCCCTGGTCTTTAATGACCGTCCAAAGTACTTCACCGACTAACGGAAGGTGAACTACACTCTTTCCTATCTCAGTGGGTCAGCCAAAGAATGGTTTGTCCCGGATATTCTCGACCCAGATCTCGACTCGCTGCCGGCCTGGACGTCGTCCTTCACGGCTCTTGTAAAGGAGCTACAGGACGATTTCGGCGTTTACGACGCCCAAGGCGAGGCCGAAGATGCCCTCGGCAACCTAAAGATGAAGGAAACCGAGAACATCCGGAAGTATAACATCCGGTTCAACACCCTGGCTGCTAGTACCAACTGGGATTCTGCTGCCCTGAAATGGGCTTATGAACAAGGCTTAGCTGAGCGCATCAAGGATGAAATGGCGTGTTTGCCCCGAACCGGCGACGCTCGCCGCCTATCGTCTGGAAGTTCTTCGTATTGACAACCGTTACTGGAAGCGCGAAGAAACTAAGAAGCGTGAGGCTGGTAAGCCTTTTGTTGCTTGGAACCCGAAGAAGGGTTCCTCGGACTTTAAGACTGGTTCTACTAACCAGCAAAACAACTCTCAGCCATCTGGCTCTTCGGCGCCGTTCACGCCGAAGCCTAAACCTTTCTCTGGTGGTAAGCCTAACAATAATGGTAAACCCCAGAACTCTTCGAATTCCGGCCAATCCGGCGGTCAGCGCCCCGCGTTCAACCATCTTGGTGCAGATGGGAAAGTCCTTCCCTCCGAGAAGGAAAGAAGGATGAAGAACAACCTTTGTCTCTTCTGCGGTGGTAAGCATCAGATCGCTGACTGCAACAAGCGAAAGGCCCGAGAATCGAAGGGCTGTGCTGCCGAGGTTGAAGAAACCCCCGAAGCAACCGTTGAGGTTGTTGAAGAGGAATCGGAAAACTAGTCCGCAGCTCTTGTTCCCCGGTACGAAACAGGAGCTGCGTTGATCAGGTTCGTACCTCACCTGGGGAGTTATATCTCAACGCGTGTGCTCTTTCTTCCATTGAACGATCTCTTGTAATATCATTAACTACTGAATTTCCTTTATCCGATTCAGCCGCGCCGGCCGAACCCATCTCTGCTCTTCTTAAATTTCCTACTCTTGTTGATTCTGGTTCTACTGACTCTTTCATCGATACTCATTATGTTTCTCAAAATTCCATTCCTACGACCAAAATCTCTCCTGTTAATCTTCGCCTTTTTGATGGTTCATTATCTTCTAAACCCATTACCGACATGGCGGATATCGCCGTTCGGTTCCCTTCTGGCGAGCTGCTCCTATTACCATTTTATGTTACTCATTTAGATTCATCTTGTAAAGCAGTATTAGGTTACAGTTTCTTATCCCGCTACAATCCATTGATTGACTGGGCATCTCGAAACATTACGTTCCATAACACTTCACACTTTGATTCTCCACAGACGTCTGTGCCTTCTGCTATCAACCCTGTTGTTGCAAAGGTCGCTATTCCGCTACCGGAACTTTTGCCGTCGGTTTCACTGACAATTCTGGAGACCCCTCCCGGGGACTCACTTCGCTCTTGCTCTCGTCCCCGCTCTCGGACTTCACGGGCCAAGCCCTTTCGTCCAAATTCCCCTTTGAACCCATCTATTCTTACCCTACGGTCTCTCAATTCGCTGCTCAACTGGAAACTCCCGAGGTCGACATTGCACTTGTCAGTGCTGCAGTCTTTAATAGGGCTTGCAAGGACGCTGGTATGGAACCCATTCTTCTTCGTGCTATCCACTCAGAGGTCGCGGCCCGTGCTGCCGACCGCTCCTCAACCACTCCTACTGTCCCTCCACTCCATCCTTCTATTCCAGAAGAGTACGCAGAGTTTGCAGATGTCTTTGACGAGATTGCTGCAGATTCATTACCTGAACACAGACCCTACGACTTGAAGATTGAATTGGAAGAAGGCGCTTCGCCGCCTCTCGGCCGTATTTATCCTTTGTCTGAAAAGGAATTAGTTGCCCTTAAAGACTTTATTGACAAACAGCTGGCTACTGGTGCCATCACCCCATCATCCTCTCCTCACGGTGCTCCGGTCCTTTTTGTCCCGAAGAAAGACGGCAAACTTCGCCTTTGCGTCGATTTCCGTGGACTCAATTGTATTACCAAAAAGGATCATTACCCACTTCCACTCATATCAGATCTTCTCGACGCTCCGAAAAGAGCTAAAATATACACCAAATTGGATCTCGCTCACGCTTATCATCTGGTCAGAATCGCTGAAGGTGATGAATGGAAGACCACCTTTCGGACCCATTACGGCTCTTACGAATGGAAGGTTATGCCGTTCGGCCTTACGAACGCCCCTGCGGCTTTCCAGCGGTTTGTTAATGACATCTTCTCTGACATGCTCGATGTCTGTGTTCTTGTCTATCTTGACGATATTCTAATCTACTCTGATACGCCAGAAGAACACCGAGAACACGTCAAGGAAGTTCTTCGGCGGTTACGGAAACATCGGCTTTACGCAAACCCCGAGAAGTGCGAATTTGATATGGATACTGTTGAGTATTTGGGTTATATTCTTTCTCCCGACAGATTGACTATGTCCAAGGAGAAAGTTCAGACAGTTCTAGAGTGGGCGGTTCCGAGGAAGGTTAAGGACATTCAGTCCTTCCTGGGTTTTGCAAACTTCTATCGTCGTTTTATTTACAATTATAGTGATATTGTTGTGCTGATGACTCGGCTTACCTGAAAAGGCGCGTCCTGAATCTGGGACAGCAGCTGTCAAGAGGCCTTCGAAAATCTCAAGACTGCTTTCACTTCTGCGCCGATACTGGCCCATTGGGAGCCAAATCGCCCACTTATCGTGGAGACCGACACTTCCGACTATGCCATTGCGGCTATTCTTTCCATCCAATATGCTGACGGTGAAATTCATCCTCTAGCCTTCCTTTCCAGAACGCTTCACGCGGCAGAACTCAACTATGATACCCACGACAAAGAGCTACTGGCCATCTTCGAGGCCTTTAAAGCTTGGCGTCATTATCTGGAAGGCTCGGGTGATCCGGTGGACGTCGTCACCGATCACAAGAATCTTGAGTATTTCTCTACTACCAAGGTTCTCACACGCCGACAGGTCCGATGGTCTGAATTTTTACATCAATTTAATATGGTCATTCGCTTCCGACCGGGGAAACTCGGCGAGAAACCTGATTCGATAACTAGACGCTGGGACGTCTACCCTAAAGAGGGGGATATCGGCTACGCCCAAGTGAACCCTCATAACTTTTGCCCTATCTTTACTAACGAACAACTCACTGCGTCTCTTCGAGCTACCTTCCTGGAAGGCCCGGTTTTACGAGCCTCGATCATCATGGATATCGAAGCCCTACACCAGGCTATCATTCTCGCTCTTCCCGCCGATCCGAGCTCCGTTGTTGGTTTGGAACTTGCAAAAGATACTTCCAATGAACGTTGGAGCTTAGGTAGTGACAAGCTACTACGCCTTGACGACCGTATTTATGTTCCGAATCACGGCAATCTTCGCCTTCAAGTCCTTCGTTATTTCCATGATCATCCACTCTCAGGCCATTTTGGCCAAAACCGCACACTAGAAGCTGTACGTCGTCAATACACCTGGCCCAAGGTCAGAGACTTTGTTCGTGACTACATTACCTCGTGCACTATCTGTGATCGCAATAAGCCCCGCCGTCATCGGCCTTACGGCTTGTTGAAACCTTTGCCGGTTCCGGTCCGACCATGGGATTCCATCTCCATGGACTTCATTGAGCAACTGCCAATGTCGAATGGTTACACAGCTATCTTAGTCGTTGTGGATCGATCTTCCAAGCAAGCTATATTTATTCCAACTCACGATACCATTACTTCCGAACAACTAGCTGAGCTTTTTGTTATTCACATCTTCTCTAAGCATGGTGTTCTTAATCATGTTACTTCCGATCGTGGCTCCGAATTTGTTTCGGCGTTTTTCCGGGCTCTTGGTAAAGCGCTCTCCATGGAACTTCATTATACCTCTGGATATCATCCGGAAGCCGATGGGCAGACTGAGCGTGTCAATCAGACTCTCGAGCAGTACATCAGGATCTATTGTTCTTACCAACAAGATGACTGGTCGCCTCTACTTCCGATCGCCGAGTTCGCCTATAATAACGCTCCCAATGCTTCCACTGGTATTACTCCATTCTTCGCTAACAAAGGATACCACCCTAACATCACCGTTCGGCCCGAGGTCGATATGAAGTCTGATCTAGCTAGAGACTTCGTCGTCAACCTCGATGAACTCCACGTTTTCCTTCGAGAGGAAATCCTCTTAGCTCAGTCCCGTTACAAGGAACAAGCTGACAGAAAGAGAATCTCGCACCCGGAGTTCCCGATCGGCTCCGAAGTATTTGTTCTTGCTAAGCACATTCGCTCTACTCGTCCTACTGAAAAATTCTCAGAAAAATATCTTGGTCCTTTCAAGGTCATTAGTCAACCTGGTACTCTGTCTTACGAGCTCAAGCTTCCGGATTATCTTCGCCGCATTCACCCGATCTTCCACGTCTCACAGCTGGAGCCGGTTACACCGAACCCTTTTCCGAATCGTACTCAATCTCCTCCACCTCCAATTGAAGTTGATGGTGAAGAGGAGTACAACGTTGCCGAAATCCTCGACTCCAAGCTGGACAGAAGGTACAAACGTTGTCCTCTACGTTATTACATTCGGTGGGCCGGTTATGAAGGTACCAACGATGAGTTCTCTTGGGTTGCTGCTGATGAATTACACGCTGACGAACTTGTACCGGCGTTCCACGCCCGATACCCTCACAAACCTGGACCTTGATCACAAAAACATTTATTCCTTCCTGCACTTTCGCCATGCTCTGCCGAAGTTTACTTTGTGTGTTTAGAGGGTAAACATGATAATAGCAACTTGAGTGTTTACCTCTCTTTCTTAAATTGCTTATTTCGTTTTCTTAGTTACTATTTTACTTGTTCTTCAATCACACTTAAGCTACTTAAACTTCAAAAACTAATTATTTCTTACGCCGCTTTGCGGCCCACTTGCTTTCCGATTTCAAAATCGAGTTAACATTTTTTTATATACAAAAGCAAAAAAGAAGAAAAATTGTACAGGAGGCAGAGGACTACAAGAAGTTTACAAGAAGGGCCGCAGGGCCGATGTCCGATGTCCGTGATACAATTACTCCACTACCTCCTTCTCCTTCCCTTTCTCGGAGGGTGCCGCCTTCGCCCTCTTCGGCGCCGGCGCCCCTTCCTCTCCTTCCTCCACTTCTTCCCGGTCCTTCTCCATTTCCCCTTCAATCTCCCTTTCCTCCTCCTGGTCACTATCCACGACCCTACGCCTCTTCTTCGACACACCCGATGGTCCGGCCTCTGGTAATTCGGGTGGAGACTTCCTTCTCCTTGCGGCATCCGTAATTAACCAATCCAACTTGCGGTTAAAGTGTCGGTGGTACGAGTTGGCCTTGACGTTGTCATCGCGCAGCTGCCGATTATCAGCGAGTAATTGAGCCATCTGGCTCTCAAGGACAGCCAGACATTCGCCGGTGGGGTTGGAACCTCCTTCTCATTTCCCCATGGACGGCTGTCCGGAGTACGAGCACCGGACCTTGGCATCGTGACAGGGTTTACATATTATTGAACTTCTCTTGCCAGCCTGCATCTGGCAAGAGATCTTCTTCACCCTGCATCGTCTGCAGGGCTGCTTATCGTCGTCGTCGTCGCCGTCATCACCATCGTCCGGGTCTCCGCCGACTGGCTAAAGAATTTTCCAAGTTAGCACTAGCGCAATAATAGCCAAAAGGCTACTTACCTCTGCCCTTGCCTTTCCTTTGCCCTTGCTCTTTGTCCTCCAAATCTCTACCACGGGCTGCCGCGGAGATACCAACACCTCACTGGGAGAGGTCCCCCGTTGACTCCTAGCGGTCGCCGCAGCGGCCAACAACCTCCTCCGCTCTACGACCTCCTCTTCTTGTTGTCGAGCCTGTCTGGCCCGTTCTTGTGCCTCCTGCGCCTTTCTCTTTTTCTCCGCTGCCGCCCTTGCAGCCTCTTCCTCAGCCTTCCTTCTTGCGGCCTCCACCGCCTTCCTCGCTCTCACCTTCTCCACCCTTGCCTGCGCCTTCCTGATGATATCGTCTTCGTCTTTGTCCTCAAGGTCTTCCTCCTCGTGAGCGGCAGAGTCGGAAGGTGGTGGTGGAGGCTGTGGTAAAAGGCGCGACCTTGAGGAACCAGCGGTCGAGGTGACAGTGGTGGTAGTGCGACTAGTGGACATTGTGGACTTAGGAGTTTTTGGGAAACTTCGGTCTTATCGGCAAAACTCTGGGCCTTTTATACGGCAAAACTGCGCATGGACCAGCAAAAATTTTCCTTCGAATTGTGTTTGGTGTACGGTGAACCGAAAAATTTTCACTGATGACCAACGCCAATTCCCGGTACCAACGGCTTTTGAAAATTTTCCTGCTGACTGATGGACCAAATTCCCGACGCTGACGGCCTTTAAAAAATTTTCTCTGGTGACTAACCAACTCCTGGTATTAATGGCTTTCGAGGGCTCAAGCCTAAGAGGGGTATACTGTCAAGTCCATGCCGCGGGCCTCCATTCCGCCGCTCGGGATTCCGTAGATCCATTCCTTATTGTAATCTCTCCCTATTGTTCTTTCTCGCTACACATACCCTTTCATTCTAGTCTCTCATTATTGTCTTTTACTCTTTCGTTCTAGTCTCTCCTTATTGTCTTTTACTCTACCCTGCAGGTACTACTCGTATAGCTCCTAGTAGTTAGTCTGGCGCTCCGCACCGCCGCGCCGTTCTGTAGATATAAATACTGCCTGTACGCTACTGTAGTTCCTCAGTTTAATTATCGACTTAGATTCCCTCCTTAACTCTGTGCTCCTCTAAGTCTTCAGGCTCTCCGCCTTGAAGTACTCTCTACTATAACCTCAGGACTTAGACGTTCTCTGGTTCGCTCCTCGTCACCGGCGATTCCGCCGCTCTGACCTGGCTGCTACTTAGCTCCTCTCTCTCTACTCTTGATCTCCGGGGACTAATGGCGTAACGGCGGTGTTGTTAATAACTTCACTACTGTCCCACTCGTCTTCCGCACTTAGACACCTTGTGGCTTTGGCACGGTTACACGGTGTACATGATCTTAACACCTCCTCTGTCCATAGTGCTTCTTTTGCAACTATGCCGCCATCGTCATCATCCTCTACATCAATGCCAATGTGCTGTTGATCTTTTTCTGCTGGTTTGTATGCCGTGTACTCCTTTTCCTGCTTTGATGCTGACTGGTCTGAGCAGTGATAGAAGTACTACACGTTTTCAAGAAACATGTCATACTTCCATACAGATTGATCCACAAACACATCCCAAGCTTCATCCACAGTCCGGAACCCAACCACCAAATCTGACAATTTTCTTCACGGCTTCAACACAACCATCATCATCAGCTTATACAACAACCTGTCTTCTGTATGGTGATTGCGGGAAAACCACCGTCCAACAAACTGAGGCATTGTCTCGTGACCTTCCAAATGTATTACCCATCCAGGCTTTGGTCGGAAATTGTATTTATATCGATGCCTAACACATGCGCATGCACTTTCTTCAGAGTTGTTCTCATGTGATTTGCTCAAATACTGTTCATATGTGTTGCAAAAGTAGGACAAAATGTTATAATCTTCCAGACCGTCGCCACACTTCGAATAACCTTGCAGCTGGTTTTTGACTGTGATCTTTCCATTTTGTGTTGTCAACCGCACACTGTCTTCCTAGCTTGATTGTTAGTGCCCTTCTTACATTTACATTTCTGTTTGTGTTTAATAACTTACATTTGCAGTTGAATCCCAGGTAGCTTCTACAGCACCAACACTACTGTCGTTAGCTGTCACCCTCATCCATATTTGCTTTCATTAGCACCATGTTTCTGTCTAGAATCCAGAAAACTCACCTCTTTGACTGCAGAGCTTCAAATGTTTGCTGCAATGCAGCAGATATACCATCCAGATAGATTGGTACGGAAAAGTGGGAAATGTAACGGTCACCCCAACCCATCAAGTTTGGGGGCAGTGAGTTCTTGCTCTCAACTCAATGACAGTGTGCATCATGTGATCAATTAATGGCCAACTTGTTGGTAATCTGGATTTTTCAACTCCTGTTTCTGATGATATGCATACCGTTTCACCAGTATCATGGACTCATTTGATGATTTGTGTTGCTTCTTGGATGCATACACCATGAAGTAAAATGTCATGTCTTTTGTCTACTCTCCATTTGTAATCAGCTTAATGTCGTTGTTACATCTGTGTCTCCATGATTGTGCTATTATACGCATTCACATAGCCTACAGATTGTACCATCCCCCATTTGCCTGTTTAATCCAGTTGGAGTCTGAAATGGGCCATGGCACTTGGTTCTTGCACACTTGACGCCGTCCTTTGACAATCAAACAGTGCCCCATTGAACAGTGATGGACTTGCAATGATCATGTCAACAACCTCTGTTCATCTCGCACCTTCATCATATATTCCGGGTTATTTGGCAACAGGGGACAATTAAAGGATAATGACGGGGTTGTATGCAACTGCATAAGATCCTGGCTGTTGAGCCCAATGTCAGCGGTTATATTCTTCGCTACAAATTCGGACACCTTCTTGTGAAAAGCCTCTGACCACAGACAGTCCTTCATGGCAGTAGTCAACAGTGCACCATCCAAAAATATACCAGGTGCGTAACATGCCTCTACCCTGCAATTCCATCATGCCAACATACACTTTCACCTTGCTAAAGATCCCAATTTCGCAATTAAATCGGTTTTGTCACACTGTTATTCTGAACAGGGTCTCTAATGTTACTTTCATGATGAAATGAAAAAACCTTGCCGCTGCGAATGGATCCACCGCAATATTTCTCACACACGTACTGTGCTACTGGGTCCCTGTTTAGGTTGAAAGTTGTCAAAGTCGATTCGCTCTCTAGCAAATACCTGGGTGACTGGATGATAGATATTGGAAGGTTTCAGTGTGAGCTATAATGAAGGTGGATTGACCATCATAACCAAATCTGTGAACGCACACTGACTCAGCTTTAGTTTGAGCCCATGACCTGCAAACAGACTGCAGATATCTGCGAACACAGTGCTCTCATCACGGGATTTGAATATGGTCTTTTTCTTCGTTCGTCTTCTGCTGCTTGTGCGAAATCAGCAGGCTTCAATTTCTTGATTCCTGTGTGGTGCTGTACATATTCTGCATGTGTCATTCTTATTGTTGCCAATGAACATATCTGGCACTTTTGCAGAATGCCAAACACTTGGAAAACAAACTGCATGTCCCTGCGGAACCTCCGGATTTGAACAATTTGTTGAAGTATTTGTGAGTGCATATGCAATCAGTTCTGTGTGTGTTATATGATTGCCTTCAACATTGATGATGCCATGCACTTGGATAGGAATCATGCCTGCAAGTTACTTCAGACACAGGCTTTATCTAAAGGGCACATCCTTTGTCGCACCTCCTTTATCATTTGAATCCTTGTCGACTTATTTGACTTCTTCTTCTTCCATGGGTCCTGCGTTATGGTTAAAATTACAAACAACTCCTTTTTTATATCCACTCACCTATTGCATAAGCACTGTTGTCTTCTGTAAGGTCCCCTTCTTCTATATCTTCTGCATCATTATGCTCATTTACATACCCAGTGTGCTCTTTTTCCAGAAGCATTACTTGATCTGACCACTTCATGTTTCCTCATATCTCTACCGGTATGCCATCTTCTGGCAATAACGACAAATTTTTTTCCGATATCTCAATTCCTGAGTACAAAGGATTATTTGTGATCAACCACCTCAGTGCATCAGTCACTCATCTCCTGTGAATGGCTAACATGGGTGCGAGCGCCTTCAATGGTACATTTTTCAGCCCTATGAATGTAACCACGATTGTTACTGCCAAGATCGAAGGCCTGGGTGGTAGGTACCCATCATTAACCATACCCACAATCTCCTGTGTATTCAAAAAGTACAAAGATATGTTGCCTTTCAACCCACTTGTTAGCAGGTCCACAGGCAATGATCTACCACCTTGCTTTTTGGGATACAGCTTCACAATATATGCCGCTGCAAAAAAATCTGGATACCAACACCCTCTCTGGTAGTGTCAGGATCCACAACTCAAATGGTATTGCTCCTACCCATATCTGATTTGTGAGTGCTAACCATGACCGTTGTCCTTCTGTTAATTTTCATAGGCATTCACAACAACTATACCGAGGGATGGTATTTGTGAAAGAATGTGTGTACAGGAGCATTGAGTTATGCAACCTATGTGCTGGATGGGGAATTTCCGGTTTCAGCAGGTGCACATTTCGAAACTTCAGCTCTTTGTTCTCTTCAACATCAGCCCTCAACAGTTCCCTTGCTCATACACAGCACACAACTACTTCTGTATTGGCATTTCTTGTTCAATTTATGTATTGATCAACTAAGCTGCACCGTTGCTTCTCTGTCAGTACCGTGTACAATGGTCCTTTTATCACTTGTTCTACTGTCTAACAACAAATGTCAGTACACAACTATCTGGGTTATGACGATATCTAACTTTAGCTTCAGGACATGCACTGAAAAAATTAGACTGTTTTCTATGGGGTCCTTCCATGTCTTAATGTGTTATTGTTGGTCTCTTCCCATTGTTCAATTGCAACATGGTTTGTATGAAAGGCATAATGATATCAACACAAAGTGTTTCCAGCCTCTGTACAATTGTGCGTTTCAAGTGAAGATTTGAACTGTTCAGGTTTACTTGGTGTAATTTGCACGCCTCTTTTATGTGCACTTTTGTTGTTTCAGTGCACAACTGCTCAAGTGGATTGATGAATGTCAACGTTGGGATGACACAGTGTGTTATTTACTGTTTGGCGACAACCTTTAAGGAATGTCTATGGACTACCATCCGCCAACGCCCCTCGCATGTACCCCATTGCCTTGAAGCATACAGGCTACTGACCATTGCGTTCAGACATAGCAACGGATCATACCAGCATGCTATTTTTTTTTTGTGTCCGCTATCATCATGTGCTTTGGAATTTTTTTTTCCTGTAAAGACTTGTATAAAGTCTGCAATTTGAGCATTAATCTAAAGATCTGTCCTTCCCCCACTCTTATTCTTGTTGTAACTGTCTACCCAGCAACAGCCACAATTCATCAAGAATAACTCCCAATTGCTTTTATACCACCAACAGCTTCACAGCAGTAACTCTTATCTCAGCCGACATGATAATGCTCTTCCTGGACCAGAATATCACTTCTACAATGATTGGGACGTGAAAAGCCTCAACCGTTTGTATTGCACATGGTTGGATGTGTCTCGGCGCAGGCAAACTTTATGAGTTTAAAAAAATCAATCTCTTTGCTGCTTACTCCCAATACAGCCACAGATAAATAAAAATCAACAGCTTGCATCGGTCTGCTTTGCTGGGCCGGGCACAAGCAGGTCCCTTCCCTCAGGACTGGGCCCCTGTGATATCAAAATTGAAAGAGCTCACAAAGCTTCTTACCAAAAGCAATACAGACCCAAGCTGTAACTTATGGTTCGATGATGGTGGTAATGTCGATGACACTCATGTTAAATTTGGTGCACCGTGCTTCAAGGTACTTCCCTTTTACATCGGTTTTGATTTCAATTAACGACTCGTACATTCAAGGCTCAGGGTTACGGTGAATCTGCTGATGGTGAGATCTCTCAGTCCCTTCATAATACAATTACTTACTGGTAATAATAGATTGCCTTGCAGATTTGGTCTTGCCTCACCAACAATCAAATGCTCACTGGACGCAATTGGCACCATATATCACCATGCTTGACTTCAACCTCATCGATCACACTGGAACTACAATCACCGAGGCCATGCTTCCTGATGCTCTGAGTGGTGCTACTGTTGACATTGCATTTGTCCTTCGTGGTTGGAAGTTTGGTCAGGAATAGTATTGGAGTTTTGCTCTTGACATTCAACAAGTAGTGGTTCTTCATCCTGAACAAAATTACAATGTACTTCCCAACCAAATGTACAATGTGGTAACTCCACCATGCCGCAGCTCTACATATCACCCTCTGACCCCAGTAACTCCTTTGAATGTTAACTCACCTTTGAACAACACGTATCCTTCCAAAAACATGTATGCCAGCTGCAATAGTAACATACCACATTCTCCAGTGAGTTCATCTGCTGAAATTCAGACCAGGATCAACAAATTTTGGCTCACCATCGAACCAACGTGAGTTGCACTTTATTTTTCTTTTCACCCCTCCCTCCTAAGTTATGTACTAGTGCGTGCTCTGTTTGCCAAAGTGAAATCCGCTTTTAGCAATACCTTCATAGGTAACAACCAGTCGGACCACTTCACCAGTCGTAGTACCGGTCCCACATTGGACGCCTCAATTGCGGCAATCATGGCACATTGTACAATCCTTCTGGCAGTACCTTTGGTACTCCATTGGCTATACACTTGGATCTTCCAATGCAACATGTTTGTTTCCTTCTACTGCTTGCATCTGTGTACCCATCCGTCTCGCCTTTCAGGATACTCAAAGCAGACACATCTCAGTAGCATGGTATCACTACCTGCTCAAAATACTACCTTACAGAAACATGCAGCTAATATGGTACCTCCTTCATCGTCATATGCCCGTAAGTCAGCCTTTTTTTTAGACACGGGTCATGTTGCTTATGCACTTCTTTGTTCAGGGGAACTACCTCTTGCAAACAAAGAGTTGTTACCAAATGTTACTGAGAACAACTTCAAATACATTGACTCTGGTCAAACATTACTTCAACATAGTGACTTCAACCTACCCATACCCCATCATCAAAATGGTGTTTTGCCCACTACCTTTGACCACGAGTTCGAAACCAGGCTTATGAACACTGTCAATATTGCACGCATGCAACACCTGTCCCAATCACTTAGTCCCATATCACTCTGCAGGACCATGTTCACAGTATGAATCATGGCAATCTGCAGTTCCCGTTCACTTTGAAAGACAGACGCGGAGACCAGGCCTTCAAAGTACAGGTCATGGCGGAGGAGTTCAACTACATGAACAACATCTCTAGTTCTGTCCCAAATGGTAAGGATCCTGTTGGATTCATCAGCTCTGTTGCTGAAGGTACGTTGCCAGAAACCCCGACATAGAGTTCTGTTGTGATGCCAAAATTCAACTGTGACAATAGACTACCAAGTTGTGCAATCACCAAGGACAATGCCAGCAATGTTTTCAATGACACCGATAAAAGTATGTATGTTGTACTTTGCATGAAGACATTCTTACCCGTCCGCTATGTAAGGTTCATCTGTGCAGTTAGGTGAACAACCGCAAGTAACGGAAGTCGCAAGTAGTCCATGCAGGAACACCAATGCCAATGTTTCCACGAAGCTCGTGCAAAGCACTAACATTCACGGGATGTAATCACTTTGTTCATGCGCACAACTCATTGACGTTGTACATATCTCAGGTGTTCCTATAACGTCGAATAATCCTTCCTACATAACATTAGGAACTGACCAACGTGAAATACTTTTTGTCCAACCACCTTCATGTTCATCATTACATCTCTCTAACCAAGTTTGTATGCTCTAATGTTTGCTTAGCTTATCCTCTGCCCCCTCCTCCATTCTATCCAGTTTCCAACAGCACAGACAAAGGCAGGGGAAAGGGAAAAAAGAGGGCAGTGCCTGATGATGTTGGCCCCTCGGTGCCGGCTAAAGCTGCTAAGATTGATACGGACCCTCAACAAATAGCTCTGCTGGCCACGGTGGATTAACTTATGTCGATTGCTTTGCGACAGGCACTGACACTCAGTCTACAATAGCAGGTATTGCCCTAAAAGTCACAAAGCTGACACATTCCCTTACATTTCAAATCCTCCTCCCTACAATTTTTCACACAATAAAAGTCACATAGTTGACACCTTCGTCATCTTTTCAAATTTACTGCTATTCATGTTTTCTTTTACTGAGTCAAATGCACCGGGATTTGTGGCGACAATACTGCACGTATGTCTGTACCTGGTGTATATGCATTCCTCCTTCGGTCATTTCATATATTTGAAACATTCCATATCAGCGTATCTCAAACGGCCTTTTATAAGACTCACCATGGTTAACTTTATCTCATAACCCACAATGGACGAATTCTTGACACAAATCACTGAACCCAGCCAGAGTTGTTTGTTACTTGGTCACATTGAGATGCACTCTGAGTATGGCCGTAAACAAACGCCGATCGTGTATGGTTCAAACCAATTCCATGCAAAATGGTCATATGAAAGCGGTGCGTCTATGTTCCCTTTTTGTCCTCATTTGTTCAGAATTGTAGTCAACATTAAGTCCTGCACTAAGGAACTCAGTGATGTACTTATTTGAGTTAACATTCATGAACATACCTCAGAATACGTTCAGGGCGTAAATGAGTATCCGACCATAGTACTCGGTTATCCCAATGAGCAGCATGACATGGTCTCAGGCAACTATTATAATCAGTTGTTGTCTCTTTGCGAGCAATTGTATAAAGATATCAAATAAAGCAACTTGGTATGTGTTATCGTTATCAACATCATTTTTGCGAATGACATCTTCACAGCCTTCATGCGATATACAAAGTTGGACACCACTTGACTGTGACACAATTGACTTGCAATTGAGTGATTGCTGTGTTGTTTGTCCGTTTTCTCTTGAATCAACAAACTCCTAATACAGCGACATAGGTCTCCGGCATACACACACGGAAATCAACTCCCACCTGCCAAATCTTACTCAACAACATCTTCTGTACTCTGTAAAGGTTGGCACCCTGGTTACGTTGAAATCGGGGCTTTCGTCGAGGCAGAGGTGGAGCTTCACTTGTGGAAAACACCTTTGACAATGCACTATAATGTGATTGCCCACCAACTCACAATTCTTGTACAGGATGTTGATTTCAGTGGTTTGGGTAACGGAAAGCACTTTTAGTTACATATCTACGTCCACCATCTATGTACTAAACAGTCTATCAATCCCCTGTATTCAACTTTGACCACTTTAACGTACTGATTATCAGATAACGGGAATTGCCGAAAAAACGCTCATGACTTCGGGCAATACACTGCATTCTTATCACTACCACCATCCAGCACAAACACAGCATCGCCCGACAGAAATTTTAACATTTTTTCTTTCCATCCCGTCTTTTCCAATGTCGTCCAGCCCTCAAACAAAAACAATACCTGATCTGTAATATTTTCTATCAGACGTTATTCATCATTCTGAACACACTATGTGTAGTCCTGCCGAGATTCGAGACGAAATTATTGCGTACTGGGACCCTATTGTGGTGGCTAATTTTTCCCTGTGCTGCAAGTTACACCACTCGATCGTGTCCGAGTTCACCACGCGGCACTATAGTGTACAACGTGCATACGGAAAATATTTCACGTTCGCCGAAATCGGTCAGCTCCAGGACTTACAGGTGAAGACTCGTGTGCTGTTATTTTCTCTACCTAAGATAAAGTCCGCACACAGGCAGATACGGGTTTGATCGCCTACGGACCCACTGTACTGAACTTTTTCACTCAAGCCTCACTGCGTTCACCTCTTGATACCGTCTGCCAACTGCATCATTGTTTATCAGTGGGCCTGTGGTATATGGCTAAGGAGTATGCTTATGAACCCGAGCAATCGCAACTGAAATCGTTCGAAAGTGACGTTGTACGAGCGAAGGAATTGTTGCGCCAGAGCAGAAGCGACGATGTCGATGAAATGGCCGACTTTCAAGAGGTATTATCTGGTATCGTGCAGACGTGGTCCTTTTACAAAGGGTGTAAACACATTCGATTGGTTGCTTCCTCAGGTTCACCCCTCGAAGTTGTGTTTTCACTACCTTCAAGTGCGTGGGCTTATTTGTATCAAGTTATCATCTGAAATTCAGCTCAGCATGCCTGATGAACGTGTTCACCCACCGTGCAGCGTACAGTCTCTTTCCTCAGATGACTTTGGTCGACGATATCGCACTTATCAACAGCGTGGACGTCACAACCACAGATGACCAAGTCGTTCATATTGCAAACTTCAGCCGCCTGGGTTTCACCTTCCTCAATATGCCATCGATTGCGATGACCACCAATCCCGACAGCGCTTTGTCTTTCTTATGTGCACGTTCAGTGGGCGACAGGCATTGTCATGTAATAAAATTCGACCATTTCGGTACTGCTGACCCGAAACCGGACTTTATCGAAGCCCACAGTTGGAATATGAGCTATCATTTGAATACCACCAGCTTCACGTACATGCCTTTAGGTACGAACCACTCAAAATTCGAATACACCATTGCGCCACAGCTGTGGGATTCGACAATGGCGAAATTGATTACATTGGGGCGGCTTGAACAACTATCTCACTTACAGTAAGCCATTCCTCTTTCCATTTTTCACATTACCGACATGGTTGTCTAAACAATGTCAGCGGTGATGTGTCAATATTGTGCTGCCAAGTTCTGTCACGCGCGGAAGTCTTTCAGGAGACGAAGAAGAACCCAATGTGGGCTACATATCATAGAGTACTATCAGCAGCAATCCAAACCGGCTGCGTCTTAGCATCGGATACGGCCCACGAACTTTTTACACTGTTGTTCACGATTTTAGAACGTTATCAGGGATCATCGCTGGTTAGTGCATTGCATGTCACATGAGGCAGATTCTTACATCCAGTGACAAGACCATCGAGGATAATGCAAGTACTGCAATTACAACCTCGACCACACAACTTTCACTAACGTTGTCAATTCCCGGAGCCCAAATCAATCCGGCGGAGTTACCTGGTTTGCAGAGATGGTTGGATTTTTTCAGAAGCAGTAACGTATTGTTCAACATGATCGTATTAGAATGAGCACTGCAGTTTTAGTACCGATACATACACTCCCGAAGAAAGCTACTTTTCATAGGCATAGTTGCACACCGGGGGAATTCTATGTTAGGCATTGTACGCTCTAAGCTCCACCTGTGTCGCAGCGTGTAAATAAGAGACGAACGATGTGACCAAGCAAGGTGTAGGTACCCGCAGGGGTACACTGGTTATGGTAAGGTGCCACGCTACTTTCTGGGCTATACCAGATCTAGATCTTAGATGATTCGGTTTGATATGTCTTCCGTCTTTTCTTCCTAGATCGAACATCGATCCAATTGAATACTACAGTTTGATCATCTTTATTTACTTACAAGTATCCTGTTTAGTGTTCGTTTCGTCGCTTTTTAGCGACGAGCGATATTCCATAAATGTGTCTTTACATATGTAGATAATAGTAGTGCCAATTGGTATAACTACAGATTTCAGTTGCAAATATTGTCTTTTGTTCGTTTACCAAGATAATGTCGATGGATTTACAGTTTGAAGGTGTGTGTGTTACGGTCGAATTGAGCTATGTTGTGTTAAAGGATGTTTTAGATGAAGATTCAGGTAGACCTGTGGTGAGTGAAATGTGATTGTCTTTGCTCTGTATGTTGAATGCTTTTGGTTTGCTTTGATTTTGTGTGAAATTATTCAGGCATCGGATTTGCGTAGCTTCATTTCTCTGGATTTCAACGATCGTCAAACATTATATGATCAAGTGGAAGGATTGATTGCGGAAAATACTCCGCTGCTGACACCACTTAACATGGTTATGCACTTTTTCAATGATGTCTTCTTTAATTGTCCACTTCCGGAGGCTTCAACTACGTCAATGCAACGTGTTGCATCCTTATCCGATCATGGTGGTTTGTGGCTTGTTGATTCTGCAAGAGAAGTTGTATCTGTTGCTGTAGTAGCTCAGATCAGTCCGTATGCAGATGACATAAAATGCGGTGAATATCTCGATATGAATGTGTACAATCAAGAGGTACGTTCTGAAGATAGTCGGTATCAAAAACATACTAATCTGTTTACTTTAGATAAACCTGGATTCACTTCGAAGAGCTTCTGCACGACTGTTTTTCAACCAAGTGTTTGCATCTCCGGATTTTTCGGATCGAATTGCAAACATATACGCCGCACATAATTCTCGTTTTGAAAAGTTGTTGAATATTCTGCAAGAAGCAACCGTGCAGTATCTCGATTCGGTAAAGGTTGTTGATGGTAAGTCTATGTGTGAGTTTTCAGATTATTATTTTGACGATTGCTCTAGATAAGTTGTATCCTGACCAAAGTATCAACATGAGTACATTTGTTGATCTTCATGAATTTGGTCATTACGGTCTACGGGGAAAAACAACAAACATATTCCAAAATGTCCCTGGTCGGAGAACAAGGCAATCATCTACAATGATGAATATACGTGGACGATTGCCAGATCCAAGTTAGGAATTTCTATCTTGTCCTGCAAATCAAAATTCATATCCATATTAGGAAAGTTGAAGTCATCTGAAAAAGAAAAGAATCTGAGGGCATTGTTGACAGACAAGGATGTCAATGGTATGTGTTGGATGTGCGAATGATGGTTGTGTTCAATGTATCTCGTTGTCTTTACAGATGTGGAAATTGGTGAACGGCTGTTAGGTCATTGGCCAGATTCGGACGGAGTGATTAGGTCCCTTGCGGAAAGACACGACTTATCTGCTGTTCGTATGCACATACCAGAGGTGTATGACTCGCAAGGAGCAGTAGTGCATCCTATGGATTATGAACGAGTTCTTACATGTGGTCGCATTGTTTCGGTTGAATTTAACTTCCATTTGTGAGTAGATTGAAATATGTCGAACCGATACTTATGTTCACGAACTGTTTAGGTGGGATATCACTAAAGGAAGCAATGGGAAAGCAGTGAATAAGCCGAATCGTATTTGCTCCAACATTATACGCAAACTTCGCGTATTACCTGAAGACGAAGATGATATGCGATTGTTACTTCATACCGAAGCAATTAAACGGGCTGATGATATTGATCGTCTTGCTGAAGAAAGTCGGTTAGCAGAGGAAGCGAGAGAATTGGCCCGACGAGAAGAAGTCCTCCGTTTGGAACAAACAATGGCGAAAGCGAAGTCTTTGGCTAATGCTAAAAAGATGCGCTTGGAAGAATTACGCGTTAAAACGACGAAGGATTCTTCGACTACTTCAACTAAACGAAGTGCCGTTGCATTGGCTAGTGGTAATTTAAGAAAATCTAAACGCCTTGAATTGAAGAAAGGATTGGCGGATGTAGGGGTTGAAGAAGGGGAAATCAATGAAGACATGTTCGTTGAGTTGAGCTGAAGGAAGAGTACAAGTAATGAATCATCGATATGCCTTTGTTGAAGAAGGTACATTAGAAGATAAATGGTGCAATCCAGAATTCTTTGTAATAGTGGTAATGTTCTCAAAGTTGTAACGAGTCAATTGCTTCAGGGAACCTGGAGGCTGGCAAGTTTTGGGACATTCATTTCAAAATAGGAATTGTCTTTACTATACGATAAGACAATGATATAATTCTGGTCTTCGGCAACATCTAGCTCGCGATAAATGGCTTTGAGAGCCGTTATATCAGCTGAATGGTAGGTGGTGGTGAAATCTCTCGTGTCAGGGTATACGAACGAAGTGCTGCCGAAATGATCGTCGCGCTTTTTCTTGATGTCCGTGTAGCCCTCTCGTAAACGAGGGATGGCATGCTTTCGAGTAGCAGGATCAACAATATGAAGTTTGACCAGTCCAGAAAGGACAATCCTCAGGTGTTCGTGTTTAGAGTTTCGAGTTACAGAATGCGGTTCGAGTTGATGTAAGTCAAACTCGATAGCTTCCGTGCGATTCAGAGTCATGCTGCTGTCCGTAGACTCACAAATGCAACCAAGTTTTAGCAAAGCGCACACTACCAATGGAACCTAGAAATGATAAGTGTACAATAGTTAGGAATTTTTGAGGCACTCAGTTGCAGTTCAAACACTCCATCAACGTTCGGATCGTTAGTAGGGGCTATGAAGTGTTCGCTGATCTCGCGATAAAGGTCCTCTCGAACGGTGATTTGTACAGATTAATGCAAGGAAGGACTCGAGGCAAATTGCGTGAAACCTTCTCATAGGAACAGAAATCCGTACGAAATATCTGTTCTTTCGGGATGCGGAGGTGCACATAGAATTATCGCGCTATACGCATAGGCAGCGGTATAAGATATAACTCGACCGATAGCCACAGCATGTATCTACCCAAGGTTCCTGTAGGTCGAATTTGCACAATGTCCCATCTTCGCTCCGCACACACCTTCACATTGCTGAACATAGAACGTACTACGACAGATGTAGGGTCTGGTCCTTGACGCCTACGTTTCCAACGAGGTCGCATCGCTTTCAACCAGGCAGAATAAGTAATCATGGGATTAGGAAGCGCTTTGTCTTCTTTGGCAACACTTGGCTCAGGGATATCTTGCCGGACGAAGTGAGGCTCGGACGAAGCGAGAAGTATTTGAGCAGATGGACCTTCACCACCCCAGTCCTCAATGTCCATCAGCTGCGACTCTTCTTCCTGGGCTTCTATATCGACGGCTAGTCTGAAGAAGTTTGTCAGCTTGTTCTGCTTCATTTTATCAATGGTTCCTGCGACTCGACGATGTAGCGAGTCTGCGTGATGAATTCGAGGCACGGGGTTGGAAACCTTCTGCATCGCAGCGGGGATAGTGATCAATTTCTGAATCACAGAGCCCAGTCGCTCAATGTAGTAATTCCAATCAAGAATGGAACGAAGGTCAAAATCGATGAGACTGCTATGCTTGAGTTATTTGCGGAGGTACACCCGCTTGATGCTTTCCTCTGCAGAGAAAATAGCAACTGGAATGGCACGATCTGCGACAGGGGCACGAATCGGTTTGGCGGATATGATGAACTTGCAAGCCAACCCTTTGTCCTTGACCATCTGGTCACCTAAGAATTCCGCCAAACGTCTGGCAGTACTGATAGAAGTAGATTTTTGACCGCCATACTCCGCCAGAGTTTTCGACATGCTACGATTCTCAGCAATAAGCTCCACCAACTCCTCGTCTGTAAGTGCTGCCGCCTTGCTGAACAGGACATCCAGCCACTGGTCTGCAACCTGCGCAACAGCCTCGTAACATTCATCCGCCATCGACCCAAGAAGGAATTTCTCAGAGATCTGAGACTGGAAATGTTTTATGAGCTGTAGTTCACCACGACGCTTCACTTCAAACCCTTTGAGTTCAGCCAAAGAACCATCATCGTTGAACACGGCGTAACGCTTCTTCAGGAACTTATATTCTTCCTTCGAAGAGGGTAAGATGATTGCCTTGTAAGGTCCATCCAGCTCAAAGAAAACAGACTTTTCGCTGTGAATTTTGTATTCCCCAGTCTCGAGATGAAGATCGTGATATTGATGGTTGGTGAATTTGGCGTGGACGAGGTGATCGAGCATTGTACAAGGATAAGAGAATCCAATTGATTGACCATTGTCTAACTTGAACTTGAAGTTTTCGGGGAAGACTCCTGGGAGCATACACCAAATATCATCGGTATCTAGTTCTAGTGGTCGCCCAATCTGCTCCACCAGCGCTCGAGCCATCTGAATAATGGTAGCACCAGTTAAACAAATAATTCCAGCCATCTCCATCGAGTGCCAGCGAGCACCCTTCCGCATTACGTATCCGTAGAAAGAATTCAGAATACGCTTGTGTGCGAGTTGAAGGGAGTCATACAACACGATTATCTGTTTTCCTTCGTCGACCTCTGCAAGGGAGCGCCCTTCATTGATAACGGTATCGAGGTTTTTCTTCCATGTTTTATGCAGACCTTTCTACTCGTATCGTCGATCTCGGAACCTCCTTACAGTGTCGACATAAAACGGGTTTTCCCGTTGGCAGACGATAGACTCCCGGTTTTCCACCTTCGTGTCCTTGGTTTTTTTTGTAAACCTTTCGTGAATAATCGCCCGATCGTTTATGCAAAAACGCAGTCTGCTCAGCAGGCGAAAGATCGGCGTATCGGCGTTGAGGATCATTCGGACGTTTGAAAGGGAAAATCTCTTGGTTAAGCGCATGTCGGATCATATTATACTCGTCACGGTGGGATGGAAAGAATTCTCCTCGCCATGCCCACTCCAATCTGCGGTCGCACGTTTTTCCCGGTCGATTGTAGTCGCAGACAGCGCAAATAGATTCGTCAATGATTGAATCGGGCTGGAGACGATTAGACAACATCATGTTGGGATACATAGCAGCGACATGCAAGTGGTAGATCAAGGGATTGTCGGTACGGTTTGGATTATCGCGCATGGCTTCGAGGACAGATTGGATGGCAGTTTTGACTTCTTCATAGTTGGTGACTTTTTCTATTGAACATTTAGACTCCTCCACGATGCAAAACGTCAGGGCGGCATCAAGGTCGTTGGTTAGCTAAAAATCATTAGCCCACGACCTCGCTACCACAAGAAGTGTACCCTACCTCTTGAACAGCAGAAGGCGTGAATTCAAAGTTTGTGGGGATATCACTACGGAAGACTCCTGCTTCAAGAGCTTCTACGTGAGCGCCGGCATACGTCTCCGATGCCAAGCGGTGTACATCGTAGAAGTTTCCATGATCCTCCTCGTGTCTGTTCGGCATTATGATCTGACCTCGATACGCTTCAACCTATCTCAGACGGGTTGAGTGAAGCCCTAGGGAACAGCCAGTGGACGTACCATCAACAAAGTTTCGCAAAGAGTGCTACTTCCTTTCCTCAAAAGTTCGTCGGGGTTCAGCTGAATGATGTTACAAAGAAAGAAGATGAAGAGGTGCACGTATTTCATATACAGGTAGTAAATTGCGACTGCATCTGACACAGAATACTGCGCTAGTGTCTGAGGTTGTTCTAGCGCGTAACTATTAGGAAGATCAGGTCACTGAAGAAATGAACAACGAGTCGTACTTACGGAGTCATGAGTTCAGGATCTAATTCTATAGGGTTGTAGCCCAACTTTGAGGCAGTTATAGCCTTCAAGCCCTAACTTCCCTGAGGTAGGTAGGAATCACGCTTCACCCAACAGAAGCAGTCCATATGTACACAAGTTCTCGATTTGTATTCAATGTCAGAGTCCTTTGCGAAACCGGTTTCAAGGTATAGGCCTATTCCGTTGACTTTTGCGCGTGCGTTTAGGAACGGAAAATCAAAGAAATCGCTGTTGAAAGTGGCTATCACGGTGGGTTTGACGTCTTGAATATGGGAAAAGAAGCGTCTGATGGTCTCAGCCCAAACACGCCATGAACAAAGATGGTCGAGGAAGTAAAAATGTGTGCGCACTTCATTTGGTTCATTACATATTATGAAAGGACCCTCATAACCTTCCATTCGGGTATACTCAAAAATCTTCGATGTCCTCGCTAACGATCTCCCGGTTGGCGATGAGATATCCCTGACCATCCACCATATATATGAAATCGTCATGACTTGATCTGTCGCTTGGTCAGGAAATTTCAGCGGAGCCTTGGTGGTTTCGATATCATAGGCCATGACCACTGGGTGCGCACGTTTTACACGCTCAGCAATGTGACGGAAATCGGGCTGACCAGCGGTAAAGCTTACTGCATCCCAGAGCCCGACACGAATGTCATTGTCGATGGCCACTCGTAGATAATAAGGAACGTCGTATTCACGAATATCAATGATAGCCTATCGGGAGTCTTCACGACATGTCGCATTCTTGGAAAAACCAGCGTTACCCCATCCTTCTTCTTCGAACGCGATATCCATGTTAGCAAGACCCGTGGAAGTCGCGTTGACGACCTCTGCATACGCGTCTACAGTGTCGCGTTTGGCACCAGTGGCAAGAGCCAAGGGGAGGAGTTCACGACGGACATTAAGCAACTCTGAAACGCTCCGAAAGCAGAGCTGTAGATAGAGGCGACGGTGGCCCATGAGATCGTTGGGAAGTTTAAGATCTTCTTTACGATCGCGAACAATGCGACAGATGAGGCCTTCATACTTTTTGTTCAGCCATTCTTCGACTGAATTTTCCATACCGGTCTGAGAGAATATGAATATTGAGTAAATGTTTATAAAATGAGCTGACCTTGCAAGCGATATAAAAATAAGGCTCATATTGATGCGTGCACTTGAACATTTGTCCATCGTCTTGAATAAAGTAATAGTCCACATCTGCCTTCCCAGATGGCCAATCCGCGTCTTTGACAAGAGTCTAAGCGCAATCTCAGAATTGGATTCGAACGACCAACAAAATGCTACGCACCGGATGCATGTTCACCAACCAGCCTTTTTTGACTACGCCTTCTTGTACCAATCCGAATTCGAGTTTTTCATGAATCTTATCACTAACTTTGACCGCCTCGAATCTCTCCGCCAGTTGTGTGCCGTCATCTTCGCGTTTCGGAACATCGTCTGGCTTTCCTTTGCCTTTTCCTCGTCCCCTACCTCTCCAAGAACCTCCTCGATAGCTTGAAGCGCGGAAAGCGCCATGATTTCCGCCTCGCGCAGAGGAGAGACCAAAGCCGCGACCTCTCGCCATAGCAATTAATACGAAGGGATTGCATTTAAGCCTGGTACTAGTAGAGAAACGCGTCACGACCCACGTGGCTCTTTGTGCCGCTCGGCGCTTACTGTCGTAACCTCTGTAAAGACTCCCAAAATAGTGTACATATGTACGACCTCAAGCCTTTAAGATACGTACTCGTGTATAGGCTTTTGCTAGGGAGCCCTAAAACGCAAGGTTAAAACGCCACGCTCCCTAACTGACGAAACAAGACGAATCGGTATTCCCGACCGAAATTACCCGCGAACGAACGCTTGGGCAGAACCTGAAACATGTTCGCGTACCTTTTTTGCTTGCCATGCAATTTCGGAATTTCCAAAAATGGGTAATTCTCGCTCTGGTTCTTCATTTACTGCCACTCCAATGATTTCTGACTCTTCGGATGACGATGTGAATGAACAAGACACTCATGCCAACGGATTTGACTCTGCTTCTCGCCTTGGCTCACCCTCGATTTCTTCAGTTCACGAATCACGGGCAGAGGTCGACGATGAAAGCATCACTTGCCTTTTGGGTTGACTGTGGAATTGTATTTACGGATCTCCAAGTATTCATTGATCACATTCATAACCGTGCCATTGGTTTATTGGTTTAAGGATAGAATGTGTGTTTCTTGCATCGGACTTCCTGAATTCCACGCCGTGCAGTTCTTGAAGTACCTGTTTACTGAGGGCGATTAAGCCAAGACCGGAAACAACATTGAAGGGGATGGAGAGCGAGATCGAGATGAAAGCTCTGACTCGAAACAGCGATCTCCGTCCGACAATGCTACTATCGCAACTTTCTTAGCTGCGACGATGTCTTCCCCTTTGCATTGGAAGACTGGAAACGGCCAACTAGAGAGTCAGTCAAATGGCTTGATGAACTTAACGATGGAGCTGATTGAAATTCGAAAGATGCTTCTGAGTATCGATCACAGCAATTCGCAGAGACTGCCTAGCATAGTAGTTATCGGAAGTCAGAGTTCTGGGAAGAGCTGTGTATTGGAAGCGATCGTTGGGGCACCACTTTCTCCCTAAGTAAGTACATCGATCCTCCTTTTTATTCCTCGGTCAATCTATACACAACTTGCTCATGGTGTTTCTATACTCAAGAGGTAATAACATGGTTCCTAGTCGCCCTGTTGAACTCACTCTTGTACACACCCCAACACCTCCCGGCAACACTCTTTCCGAAAATCGGGAATTCCCTGCTGTTGAATCAGGCAAAATTCACTCCTTGACCGACATTCAGCGTACACTTACCGACATGAATCTGGCCTTAGCTGCCTTAGAAGCTGTTTCGAACGATCCCACCGATTTTCGCATATACTGTCCCTTCGTCCCTGACGTTACTCTCATTGATCTTCGAGAGTACGTCCAGGTTGCCTCTTTTGACCAACCTGAAAGTCTTAGAGAGATAATTGCTGGATTTTGTGATAAACATATCCGTGAATTCAACAATGTACTAACCGTTTTCACAGTGGATGCCGATCTTACCAAGAGGCCGGCCGTCAGAGCTAGTCGCAAAGATGACCCATCGGGGTTAAGCACGATCGGTCTTATCACCAAATGGACTCGGTCTCTCGTGAAGAGGGTGCCGCCATTCTGGGAGGTAATCGTTATCTGTTGCATTTGTTTACATAGGAGTAGTGACGAAGGTTATTGGGAAGAACAAATTTGAACGTACGGGTGAAATGGTCAAACGAAGAGAAGACGACTTTTTGGGAGCTCATAAGGGCATTTGAGTCAAGCTCAGCCTTGGTTGGAACCTGTACTTTGTGGAAGAGCATTGATGATATCGTCTCTTCATGGAATAACGAACGCCGTGCAATTTGGATTGGAGGAAGCGACCTATCAGTTCAATATACGATATAACGATCGGAGAATAACATCAGAGCTGTACGTGGCGGAGACGATGTATCTATTCAAAGCTTGCTTTCAAACCGCCAAGGCAGAATTTCGTAAAGCAATCGTCCGCGGATGGAGAGGAGTTGGGAGGATCAGATAATAGCGGTTCACTCAGAACCCTTACTTGTCGAATTGAGTTTCTGAGCACGTTTCCGCGTAGTGAAAGACCAAACTCGCAATGCTATGTTCTTAGTTAAAGACTGATCGTCAACCAACTGAGCAAGACTTTTCCTTCGTGGAACCGGTACGCTTTCACCCTTTCGAAGGCAATCTTTGGCCATGCTCAGACTAGATTTTGTTGATGATCAAGAGTTTAGCTTTAAATTTTGAGCGAGGTAGGTTGAAGAACTTTAAGGAGGGATGTGTGGTGGTTGAAACAGTTACTCTTCCTGGGTAGCAGCTTGGGATCGTGTAGAAAGACATATACATATATCGGAAATCACATTGCTCAGGCCGGCATCTATCTCAGCACGTGCAGCAGGAAGATTACGGCTAATGACGAAAGTTTCATACTCGGGACTCGTATGCATGGTAAACGCTTGAGCAAACGTGGAGGAAGATCGACGATTAGGAATGGAGGGTACTTCAGGGCTCGAGGTATCACCTGCTTGCAGCATCTGGGATTCGGTAGCCAAAGCATCGAGCAATGTCTCTGTAAGCTGGTCGCCATTATCTGAGGCAAGCTCAGGAACAGAGTTGATGATAGGAAGTGGAACGATAGTCTCGTATGGATGATCAAGCATGGAAGGGACGATCTCCCATTTCCCATCTAAGAGGATGCTAGCAGTTGGTTCATTGATTCAACTGGAAGTTGGATAGGCGATGGATATTCGTACAGCAGTCAACCACGCTTCGTTTTCCTGTTGCCAAGCTGCGGCAAATTCAAACTCGTGCCCGTTGCAAGAGAAACGAAACTAGCATGGAAGCCAAGCTATGTTCGTATCAGTATCAGTGATAATAAGAGATGATCACGAACGACATACGTTTAGATTGTACTGCCTCGATGATTTTGAAGTTGTCCAGTTTGAGCCAATGTCTATGCTCGTATGTCCTACCTTTAGTGACCTTGGTAAGAATAAAGTACCCACTGCGATAAAGGAACGTACCAAGATAATTGACGTTAATATTTGCCGTGCCTGTGGACTGCATTGTTGACCGCTGATGTATGACATCTAATGAACCGGCGATATGCCATGGCCCAAGCGACGAAAGAAAACCAGGTGTAAGAGCCTGCAACGGAGAAGGGTATGGCGAATGTAAGATGTGAGAGTATAATAAGCGCGAAGCAATCGGTGCAGATGGCGCAACAACGTCCTGCCGCCGTCGGGCCTCGCCAACGGTACTCGCTACATGTTGCATAGCCTGAGCCGCACTGTCGACTACCATTCCTATCTGAGAGCCAAGTAACACATATCTTGGACTCATATAACGGTTCACTCGATTTAGGCTAGTCGAGTAAGAAGTAAGAGAGGATGTTTGCATATCCGCTGTACCGGTTTGATAAGATAGTTAAAGAACGCAAGGCGAGATTTGTTTCGAGGATTAGATGTGTCTTTGTACTTGACAAGGCTATTGCACCCGAACGAAGATAACGCACAGCGTCATCGACAGTCGCAGTAGAGTTTCGTCTTGATTGCGAAGTCGAATGAAGTTGCGAAATGGAGACGGGAACAGTATTGTCAGAGGATTTCAACATCTCGAACGCTGAAGCGCAGCATTTTTGTTCGAAAGCTCCTCAGTTAGTAGGATGCGCATTGGGGAAACGCCGGATGACGTCAATCGCTTCTAGATGACCTGCGCAAAACAGCTCATAGGATGTAAGCCGCGAGGCCTAAAGCGTCAGAGGATTGAGGCCGAAAGTCGAAGAAGTGCTTGACGAACGCTTCATAGTAGGAGTATGGATGTGACGGTGATATATCTGCATGTAACGTTCAAAAATTGCTGTTACGAAATGAAAAAGGTTTGAAAACACACCGAAACCAGGATCCTTAAATCCTGCATATACGACACTTCTGTAGATAGTAATTCCATCAATGCGTGATATCTTCGGATGTCGTCCTTCAAGTTGTGCCGGTTGATTGCTGGATCCATCGAAGGTTTCGTAGTCAAAGGTGACACAAGTCTTCAACTCTCGAAAGCCGGTCCCATTTAATGATCCATATCGACTTCGTGTGCCACATTGAATGAAGGACGTCAGCGAACGAATCAATGGGTAGATTCCTCAGAAGGAATGAAGGTTGAGCTTGAAGAGCTAGTCATCGCGCCGGTATTCGACGTTTTGCTCCACCGTGTTTTTCGCCTTCCAACGAATGGATATAGATCTGAAGGCAACGTACTACTAGTGTGTGTAGCAACAGCCGGGACTGAATTTCTTTGCTGAATGAACTGATCGGACGCACGAGGAGACATGTAGGCGGGAAAGAGGATGAAGCCGGAAAGAATGACGAATGTGGACATTTAATTATACAAGTAACTGAACGTTTGAACAGTTTCGGGGGAGGCGTGGGGGCTGATTGTAAATCCACTTGGGAGACGCCCAAAAGGTAGGAGAATACTCTGAAGGGGTTGCAGGGGCTGTAGTATAGCTGTCATTGTTCAACCATATACTTTGACTATCACTGTGTTCAGATTCTGAGCTAAAAAATTCGCGCGAACAGGTGCCGGTGGTTGGAGTGCAGATTGATGCAGCACTGATTGGAGGCAAGGGAAGGGAACTGGTGACAGTAGGTCGGCGTGTGCGTCATACAGTAGGTTCTTTAAGCGTTGTAGGGGTTAAACGCCTATGTTAACTTTTCCTCTCCAAACATCAACCAACATTTCCCATTGAAAATTTTCAGGAAAACCATCGATACCAGACTCCCATAAACCAGCTTCAGCTTTAGCACAGAACGCGTCCTGTAATTTCATAACCCTTCGAGCCTCATGATAAGCTGAACGCAACGATCACATCATGTCCATATGGTTCCCGTAACGTCTGGTCTCATTGCTGCAACACTGGCTGTAAAAGTACATTGAGATAATCTAGTTGCTAGATGGTATCAAAACTCGGATACTTACAATAAATGTCGCTATACCGAGGGTTTCTTTTTACTAAAGCCTGTAGCATTTAGCTCGTGAGGAGGATGACCATTGAAAGTGGTGAACCTTCAGTGGTTCTACGGAGCTTTATCACAAAAGCCTGACCACCTGCGCCAGGTTAAGAGTATACTCTATGTATAGGTAAAGGAATAGACGAAACCTATACTGTTCGAAGTTCCAGCGAGGATTTGGGCAGAAGTGACTCCCGCAACCAAAGCTAATTCGAAAGCATTGTCACGGGTATGAAGTCCATCGATGCTCCGTAGCCATGACAGGATGGGGCCTTTTCTGCAGCCCAAATCATCTAAGCCTGCGACGTATGTTAGGGCAAGAGTAGGGGAATGCAATGATTCCGCGCTTACCACGAACAGTGGGTGAGCTCAAAATCCCGAGCTGAGAGTTAACATCCACTATCCTTAAACTCAGTCGACGTAGAATTACATAAGAAAAGAAATACATACCTAGTCCAGGTGTTACCCAACTTCCGTTTGCCCTGATCACCGTTAACTTGCGTGGATCCACTTCCATGACCAAGTCCCACGAAATGTCTTCTCCTCAGGCACGTATGATCCCCTTCGTCATGAACAAATCTCCTCTGAGGGTTTACACATTGCCATCATCGTTCTTTACACCAGAGAATATCGTAGCATTCGTAATGAGATACGACATGTTCCGCGTTCTAGGGTCATATCTGTCGAAGACGGTTCTTTTCTGGAGAAAGGATGATAGAGTTGAGGGATCAGGACGTGTATCAATGGTGTTACATTCCTGCAGAATTTCTTGGGCGTTGGCTGGGACATAGCCGTTCTGCGACTTCGCTTTGCTGCAAGTGTCTAGTGGCAGTAAATGATCATACGTGCAAAGAACAAATAGCAACAACCACAGCACGGTAAGCGTCTTTCTGGAAAAGGCTCGTGCGGTTCGTGCCAGAGGAGAATATTGTGAGGGAAGAATAGCAGGCGTCTTCTTTGAAGACATAGTTGTTGGAGTAATTGCCCAATATCACTTCAAACGGTTGTAATAGGCCTTGCTTTACCTCATGGATGGCACGAAGAATGCACTAGTCTGTGTGGCTGAGAATTGCACGACGGAATTGAGGGTCGCCAGACGTGACGCTCGCTGTCGAGTTTCGACGCGCAAAAAGAGGAGTAGAAGGAGCATAATCAACCAAATCAGGCACGAAACCGTCCGTAGTCAATGCCTGAGTAAAAGCATGCTTCGAGCGATAATGTAACTGGACGGCGAAAAGAACGCTCAATTTTTGTGCAGTTTCTTGTGGTAGGTATGACACCACGCTGTGACTTCCATAGCGCTTATCTTAGGCGCACTGTATCTAGATCTAACAGCTCTCTCTTGACCGTCGTGGCACAGATCTTCAGATAATTTGTCCTTCCTCTCTACTTCCAACTCACAGAACATAATGGATTTTGTCCAAGGCCATGATCCCTCCAAACTTGTCTTATCCGGAGCGATGATTATTTGCTCCTTGCCCGCGAGTTGTATACGTTCTCTGAATTAATGGCATTCAATGTCAGTGTCAAGGGTTTTCCTTTTTCCTCTCTGGATTCACAGCTCCAGCCTACAATCTTCAGATCTTCCTATTTGGTATATACGCACAAGAAAATGCTGGCTCGGCCTTTTTGTCTTTGCAAGCCGTATGTGTTTTCTCTCCAACTCCCGCATTTGGTTTCAGCTGACATATTGTGCAGTCCACTGATCTTCTTGAAGCTTCAGAATTCTACGACATAATTTGCATGCTTAGAACCGAACAAGGAGGTTTCGTTAATTTTTTTACAATTTGATTTCTGCTTGTCCAGTCGACTGTTGGTATAATTCATGATTTGCTGTCGTTGCTAACATATTACTAGATTCCCATCTTCCTTACTCTTGGACTTGCGGCTCGCCAAAAAGGTGCACAGTTTGCTGGATTAGGAATTCGAGGGAACGATATTAACACACCCACTGGTGCGACAGCCAGACATCTAACTTTATTGTCGAAACTGACAAGCTACGGCTCAATATCAAAACGTTGATTACGAATTGGTCTCCTGAACCGACCAGACTCGTAACCCCTCCTTCAGGCCCTACAGCATCAGTCCAGGCTGTTCCAGGAGCGTAACAGGAGGGTAACAAACTGCATAGTGCAAGGAAAGTCAATGTACGATCGTCACTTACTATTATAGTTGTTGTACAAGGACATGTAGACTCCGAAGGAAATCTATCTTAGCTTGCGCTCCATGGCGAGCATAAAGCCAAGAACAATTGAGATTTTGACAATGGACTGCATCATCTAGCGCTGTTCCCGTGTAAGATGCACAACATTTGCGCTGTTAGTTAAACGTTGTTCATTTGATCGAATTACGACTCGAGAGACCCAAGAGGGTTGATTACGGCTGTCTCCGGCATTGGCTACACAGGCTGGGGGCATTCAATAGTTTGAAAGGATGCAAAGTAGAAGGATCCGACCTTGCAGTGCAGGAGAGCCGGAAATAAGACATTCGGAACGGTCAAAATGTTCATTCATGTTATACTGGTCCAACTCGATCACCTGAGGGTACCCACGATTGCTGGACAAAGTAACTTCAGACGTCTGGCTTTGGGCATTTCGTTGTACCATTGGGGGATCATAACATCTGAATCGAAGATACGTTCCAGTGGTGGAATGGGCACCTGGATATATAATACGTACTGTCGAGTTGGGTGTGACTGCAAGGCTAAATGAGTAAAACAATGCCAACCCGAAAAAGGTAGCTACACACGGATTGGGCAAAAATTTCAAGGGATCTATAGCTCTACCCGTGACTCGGAGTTTAGAACCGGGTTCTCCGGCGCAATAACATAGGACACATGTTCGCCATACCGAGGTTCCTCACCAGGATCCAGAACTGTTGTTCTCGCTGTCACGGCTACTCCGGGTGGAGGAGGTTCTTTTTTTGTTACGGGAAAGTCACGACGACCTCGAGCAGATGATTTTGAGATATACAAGTTGTTTACCTGTAGCTTCCCATCGTAAAAATGAAATCCTCAACGGGTGCTTTGTTCTCCAGTTTTGTCTAAAAATCGTAGCGATACTCCTTTATTTTGTTCAAATCCTGTGTTTGAAACAATGTACTTATGAATGACCATTAGTTCGTGGCCCGACATTGGTAAAGGAGCATTCACTTCAAGCAATTTTCAGTCATTTTCTGTTGCGCTACAATTCCGTCTATGCCGCTATGCGGACTGCCTAAAAGGTCGGAACGCGTAATTCGCAAGAAAGTAAAGACGTGGCGTTTGGCTACTGTGAAGGTTGTTGTATGTCTTGCATCCCACTTGATGTTGTTATTTGAAGAATAACGAGGAAACGAACGAACAAGTAATTCCTCCAATACCTGGAATGTATTATTAGCTGGTCTGTGGATTTCTAGACTTTTTCGAGATTTACCAAATGAGCGAGCTCTAACTGCGAGGTAACCCCAGGAAGAAATTTGAACATCCAATCCGGTTATAATATCCGCATCCAAGTCTATGACAATATCTATAAACTAGTTAATTAGATCTAGTTCTGACCAGATCGCTTCGAGAGCGATCATTGGAAGTATTGCAGCATCCATTTGTGCAGAGTTTACACATGCTACACGGTGTATCCGATAGTCAGCCTCGTCTTCGGCCATTTCGAATGTATAGAACAACGCAACAAGTTCTAAACCGCCGTTCAATTTGAAGGTATTGCTTGCGAGTATACAAGTTGTCACCGTTTTTCTCTGCGAGCGGTAATCTCCTAATATTCGACGGCACTGGTAGTAAATATAGATCACTATGAATCAGAACTGAGAGTCGTCTTGCTCACCAAAGACTTTCAAGGACAGCATACTCATATCCTATTTTTCTCGAGAGGCATCACCCTCTATCTTTATTGGTGAAGCCTTGAGACCATACTGTTTTACTTGCGTAGGGCCTTGGATCTGCGGAAATTAGGAAGTGCCTGAGGTATCAGTAGATGAGCTGACCTGTATACGAGATGGAAATTTAGGCAATTATTGTTTCAGCTGTCTTTTCAAGTAGGAATGAAACCGCGCTCGAATCTCCTTTACACTGGGAGGAGCTCCAGCAGTATTCCCAGCCACCTATGCTCGGATCACCTTGCAACAGATTATAAAACGCATCGTTGCTAGTCTCTTGGAGCCAAATTCTAACACTTAATCATCGAGAAGAGCGATTCCCTCACCACCTTTGAGGTTATATACGAGAGCAGCATGCCCACGCGGTCTAGACGACGCATCTTTCTCATTGGAGTAGTACGGAGCACGATGAATCCTGCTCTTGAGCCCGAAATCCTCGACGGTAGATAAAAGTTGACAAGTACTGCGTGACGGGTTGGAGTACATATACGTATGGTTCTAGGTGTAAGGATTTCTGCCCGAGACCACATTGTCTGTGAGATAGCAACTTTGACCGTTGTTAATACAAGTCCAGTCAGTGCTCCGGGGGGGTTCAAGGCAATGGTTTGGCAGTGGCGCCTCGTGAACGGAATCTTCAAGAGATGGCAATGGATTGTTGAAGTCAAAACAGCACCTGGAATACGACGCTGATTTACGACTGGCATTGGAGTAGGTTCGCCAATGACCGCATCACCGTTTGGCTTGGGTTTGCCAAATTTTGACCTCCTTTCGTGTTACATTTCAATCATCATCAGCTTACGGGGCTTTCAGGGAAAGGCACTGTATTCACTTTGTTGCTTTCAGAGACCCTCTGCCACTATAAAAGAGAAAACTTGAGTAAGAGAGCGCAGACAGAAAGCACTGCTCATCACCTATGATCTGAGTATAGCCCGCTTCGTCAAATTATAGGATCGAACCCTTACTCCAAAATTTCCTCTTCTTCTTTGCTTTCGGAGGAGTGATCGCCGTTCTGCGAGACAGCATCGCCAACATCACCATCATCAAACTCGTCCCCTGGCTGATTGTATTCCCATCGGTCCAGATAATCGTCTTCATCTACCTTCTCCATGTCATCTGTGGGCGGCTCCTTCACTGAGAGAAACGAAACATCAACATCAATGTTTAGATCATCTTCTACACTATCCTCGCCGGTAGCGAGTCCACTATTGCAGTGAATTCCGTCTCTGAGTGGGTGTCTCGATCAAGTCGAACTCCTCGTGGTTTCCAAGTCTTATATTCTTCCTCCCACAACGCTTCAATACTTTCGACAGTCGTCATTACAGCTTCCTGTCAGCTTTATGGATCTTTAATGTTATGCGCTTTGATTCGCTCCTGTTCGATACGACGACCAACGTCGTCCCAGTAAATCGCTTCAGCTACCCAGCTACCGGTTGAACCTCGAGAAGAACCGCTGAAATCGACCGGGATCTCTGAAGAAGGATCCAAACTACGACTGTGGCGCCTTGCTGATTCGTCTTCCCAAAGCTCGCGCACGCTGAAAACCAACGGATCCCATGAGTGAAAAACTCGAACGCGTACGACAAATCGCCCTTTTCTCATGTTATGCACTGGTAAGTAATACAATTTGATCATTTAATTAAAACTTGGTCGGTAACTCGATTGGACGAACGTTAGGAGGAAGCGTATAATCATATTCGCTATTGAATATTTCGGGAAACATTGAAGAAATAGACGGCAAGGAGGGGTTGTCAATGTTATATTCAAGTGATGAAGTCGGATGACAGGGATATCTAGTTGACGTTTTGTATGAATTTTCGTCGGTTGCAGCGTCTGAATCCACATAGATTGGGTCGTAGAAACTATCTCCGCTAAGAAAAAATGAAGCTAATGGTATTTTGGCACGGTGGCAAACGTACTGATGTCGCTCGACTGCGATGCGTTGTCGTTCAAACTCGTTTTGGCGCAAGACTCGCCTTCGATTCTGATGCAACATTGGGACGTTGTAATTATGCATGAATTTGGCCGTGGAACTCACGTCGAACCAAGTCTAAGAACTCATGCATCTGCGTATGAAATAATGAAATTAGAACACGTACTTACCTTCACCTGCGCAGACGTCAACCCTGTGTCTTTGACCAGCTGAGCAATAGCTTCATTCGTTTGGTAAATTGCCTGCAGCAGGATCAGCACGATGGACGTGTTCAGAGGCTAGTGAATTACCTTGTTCAAGGCCGCCGATAGAATTTGGAGTTGTTCGGGATTCAGAACGGTGCGAGTTTGCTTTCTGTTTTGCATATTGCCTGTTTTTCGAAAACAAGATACTCAGTGTAATACACCGATATAACCTAGGAAAACAACGACCTATCTGTACGTCGTGGTGACACTACCCTCGTTATATACGAATTCAGCGGTAACTTCCTAATGTAGTTGACGGATGGTGAAAGAACAAAATAACTTAATCGCTGTTTATGGAAACAGGGTTAGTCAAACCGATTCTAGGTCATTGCATTACTACACAATGCCCTGCTTGCTACCATGATATTTTCAATCCTTGATGAGTCGAGCATCGATGATTTTGCATACCTCGTTCTTCGGTTGAACTCCTTGTCGCCGTGACCATTCGCTCAGAACACTTGTTCACAGGTACATATCTTCGCCATCGCATTGTAGCACTTCTTAACGACACCAATGATACTGGTTTCCTATTCGAGCTCCATATCCAGCAATTTATAGTCATCAGCCTGCAAATAATATTCAGTATAACCTGTCGAATTCACGAATTTATCCCTGATAATACGAAGTTCAATAGATCAGCATGAAACAAATCCTCCTTTGAATTTTCTTAGCAGCGCCAGTCAGGTAAGTCGGTTCTATATGATATCCTTTTCACCGAATATTCATTAAATCAATAAGTGGTCTACGTCGTATTTCGACTTACCATGAACAATCTCCTCATTCATTCAAATTTATCCGGTGTCGGTATCGAGTTTTCTGTAATGACGATGAAAGGTGTTGACAATCTTTTGCATTCACCACATATAATTGACATGCACGCAGGAAGACGACTGTTAAAAGCTAACTGCGGTACAATTTTACACAAACCAACTAATATGCGGGGAATTGATGAGTTGTTGTCATCCAATGCATGAAAGAGTAACATACGTGGTGCGCCGATAGAACAACTATCATAGAAAGCTGCTGAATGAAGTAAGCATAGTACTTGTACAATCGGTTTCACTTGTATTGGCACGTCAGTTCAACGCTGTTGCGACTACCTTTGAAAAGCTAACAGGTGTTTTAGCTGCCACTTCAACTAAACATTTGTGGTGGTCATCGAATACCTCACTCAATGAAAGGCGATCTTGTCGAATGTCGTCGATGTTGAACTATATCATCAATATCAATCAGAAACCATCTAAGAAACATCGCATGCAATGACGATATACTTTTTTGAATCCGTGGCATAACGGTCTGATAAACATAAGGTATGCCCCATATGCTACTTACGTGCGACCGTTTACCGTCGTGCCTGCATTCGTTGAGCAGCGCGCACGGAATTCGGAGGCATGGATACAGTTATGCAAGGTATTATGTCCGATGTTAGACACTCGGACACGTACAAGACTGCTGCGTTGTATGTCTGTACACGAAACGGTCAGTATTATGGACAGATATCGGATCGATAGTAAGTAATTTACGACATCTATAGTCATTACCTTGATGCAACTCAAAGTCGGTTTCAGATGATGAGTAACTAATAGTGGAGGAGGACTCCTTCTTTGAAGTTAAGGTGTAAACGACGTTGTTCCAATACTCTAAAAGTTGCAAGATATGAACTTTGGTAACAATTAGTGTTGTGAATCACTCACGCTGGAGATAGGTTTCAACAGGGTTCAGCATTATGTTTGAAGGAATCCAACGTATCAAAGGGAACTCCAATTGTGTTAAGCGGTATCGCTACGTTCATGATTTCAGTCGACTGCATTCGTTTGAACGTACCAAGTTACGTACCTTTACCGTTCTGAGCTATTGTCTAACTTCCGTTACATCCTCTCTAGAAACATAACCACTATATGATGTTGAGCAAGTCATCGACTCGATTAGTGAGAAGGTCCAAACGCGCTGTAATGTCTGACAAAATATATCACTTGAACCAATGTGGTTTCACATAAGACGATGCTACACATACCACATTTTCTGTATTGATTCGAACAATTCTTGACTCAGGTGGAAACCCTATGCTTGTGTATCAACTTCTGCTTGATCAAGAAAAGGTGTCGATCATCGATTATTCGTAAGGAGGTTAGATATTTTGCATTTGAAACTTAACTGTTGTTATTCATACGTTATGTCGCAGGCCAATTGCAACGGGATGCACCTGTGTTTATGATATACAGCTCGGACAACGTCAATATCGTACGAATAGTGGTCATACAAGAGCGGATACCGGTGAATGCGAACGAAACATTTGACTAAGCAGTCACTTATTCGCTGTCTTTTGTTGAAGATGCGTTAAATCCTTGTTGCAGTTCGAGCTGTTGTACATGAATATCCATACGGTGTTGTTAGCTGAATTTTTTTGATGAGTGCACAGAACTGAGGTGTTTAGCCGCTCCCACGACCGTTATGGTCTTGCTCCATATACTGCAACTCGTCTATTTACAACATTGAGCCTTTTGGTGAGATTCTATCACGTCGTTGTCGGAAATATGAGATTATGGAGAGCTGAAAGATGTTATACTTCACCAAGCGGAATATACGGTGCGTGCTTGACTTATACAACGAAAGTTTTTTTATGAAGATACCACATGAAGCTGCTGGCATTACAGTGTCCAAGAACGATGTAATCACAAATTCATTCAAGATATCTACCTAGTGTGTTATTCGACGTTCTCAATGTAGCTGCACTATAATCTAAACGCACTCGCTTCAGCATATAGACTTCAAAAAATGTACAACAAACCTGTGTTAGGATTTAGAACCATATCGTGAGTGTTCGCTGCGAATTTTTCAACTGAAACAATCAAGAAACTCTAGATATTTTGGCAAAACCTACCACGAAAAGAACGATTACTGTGCTGAACTGTATCCGATCATAACTTGATTCAGGTGAGCCGCTGAGCCAGTGCCATCGTACTCAATACTGTCCGTGTTGAAAATCCTGAAAGCACTCCTCAACTGTGTTTAGGTCTTTCGATATAGGTTCGTTCAACGAAATCTACTCAGTCTTTCTGGTTTCGAAGAGGAGCATGGTCAAAAACGTATGGATGTCTTGCAGGAAATGTGCGTAACTTCAACCTTTATCTACACCATTATGTTTACGTTGCAAAACCAACAATTATCCAGACGCTTTCCAAGTCTCATACAAACGATGCTATACGCTAACAGTGATAACCACAACGACCTCACTGTCGATCGTTTCCCCCAGCACCTGATTCACCACTTCACTTGACATCGTTTGCTATCATCTACGTTTTCATCACTAATGTGTCCTACCGCGAATTCCGCCTGCGTCTAAGATCTCTTCAACTACACCGTCAGAGACCTATACGTATGTCCAAGACTTGTTCAAGAAACGGCATAGACTCTGAATAGCAACTGAGGACTCAAATGGAAGATCAACGCATGATGATAGATATCCGCTGAATATCGGTCAGTCCGTTTCGCGACTTTATCTGCTTTCAACATAAAAGCTTATTATCCGCATCATATTACTATAGCCAATATTTTCATCCTTTTGAGAACGAGAATGAAGTTAGACGTACTCCGTTTTGTTCCTAAGCATCGAAATCTTGCTTACAACCACCGTCACGAGCTCATTTCTGAGAGACGACCGCCTTGACGACGAAGTCTTATGCAGCGAGCTTAGACGCAAATCTTGATTTCCTAAACACCACTTGCAGCGAAACATTAAGTCTCAGCAGTAGAGATAAACTATCTTCGACAAATGTTTTGTTTGATGATGTTCAGCCGCGCCAATGTCGTTCACGTACTTGCCCTTTTTCGGTTCTGTACATCAGAATGATCATCAGTCTAATTATAGATCAATAGTATTACATCGCATATACCAATACACCTGTATGACTAATACGTTACGATATGTAATACAGGTACATAAAGACCGTCAAGTCGAATCTGCAACTAACCGCAGCGCGTACTATCGCGTACTGTTGTTGTAAGTTCATCTGCAAGCAAGGATACTCGTGATGTTTTGCTGTGTTTTGGATACAATTGTCCGTAAGTACGCTCTCAACTTTTCTTATCATGCAACAACGTACAATATTACGGCGATACATGGGAGGTAAACAATCCCAATTGGGAAAAACCAGGCGCTTGGCATCAGTCGCCTTGTACCCGTCAACCCCGCACAAATACTGCGCTTTGCATAACTCCGTAAAATTTATTGTCATGGACCGCTACATCGGGTCGAGATCCAACGTCTGAATGAACTACGTATGTACACTTTTGTTCAATCTACATAATTCTCTACATCCATTCGCACATACAAATTTAGTAGCTGGACTTGACATAGTAATCAATATCGTCGTGAGCACTGCGTTCCTCTTTTTTTTTTCGTTCGTCGTACACGTCTTTGTTGTCATAGACGCAACCACTAACCTACTTGTCGGTAGAAAAAACATCACGACGGACAAGGTCATCTATCTCAGCCAATATATGAGATGGAACACTGAACATTGTCATAGATTCATTGTTGTTTGAACTGTCCACATTATCAATGAGGTCGAGGTTCAAAAGATCGGTAACATACTGGTTGACATTGCTCGATGATCGACCACGTACATCCTGAGACAGACAATTGTTCGAAGAAGAACAACTTTGATGACGGTAATTATATGCGCTGCTATTTTGAACGAATGTCTCCATCTGAGTAGCAAATTGTGGATATCGTTGAGCTGTTGAAAATCGTTAACGAATATGTTGAACAAAAAAAAACATGAAAGTTTACTCGAGTCATAAGAGCTCTCGTGTTCAATCGCTGGCGCAACTGCAATTGTATTAGCACGCATAAATCGTTTAACAAAATTACAAGCGCTTACGAAAAGGGGAACGAGCGGTTGAGGGATTTTGAACGAGAGTGCGACTATTGTTCGTAGAAGATACCTTGTATGGGATCCGCGATGACATCGAATCCAATGTTTCATAGATAGAATCGTCATGGTCTCGAGAATATACCGAGGAAACGATCTGACCAACGCCGCCGTCGTTTGAAGGACGGACCGAAACGACTGGAACGATTTTGCCTTTATCAGTGGGTCCAAATTTTCCTTTAGAATAATATTCGAACATCGGTTGCCATTCCTCAGAAGTCGTATTCAAATTGTAGATTTGTTCAGAATTTATTGGGTGTACTCGCTCTGCACTTGATCTGTAACGCTGCACCGCGTTTGGCCCGTACTCGTGATCCGCGCTTGGCCTGTAAAACTGCTCCGTGTTTGTCCCATAGACTTGCTTCATGCTTGAGTCATATGAACCGTAAACATGTCGCGCACTTATTCCGTGGACCTGCTCCTCGCTTGAATCGTATGAATGGTAGACTTGCCCCGCGCTTGTACCGTAGACCTGCTCTTCACTTGACTCGTGCAAACCGTAGACGTGCCCCGCACTTACGTCGTGAACCTGCGCCTCACCTGGCCTATAAATCTGTTCCGGAATTGACCTGTAGATCTGCTCTGGACTTGTCCTGTATCCATGCTCTGTACTTGACTCGTATACCTCCTCCGGTCTGGATTCCTGCTCCGCAATGTACTCGGGGTCCTGCTCCGCAACGAATTCGTAATCCTTCTCCGCACTGGACTCGTAATCCTGCTCCGGGCTGGACTCGTAATCCTGCTCTGCACCGGACTCGTAATCCTGCTCTGCACCGGACTCGTAATCCTGCTCTGCACCGGACTCGTAATCCTGCTCTTCACTGCAAGACATACTCGCATGCGGAACAAGATCCATTCCACGTGACGTAGAATCCTATTGTGAATGCGACGAACTTATCAACGAAAATCAAAATTGAAAGCTGGTTCTTACATTTTGCAAATAGTAGGCATCATTCAGAGTTGCGTCGAATGGTTCCTATTTTAAGATGTTAATCAGCGAACAATGATAGGTTGGGCAGATACACGGAAATGTCTGACGTTGTTCGTTCGACCGTTTTGCACTTTGGTCATTGGCGGAAGGACACCCTCACGAGTAGCTATCTTGTACCATATCATAAGCCAATTATACTGATCTTCCGATAAATCCATAGCGTCCAATACATGGCTTCTTTTCAGAAGCGGGAGGCGACTGCACTTCCCGTGAGTGCCGCAATACTCGCAGTGAAGAGTAGTTTCCGTTATCTTGCACTGTATATTTTGAGCGTGACAAGCCGAACACGTCTGAACTTGAACGTGAATTGAACGAAACACACACACAACAAAGATAATTACGATTTTGCCATATTTGATGTTTAACTGTCTCTTCTGTTCTCTAGAAATCCTCATGCAATACAACGCACGGAAGGTGCGTTTCAACTCTTCAGTCACCCATTTAGGTTCTCCAAGATCTGCCAGCTGTATGACTTAGTTCAATGTTTTACTTATGTTGAACAACACGTACCGTTTTCAGTTTAGAGTAAGGATTCCTTGACTGTCGTTTGTGACGATCTGATTCGGAAACGGGATCGTGGTAGTAAACATATTCATACTGGATGTCCATGGTTCACTGTAGGAATGCAACAGGGAGTGCAATTGCAAGCGGCGCGGTCCTTTGAGTGTCCTCCTTCGTACCAATGAGAATGCAAACCTCACAATCACCCATGATGTCGAGAATCTGTATAGATTACATATCCCAAATAGAGATAGACCGTCGTGTTGCAATAAAGGGTACAGTCTGTCGAAGTATTGAACGAGATGCCAGATGGTGGAAGTAGAAAAAATTGCAGTAGTAATCAATACAAAAGTTTCAATAGCTCTAATGCCGTAACGACACGAAGTCCCCTTTTTGTGTGCGACAAATTCAATCTGTGCACGGTCGGGTCCTGGTCTTCTGTTTAGGTTGATCTTATTTCCAGCTCAGTATTCTTCTTCAACTTGGACCTACCATAGATTCGGTAACAGGCGGAATACTTTTTAGGTCGCGGTTTGCGGCCGTTGCATATCAAATGACACTATTTCGTTCACATAGACCTACGATATTCGTCTGGCATACATACTGATGAAAGTCATCAAGTACTTGTACGTGTCGCTATAGTTCTGCAATCGCCCAATCGAAACACTAATTCTCTCAGTACCAGTTTGAAAAACTTACTACTTACAGCGTGTATCAATGTCAGATTTCCTTTCGGTGTCTTACCAAATATCAGCTCTGATGGTGCGTCTCACAGCTTCGCATTACTATAATTGGTCTCTAACCATTCGTTGTTCTACTAGGATCTTATCCCATAGTATTGTACATAAGTGGTTCGAGCATCTCGACATCATTGAATCATTCATCTCTTGACCGTCTTCACCTCCTTCAAAGAGCTCGCCCTCTTCACTGAACATGCCACCCAACGTCGATAGCCGCCGCGAAGAATTTGACACTGTTCTAAGTAAGTCAATCCCTTTTCATATTTGTCTATATCTGAAGTTTAATAGATCACATCGTGACCATACTACACGATAACTGGCCTTCTTATATCATACCACCTGTTTATTCTTCTACCGTCCTTTCGAAAAACCATACATCACCTCGTTCTCGTTCCGGCAGTAGCCACTATCTGTCTCTGAGACGATTTGTGATGGAACTACTGAGACGCTCACATACGTCTATGACGGTCCTTTTGGTCGCTTTGCGATATTTGGAAATTGTTAGGTTCCAGATATTTGATATCGCTCGTTCTGGTGAAGATCAGCATGTCGAAACAAGTATCGCGACTCGGATTACTGTCACCACTGATAATGTCCTCGAAAGATCTCGAATTACATCCGTCGTGAATGATTCTAGAGATGATGATGTCCATGCACGCAACATCACCGATACTTCATACCAAATCATAGACGAGGAACGTCTACCTTCTCCACTTCCGCCTCTCCCTCTCCTTCCTTCGCCTCTTTTATGCCCAAGACGAACGTTTCTATCCTCGATCATACTTGCAACCAAATTCTTGCATGACAAGTCGTATACAAATCGCGCATGGGGGGCGCTGTGTCAGCTACCACCTCGGGAAATCAGCAGATGTGAACGTGCATTGGGTAATGCTTTGCAATGGCGCCTCTGGTTGGATCGAGAATACCCGCTTCCTGTAGCGGTATTTACTGCAGTAAATACGCCATTGGTGACATCTCATTCGCTTCGAACACGACGCGAAGATACAGAAATGAGAGACAATGCACAATATGTTGCAAGTGGAAATGGATGTACAACACTAAACTGACAGAAACTGTGGTGGTTTTTTTGCACGTACTTTTCTTAACGGAATTGGTACTTGGAAGGATCTGCGCAACGTGTCAGTGTGTAACATAATTTGTATTATATGATACTGTACGAAAACTAAAGGCAAGTATGTACCATAATGCTGGTGCAACACATTCAAACTTTAAGCTTGCAATCGAGATAGATCCACCTAAAGAACAATTCGGAGTAAGCCGTTGAATTCAGAGTTACGTTACACTTACAGGTGTATAGTCCTACGTAACACGTTACACTTACAGATGTATAGTCTAGTCCTCATATATCGGACTATATCGTGCGTTTCGTCGGGCTGATAACCTTTGCAGGTAGAACGCGTCATTTCAGAGCGTATTATCTGACATATATGAAGTATATGGATTCATCATTACTATTACCCTTTCATTCCCCAGTTTCTTCAGCACCATTCGAACCTCTTCGATGACCACTTTGCGTTTAGTATGTCACAGGTTCTCAATCCGACTGATATGTGATAGTTCATTGACCATGGTGTATCTCTAGAACGATACATCTACTGCCGCCTCTCAAAGGGACATGGATGTCGATGACTCTACTCATGCTCAACATCAACTTATACAAACTACCTATACAACCAAGGATAGTACAAAAGGATATATGTAAGTACTTCGCTCTTTCATCCGTTTGCAAGCACTGATGAACATCTTAGATCCGTATTCCAGTATTGCTTGAATGGATACATCCTCATGATGGATTGTGATGACAGTTACATATTATGGACCACTATGTGGAAAGGTACGTCGTTAACTCATGAAAGGCCAATCCTCCTGTAACACTCCGTAATGCCATTAGCTGTTGGAGACTGTTCAAGTACTGCAACCATTCTGTTACGCATAATAAATACTAATTCTTATTGTCTTACTCAAGTTGATGTGATGCAATTGCTCCGTCTCCGACCAGATCTTGCACGATCAGTGCGAATTGTTAAAAATGGTAAAAGTCAGGTTCGGGGTACCTGGTTACCCTATCAAGTACGTTTCGACATGATTATCTCTTGTCCTCACTTTCAATTACCTGGTTCGTTTCAGCTAGTATCAGCATTACTTTTGAGGTGACGTATCAATCCCGTTCGATTATATCATAGATTGTTGACATCGTGAATACAGAATAGCATGGCCTTTCCGAAATCAGTTGACACCATTCTTTGGGTAAGTGGCGGTAAATTTCCCTCATTAGACATTAACATATCAATACCCAATACTGGTTCAGACAGGAATTTCCTTCGAAATGTATCCCTCCAAATAATATCGGACAAAACTACGATATCAACTACCTTCATGTAACTCCCACCAATTATTTACGCCACGACCGTCAATTGAGCGAAACACGCGACTATGACACAAACGCGACCCGGAAACTTACACAAAACCCATCTACGCATCATTCGCTCCTACCACATTTACCATCTTCTTCCTCTTCTTCGTGTCATACTCCCCTTGGATCGGTTCTGGGCGGTGACCCGTATCCAACTTCTACTGGTTCGTATTCAAAATTAAATAGGACAGAATGATTTCTTATACTTGACACAGATTCTCATTATCTTAATCAAATCAACCAGTCATACAGTCAATGGCCCCCACACTGGGACTCGACGTTTTATTCAGCATCGTCGTTTTCATCTCCGGAGAATTTTCTAGCTGCTTCAATTCCGAACCTCGAAATTGATCTATTTGGTTCTGATAGCTCCATTTCGAATCAAACATTTGTTCCTGTATTACCGCCCATATCTATATTTGAAGATCTACGTCAATTCAACGCCGACGATGTGTCAGACGTACTTCGTCGTTTGCGTAATGACAAGAATGAATGAGTTCTACCACCCGTTAAGTAATTACTCTTAATATTGTTCCGATATCTTACATGAAGTTGCTATCACAGTGGAACACAATATTGCTGTGATACTACTTCTCAATCATTGGCTACCTTTATTAGATAAAGTTTCTCTATCCCAACCGCGATCTGATGTACAAATTTGATTCTTGGTTCCACTTGTGAATATTTTTGTACTTTACCTTACATATATTTTGTTCAATTGCAATTGTTATTTGTTGGATCAATTCCATATGCATACATATAGCCCGATATCACTGCTTTGAGTACATGACACAGCCTTACATGTATATGCTATGATGACCATAAACTGTACGATTCCAAGTATATCACACATGACAGAGACTCCTGAGCTCCCTCAGTTGTTCCGTTACCAACTGAGGTGAGTTCGAGTGTATAACTCACCATACATAGACTGATCAAACTGTTAGTGTATGCTCAGTTGTCTGTCAAGCAACTGATATATTGTGTATAGTACCTGTTAGTGTATGCTAGGGTATGTTAGTGTTTAGTGTATGTAGAATTGGCTATAGCTCACCTCACTTGTCTGTCAAGCGACTGAGGGATTCTACGCACACCGGTGCTCTGATATGTATGAACTGTATAGTATAAGATAATAACACTGTATTGGTTATACGTACTCGGAGGTTCATGCATATGTACTCGTACAGAGTATTGCCCAACACACCCCTCTACTCTGTATGATCCAGTCCGAGGAGGTGAACTAATTTGGAGTGCGTAGTGCCATTGAGAGCTTTGGTGAATATGTCGGCCATGTTCTCCCCAGACCGGATGCATTGGATAATATCATCATCATTATGTGTAGCTATATATTGCATAATTCATTATATTTTCATCATGTTCATTGTCATTTTTTAATTAGAGGTCTTCATCGTCATAATAAAAACTCTGGAGTGTATCCATAGAGCACTTCAAATGGTGCTTTGTCATGGGCAAAATCTACTCGAGATTTAATAACAAATTTGGCAGTAGGAAGAAGATGGTCCCAGTCATCCTAACGTCGGCTAACATACATTCAGATGTATCTTTCGATTTCTTGGTTAGCTCATTCAGTCTGGCCATTTGTTTCAGGGTGGTACAATATTGTCAGGGCAGATTCAATATCCAACCATTTTAGCAAGGCCTTCATGATGTTGGCAGCAAATTGTGGTCCTTGATCAGAAATAAATCGTCTGGGAAGTCCATGAAGTTGGCAACTCCTTTGGCAGTAAGTTTGGTTGTAGTGGGGAAGCAGTGAATCAGTTTGGAGTAATGGTCTGTGAAGGTGATTGCCGCATTGTGTCCATCTTGTGTCATCGGTAGTTCTCCAATGAGGTCCACGCCGATGTCCTGCCATGGTCCTCCTGGAACAGGCAGAGGCTCTAGAGATGATTGTGGCTGCGGCTGTACACGTCTTTGTTGGCAGTTGTCGCATCCTTCCACATACTTATCAACGAATGATTGAACCGTAGGCCACCAAAACTGTAGGCTAACTAACTCTAGGGTACGGTGCTTTCCTGGGTGACCAGCTGTCGGTGCATCATGACATTGTGCTACAACATCCCGGTGTAGTTGAGTATCAGGTGGGACATACCACCCGGCCTTTGTAATAGACAATTCCTTCCTTCTCTTCCCATTCGGCTAAACCATTCACAAGTTTGTGGGGTCCGTGTGTCTTCAATTTACGTAGTCCTTCAAGAACCTCCGATTGCCGCTCACTTGCCTTCCGAATGCGCACCTCAAGGGGGTTTTGGAATAGAATGGCTGTAGCAGCTCAGAGAAAGTGTTCTGGTCGTAAAACTATTTGCTGTTGGTTGTCATCAGCATCCGTAACCTCAAGTTGAGAGACTCGGGAGAGAGCATCAGCTTATGCATTCGCTTTACCAGCCCGATGTGTGAGAGTAAAGTCAAACCGCGAGAGCCACAGGGCCCATCTTGCTTGTCGTCGGCTTAGATCCTGTGCAGTTCGCCAGTATTCCAGGTTCCGATGGTCAGTTACAATTTCAAAGGGATTTGGGAGTCCTTCTAGGAAATGCTGCCAGTCTTTCAGGGCTTCGATGATGGCTAACATATCTCGGTCATAGATTTCATAATTCCGCTCTGCAGGGTCCATGGAAGCAGATCGGAATGCTACGGGATGCCAGAATCCATCTGCTTGCTGTTATAATAACGCCCCTCCGGTTGCAAACCCAGAAGCATCCACTTTGATACATGTTGGTTTGTTGGGATCCCGGAAGACTAGAATGGGTGCTGTGGTAAAAGCTTCTTTTAACACCTCAAATGCTACCTGTTCATTGGTACCCCAAGACCATCCTGCCCCCTTCTTGGTGAGGTCATTTAGTGCTCAAGCCTTTTTAGTGAATCCATCAATGAAGCATCTGTAGAAGTTAGGAAAGCCTAGGAACCCTCGGACATCTCAGAGGCAGGTTGGGGCTGGCCAGTTCTTAACCGCCTCAACTTTGACAGGATCCATGCGAACTTCTCCTTTGCTGATGATTAGGCCCAGGTATTCAATAGAGGTTTGTTCAAATTTGCACTTCTCAGGGCGGAGGTAGAGGTCGTTCTTGGCTAATCGTTCCAAAACTTCATGAACTATCTTCCGGTGTTCCTGTAGGGATGCGGAGAAGATGAGGATATCATTCAGATATACAGCTACTTTTCCTGCCGCGATAAGGTCAGCAAAAATGGAGTTCATAAGGGCCTGGAACGTAGCTGACGAGTTGGTGAGACCGAAGTACATGACCAGTGGTTCAAAGAGTCCCCGGTTAGTGGAGAAGGCTGCTTTCCACTCATGGCCTTCCTTGATTCGGATGTTATTGTAACCCCATCGTACGTCAAACTTGGTGAAGTATTTGGCTTGTCGTAGACAATTGATGATGTCAGCAACCAAAGGGAGAGGATAGCAATTATTGACAGTGTATTCATTCAGACATCGATAGTCCTGTATGAATCGCAGTTTGCCATCCTTTTTCTTTACAAAGAAAACAGGTGAGGAAAGCGGTGATTTGGATGGTCAGATGTATCCTTTCCGGAGATTATCTTCCAGGGATCGATCTAGTTCCTTCTGCTCATTGATTGACATTGGGTAAATTTTGGTGCGTAGAGTTTCGGGGGCGTCAGGTTTTAGGTCAATAGCATGATCCCAGGGTTGGTGTTCAGGTAGTCGTTCAGATTCTTTCTCGGAGAATACTTTCGCATGACGTCGATATGGCTCAGGCACCATCTCTTCAAATGTTTTCTGGGGCTTATCTTTATTTGCGGCTTTGGCAAGCTGTTGCGAATAGGTGTGGCCGGCAGCACACCATAGCTCTTCTGTCATTTCTTGGATAAACCCAGCACGGAGCCAAGCACAACATTGTTTGCAATTGCCAGTCAGGCGGTACAGTGGACTTCCTGATTCTTCAAAGACTAACTCATCTCCCGAGGATGTGCCAGTTTCAGTTGTCTCCAGACTCGGCTCAGTTCTTGGAACAGGGTGAGGGAGGTCGCTTGATTCTGGTCTGTTAGGTTCTAGGATTTGTTCTGTATTTCCTCCCACCTTGGGTTCTTTGGGCTCTGGGACCTCCTCAATAGCTACATGATGCTGAATCTTTGGCTTTGCAGGGATCTGGATCTGACCATAGCACCAGTTGATGTCAGGATTGACCTTACACAACCAAGGAAGCCCTAAAATTACGTCTTCAGATCCAATGTTTGTAACTAGGAATTCCAAGATCTGGGTTTGATTTTGGTCTACCCTGGCCAGGAGTCGAACAGAATGAGTGATCCGCCCTGCTAAATTAGCAGTACCATCAATATTGTAGAGTTTGATGGGGTGAGGTAGTGATTGAACATAGATATGATGCTTGTTAACAAATTTTTGGTGTAGGAAGAGACCGGTGGCACCGGAATCAATCATGGCTGCACTTGTTGTACTCCGGAATCGTCCTTTAAGCTCTATGGGCACACGGAAATAGGATATATCATTGAATTCTAGTGCGCTAATAGTACAGGAGGTGATAGAGGCATATACAGATGATGGAGACCTTGAGTACGACTTGGGGAGCAACGCTGCAGCAGTGGCGGGTTCCCAATTTAAAAATTCTTGTGCAATTCGGCAATTTGCCCAGCAAGAACTTGCTGTTTGGCTGCAAATTCCTTTAGTAGTGTGGCAAAATCTGGTGTAGCAGCAATGACAGTACCCGGAGCAGCAGACTGAGTTGTATCAGGAATGCTGGTAGCACTAATGGTAGTAGCCTTCCTTCCAGGGAGTCCTAAGAACTTACGGCAGCGCACCGGCTCTACATGACCATTGAGGCCGCAGTGTCGGCAGATGTCCTACTCATGGTGGCCATCAGCCTTGCAATGTTCCTTATATCCACATCCATAACATTGGCCTATCATGAAGCGGCGAAAGGCATCAGGAGATCGAGTGGTGGTGGCATCAATGTCCATAGCATTTGGGTCTCAAGTACTCCTGAGCCAGTTATACTTGATCTGTTAATGGTCTCGGAGATAGGAGTGGCCCAGATAGCTGCATCCCCCTCAAGGTATGTAATGGCAGATGTGATTTTCTTTTTACGATCCGTGGAGAGAGCAGGTATAAAGTTGGCCCATAGTTCAAAGGCAGCTAGGAAGCGTCGGGCATCTTCTCCTCGCTTTCCATTGTAGTTCTGTGGCTTACCAACACTTTTGGTAGTGCTGAGGCCGCTTACTAGCTCAGAGACCACATTTTGGAGCTTAGCCTGGTTTTTTGTAAGCTCTGTAATCGCGTCTTGAATATCCTGTGCTGAGAACATGTCTTATTCAGGGATTGATTGTATTTTGATATCAGGGTCGGCTGTGGTCTCAGTGACAGCAGGAGCTAATGGTTCCGCAGGTGCTAGTGGAGGTGCAGGAGTGGAAGTAGGAGTACTGATTTGTCCTACCCTAGCAGGTGGTGCTGGTCTGAGGATGGGTTGGTAATGGTTGGTCGGACTTGCATCAAATGTGTTTTCATATCAATTAGGGCACAGTTGTCTGGAACAGGGTTCCCACTCTTCTTCTTCAGCGTCCCAGTAGCAAGTGGTGTTAGTTTCAGTATCAAGTGCGTGAAAGTGGTTGGAGCAATCAATGTTGACTCCGAAGGTAGATGTGGTAGATGCCTTGTAAGATCAACTCACCAAGCTGATGGTACAAGTAGATGATCTCAACCTAATGTTGTGACGAGGCAGGAAGCGGGAGGCAGGAGGTCCGAATATGCCTGGGAGCAACAGTGGCAGAGCAAAGAGGCACAGAAACAAGCACAAAGCACAGATGAAAGAAGTAATGATCTTGAACAACAGTGGGATAGTGTCAGAGGCCAATCACACCAGTAATCAAAAGGGAATCTAGTTGCCCAGTGACCAAGTTAGATAGGTGGTATCTAAAAGGATACAAGTACTTGCCTAGTTGCCCAATGACCAAGAGGTCGAGATGGGGAACTAGGGTCTGTCTACTGTCCTTTATATACTACTCTTGTCTAATGAGTAAGTGATTGTAAATAACGATGCAATATAGAACAAGAGTGAGGAATCAATATATATGAGTAATAATGAGTTGATAATGAACCATAATGAACTAATTGATGAATAAGGAGGAGTTGTATGGAAGCATATGGAAACAAATGGAACTAATGGGATGATTGTGTGATAAAGTACAATAAACATGTGAAAAGAGATTGATGGGAACACACCGCTGATGGCGCATCAAAGGGCGCATCATCAGACTTCATGACATTGTTCACAACCAATGTATTACCTAGGGTTACTCGTTCACCACTCAGAACGTTAACCCGTCCCCATTTCCCGAATCGACCATTCCTTCAAAGATGGCTTCCGGGCCTACAATTTGTACTGCATGTACTCATGCTGTTCTACCCCCTAGCTCTCTTTGGCAGTAAGCTCTCCAGTCCGATTCCACTGGTGGGATTGTGCCTGGCCTGGGTCAGGGAATGTCAATTCTGTGGCAAGCTCCTCCACACTTGAAGTACTCTCCCAAACACACAGCCTCCGTTCCTGGATTTAGTAGAATGATGGTCATCTCTGACAGGGCACCATCCACCCCATGTCTGGATGCCCAGTCCAACAGCTCGGCTTTCCACACCGCCATTCCCTCAGGTATATTGGGTTGTTGTGCCTTAGCTGCAATGCCCTGGCAGAACGTACTCTTGTGTGGGTCATCTAACTCTGTGAAAACTCGATGAGGTTTGCGACATCCCATGCTCATAGGGCAAGCTGGCCTGGTCCTACTTGAGGAAGGCGAAGGGGGAGAGGCGATTCAAGTTGCTGTGAAGGAAGTGGCCAGCCTGGTTCAGGGGGGAGTGGAACGGCTTTGCTAGGCTCATGTTCTGCCTCCACCTTCAGGACATTCCATTTCACCTTCTTTATAGCATCCGTGAACTCTATCCAGTTGTCGTGCTCCTTGTCAATTGTTTTCTTCAGCGCGTAGGGCAGGTTCTTCCAAACCATCCCAATCGACTGCTTCATTTTTTTCACTTCGGCACCCTTTGCCAGATGTAGTAGGCAATCAGCCCACCACTGGTGGTAGGGCTGATTAGTGTCATTGCTAGTTGTCATTATTTGCTTGTGAGTGATTCTTTCTGCCTCCAGGTTGGTAAGATACCAGACTCCTTCCCAGTCTTGTCTTGCAAGGTTTTATCTGAGTGGTATGTACGCGGCATGTAATTGATCCGATGATTATATAATATGAACTTTATCCATAACTCTTACCTTGCAAGAGAGACAGGCATAAAGGTCGGTGGCGTTTTGGCCTTGTTTGGCCTCTTGCAATCACATGCCAATACACAACGCGCAACACGATACGTATATACAATGAGATGGGCTATCAACTTTCACCTTACTCCTCATGCCTCCCACTCACACCATGCCGGAGTCTGATGAAGATGCTCGTGAAGCAGTGGAGAAGGTTTTTGGAGTGCGACCCTGCTTATGGCAACTGAAAGCAGCTCGAATGATCCTCGGAGGACAAGACACTTTAACAATTGCACCAACTGGGTCCGGAAAAACTCTGAGCTACTGGCTTGCACTGGTTTTTGTACCGGAAGGGACCATCGTAGTTGTCACACCTCTGAAAGATCTCGGCTCTCAATTCGAAAATGAACTGAAGCAAAAGGGTTTTTGTGCTCTCAATGTCACAGGGAATATTACCACGAATAATCTTTATAAGGTACGTCGCACTAAACCTCCATCCTATCATACTAGATCTTGATCCAGCTAATAGGACATTGCCTCACTGAAGTACCGGGTGGTCATTTTCAGTCCCGAAAGTATTGTTAATGATAGCCGTTTTGATGATCTGCTCAGCAACCGAAAATTCATGCGGTCTGTGATCAGCTTTGTATTTGACGAGGCTCATGTCATTGAACAGTGGGGTGGAGCCTTTCGGCCAGAATATCAGAAGCTTGGGCCGCTCCGATATACAATGGTGCGACATGTGCCATACCAATTAGGGTCGGCAACACTTCCGCCAATCATTGCTCAGAAATTGACTGGACATCTGCATCTCGGTCAGGACACCAAAACCATACGGCTGGACACCGATTGGAAAAACATATTTCTATGTGTACAGCGTATGAAACACCCCTTGAGTTCCTACCGCGATCTTGCACCGCTATTGCAAACATCCAAAAAATTTATTGTTTTCTTCAACTCGCGAAACACTGCTCAAGATGGTGCCCGATTTCTGCGGTCATGTCTGCCCATACATGAAATGAACAATATTACATGGGTACACTCCGGCATGTCATATGACTTTCGGCGGGAGGAAATTGGCGCATTGAAGGCAGGTCTATGACGTGGTGTTTGTGCTACAGATGCAATAGGGATGGTAGGAATCTATTCACGTATATATTCAAATGATGTACTCACCGACTTTCTCAACAGGGGATTGATATCCCTGACATTGGTATTGTTGTCCAGTACGGGTCTCCGCAGTCACTGAGTACTTGGTATCAGCGAGCGGGACGTGCTGTTCGTGACCTGTTGCTTCAGGGCACAGCCGTTGTTTTGGTTGAGCCCAAATTTTTTGATGCTGAAAAGCATGCTGCTTTCAAGGCTGCGAGACAGGCGGAGAACACGTCTAAGCAAGCTGCTGCTGAAGCAGCCCGTGTCAGGGAAGCGCTCATGGCTTCGGCTTCAGCTTCAGAGGCTTATGCTCATGCAGGCAAACCTAAACGGAAGAGGGGAGCAGGGGACACGTCAATGCGGAAGAAAGGTCGACCGGAATCTCAGCCGGAAGTTACAGATCTCAAGACATGTGAAACGGCTATCCAATCAAGATTGAGCGCGCCATGGATGATTTTATTAATGCGGAAAACCGTCCAGGGAAATGTTGGCGTGGGATCGGGAGTGAATACTTTGGGAATCTGGAGCTAGGTCCATTCATTTCCCATTGCTTACTATGACCGTGGAAACTAACGACGGGTTAAACTCAGAACGTCACGTCAACACCTCTTGCTGTTCCAGAGCTGGCTGCTCTCCTCCTGCTATCACTCACTGCTGCAACATCTGTGAACCAGAGTACTCACCGTTTCTTACCAACGAACACATTCCAACAAGTCGACCAAGGATGAAAAAATTGAAGGATTATACTCGAGGAGAAGCTGAGGTTGAGTTGCGAAGGGTAATAGCTGTTGAAAGGGACGCGTGGTTTCTTCGGAAGTTGGGCCCTCATGCGATGCTCATGCCTGAAGCTCTGTGGCCTGACAGTGCAGTAGACGCTATCGTCGACTGGGCACATGAGGGCAAGTTGGATACTGTCGAAAGCTTCTGCAATCTCATTACATGGGCCTATGCAGAGGAGCTGGCACCGAAGCTGTTGGAAAAAATCCGGGCGTACACACCATCATTGCCAGCACCTCCTCCGCCTCCCCTACCACCTCCTTCTCCGTTCATATCTACCGTACTTCACCAGTCATCAACGAATTCACCAGGATCAACACAAAGCAGGTCTTCAGGCCGGAAAATTGCACCGGGACGTTGCAGTTGCTGTCAAACCGTGGGTCATCGCAGTACGTGGAATGCTTAGTGTGATTTTCAAACTCTAATCAGCTGCTAGTGACCAATCGACAATGCCCACTTTTTCCCAAGACCGACTCCAGCGATAAAGAACAGGTTTCCCCTGCCAGTTAAATAGTGTACCACAGGTATGTTACTCTACCCCAATATCATCACCGTCGACACTGACAACATCTACAATGTCTACTTCATCAGCTTTATCCTCATTACTTTTGTATAGACTCTTTCTTGTAACAAGAATCGCAAATCCTTCTGTTAAAACATCCTGAATTGTCCATCTCCTCTGCAAGTCTGGTATCGAAGTCATTCGGCCGGGTTTGAAAACATGGCCCTGGAGCGTTGCCACATGATCTCCAAGTCGTCGAAGAGTATTATCCATCTTCGGCTTTGAGTGTTGGACCGTGCGATGAGTAAGGTAAAAACTGTCTTCGATTGTTTCTTGCATGGATCGATAGACATCTAGCAATGGAGACCGCTTGAAGATTAGTTGTTTTGTATGGTTAGGTCCCTTGCCTGCAAAGATGACCTATGGGTGTGTAAGCTCATTGTTTTTTTCTTTCATTTATGAATGAAGCTTACCTTGGTGTACAGGTTATTCAGCTCCTGGAGCCAGTCAAATGCACGAAAACCATCTGGCGTGCCTTTGCTGTTGAATAACCAATTTCTCAGAATAGCCTCTCGAAGCTCCTGCGGGTAAACAACGTCTAGCTCCGTCAGGAACTTGGTCATATGTGCTGCGTATTTGTGTTTTCCGACGGCCGTAAATGTTGGGATCAACAAGTGGAAAAGCTGGAGAATATGGCCGACATCACCAAAGTTCATCGCTCTTGAAAAGCCAAGGTAGAGTAGACCATGTTGGTTCCGAAGACACATATTCTCGAAAACCAGGTCGCGCCTTTCAGATCTTCGCTTTTTTACAAAGTCGATTCCAGGTAAATGGTTGTTTATTATTGCCTCTGACAATTCGACAAGCTGAGTCCATTTTGGTTTACTTTCTTTAAAGGCGGCAAGCGAGTCAAACTTGAAAAGCTGCTGAGCTTCGATGGCACCAGATGCAAGAATATCAGTCCAAGTGACATGATGGATGGTGTCGTGCATGGAACGAAAAGATGGACCTTTTTTCGAGGTAAATTCCGCAGTCGCCTTCGGCCTGAGGTAATTAAGATATTCGTTAACCCCCAGTTTTTCAGTGCGGTTGGCCACTGGAGTCACATGTACACGGGCGTAGGCATCTGCAACAGCCATCTTCATATGAAAGAGACCGGGGACGAATTGAAGAAAACTGAGGCGGTTCCTAGCGGTTCTCTCTATGGTCCGCATGCGCTTCAATCCCTCGATGCACTCTTTAGTGGCCAGATCCCCGTGGAACAGCTCGACATAGCTTTCGAGGTCTTCTGTTGCAACCGCGGCTTGATCAAGCAAATTCTCGATTACTTCAGCATTTCCATCGTAGGTACCCTCGTCTGCATCAATAGACATGCCAGGATACTGAACATCTTTCTTATCCGATGGTAGAACTTGAATTCCAAAGGGCTCCCCGAGGTGATCACTGAACTCATCGAAGCCACCGTGCTTGACAAGAATTTCCTGGACAAGCCACTGGAAATACCTGTAGATTGACCTATCAGCATTGCTGTTGGCCATCCAAGAATCCTCTGGCCGAAGTGCGATATGAGCAAATTCCGGCTGGACAACATTTGTTGCATTCTCGTTATACTCGCTGGTTTCCCAAAGGGCCTGGGTGAATTTCAGGTCTCTTTCACGATCAACCCCTTTCAGTGGGACAAATGTGCAAGCGGTTGCACTGAGATGGGTCTTGATGTTGTCAGCAGTCGGTTGACCCTTGGAAAAATCTATATCAAAGTTATCGTAGATCTTGTTTGTCCCTGGTAGGTTCTTCAGCTGGTCTCTCGCCTTCGAATGTAGGGACTGAATCATGTTCTGTAGACTTCCGAGAGGAACTGAGACTCCCATATGTGCTACCAGCTCAATGATGATCTCGGGAGCCTGCTTGGATTCCAGAAAAAGGCCAACAATACATTGTAGCGAGTTGAAGTTTCGGTTGGTACTGTGCCCCAAAATGGCCAGTATCAGAGTATGTTTCTATTGACTATCAACATAGAACTGTATCAAAGAGACAGCTACCTACTATAGTAATCAACTCTTTGAATCTTTGTGCTGATGCTTGTGTTCGACGTTGTTTTTTCTTCTTCTCCTTCTCACTATCTGACTTGATGTCCTTTCCTACTACTTTCGGAGCATCACTGGTAGCCGGCTGCTCTACATCTAATTCACTGTCATCCTGGTTACCCGAAAGCTCTTCACCCCCCCATGGATCAACCCAATCACAGGTGTCTTCATCTATACATGAATTCGAGTTGTTGTCAGCTGTGTCATTTGTTTCGGGGGAAAAATGTTGGCTTCGGTTTCCATTAGCATCCAGAAGCACTGAGAGCAGTTTAGACAAGAGTGGGCATAGCTCCTGCATACGACATGCCAAGTCTCGGATAGCAAAACCTTCCAGCTGTTCGAGTGATGCTGTACTTGCCCCAAAGTGAAATCCATGTCTTCTCTCTACCAATTGGAGTATCTCGGCTCGAAAGATTTCCGTCATATAGTCTAATGTTGTTTCGTTGGCAGAGGTGTTGCTAAAAGCTGACAGGTCCTCCAAAATCTCTCGCAGATGACCAACAATGCTGGCTCGATGGTGCTTCATCCTCTCGAGATTGTGACTGCCATGGTGAATTGCTTGTCGTACTACATCGTATACTGTGAGATGATGCGAGTCCAAAATTGTGAAGACTTGTTGTATTGCTGGTGCAAACATGCTCAAGTGGAGGCAGTGGTCAGATAGTAGCAAAAAAAATCATATTTCTCATTGTATATACGTATTGTGTCGCGCGTTGTGTATTGGCATGTGATCGCAAGAGGCCAAACAAGGCCAAAACGCCACCGACCTTTATGCCAGTCTCTCTTGCAAGGTAAGAGTTATGGATAAAGTTCATATCATATAATCATCGGATCAATTACATGCCGCGTACATACCACTCAGATAAAACCTTGCAAGACGAGACTGGGAAGGAGTCTGGTAAGATATGACTTTGCTGACTTTTTTTCCTTCTTTTGTGATGGGAAGCGGAGGTGGAACTTTGCCTCAAACCCTTCCCAGGAGCCAATTGCACAACAATATGTGAGCCCGTATGCAGCAAGATCCTAATGCATAGGCATTAAGCAGAGCCAGAGATTTGCTAAATTCACAGTTGATGTTTCATTCAAGCTGTTTCCACCAAATAGAAAAACATGCAAGGAAAGATGTTAGCAAAACTGTGGTTCCATGCTAGATTTCAATGCATGATTGATCTGGATAATTAAGGGCATTGTTACATGACAGACACATTTTATGCCCTTTGCTCTTGACTTGACTTCCAAAAACACTAATGAAACTCATACATAGCTACACACTTCCATACCAATTACACCTGTCTTACATGTCAACACAATTAACCAGCAACATCAGGCAGCTTCTTTGCTATCGATCAAGCAAAGAAGTTTTGCCTCCTAATATCCTCACTCTTTCTGTTGTAAAAGGAACTCTGGGTTGAACTTGGCCACCTTCTTATGTATAACATCAAAGGACAAACTGTCTAATAATGAACTTACACTGCAGGCGGAAGCAATCAGGGACAGAATAACAAAAAAGGACATAGACATAGAGGGTGTTGAGATGCCAGAGGGTGAAGATGACACAAAATTATGCTCAGTGGCAGTCAAAGCAACCACAATAGGTTTCAAGGGAATTAAGTTCACCTTTTTCTCAGCTGCAGCTTTTGCCTGGTGCATTTTGGCATTTTTAAACACAGCAGCATTGTCGGTAAATTGAATTGCTTGAGCTGCAGGTTTTGTCCTTAAGTAATATATGCCAATTTTCAATTCTTCTTCCATTAGTAGAAACACATGCTTATCCTTTGACCAATAGTCGGCAAGGTGACATGAACATCCAAACTCTGACAACAGGCCATGATCAGCAACAATATCAAGAATGTTGTTCTCTGAGGTCTCACAGACTGTCTTGTAAATAGACTTCATGTTGTCAGAAATAGCAATAATGTATGGAACAGAACCATGGTGGGCAAGAAGAACATTTTTCATGACACCATCCTAGAGACCAAGTTTGATCAAGTCCCTCAGCAGCTAAGGGCAGACAACCTCAAATTTGCCTGCAAGGACACATTGAGTATAAAGATTGCTAAAAAACTAATCAGCATAATTCACCATGAATGTACCCATATACTAACCTCATGTAAGGATCAAAGCATTTGTTGCAACTGGGCATCTGACTTGTAGAGGCAGTTGATATTGCTGCAGTTAGCAGCAGGTTCCTCATTCCATACTTAGAAATATTTTCCTTCAGTATGTTACAATCCCAGAGATTGGTAGGTCTAACACTCCATAGATTAAACTGCAATTGCCCTTGCTGAGTAGGACTACCCATCCACATCTTGTATGAACCATCCATTTTTGCCATTTCACAACTCATGTCACAAGCACAATATTACATTGTGTCAAAAATCTTCATGTTCAGTTCATTGGCTTTTGGAGAGTTAACAGGCATTTTCAATGTCATGAAGATGTCAGCAAATCCTTGAATACTAATGCCAATGGGACAGGTTTGCATATTAGATCAATGGACCTCAGACATGGGGTAGTAGCTGCAATCAATAACAAGATTAAGGTTGAGATCGACCAACTTTGTAACATCATGGAGTTTTTCAAAGTCATAGAATGGTTTACCATATATGTTTCACCCTGTAGGTTGGAAGGGCAACAGATGCAAGATTATGGTCAGCAGTCTCATCCAAAAAAGAGTATTTGACAATTTTAGTACAAAGATTGAATGGTTTGATGACTCTGAGTTTGTTTTGGTTAGATTTTGCTCAAATTATTCTCAACCAAAGGCACAGTCAGTAAGTGCAATCACATACTATTGCAAGGATCCTTATATGACATAAATGTGTTGTCAATCTGAGCTTTCAAAATGTAATACCACAATTTCTGAACAGAAATGGTTTCTTGCACATGATCTTCCCACTGATAGCATTTGTAAAGAACTCAAGCTCATCTCCATAAACCTCATGAAGACCAGCAGCTTCACTAGGACAAAAAAAGAGACCAATCACCATCACCTTCAATGTGCTTCATACTGTAAAGATGGCTACACATTTGTAAATCAAAAATGGGGTAAATAAATGTACAAGAAATTTGGAATTCATAGAGCATAGAATAAATTATAAGTGTGCACCCCATCCTTGCCATGATTCTTCACCAAACTAATTATTGTAGATATTAGCATGTCAAGATTCAAGATAGATAGTAGAAATTCCAGTATGCTTGTTACCACCTTGGCTGACATATCATGTGTCATGAAGCAGTAAAGGTGGATTGAATAAGTGCAGCAACTAAACAAGGTGGCAAGGCAGAGCAACTAAGTGGACTGAAGGCAAGCTGGTCCCAAGATAATAACATAAATGTACTGAGTATCATAGTTATAAATACTAGTAAGTAAGCACATACCTGATCCCAACATAATCACAGAGAGGTCAAGATAAGGGACCATGCCGCGAGGGGCTATATATACATAATCAAGTCTGCAAGAAATAACAGTATAAAACTGTACAATTTAGGGCAAGGAAAGTGGCAGAAGCCGGTAAAAGGAGAACATGAGTCAGATGAATCAGTAATTGATGGGGGATTGACAGCAATGAAATGTGATAGTGATGGGATGATGTACCATACAAGTAAAGGTGTGAAGATGGTGAGGAAAGCAAATGATAGGGGCTATGTACTTCGTGACATTACCTGCCTCCTTAACACCACTGCCCTCGATGGTCAAGCTTTTGTCACTGCCGGGTGCTTGTTGCGAAATGCCCAAACAATTTTTGGTGCCTGACTGAGGTTGGGTGCAGGTTCCCAAGAGTTGTGCCCTGCATCGTAGCCCTTCCACTTTACTAAATATTCCACTTTCTTCCACCATACCTAACCATCCAGGATATTCTCCACTTCATATTCTGGTTCATCTTTATCCTCCAGGTACACTGATTTTGGTGGTGTTGGTATTTTGCCATTGAGCAGGTTACCTTTCCAGGGACAGAGTTTGTTAATATGGAAGACAGGGTAAAGGTGAGCTGGTAATAAAAGAAGGATCAAGGTGGTAGTCCAGGCAATATGGCAATATGGTCCCAGCTGTTGTTCTCCTAATTTTTCACTGGATAGCTACCACCTTTACCACATCCATGTTCACCTTCCCTTCTAAGACGATATGTCCAGGGTATTCAATTTGCCATTGTTCAAATTCACATTTCTCCAGACGCCAGTAGAGGTTGTGCTTTCCTAACTGAGTTAATACTTTCCATATCACTTCATCTGCAAAACCTGTATGTTCACCAGAGCAAGGGTACTGGCTGGACAGCACTCTCCAGCACCCAAAGCACCGAGAGCAAAATTTCAACCCTGCTCTGGGTGCTTTGGCTGCTGGGAAGCGCTCTCAGCTGCTCTCAGAAAATGAGCCAAAAAAACAAGTTTTGCAGATGTTGTTGGCATTCCTAATGATCATTGCTGAAGACGATGATTTCATTTAAGCAAGCTGAGCCAAGAATTTCTTGTGCACCATAACCATCCAATAAGTTTCTTCTGATACCATTGGGGCTGATTTATTTCTCTCAATATTGATATACTCATAGAGATCAGTGATTACTGAATAGAAATTTTCCTTTGTTTCTTTGTGCAGGATTGAGACAGCAATGCAGGCTGCAAGGATTACATATTCGGGGTGTCTTATTGTGATATAAACTGCAGTTTTGGCAGCAAGGTTCTGACAAAAATGTAAGATCAAACATGATTTGGACAGAATAACATCAGAGACAAACATTGAGCTTCACTGTAGTTACACCTTCATAAACACTTTGCCTAACCTTTTACATGACCTTAAAACATGACTTAGAACATATTCAAAGCAACACAAGAATATCCACTCAATGGGGACCACATAATTCATGTCAAAGCAAATTCACAATATAAGCTTTTGACTTGTTTGTAACAATCAACTAAAAAGCCTGGTAGTAACTCTTTGGAAGCCACTGGCAGTCATTGAGTCAATTGGTGGAACAAATGTATATGGTTAAGGGGAACAACCAAACCCAGTTCAGCCTGCTTTGTCCACCCCAAACACCCATCTGCCAGCTTGGAATCTCTACCCACTGCAAATGTAAATTGCTCTCTTGTTTCAGATACCAGTGATAGTCTTTCTGTCCCAGACCTCATGTATGACTCTGTGTCCATCCACATTGAAGTACCCAAGCAAAGCCAGGCTGCAGGTAAAATCAATGCTATCTTTGATTTCCTGAAGCAGGTTAAAGAACTTGAGTGCATAACCAATTAATTTGTTGACTGTGTCTATCAATATGGAGTGGTTAAAAAGTTAGAAGAAACCAATGTTGATGAGGATGTCCCAAAGGCTTGCAAGAAACACATCTCTTTCAGGCCCAGGATGATGTTACTTAGTGTAGTCAAGGGTAGGAATGCAGGAGTATGTGTTGGAGTCACCATTGTTGTTACTATGGTGCTATACATCAGTGTATATACAGATTATGTTGCATAACTCATCACACCATGACAGGTTATAACCACGGTGTATGAGAAATAGTCCCATGAAACAATGCGGCCCAATGTCAATGAGAAGTATGAATTCCGGATTGTCATATAAGCTGTAAACACACTAATACCAGGATGCAAGCCAAAAAGACTGTCTGCAAGGTAAATTCAAAAATTGCGTGAAGAAATTCAGATGGTGCCTTGAAAATTGAGAATACGTAGTTTAGTGTGTATAGGATTACAGTTCGTGTCACAGGAACGTAAAAATCTGGGTGTTCTCGGAACCGTATTCAAAGGAAATATTGGTCCTGCGGTTCACGGCTCAGATGCCATCAACCGCACAGACACCGGAGGAGGGAAGGACAGCGGGAATAAGCTAGGCCAGTTTTGTTCACACAATAAGCATAACCTCCACCTATTTTCACCCACATTGGCAAATTCAAGTGACTTCACTTTGTATTTTAGAGCCAACAGCTGGACGCAGAGATAGATTACGTTGTGGTGAACGTGGACAGAAACATCCCAATCAGATATATCATCCATCACATGATATATCAGATGCACAGGGCGGAATGTTGTATCTTTCTGGTTTACTAAACAAATCACCAGTTTTATATTCATTCAACGCCATCGGCAGATCAGTATATATCAAACAGTGCTATATACAACATACAGAGAAGAAAAAGGAATTTGATACTTCACAAGTTACACATAGAATACTTGGAGATCAAATTGTCCTCTAGATTTTATCCATGACATAGAAGCTATCCTATCAACCTGTATTGATTCTGCTCTAGTAATATTCATGGTCCACGCTAATCAGCGAATTTTCTGGTGACATATTCATTGCATGTTCCTATCAACGCCGTCGAATATGGGGCAGATTTAGTCCTAGCGCTGTCTTGCCCTAAAGCATTGAACAAACTGCTTGAATTAGCTGCAACTCTCGTAGATGAGCTCATAATTCATCAAAATCATAATTAATTTACCATATGAAAATGATTCAGATCCAAACGTTGTTCCAGGTACATGTACCCTATCTTCATAACTACACGTCACCTCTGTAAATGGTAAATTCCCCAAAACAGACAGAAAAGTGATACTGATGACATACGATCAAAATTATGAGGAAAGTAGGCTGTTCCCAATTCTACTGTGACCACTGAAGACGGATATCGATATTGAACCAAATCTTGGTTATCAGATAGTATGGATTGCGGATCGTAAGCTAGGGTGTTAACACTCTTCATAGCTCCAATGGTTGCAGTACAATCCATAACTTGATTCATGGCTGAGCACTTTTATCAATGAACGTTAATTGAACGACACAATTACGACGATATGAGTTGTATGACTAACCTCGGAATTATGCAACATATGTGTCTCTGGGTGAAAATCCTCGTCCGGAATGCGTTGTCCTGATCTAGATCCAATACTGGTATATTCGATACCATCAATGCCTTGATCCATAATCTACCATCCACCAAACGTCAAATCTACTGACCAACTATACACAATCAAAATATTTTACCACTTGTTCGTTCACGAAATTCTTGACTTGTACATTATAATGTGATTCATTCAACATTGAGCATTGATTCAACTCCAGCCTGCAAATATTGGTTTCACCAGATTTGTTGTCTTCACCTTCTTCTTTACTAACATTCTTCAATTTTCTTCGTGAACAATATCAAATACAATATATCGAAGGGACTTACCGCCTCTTCATTCGAAATCCTCTTTTTAGCTATAGTGTCTTTGAATGTCTCGGAGTCCGTGTACATTGAGCAAAACCGGATCTAATGACGACGGTCAGTATAACAAATGAATAGATATAACTGACACTGCAGCGCACATTCTTTGGCAGCCCGTAGTCGACCTGATTCTTGACCTGAATGTACCAAGAAAACAAGTCCTGGTATTGAGCAGCAGTAATATTCATGTCGCCTATGACACGGAATCGAGTAATAACCTCGACCCGACTACATACACGAGTAGGCATACAGCCTCTGCATCTGATCCTCGTTGGATATGTAACACATTTAATGCCAGCACCCTCGCATCGTTCACAAGTCTGGCGAACCACATATTTAACCGCAATAACGTTATTAAATAGTAGAGACTTACAACGTCTTTATACTTCCGATTGAGAAATCGTCTTTGTTTTACTGTCCCATATTTTCTGAACTGAACAATGAATGTTCTTTTCACATCGTCTGTCATCCACTCCGTGCCTTTAGTAGTCGTAGCGCTAATTGTCGATGGACGAGCTTCTCCGAGGCCGTTATTACTTGGATACACCACGATACTGTTGTGGTTCATCTTGTTATCGTCGTCCACCGCAGAGTTCATGATCGCGACAGAAGGCTATGGAAATGAAATAAGGATGGGCGTAAACGCACGATACATATTTTGGCCTGCCTTTTAAGAAATCGAAGTTGGTCGACTTACCTTATTTCTCAATTCAATACAAATGTCCCAAAAAATCTATCAGCACCAGGTTTGCGGTAGCTTTACTTCTGCTTGATTGGCTGCACATCACATGTTAAATGATGTGAATCCTAAACATTTTCCCGATTTGACAATCTACAGAAAATTTTCATAATACTATGTTCGAAGCTGATTCCTCGAAGTACCATCAGGGTGTTCCTTGATGGAACCTCGCCGTTTAAGCTAACTACCGACCTTATACTCTCAATTCTCAACAAACTATAGAGTAACGAATACCAAATGTATTCTCTTCTACTATTTTGCCAGTGGTATCTGCGGGATAACATCTGCAAATATACTCATAGAGCAAGAAAGAGGACTTACGATGTGTGAGATGTTAGAAATATTCTATATCGGTATGCTGACTAGATGAGCACTGTCTGCATGAATCTAATCTTGCCAATCTAGATCCTCGGACTAGCCTCTACATTTTTTAAGATTGCCAGATCTCCGGAAATACAAATGAAATTTTCCACTCATCTAACACTGCGAACGCTGACGAACCCTTTCATAGTGAACATTATCCAAAGCAACAACAGTAGGTCATGTCATTACACTGTACCAATGTAAACGACTAACCCGCCCGAAAACACACACACCCCAGACACCAAACCAACAAAACAAAAACCAAAGACCCCGACCAAAGCTCCACTACTACCCAAGACACCCGCTGTGGACCCTGCGACGACCACCAAGCCCATACCAGGTAAGAAAGATACCTCCTCACTATTAATCAAAACACCGCCTACAACAGATGCCGAATCCGATTCGTCGTTCTTCTCTGCTCCTAAAGCGATATCGAAGCTGACGACTTTCAACGCAGAACTGCCCCCGCGCGGTAACCCACAAACAACATAGAACAGGGCCAATAACAACGTAGCGCAACCATCGTCGATTGACCCCTTCCAGAAGGTTGAGTCAATGTCCAAAGGGTGCAAAAGGTCCCCTATCATTAGCGCACCTTCGTCTACTACTCCACCTCCAGGATCATCGACTACACCCCCACTGTAACGGTAACACCGAACATTGCCGGAAACTCTGGGTTGATCAAGCTTCGAAGGAAATATAAATCTGTGACGTGGGCTCCAGACAATAACCTGTAAGCGATGAAGTTTATTGAGCCAGCTGTTTATGACGATGAACATGTCGATGTCACTACTTGTTTTCTTCTGTTAATTCTGCATGTTCTCTTCGTTTTATCGTTGTCTAATAATTGCTCTCATTTTCTATGTTTGTCTTCGTATTACAAGGTATGCATTTGAACCTGCGCGATGTCCATCGCGGTAACGGTGGCTGCTTTACATGCACATTTGTTCGAAGAAATTGTACATTGGTATGAGCCTCTTCTTAAACAATCTAAATCTGCACATTTAAATGTGCGAGACTGAAATAATCCACCCCATCTGATCCTCAGGCTCTAACAGCAAACAAGATACGAATCACCGACTCTGAAAGAGGAGGTCCGTGTTTGTAAAATTATTTTGTAGCTATTCATTCACTTGTAATCAATTCATGTAAGTATCTTTATACTGTTCTATTCCACTCTGGTTCTCACCAAATCATATTACTGGGAACCATTAATTCTTGAGGCAACTTACTCTTCATGCATCTGCAAAAACCTGCATGTTTGGCTTAGCTACATAGCCAAAAGCAGCTCAGACAACTTCCCAGCAGCGGGTATACATACAGGCTTTGCAGATGTGTGTAATTATTCATCCGTAGGAGTGAAAGATGCTGTGGTAGCAGTGGAAAATATCATTCAAGTTTTGTGAGAATTGGACGCAAGTTCTTGTGTACTTTGTGATGTACTCCGTACGTCCGTTACGCAACGATACAATAGTCCAACGATAATCTGAACCCATATCGAATCACATATATTCAACAGTTCGACATAATTGCTCATCATGAAAATGAAACCATTCAGAGTCGGGGATTTGCCGTGCATGCACGGCGCTAAGGATATAGTAATCTCGTGTTCCTGAAGCGAAAAACAGACGCCCCAACTTAACCACCAATGAAATTGGTCCCAATTTTCCTTAGTTTTTCGCATATAATCATTCCTGCTATAGCATCTTCAGGAGATCGCTCCGACGACTTTCAACGATGCCTCCTTCACTGTGACAACACTAAATGCACCGAAAATTCTGCTGAGTCTTTGTCTCTGACATTGAGGTTGACGCGCTGGACCTGCACAGACAATTGCAAATATCTGTGTATGCACGAAATCACAGCTCAAAATATCGCATCTGGGCTCGCTATACATCAGTACTATGGCAAGTGGCCATTTTGGAGATTTGTCGCCCAGGAACCTGCCTCTGTTTTGTTTTCGTTGTTGAATCTCCATGTACATGTCAAGGGTGCACAGAGACTGCGGATGAGACTGGACGATTCGCATCCGATGAAGGTTTTCTATATGGGCTGGTCCTTCGTCAGTATCAACACTTGGATATGGTCTTCTATCTTCCATACACGAGGTTGAGTTCAGCGTCCTTTGAATCGAATGGATATTCTTCTGACGAGACCACAAATTTTTATAGATACTCCGTTTACTGAAAAGATGGACTACTTTTCTGCTGCCTTGACAATCCTCGTCGCGTTGTACTTTACAGTCATTCGATTGTTTCACTTCTATGCACCCACCAGCTCTCTCACTCTGGCCCATGAACATCGTTCAAAAGACAAAACTCTACTAAGGCTATGGACTGCTGCTTGTGTCTTGACATTTCTGGGACACATATCATATCTCTCCCTTCTTAAACACTTCGACTATTCCTACAATGTCATTTTCAACCTTGTCATCGGCCTGGCGCACAATGCTCTATGGTTGTGTTATTCCTTCCCCTATTCTATATCATTTCTGCGGCGATTCCCTGGTCGCTCCAAAAGATATCGACCACATTTCGTTTACAAGCCTGCAGTGCTTGTGTCTCTAATAGTTGCTGCGATGGCTTTGGAACTGTTAGACTTCCCTCCTTGGGCTCTAATTCTCGATGCCCACTCTCTATGGCACCTCAGCACAGCCCCAATCGCATATCTGTGGTATCAATTTCTGATCGAAGATGCTAGTGATGACAGCTGGAAAGAGCAAAGGCTGCGTTGAGTACTGGAAGTTCTGTGATAGAATCAATATGAATGTGGAAATCTGTGGAAATATAAGTATATAGATAATTTACAGACGATGCTATCTCCATTATTTGCTTCCTAGATGGACCGGGCTACCAATGCAATCAATCGTTCGCAAAATCTAGCAGGCATTCTATGCGATAGAAATTTTGCGGTCCTACGGAGGCTCCCAATGCCTGAACCTTTCTTTCCCCTTGGTGACTCAATCTCGACACTGGCACATGGGCACAGGACAGTTGTTGTCACTGAGAACTGCAGACTTGGTTCTGATCCCCATTCGCCACCCTTTGTATCGGAATCTGTAGCAACATCTTCTTGCACTTCAGCAAGCGGTTCCAGAACCATTTCAAGCTTCACGCAGCGTTTGCGTTTAGGACGCCGTTCCAAATGTTTCGTTAGAGTATCACGGAAAGAGGCATCAGTTGGTGCTAACTGAGCGTATAAGCAGGCTTTCTCCGCGACATCATGGTAGTACGACCGTAAAGCGCCAGCAATGGAAGAAAGCACTGGATCAGCCATATTCCTTTCTAGAACATATAATGTATCTCCTTGATATTTTCCCAAATAATTGGCAAATTTTGTGCAAGCTCCTGCGAAATCGGCAACGGCGCTTTCCCAGCCTGCCCAACGATTATCGGATAAGATGGAACACCGAAGAAATAGATGATACTGAGAAGTAACATCAGCAGGGAGCAAGACCTAAGTGGAGAAGTCAATACATGCAAAGTGAATGATATAAAGCACATACCTGAGTATTTTCTGTTAGTCTAGCCCAGCTACGACCCCAATCATTAGCTGTTCCAAGGAGCCCCAGTTGCGAGCGGGGAACAAGGTTTTTGTTGAAAGTAGTCGTAGACATCGAGTCAGCACTGGTTTCCTCGTCCGCCACTATATCATCGATGGACGAGCACTCAAATCCTGGCTCAAGGGCATAGCGGTGTATCGAAGGCGAGATACCCCTCACAGGGTATTCTGGCTTAGAATAGAGGCATTGGTTGATAAAGTCTTCTCGTGCACGATTATAGCGTTGAATGGAGGTATGTGAAGAGGGAAGCTCGGTCAATCTCTGCTCCATCCTCAGAAAGACGTTATATCGGATACCGATGCCGGGTGGGAGGAGAATCTATCAGATAAAGGTGGGTCAGAACAAAATACCGATGGAAATATTATATGTCGTACCTGCAAGGTATCCGTGCACTGAAACCATCGCCACCCGAAATTGTCTGGTTTGCTGAGCTTGCCCACCATGAGTTTCGGAGGATTTGTATGCAATATGACTTGGTCTTCGTAAAGGCGTCGTCGAGCATCCTGCAGAGCCATTATGAAAATGAAAATGAAAAATTTCGCGCGGAGAAGTCTGATGATGGTACACAATAAAGGCCATGGGTGCAGAGCAGGGAGAGAGCTGTTGCACTGACGAAGCTCCGGAGCGCATGTGTTTTTGGAAGAGTCAAAGGGCGAAAGCACCTAATTGGGTTGCAGCCCGGGGTCACTTGATTACTGGATGGAACAATTTTCCGTTCAACCTGTCCAGGGTACGTGGCTCCGAGGGCCCGAGGCCAACTGACATGTCACCATGCCTAGGAAGATACGTGGAATGTGAGATGGATTACCCTTATATACACTGACCCTTGCTACTAAGCCAGAGATGGAACGTATCAATTGCTGGCAATGACTATGTGCTCGCCGGGACAAGGCTCGAAGCTTGATGCATTATGCATCGAAGCTCGCTCTTCCTTGGCATGATCCTTATGCACAACAGGAAATTATCCATCTCTCCCGGTTTAATTGCGTCGCTGCGCTTTCTTCCTCGTCTTACAAAATTTGGGAGACAGATGTTGCCCCATGTTGCCCCTTGTTGCCCATCTATAGGTCTATCACAATATAATGTAGCTTTATTCCATACAGTAAATCATGCTTTCTTTAAAGTAGCACCTTCAATTTCCGAAGAGTAGTTTGTAGGGTCTCGCAAGCCAGAATTCCCGAAAGCGATTAAAAATCGGTAGAATATGATGATAATTTATTGCGAGTTTGTGCCCCACTCGATCTAGCCAGGCCAGGTGTCCTTGGAGTACGAGGAAGAGAATTTTGTTCCTAGGTACAGTCATATACTATACAACTATCATTGTTCCTTTATTTGAGTCTACGGAAAACAAGCAACAAGCTAAAATTCTAAAAGTAAAAAGTAAGATATATGCACTCTTTCATTCGCCATTGAGTTCCTCTTCTTCCTCAGCAATCAGTTTTTCTGCCTCCAGAGCGGCCATACAACCGCTTCCCGCAGAGGTGATAGCTTGCCGGTAACGTTTGTCCTGTACGTCGCCAGCTGCAAATACACCCTTGACAGATGTTTGTGTCGTACCAGGCACAGTGACAATGTAACCATCCGGATCCGTCTGCAACTGTGATCGAAAGATTGAAGTAGCGGGTTCATGTCCTGTGCAAAAACCAGTGAGATGTCGCCGAACACCGAGGAACAGAGTAAACGGCACTGGACTTACCAATGGCATAGAAGAGGCCATTCACAGCAAGGTCCTTCTCTTCACCAGTCTCGACGTTCTTGATACGAAGATTCTTCAAGAGGTCACCATCCCCTTGGCATTCGGTAGCTACGGTGTTCCACAACATTGTCTACCTCATAATCATTAAACGTATAGCATCGAGGAAAGATACTAGAAACATACGATCTTGGGGTTGTTTTGAAGTCGTTTTGCCATGATTTTCGAAGCACGGAGTTCATTGCGACGAACGAGAACATAAACGTGAGAACCGTATTTAGTTAGGTCTGACGGAATGTCAGTACCTCCCCAGTCCATGAGCATGATTCATTAAATTATAGGAACGTACAGGTAGCTTCTTCGGCAGCAGAATCGCCTCCACCAATCACAGCAAGAGGTTTATTCCTGGAGACTTCGATTAGCGCACTATTCAGCACAGGGGGGGGAACCCCAAAACACACCTGAAGATAGGAACAGCACCATCGCATACTGCACACGCGCTGATCCCACTCTGCCAGTAGATCTCTTCACCCTTTAGACCAAGCCTCTTTGCGCTGGCACCAGTCGCAACAATGATTGTGTCAGCAGTCTCCGGCTCCCCATCTTCCTGCATCTCTCTCCAGTATCGGAACGGCCTTTGAGAAAGGTCAATCTTGGACACGGTTTCCGTAATGATCTTCGTTCCAAATCGCACGGATTGTTCACGGAATTTGTCCATCAGTTCAGGTCCAAGAATCCCAGTCGGGAAACCAGGGAAATTTTCAACTATTGACGGAGCAATCAGCTGGATTTAGAGATAGAATAACTTGAGATTATCATACCATCGGTGGTCGTTGTGAGCTGCCCTCCAGCAGCGAAACCATTTGCCATGAATCCCTCGAATAGAACTGGTTCTAAGTTGGCGCGTGCAAGGTAAATCGCAGCGGTGTGTCCGGCAGGACCAGAGCCAATGATGACCTATAGACATTCCTTGTATAGCGACGTACAAATTTGAAAGTATAACACTTACAACTTTTGAGTGCATCTTGGTACTCTTTGGAACTGGTGCCATTTTAGTAGGTTTGGAAGGTGAGGAGTAAGATCTAGAGTTATCCAGAGAAGCCAGAGAACCAGCAAGAGGTAGAGCAGAAAAGCGAGGAAAGGTGCTCGAGCCGAAAAGCCTGCGAGTCCACGTTTTGGTACAAAGAATTCGTGGAACGGGTAGAAGTGCAATGGTCGAAGACTGAAGTTATAATCTGATTCCACGTGAACGGATTTACAAGCATGTCGCGATCACATGGATTGCTCACTCAGGTAACTCAGCCTATGATACCGGTTACTGACAACTACATGACCAAGATTGACAGAATTGATAAAGCTAAGTCCTGCTAAGTCCCAGCTGAAAGAAGTGCGCAAGACTCGGCAAGAGTAAGCGGTCTGCCCTGGTCTGCCCCGGTTCAAACTCCACACTTTGCCCCACATTTGGTATTAATTCGTATCTGTGACCTATCTCTCCCTAAGACATATGAACGTTAACTTGCTACCGTGTGTTTTCGTAGAACACATGCATGAAATCATCATAATCTTTCTTCTTTTTGATAGTTTTTCTCAGAAGAAAGAACAAATGAAGATTCATCGATCATCGACATCGTTCGGAGTGCCCTATTGTCTTGGCCGGGACTGAGAAAGCGATGAGTAAGGATCCCGCCCGTCACGGTGTATGACCAGAAATAGTGATGAAGGGTTTTCCGAAAGAGTCCGAAAGCCATTGTTGTTCATATTTGCGTTCGTTGCACGGAATATCTCGGGAACATTGACGTGCTTGTTCAATAAGGATAGTCAATGCAATTTGATTGGTGCGCGCAGAGATGTATACAAATGTGTGAATGTTACCCCAAGAGTTTTGGTAGCGTTCAATAAACTTCGCTTCCCCTATTGCAGTTCTTTGGTCTATATTTAACAATCCATGGATGGCGCAGTACGTCGAGCAATGGTATACGATCTTGAGGTTCATGTTGCAGAAGCTGTTCAAAGAAATCAATAAAATCCACTGACAGTACGAAAAGGGACTCACCCGTGTAATAAGATCTTTGACCTCCGCAGACATTCCGGGAGGGAATCGCAAATCAACCTTCATAATTCTTCGATATGTATCTGAGGAGCAGTCAGCTCGTGCATCAAAGCTTAAACCAGATGGGACTTCACTGTTAACGCTTTTTCGGTCCTCAAATGGCGGATTTCCAATCAAGAATTCGTATGTCAATACGCCTAGTGCCCAATAATCCACCTTCTCACTGTGCTCTTTACCTTCGACCATCTCTGGAGGAAGATAATCCAAAGTTCCGCACATTGTCCTTCTCCTATTCCCGGGAGCGTGCACGCTCCAACCAAAGTCCGCGATCTTCAATTCGCCGTTTAGACCAAGAAGAAGATTCTCGGGTTTAATGTCTCGGTGTATGACATGCTTTGAATGGAGATAGCTCAATGCATCAGCCATTTGGTCGATATACCTCGAGCCGCGTTTCTCTGAAAAGCAACCGTACTTGGAAAGTTGTTTGTAGAGCTCACCCTTTCCGGCGAATTCGAGCATTAAGAAGATTCTCTTCTCATCGTGAAAGTATCCGTATAGCCGCAAGACATTCGGGTGGCGAAGGTTTTGCTGAATCTCTATCTCGCGGCGGATCTGTTTTTCTACTTTCCCCGCGACGATTTCAGATTTGTAAAGTGTTTTGAGAGCAAGGATGTATTTAGGTTCCGCTTTCGTTCGAACCATGTAAACCCGGCCGAATTTTCCCTTACCCAGCGGCCTGCCCATGTCGAAGTTGTGCAAAGACCATTCACGAGTAGGAGTCCTATGATGATAGTCAGACGTTGTTTCCTTAATACTTTGCTTGAGACTCACTGAGCGCTACTGGAATCTAACGCCAATTCCTGAGCAGCCTCACCAAAGATCTTCTCCCCTCTCTTTTCATTCTCGAGTTCGAGTCCGCCGTCATAGTTTCCGATATCAAAGGATATAGTCGGTGCAGGAGTATTTCCTGTGTGTGTTAGCGTCCCGGTTGTCTTCGTCTTGGTGGCTGGAGGAGGCATCGCTGTTCCGGTCGTTGCTTTCGTCAATTTCGTGCTGGGTTCAGGGGCATGTGCTGGATTAGGTGCAGCATACTTCGTCAAGAGTTTCGCTACGTTTGTTTGGCTAGACTGCTTCGAATGTAATGGAGGTCTCGCATTAGTGGTCGTCTTTCCAGGTTTGTTGTTAGATAGTTCCAGTGCGGCGATTTGTCGTGTGACAGACCCTATGGTTGCCATTATGAAATGTTCGGGTTGGAACTTGAACAAGAAAAGAACTTCAGATCGACGGACCGAAGAATTGCACGTGGTCGAGTGAGTGGCGCAATGGTCCAGGTGATGTTCCTCAGAGCCTTCTTGAAGTTCTTCTTCTCCCAAGATGTCGATCCTCGCAACACGAAAAACGGATGATAATTTTGAAGAGATACCCGTTATGTGAGTCAATTCTTACTACTACTAATGCGACGAATCTAAATCTAAATCATTCCTTTTAGTGACTTTACTGATGCATCAAGTTCAAACCCTGTGCGAAGGATGGCACTCGCGGAGAGAATTCGAGATGCTTGTGTCAACGGTGTGCTTCAAACGAATTCATCGGTATTTTTCTTGTTTTTTCTTACTCAAACATCTCGATGCTGCAGTCGGCTTCTTTTATAGCAAGTCCTTTCTCCGACTAGACCGCTTTCTTGTGCATTCAAATTGAGTCCGCGTCTCGTAGTCAAGAACCATGGTATACCAGAAGACACTATAGCAGATGCAGTGGAAGCTGGCAAGAAATTCTTCAAGTTACCCATCTCATCTAAAATGGATGTGCGTTTTTTGTCCGAGTATCCCGAACATCTTCCGTGTCATCAACGTTTACTGAGTCCCTTTCCACAGCTTGATATTCATAAAGCGAAAAACTTCAAGGGTTACACCGCACTGTTAGGGGAGAACACCGATCCAACCGGAAGGGGAGACCTTCATGAAGGGTTCGATATCGGCTGGGAAGAACGCGAGTCTTCAAGAAGCATCAGCCAGGACATCTTATCACGCGATGACAGTGGAATGTCAGGTACCAACGTTTGGCCTGACTTGCCCGATTTCAAAGAGCCAGTACTCTCATATTAGTGAGGTCATTCGCGAAACCTCTACTAACCTCAATTGTTGAAGCATGCCCATTGCCTCGATGTTTTCTAGTCATTCAGTAGTACAACTGGGGTTGAAGTTGTTTCCTATTTTAGCGTTAGCCTTGGATTTACCGGAAAACTTCTTTGAGGACAAGGTTCTTTACTTCTTCGATGATCAAGACTTGCTTTGACAAATTTTCAGACAACGAAACCGGCTGCAATCATGAGGCTCCTTCACTACCCTCCCCAGTCTCCATCAATGCTTGACAACGATGGCAGCATGATTGGTATTGGAGCACACACAGAGTGAATATTCTGAATGCTAACCGCCTTTGGACCTACTGACGATCTTTCCGTCAGTTATGAAGTAAGATAATATCCTTCTCTTTTTCGTTGTATTTTGGGACTGGCACCCTGCCGATCTTCTCAATCCTACCTGCATCACATCTAGTGCTTCACAATTCTCTGGCAAGATGCTATATCCGCTCTCCAGGTCAAAAATACTCAAGGGAAATGGATTGACGCTATTCCTATCCCTGGTACATTCGTTCTGAACATAGGTAGCTGTCCCTGTCTTCAGTATTCGAGGACTTACTCCGTGTATTCCCCGTGAACTCAACAATTCAACCTAGGGGATCAGTTATCACGATGGACCAGTAAGATTTGCTCCACGCTCTGTGCCCCCTCCAGTCGGAACTAACGTCTGACCCATCCATGAGATGATGTTTTCAAATCGACGATTCATCGTGCAATTAACAAATCCGGTCAAGAGAGATACTCGATGCCTCTTTTCTTTGGGGTAGACTACGATATACTCTTGAAGGTATGTGTTTATATCCTAAATTTTCATTGCCCTTCATATCATACCCACTAGCCAATCCCAAGTTGCGTTTCTGCAGAAATGCCCGCAAAGTATGAAGTAATCGCTGCTGGAGAGTATGTCAAGCGTCGTTTGGAGGAAACTTACACACATTCTACGCAGAAATAAACCTTTTGCCGTTCGTTCAAGATGCCGCATTAACGGAGATTTGTCATATAACTCGATCGACACAGGCTCTTGCGAAATTTGGCGCTGTCACGACTCCCTACTACATAAGTTACAGTAAGCCTCGCTCAGACCAGCTCAGGCAGTACTTGGGCACCTGGTGCGCGCGTCGCGGCTCGCCTGCACGAGCTTATCGTATTGTATCCGCCTTTGACTATCCCGGCATCTTCAGTCTTCAACGCTTCATCCTTGAAACATATTCATTTGAAAGTTAGATCGATATACTTTTCTCAATTGTTGCTTTGCCGCTATGTTGCCTGACATTGAACTGCGCCTGTCGCAGCGAATCTATCAGCAGCCCAAGTTTTTAGGTGAATGTTACTTCACCTTACAAAGGTGGCGTTTGACGTCTTTCAATTTAGAGACAAGGTGAAGCCTGGTGAAGCATTCACAGTTTCTGGTTTCTAAAAGTATGTAACTCATCTATTTTATAAAGTTGAGTCGCCGGACATTGCTTAATGCTATTTGAAGATTGAAGACATGTTCCTATGACGGAGGCTCTCTAGTTGACCTCGATGCATCAGGAGGTACTGTCTACACAGGCATGCAGTTCTATCAAACAACGGTTGACTATGGGCAATTGATGCGGCGGGTAAAATTTTTGGAATGTAACGCATAATCCGTAACATAGCCCAGAGCTCAAATGAGCCGTAGGCTCAAAATTTCAAAGCCGGGCTTCAATGCCGCCCCGGACGTTCCGACCGAATCTGACAGGCCTTTTCTTTCCCCTCCTCCCGCGCGATATAAATTGAGATGCATTTCATTGATATCTAAGTACACACAACAAACTACTAACACATGTTAATACACTACCAGTACGCACTTACACTGAAAGAAGGAGTCATAGTATGAATGTGGACATACCCATTCCCAAATGACTTGAAATTTTGACTTGATGGGGTCTTTTTGCTCGAAATTTGAAGTTTGATGAGGTTCATTGGAATTTGAGTTCTGAACATTGAATATTGAGGTTGAGATCATCTTGTACACACAGTATTATTGGAAGATAGTCTTGAGGAGCATTGCAAATGTGCTGAATTGGACTTATTCATTATAAGTCGGAATTGTACAGAATGGGAGCATGAAGTTGCATGTAGCTTTATGTTCAACATTGAGGTAGTACTGATGAAATCTTGGATGATGGCAATCTTTTCCTGCAGAAATTGGAAGTTCATAAGAGCATCGGAGGCGGTGGTGCGAGAGAGAGAGACGACGCAGAAAATTTTCTTCAACAAAGATCACATGAGCAAATCAAATTTCCCTTTTCGGACTCTCACATGACTAGAGGTATAGACTAGGGATGAACAGAAATAATTGAGGCGAGAGATGACCACGAGAATGCGCCGTTGCTTATTTTCGGGCGTTGAGCCCTGGCATCAAGATTTTGAAACTCAGTTCATTTGATGATTTTGTCCCTTGCTCATACTCGATCGTTTGAACATGGGTTATATGAAGGTTTGACTGTGTATATGTACTGTATGTTTTATTTAGCTCTAGGTTAGTTCGGATTTCGATTTCCGAACTCTTCGCTTTCATGATTCCATGTTTTACCGTCAGAGTCCTGATGTCAGTTCTTAGCATTCAATCTTACGAATTCGGGAAAAAATGCGACACTAGCTCTATCCCCTTTGCACATAGGTCAGAAAAACTGGTACTCAAGAAAACAGATTCTAGCTTGTGGTGAACCTCATATCGTTATGTGAGTGATAAATAATACACCGTCTGTATCAACGGAGCAATAGGTCACCATAGGATCTCATGAAAATATAGGCTGCAGTACGGATCAACTCAAATACTCTCAAATATCGCCCTGGAAATATCACGCTGAAGCCTGAAGTCTGGTGCTATCTGGTTATATCTCATGTGCTTCGGCCCTTCTACTCCGTGAGCTACATATCTCTGAGAGATTCACACCGCGCCGGGTTCAAACTTGTCAGCCACAGCTTTAAGGCAGCATATAAATCAGCCACTACTGAGGTACATATAAACTTACAACAGGCCTATAATCAACTCTGCCGCTAATGACATATCCCCGGGATTGTTCTTCATAGAATTGAGGCAAGGCAAGAACTTGATACAGGAGCATACAGGATGGTTCCGCTTGCTTCTTGAGTGTCCGTCGCTTCGCTTCTCAACGCGACTTTAGTAATGAAAAACCTCAACTTCGTCGATAGAGATCAAAGAATTGCACGTAAAAGGAGACGCCCGAGCCAACCGCGCTAAACAAGAGATCGCGATTACCGATTCACAAAACTACTTATTCCCCAAAAGGGATGAGTAAAGTGTCACCCTACATACGGGTCACCAAACTATATATAACAAGTGAGGCTAGATCAATGTTTTCTTTTATCTCCTCCTCCTTCAATATCACTTGTCTTCGTAGTGCCCGCCCATAACTCGCTCACGCCAATGCATGGTCAACGTTCCGATGATCACCAATTCAGTCCTCTTAAACTCTTCAATGTCGAAGGCCTAGTCGCTGTGGTGACTGGAGGGGGGAGCGGTAAGTGGTAGCTTTTAAGATTTCATTTTCCTTGACTAATTAGGATCGATACAGGCATTGGGCTTATGATGGCTACCGCTCTTGAAAACAACGGTGCTGTAGTGTACATTGTTGGGAGAAGACATGAAGTGCTTGAGCGGGCCGCCCAGGAAAACAGCGTGAGTACAAAACTTCGATACTTCTTTTCATGTTAATCCATGTTAATCACTATACATACCACGTACAGCGATTTAACAACATCATTCCTTTGCAGGGTGATATCACGAATCGTGAATCCCTTCTATCCGTAGTACAAATAGTGAAAGCTCGACACGGATATATTGATCTCTTAGTCAATAACGCTGGGATTGCACGAAATTTATACGTTCACCCGCTACCTTCGCCTGAAGATTCTCCCGAGGCGCGCAGCCCTCCTTCCCCTCCTGCATCTCCTAGCTGTGAACCTTCACACCCCTCTATCAAGGCATTCCAATCCGCGTTGTGGGATTCTGGAACCCCTGACGACTTTGCAGAAACATTTGCAACGAACGTGACGGCGCCTTATTATACGACTGTCGCGTTCTTGGAACTTCTACATCAGGGAAATCTCCGCCAACAAGAGACCGTGTTTTCGAGTTTCATGACTTTCCCCCCGTTTCATTCATCACAAGTGATCACCGTTTCGTCGTCGGGTTCGTTCAGAGTCGACCCCAAGATTGTTTCCATGTCATATACGTTGTCTAAAACTGCCACTACGCATCTCGGCAAATGCTTGGCGAATTTGCTGGCACCTTGGAGTATCCGAAGTAACGTTTTGGCTCCAGGGGTTTGGCCAAGTGGTTCGTTCATTTACTGCCTACTCGTCGTTTATTTCATGCTAAATTAGAGATTCTAGAAATGACGAATAGCAGGTTATCGCCAAATTTTAAACTCGATCCTCGCGTTATGGCCATGTCGGTACCCTTGAAGCGAGCGGGCACAGAAGAGGTCAGCATTTTCGTTTCGTGAGCATGAGCTGTCTTCTCATCTTGTTCCACAGGAAATGGCTGGGACTATCCTTTTTTTGGCCAGCAAGGCTGGGGCATATGTCAACGGTGCGGTCTGGCTCATAGACGGAGGCAGGGTAAACTCTGTAGCGAGCAGCTATTAAGCCAAACAGAACTGCCAGGTTCTCGGACAACTAAACTTGTAGCATAGTTCATAATATGGGGGTGAGACACTTAGTATGCCTACCGTTAACCTGTACTGTACCTCTCACTTATTAACGTCTCGTAGTTCGCAATTGTACTCGTAATTCCAATGGAGCTCGACAAAATTTGCAATGAATCATCATAAACTGACGTGCACCCTCGACCTAATATGAGAAATAGACTAGAGGGGCAGAGAAAAGGGGAGGGGGAAGATCCAGGGAAAATCAGTCGCATAACCCTCTGAAAGCCCATTTGAACTTTGGGCAGGAAATTATGTCCGCTGTAATGGAGGTAACAGTATGACTTTCCTCACCAAAACATTCCCCCTGGCCCTGAGTCTCGGCTGGATATCGAGTACACAAGGATTATATCCACCATCGAATCTCATCAAATGCTGTAGTAGAGTAGATGAACGACAATCCAATAATACTGGTAGCTGGTTCGTACCTAGTAGATTAAGTTGTTTTGAGGTTTTCTGTAGCTTTACGATGTCCGAGGGAAAGTAGGGAGCTGGACAAAGTTAAAGAACCGAACCTCTGATCCACCAATAGCCTCATAATGCATGAGTTCGATTGAGCGTTGAATAGATGCTTCGCCACGCAAAAGAATTTTGGATTATGATTACAACTTTGTTTTTTGCTATAGATTGAACACCTCCACCTGGAGGGGTGGGCTTGATCGCGCAGTCAAACGAGTGCATGCCCAATAAGTAGGTGAGCTTGCCAACGATTTGACGTTGAAGAGAAGGAAGGATACGTAGGGATACGTGCGTGCACAGGGTTATAGGGGTAGAGTAAAAAGTAAGAGCGTCTTGAAAGTAATTGGCTGACTTTGGCTATCTATGGATAGACTCTGCAGTTAAGTTTATGGAGAAGGAGACCGCGATTACAGTTTCTGGAGACAGTCTAGAGAACGGTTCGAGTCTCTAGACCTCAGCGGATTCGGAACCGGCGGAAATCGGCGTGGGCGTGATAGTCTGGCACGGGTTCATCCGGATTACACACTCTTCGTTTAATCACATCGTTATCTTCTTGTTGACCTCCAAAAGTCTACTCAAAAACTAGACACTACTCAACAAAGCAAATCCTCTTCCAGACTAAACATAGAAACGGAACGAAAAGTAATTGCCAACTATGGCACAAACACATTTTCCGTCCAGGGTGACCTCACCCACTAAGGAGCTTGCGAACTTCAGCGTTCTTTCTGGAGACAGGCAACTTAGAGTCGAGGACGTTCAAGAGGCGTATATAGAACAGAAAGACAGGTACGATTTGTAGCTACATCGTTCTTTAACTTGCTCACGGGTGGGAAAGGTTGGTCAACGCCATTGATGCAACCAAGTCAATCTTGCGCGATGTACGGGCTTTCAACAAGGACGAATGGATCATACGATACCCTCAGTACAAGGAGGCGATCGAAACTGTTTCTCCTCCTCCTACTGCCTCTCGAAGAAAGTCTCTCCGTCGTTCGTTGACTTTTGCAGACGACCCTGCGACAGAGACTGAAGTGGTTGTTAGGAAGAAATTACAGCGATCAGTCACGGTGTCGCCAATTTCTGAGAACACAGAGGAAGAGGAGACTGACGAGGATGCCACTTCTGACTTCAACGTACTCCGCCTTGACCTTCAACTCGGTCCAAATTCGACGGTAACTTCCCTAGTCTCTCAACTTGAAAAGTCGTCCATTGCCAATTTATTGGACGAACGTATCGCTGCTTCCCTATCACATGTAGACAAGCTTCGACTTCGAGTTGAAGATACTTCTTCGAAGGTCCTCGTTACTGGAGACCTCAATGCCGGCAAATCTACTTTTGTCAACGCATTGCTTCGTAGAGAGGTTATGCCCGTTGATCAGCAGCCGTGTACCACCGCTTTCTGTGAGGTGCACGATGCAGCCGAGAACCAGGGCGTCGAGGAAGTACACATCATATCCCCAGGTGTTACTTACGACGTCAATAACGAGTCCACCTTCACACGAGCTTCTCTATCGGAATTGGAAGATATCGTTGGTGAAAACGAGGACCATGAGCGTATTCTCAAATTATACCTCGCTGATACTCGTACGCCCTCGGAATCACTTCTCAATAATGGCGTTGTGGACATCTCCCTCATTGACGCTCCTGGTCTCAATCGAGATAGCTTAAAGACAACTGCGCTTTTTGCTCGCCAGGAAGAAATTGATGTGGTTGTATTTGTTGTCTCGGCGGAGAACCACTTCACTCTTTCTGCTCGCGAATTCCTCACCAACGCTAGTAAAGAGAAGGCTTATCTGTTCATTGTTGTCAATAAATTTGAACAAATCAAGAACAAGGAGAAATGTCGCAGGCTTGTTCTTGAACAAATCCGACAACTTAGTCCTCGCACCCACGAGAATGCTGATGATCTGGTCCACTTTGTCGATTCCGCCGCCGCACTCCAGCCATACACTGCGAACCCCACTTTCGATGACCTCGAATCCTCGTTGCGATCCTTTGTGCTTGTTAAGCGCTCCAAGTCGAAACTGCATCCAGTTTCTACTTATCTTAACAATCTTCTTGGAGACATCGAATTACTTGCCGGTGCAAATTCCATTGTTGCCAATGCCGAACTTGACCAAGCGAGGGAAAGTCTGGCTCAGGTCAAGCCGGTGTTGGAGCGAATGAAAAATGGGCGGGAATTACTAGAGGAGGGTCTGGAGACTTTGGAGGAGGAGGGAGCCAGTAGTGCCTCGTCCAGTTCAAAGGCTACGCTGACCCAAGCTCTTGAGCGTGTGGGGCAGGGAAAACTGGGAGTCGACAAACCTCTAATTCCCTTGCCTTCCTATCCCGGTATTCTTGGGGTTTGGGACTACGCACGCGACGTCCGAAAAGCTCTTCTCGCCAGTCTCGACGCTGCCGTCGCACTTGCCGAAGATGAAGTTAGGAATATCACTAGTGCGGGCGTCGACAGGATCAAAGAGCTCGGTGAAGAGCATCTTCCAGTTGGTGTTGAGCGCAACCGAAGGGTCTTCATGCCTGAGGCAATGTTCAGCACAATCAGGAAGGCCAGCAAAGGACCTACCAAAAGTAGGAAGTCCTTGACCGTTGTCGCAGGTGGCGTACACGGTCTCGGCATCGGTCTTGCTCAACGCAGCGAAATGCTAGAGACTACTTTCTTTGATCTTTTCGACGTTCAGCATCAGTTTTGGCTTCACTTCAGTGATGGTGAATCTGACAATGCAAGCAAGGAAGATGAAACCACTGCGCCTACTGTTCTAGGTCTCGCCAGTGTCGGCGTCGGTGCTTTGACCATGGTCGGTGGACAAGCAGTTGGAGCTAAGGGTCTCATTGAGGGCATCATTCGTGTCACAGATCTTTTCGGCAATGAAACAGTCAGAAAGTGGGCAGCGCCTGTTTTAGGTGCTGTTACCATCGGTATGACTGCTTATTTGATTCTCGAACTACCCACCTCTATTCCCAAGACGGTCGGAAGACGTATTAGAGCTTCTGTTGTCCATCTGCACGCAGAAGACCAAATATCTTTCGTCGATGCACATGCGTCGAGAATCAGCCGTGAGACGAGGAAAGTATTGCGTTTGGCTTCGTGGGATCTGAGATCAAGGTTCAACAGTGCCATGGAAGAACGTGGAAAAGAGGTCAAAGTTAAGGAGGAGATTGCAAAGAAAGCCATCCGGGCAATGGAATGGTTTGGAGAACTTGGAAGGAAAAGTGAAGAAATCCGTGTCAATGCTCATTTGGGGATCGACATGTGAAACTCCATGATCACACTCCCATTTCTTCACACCTTTAGTTATGTATATTTCATTCATGTTTTCTTTCCACTTCATAGTATGTGTTCTCATGTTGAGATATGGCGAGAGCCTTTTGTTTTATCCCCTTCGTTATTTTAAGCTCTCCGTATTGAATTATCACGACGCTCCTTACTCTGGAACGACTTGTAATGTACGAGCATGATTGTAACACCGGTTGGTGCTCTTCTGCTCTTCCACAAATTTCAAATTGTTGATCAAAGTTGTTCTGAGTCTGAAGGCATGCTTCACTGCACTACTGTTTGGCTTCTTTCCTGTGTTTCCAAGCATGAGGATCTTTGAATCATATGCTGCAAGGTCTGTCAGCAGGCCTCTGTTTTACAATTCTTCAATAGCACTGCATATGCTCTGAATTCGAATTGTCAATGACGTTGGCAACGGTCCTTGAACAAGCAAATTGATTGAAGTGCACCATCCATCGATATATAAAGATTTCTCGGTCCAGGTCTCTCCGTGTTTGTCTCTCTTGCTCGATGTTCCCCTTCGCAATATCACTCTTTTTGACACAGAGCCTCGTGTTTGCCCAAGATTTGGGTGTCCCACTAACATGGAGGGTGAAAGAATTTCTTCCATTTGCCGAAGTTTAGGGTTCAAAGGCTCAGATGACGCATCCTAGGAATTCAGCAATTCTCGTTTACTTGCTGAGCGCATTTCGATTGCTGAGGATGCAATCAATACCATCCTGCCCCAGCTTGACACCTCCAATGCTCAGTTCGACGGTGAGCTTGGACCCTTTCGCATTTCCCGATTTCCTCTAATATCCACTAGGCATTGGATATTGGCAATCAGGAAATGTATTTTCCGCAATGGCAAATTTTGACCACCTGGCTGGAACGACCACATATGAAACCCAGGTCATTAACGGTCTTAATACGGCGTTCAGCTTGTACTCAAATTTCGACCAATATGGGTAAGTGGCTGGTTTTTTTTTCGTCTCCTGGTTGACAGATGGTTGCTGTCTCTGACTTTCAGGGTAAGTTGTTTCATTTTTTCACTACAACTATTGTTCACCGTCAGACTCTAGTATAACGATGACGCGATGTAAGTGCTTGTTGGGTATAAGTTGGTTTAATCCCGAACAGATCCCTCAAACCCGCAGGTGGTGGGCTACAGCTGCATATTACGGTTACAGAGCATACGGAGTAAGATTTGTAAGAATCGAGGTTCAATTATCAGTGCTCATCATTAAAATCAGGATGAAAACCTGTTATCGATGGCAATCGCTACTTGGACTCATGTTTCGCAGTAGTAAGTCTGACATTTCGAGTGGAACGGCATGGTCTCAACTGGCCTCAGTGTCATCACTACCGCGGATGCAAGTTCTGGGACACAACCCAACAAAGACTTTCCAATAGCTGGAACATGCTTCGGCGGTTGGTACAACCATTGGACTCATTCAGTATCGCTTCTTGCTGATTTTCTCAAATCATTCTTTTACTCAGAATCAATGGCGGGTGGAGTGTTTTGGGTAGGCTCTTTTCCTCATAATCTGGCTGTAGAATTACGGCGAGTGTCACATATTATTCTAGCGTCCAACAGTGGATGATACCGGCATTAACTCCATCACAACCGGGTGAGTACCTACTACCTGCCTACCAGTGTTATCCTTTGGCGGGCTTGCTTACTTGCCGAACAGGCTCTTTACAACGTTCGTTAAGTTCAAGTTGCCTCCTTAGTAGATGCTCCGCCATACTCACAGATTTTATCAACCAAGGCTTTCCGCATTCCTGGCTGAGACTACTGGTGATACGACATACACGAATGCGGCCATCCTTAGTGCCGAATGGATGCAGAACCTTCAAATCAATGCAGATGGGATCGTCCTTGATACTGTAGATGGCGCGGACTGCACCAGGTCCCCTGCTACTTGGCTTTTCACGTACAACTCTGGAAAGTACCTTGAGGGACTCAGTGTTCTAAAAGATGTCACTGGCAACTCTGCGTGGACAACTTTGTGAGCTGTGCTGATTAATGATAGTAATTTCTATCTGATAATATTTTCGTGATAATGAAGAATGACAGATATAGCTGCAGTCGCGATTAAATCTTCTGCTTGGGAAGGCAGTAACGGAATTATCACTGAAGGAGCCAGTCCAACAGCCAACAACGATGGAGTCGGGTTCAAAGGTAATTTGAGTCGTTTCACTGATACAACCTGCGAACTTTTGACGACTTTTTCGTTTGCTAGCGATATTTATTCGAGGACTTGACGAAGTTAGCGTACGCAGCAGTGATAACAGTGCTCTTCAAATTTTGATCCACAGCTACAACGATGTACAAGTGCGTAGCGAATTTCTTTAATTGACGTTGTGTAACTAACCCTTTCACCGTGTGTTCAGTATAACGCCCTGCTGGAGCTCGCTGACAATGGCACCTCATATTCCTCTTCTTGGACTGGACCTCCGCAAGGCTTCACGACATGGGGCCAACTTGCTGCTCTTGATGTTATGGTCACCGCCATCAACACTAATTCTCCCTGATTCCTTGAAGTCTGGCTCGAGTCGTCCTCCTCTTTTCTGTGTACAATTAACCAGATGCAATGAATGAACGATGATTATTGGCTCCTGATCCAGGCTGCAAAGGCACTGAAATGGCGCACGTCTTTGTATCTATCACAAAATGAGAGTAATGCCTCGTAACGTAATTCTCTGGTGGTACTACAAGCTTGCAGTATCTTCGCTAAATCGACTGGGCAAACATAAGGTGGCTGTCGAGCGTCTTCAGCTAAAGAAGCTGTACCTTGCATTGCGCAAGCATAGTAAATGCAGTGATCCATTCCGAAACAGTGCCCAAGTTCGTGGCTAGCAGTGCGGCAGACACGAGCGAGCCATAAGCCAGAGCAGGCACTGGGAGATTGCGAAGAAGGAAGCGCACGATGGGCGGCCAACGCTGCATGAATCGGCCCAGAACCATCGTTGGAAGACTGCCCAAGTTCCTTTTTTGTGCCTGTTTTTTTGTGCCGCTTCTTCCTCAAAGATTTTGCACTTTGGGTACAACATGACTGTATATAAGTCGAACAATGTGATGCAGGCCACGAATGTTCGCGGTCGATGTTCTGAACAACATCGAGAACAGGATTATAGCGTGCAGTGCTCACAACTGCAATACGACTCCCACCGTAAGCGCGCCCACAAGCAAAGTCGTCTTCCTCGTTTTCGTAAATGTCGTGCGAGACGAGGAGGAGGAGGGCATATGCGTCATTGGGCAGTAAAGACGTTGCAGCATCAAGCAAATCATCGAGGTTGAGTTGTTGGATAAAAAAATCTTTTGAAACTCTTGTGCGAATACGGACACACTCGTTGCCAATATTTAGTCCTATATGACCGTGCTTCTTACCGATGTTGGACGGTAACTTTCCAGTGTTCCAGCTAGTGTATACAAGCTTCGTAGGTAGCCGCTTGACATTCACACCGTGATAGAACGCGGTTAGATAATCAAGGACCTCTTGTATTCGAGGTTCGGACATCACAGTAACCCGGGGTACCTTTGGCTGAGACCATTGTTGGATAGCATCAAGATTTGGGTCCACGGAAGGTGGTTCTGCAACGTATATTGTCCTTTTCTCCTTTGTAACTCGATTCCGTTCTTTTGACCGTGTCCAAGAACGTAGGCTCTGAGCGGGATACTTTGGATCGAGAGAAAGTTCATCTTCGGGAAGGACCAAAGGGGCAGGGAAGAGTATTTGAGCAGGGTTCGAGGGATTCAAAGGAGCTCTGCCCTGAAGTGTGACTGCCGCAGCGCGTTTCTGTGCAGTTGGCCATGAAAATCCGGTGTCAAATGCAGACTGAGAGGGTATCAAGGTCAAACTCAAATGGGAGCAGACATCAGAAGTGGATGTCATTGCGAAAGAAGTGTTTGTGAATCTTGACAAATCAGTACCACATCAAGTTCAGCACTAATCAATATACTAATCTGTGGAACCTGTATGTTCACCAGAGCAAGGGTACTAGCTGGAGAGTGCTCCGGCTGCTGGAAAGCAATCTCAGCTGCTCTCAGACAATTACTATAGCCCGAGAATACAGATTTTGCAATAGTCTAAGTGTCACAGACTATGATACATTTCTTTACTTCGTAGATAAAAAAGAATCTACAAATTCGCCCTGATCCTCTGTTCGTAACCGGTTTTACCTGGTACAACTCCAAACGCAGGACCTTGCTTTCCAAACATCTCCCTCAAATCGTCTACCAGTTCATCTGGACATTCATAAGCAGCGAAATGACCACCAGTAGAGTGTTCCACTTGAAAGACGAGATTCCCAACGCTGTGTACAAATCTGTGAAGTTACGGTGAGCATGCGATCGATCAAAACAGGGAGCGAGGAGAGGTAGACCTACTTCCTGGGAGTGATACGAAGCTCTTCCGGGAAATGAGAAACACCTAACGGAATCGTGGGTTTGAACGACGAGGGCTGCGAACCGTTTGCGGAATGAATGAATTCATAGTAAATGCGTATCGATGCGGCAGGACCAGCGCGGGAGAAGTAAAAAATTGTGACCCACGTCAAAACTATATGTCACGTAGGTATTAGAGCCTAGAGGTTGGGGAGAAAGGGATGAGGAGACTTACCCTCGTCATCTGTCCAAGGGTATGAATCGGTCCAAGTCGCCAGCTTCTCGTATATCCAGGCGAGCAGTCCAACAGGCGAATCAGCAAGCGAGTATCCCAAGGTTTGAGGCTTAGTTGATTGTTCATGGAAATACCCTTGACCCTCTTTTTCGAAACGCTTTGACCTTTCGATACCCGCTTTCTCTGCGGCAGTGTAGGGAGTAAAAAGATGTTGCAGAAAGAGGATTGGATTCACACTGAAATTCAGCGGAGTAGCACTGAGAACAGGATGTCAATTGAAGTGCGGATGTATGATATATCGTACTTACAGTGGGAAGTTTGTGTGCCAGGCTTTGCTGTGCTTTCCGCCATATTTATGAGCAATGATTCGTGTTATCTGATGTTTGAACCGGGATAAGATCATATAATCATGTACGAAAAGATAAACTGACAAGATAACCCCAGTCTCCTCCTTGTGTAACTAGAGCAAATGTAGGCATAGGCATGGTTCTTACGTATGATTCTAGAGAGACTCACCGTATTCATGGTAACCAAGGCTAAGCATGAGCTTATGCGCAACCTGAAATGAAAGGTGTCAAGTCCCAGGCAGTTAATAAATCAAGTAAAACTCACCTCTGCATATTGTTCAGGAGCGAACCCCGGCTTATGGGCACCTTCGGAAAAGCCAAATCCAGGCAAGCTGAGGGCGACGACATGGAAAGCGGGAAATTGTGGGGAAGACTGCACCAGCAGAGGCAGAATCTTGCGGACTTCGATAAAGCTTCCAGGCCCTGAACTCATCGTGTTTAGCTGCAGCTTTTGCTCTTCAACGAGGACTCACATCCGTGCACGAATAGCAAAGGAATAGCATTAGCGAGGGAACTTTTCTGGTGCACATAATGGATGTTAAGAGTCTCAAAACCATTCACGAGGATATCCTTGGTGAATTGAGGCAAATCCTGGTTCAATTTGGCTTCTTCTAACTTCCAATCATATACGTCTTTCCAACGAGCAACTAGCCGCTTGATGTCTGACAAAGGCGCACCATAATTCCAACCAGTATTCTCCAGTTCGTCAGGAAACTCGGTCAATGCAAGTTTTTGACGCAGTAGGTCTAGTTTGGAATCTGGAATGGAGATTTGAAAAGGCAGCTCGACGGACATAATTACAACGCTTTTGTTGTAGTAATCGTTGCAGAAGAGGGAAATGAGTCGGAATCATTAGGAATCATTGGTCCGGGCCCGATTCACAAGGTCATACACCAATTCGCTCAAAGACCGCGCTATGCTCAAACTCCCCTGCGTTTAGTCAAGAGCGCCTTCGATGGAAATGAGATACGCGTTCACTGTTCAGACCACAATTGCGGAGAGTCGAAACGAATAGATAGATAATAGGATTTTTTAGGACAAGGCTTCGAATTCAATGAATTATGAAACAAGTAAGAAATTTATCAAACGGGGATTACATCAGCCGGTCGGTTTTGTCTATCCATTGTTTGCCAGCATTTCCTCTTCTTCATCAAGACTTTCATCCTTGAAAGGCCTTTCGACCTTGTTCTGCACGTTCTTCTCGCCATTTCTTGCGTAGAAATATTTGCGTACTTCGCTAGACCGGCAGGATCCGCTGGTCTCGTCTAGAACCACAAACTCTGCTTTAATTTGGCAGTTTGTTTTCTAGCTGGTCCACCGACTCGAAGTCAGGACAATTTATCACGACTCTGACGAGTACAACAAGGAAAAAACCGTTTTACCGACATCGCTGGTTGAACAATCTTTACTAACCCTGACAAGCCCCAGTCTTATCCCCCAGCCCTCACCCTTTTTATCTTTGTATCTTTTTCGCATATCAATATGAGTTATCGTCCTCCGTCGACCAGCCCTAGCCCCTCTCCGGCTCCACATGATGTCGGCAAAAACCGTCAGTCCATGGGCCCAGCCACTCGTGGCGGCTTTGCTGCCCCTCCTTCCCCCCGTCCAGGAGCAGGCAACAGCGCTCGGCCTACTAGCGAACTCCTGGGAAGCGCTGGATTATTTCAGCAGACTCCAGAAGGTGTGCAGAGATCCATTTCCACAAAATTTCGGTTGTCCATTAACAATCCGCTTCTTTTAGCTGAAGCCTTAGATCAATGGTTCGAAAATCTTCAGAATTACGAAGCTACCCTAGAGGAAATGGCTGCTGCTTCTTTGGACGTTAATTTTAAAGAGGAACTTTCTGCCATTGAGCAATGTACGAGGATTTTTCTCTTTAGTCCTCTTGGTTTGAAGAGTCATCTCATTTTTGTTTTGTTGTGTTCCAGGGTTCAAAGTTCTCTCTGAAGCTGAGCGCACAGCCGCTCTGTATAGTCTTCTTCAACATTCGACTCAAGTTCAAATCCGCTTTTTCATCACGGTCCTTCAGCAGATGGCTAGATCGGACCCCATGACAGCTCTGCTGAGTCCAGCAATGGGCGGTACGAGTTTTGCACTACATTGTCACTAGACATTCATTTTTGTTCGATAGGCTCTATGCAAAGTCAGATGGAAGCTAAGCTCGCGACTCTCAAATCTCCTGGGCTTAAATCAGGTCTCCCTGCTTCTCCTACCGCCCGAAACTTTAGTGGTAGTGCAGGTCCCGGAAATCGTCAGTCCCTCGCTCTGGACAACTCATCCAATTTTCTATCACCCGATTCTGCTGCCCTTCCGTCGGATCCTGCTGCGACTCTTGCGCAGCAGCGTGCCAAATTTAAGGCTAGCAATGCCGCGCACAGGATTTCAGCACCTGTGTTAGCTTCTGTCGGAACTGAAAATCGTGTTACTTGGGGGAACACTGGTGGTAGTTCACAGCTTGGTCAGGTTGCTGAACAAAATGGCGGATCGCAAGACCTTGTTATTAATAGCTCTCGGCCCAAGAGCACGGAGTTTTCGGGTACTATCGGCTCGCCTCGGGTACCCGTCAGCGCCTCCAACAACGAGGTCACTGTCTCGAACGAAACCGGAAGCTGGGCGAGTATGGTGAACACTCCGCTCATCCCTATGTTCCAAAAGGATAGTCGTATGAATCCGAGCCTAGATGCCGCTGCAACCAAGTTGAACGAATGGTCCGCCAACAAGAATGCTACTCCTGGCGTCCCTCGCATGGGTGACCCTACTATTCACAGGCGGAACAAAAACAACAACGACGATGATAACGGGCAATATAACCACGGGAATAACAGAATGAGAAATGCAAACTTTGGTGCTGGTGCGCCGGGGGCCGGTTGGTCTGGGGTTGGCGTGCGGAGCCCGGCGCTCCCGAACAGTGCGTCCAATCGATTAGATGAAAATGGCCTTGCCAACGCTATGGCAGGCCTGAACGGTCTAGGAATGCAGATGGGCGGAGGTGGATTTGGCATGGGCATGGGCAGTCCAGGGCTTGGTATGGGCATGCCCAATCTTGCTGGAATGTCTGGAATGTCTCCAATTGCCCCTTTTAACATGCAAATGCTTGCCGCCATGGGAATTTCACCCGAAGCGCAATTACTTGCAGCACAGATGGCCGCGAATGGATTTGGACAGCAAGGATGGATGGGAATGCATAATGGACCCGCGAGCGCCGGTGCTAGTTCGAGGAGAGGCCCGCATAGTGCGAGGTCTGTGAAGAGTCCTAGTAGCACCGCTGGTGGCGCTACACCTAAGGGTGAAGAAGACGTTGACCCCCATGTACTCAACGACGTGCCTGCTTGGTTAAGAAGCCTGAGGTTACACAAGTATACTCCTAACTTCGAGGGTATGAAGTGGCAGGATATGGTGGTGCTTGACGAGGCTCAGTTGGAAGGAAAAGGCGTTGCTGCACTGGGAGCTAGACGTAAGATGTTGAAAACGTTCGAGCTCGTTAGGAAAAAGATGGGAATCGAAGGAGGGCCTCCTAGCAGCCAGCCTCCCAGTGCGGTGCTGTCGCTCCAATCTGCTTGAGCGTAATCGGTGTTTGCTCTTGGGCATTGGAAACCCATTTTAATAACTCATCGTTTGCCTACTTCAGGTTTCCTTCTTTTCCTTTCCGAAGTGTTTCTACCCTCCTTTGCTTACCGAATAGGATTCACGAACCTCTCTTTCTTCTAAATGAATCACCGTCGTCCCTTTCTGATCTACCTGTTTCGCTAACTGGTTTCGATTTATATATGTCTCCTTCCGTCGACCTATCTGTATGTGTAACTATACTAATTATCGGTCTTGCCATCCTTATTATTGATGTTGAGCTATTAAGCTAGACTGAGCTTCGGTACAACGTACCGGAGATTCATGAGACTCGAAAACGTGGGGGTCCGTTCTTGGTCCGTTTTTGCAATCTGGGGTTCTCGAAAAATGATGTCACCATAAGAGGAAATAAATAAAACATTATATTGCGCGCTATGGTACTTATAACTTGTACCAAACCACCACCTCCACCATCGTATTTATACGGCTTTCGCTGTCTACAACCCCAATTCCTCCCTCCTCACGATGCTCGAACGTCCCGCGATATCTAGTAATCTCACAAGTCGCAATGGCTCACCGTTGAGACCAGCTTTTTCGTCGACTGCTTCGTCTTTCAAGCCCGACAGTGCTAGTCTCGGTGACGACGTCCATCCTATCATCAATGAAGGTCGAGTTGCGGTAATCACGGGCGCTGCCAGTGGTATCGGTCGTGCTGCTGCACTTGAGCTGGCCAAGTACGTGATTTGCGATCTGGAAACACACGTTTGCCTGAGTATCTTCTCTTCATCGATCCTCATAGACTCAAATTAAAGATTGCTATCGCCGACGTTGATGAAGCTAGACTTCAACAGGTCGGAAAAGATGTGGCAGCTATCGTTGGAGATGCGAACGTCCTTGTTGTGCCAACCGATGTCTCCAAGCTAGACCAGGTCGTGCACTTGAAGGAAAAAGTTTACGAGCTCTGGGGTGAGGTGAGGATCAAGAGTATACTGTGGCCTGCAACATCAAGGCCAATGTTGTTATCTCGGTCTTCTTTTCCTCCTTGATATTTCCTTATTTTTTATTTACCAACACAACCTTCATCATGGTTCTTAACCATATCCATATCCATACCGTCATATCCGTATAGTGCAACTGTCTGTCCCGATGCCACATCCTCCTCTAACTTAGGATTTTCCTGTATCTCTGTTTACGATACTCATCTTTGAACAGGTTGCGGTTCTTATGAACAACGCCGGTATCGGTTTGAAAGGTACCTCCTGGGACGGTATCAACAACTGGAAGACCATATTTGATGTGAACCTCTTTGGGTAAATTCCCTTTTCGTGTTCACGAGTGGGTGCTTATCCGTTTGTAGTATTCTCAATGTTCAACAAACGTTTGTCCCCGTACGTATTCTTTTCTCCTTCAAGGCAGCGTCGTGCTGATGGGAGACTCCCTTCATGGCTCCTTCGTTACGCTTTTTGACCGCACATATCCATATATCACCCAGTTCATGCTCCATCAAGAGAATCAAGGCATGATCATCAACACGGGGTCAAAGCAAGGCATAACTAATCCTCCGTACGTCGCACTAAACCTTTGTGGAAGGGAAAATCGCTCACACATTACTGTCTTATTTTTGCGTTCATCTTATGGTTACATGCCTGCCGGTCCTATAACTGCCACAGCGGGAATGCAGCATACAATGCTTCCAAAGCTGCAGTCAAATCCCTCACTGAAAGTCTGGCCCACGAGCTGAGGGAAAGACCAAACTCTAACGTCACGGCCCATCTATTCATGTGAGTCTAATTAATTGCAGGTTTTTTGAACCCATTAACAGTCTGGCTGTCCACAGACCGGGTTGGACATATACAAACCTCACAGGTGCTCTCACCCAGGCGGAAAAACCTGCGGGAGCGTGGACCGCGGAGGAAACTGTACTCTACATGCTTGACAAAGTTCGTGCTGGGGACTTCTATGTTCTAGTACCCGATAATGAAACAAGGCGGGAGTTGGATGAGCTCAGGATTATGTGGGCCGCCGGTGATATTGCAGAAGGTAGGCCAGCGTTGAGTAGGTGGCACAAGGATTACAAGGCCTTGTTTGAGGAGTATGTGAGAGATGGAATGACTGGTGTTGGAGCTGGGAGTGAACGGTCGTTCTAAATCTGGGCCTGATCCGAGGCACATAAACAAAAGTTGCTCACGGGGTATGTTTCTTTTCTTATCGATTGTCTACGGGTCAAATTACCCCGTACAACTAAATACTTTGTTTAGCCTTCCCCAGCGCTTTTTTTTTTTTTGGCAAAGACCGCTTTCTCATTTCTTCGTTTGTCGTTATGTTTTCTTGAATGTGCGTTTGATGTGCGGGATGTAGAACAATGTACGATCAATGCTTTGCAACGAATTAGTGTTCAAAGCAAGCCAAGGACTAGTGAAAAATTTTGAATTCCCAAATTCTCGTTTGTAGGTACCAAATTCAATAGACATTAGAAGTAGCAAACACTGCATTTAGTTCACATTCCCGTTGGTAAAGTCACTGAGTCCACTTACACATTTATAGATGCTCTTCGCTTATGTCTATTGGATTCTTCCAAGTTGGAGGTACACACTAGTACTTAAGCCGGTGTGAATCATGTGAATAGGATGGCAAAGGATCCAGGAGTTTTTACTGGCTATAGTCCTTGGCTACCTTGCCGTAGGCACATTTCGTCACAAGGGAACTCATCGAATGAGGGTGGATATTATTGCATGAAGAATGACGAGGGTTATGACTAGTATGAAGCGATATGAGAATAGGCGGTCCGAATTAGTCTCGCGGGCCAGAATTCACGATGAGTGAAGAAAATTTCGTTTAGGTCCGAATTAACATCGCTTCAACAGCTGTCGCAAATAATTCGTCAAAAGACACTACTTCCCCGCACAATGGTATCAAAGGGGGTGATCATTAGAGTACATATAGCAACCTGTGAGACCGCATTGAGTGTCAGTTCGCGTCAATATTCAATCGCGTACGAAAACTGCATATGACCCCGGATTTTAAACGGTTATGAAATGGAGAGGTTGAAGACTTGAATACGGCTTGAATCAGGAGGGAGCATCGAGGTAGCAGCCGGTTATGTAGGAGGATCTTGTGAGGTAAGGAATGGTCATTCGAAACAGGGACTCGGATGTCAATGATCATGGGCCTTCATGGTCAATTCAAGGGATCTTGACCAGCTGGTCGCCAGCGTAATTTGTAAGATCCGAGTGGACATAAGGCCGTATAGTGTGACAATGTCATAAAAAGCGCAAAACAATTCTATGTGTGGTATGTTGCTTTCCATATGCATCCGAGGTTAATTCGGACCCTAATAATATACCATACTGACGAAGAAAATGATGACAATTAGAACACTATGCACTGGTAGGTACGATTGGAAGGACAAACTCCAGCGATTATTCCTCTTGAAGCTATTACTGTGATTTGGTGAGTGTTTGAGTAGGAAAAAGACCGTGGAAACTTTTTTACTCGGCGGCTTTGGCGGAAGCATCGGGCGTTCTCAGAGTCAGAATGCGTTTCATCGTTCTCGAGCTCCGTTGAAGACTGAAAAGGCTCATAGCGATGCAGAATTACAATCTTCTTCCCGTCGGCAATGTGGGCGGAACATGAAATATGCCTCATATTATCAGATTTCGTATTTATACTCGATCGTGGTCTATCAGTTCTTTCCCTCCGACTTCCACCATCCTCAGCGTCGTTGACTTTATCCAGTAACTGCTTGGGAAGCGTCCGTTACCGACCTCGACGATATACATTATGCCTTCACACTTGACCGACGCGTCGACGCGTTTAGGCTCCTCGCCAGATTCACAACTGTCTGTTCCAGGAACTCCTAGGAATGGTAGCGATGGCCTCCTGCATCGTATCAAAAACGTTCCTGGCTATACAACACCAGTATTCAAGGGGAAGGAAGAGCAGAGAGCTCTTGTACAACAGGAGGTTGCTGCAAAGGTTTGTCTGGATAATATTTCAACAATTAATGAACTCTTTATCGACCTTATTATATTAGGGTTTCATCCCTCAAGAGCTCGTCGCCAATGAAGTCAACTGGTTTTACACTAATCTCGGCATCGACGACACGTATTTCCGCAACGAATCGCGGGAGGTCATCTGTGACCACATCATTGCGCTCTTCGGGGCTAAAGTGCTCGCGTATACAAAGCACGATCCGAGCAAGCTCGTTATCGATCTCGAAAAGATTGATGAAAACGGCAATGGCGCGACTTTCATCTACACCAGTCCCCCCGGTATAACTGCTACCGAAGGGCCCGGAGCCAGCTGTGAGGCTAGGTGAGCAGTATAGCGCACTCTTTGCTCACTTTTTGTGCACGTTGCTTCTGGAACGTCAATATGACAATCTCTAAGCGAAGCCAACTATCTATCTATCACGGCATATGCACGTTTCATCTATTTTTGTTGGATTCTCTTGACAAAGGAGTAGATGAAGAATTGACGCATTATCTTCATTTAGGATTGACACCCTGTTTCTCGATAACTCTAAGCCTAGTATTGCATACAGGCTCGAAACTTACCGCTCTGCTGGATCGATATCCTCCACTGCTTCTCAACAGCTGCGATGTTATTTTGTGAGCAAGTGTGTTTTCCCGGACACCCCTGCCACCAAGGATGCGGAGGGTAGGACGCAGATCAGAAGCGTGTCTGACAAGTCGTTTTTGGAGAAGGCGAGCGAGAACACGCTCGAAATTTACCAAAAGGTATGGCATATCACATTCCAGGTTTAATTTCAACTTAATGTTTGTTCTAAGGTTATGTGGAGCGTTGAGCAGAGATATGGCCCTGTTATGGAGGTATTCGAGGTTGAAGGTACAAGAGAACGACGAATTGTTATCGGTTACAAGATGGGCGGTACAACGACGTTTTTTAGGTACGCGTGCAACTGACATTTTCAAACAACTGTACTCACAAACGAAATTCATCAGTGCTCTCTCCAATCTTTATCACTTCTACAGCCTCTACTCTGCTCGCAAATATGTGGAACAATTTGCCAACGGCGTCACTATCATCTCATTGTATCTTAATCCTGTTCCGAGTAGTAACGCCCCACCGATCGAACATTCAATATTTCAAGTTATGAAAGAGGCTTCGTTATTATACTGTCTCCCGGATAACCCATTCTTCCTTCCCGAGGCTCCCGGCACTCATGCCGTCCAGGAGGCTACATATGCTTGTAAGTTTGTTCGCCGCTGAATGATCCCCTGTTGAGAATTTCCCTGCAGACTGCGGTTGGATATTTGCCCAACACTTTTGTAACAGGCTTGGTCCAGCGTACTTACAACTCAAGAATGTTTTGGATGAGAATGATCCCGCTCATGCAGAAGTGTTGAATAACATCAAGAGAAGATTTAGGGAGGAAACCTTCACGCGGGAGAGTATTGAAAAAGTTATTCATGCTCATCCAGAACTGGTGAGTCGCAGTTCTTCTGTGTCGTGAACTTGTCGAACTGAGCACGAATGGTTATGATCTGCTAGATTCGACTTCTCTACGTAAACTTTGCAATGATCCATTATCCTGCCTCAGATAACGCGGGAGAGTTGATGTCGGTTTCATATTCTTTGACAGTTTATTGCATCTGACACTGGTTTTCTCTACAGGCCTACTCTCTCTTATCAACGTTTACAGACTGTTCAACCTCTGTCAGATGAAGAACTTTATGATCGCATCAGACGAACGGTTCCAAATAAGCATGAATTGCAAGTTTTGGAGAGTTTCTTGATCTTCAACAAGTATGTTTCTTCAACTTACTGAAGTAAAGAGTCTTACCTGCCTTCAGACATATTCTCAAAACGAACTTCTACCAGCCCACCAAGGTAGCCCTGTCATTCCGCCTCGCTCCAGACTTTCTGCCCGAGGTAGAATATCCAAAGAAACCGTTTGGGATGTTCTTCGTTATCGGAAACGAGTTCCGTGGATTCCATATCCGGTTCAGGGACGTTGCTCGTGGAGGTATCAGGATCGTCATGTCGAGGAATAAGGAGACATATTCCATCAACCAAAGGATGTTGTAAGCAGGCTTATACCGACTGGATTTTAAATCGTGCTCATGGTGATCGCGATTTTCAAGATTTGACGAAAACTACAATCTAGCTTCGACACAGTCTTTGAAGAACAAGGACATTCCAGAGGGCGGCGCGAAAGGAACCATTCTCCCCTCCATTGGTGCCACGCCGAGATTGTGTTTTGAGAAATATGTCGACGTACGTTGCCAGGAAATGTTTACTTTCTCCATTCTTCATGCTTATACATTATCAATATCGCAGGCTATTGTTGACCTACTGATTCCTGGTAAAACGCCAGGAATTAAAGAAACGTTGGTGGACTTGTACGGCAAGCCCGAGCTACTGTTCTTTGGGCCCGATGGTCAGTCATTATTGTATCTTCCATGTGAATATCAACTCACGTTTCACTTCGCGTAGAGGTACCTCAAATTTGGCTTTACAATGGTTGTTGGCAGGACTAATCTATCTATCAGGGAACTGCAGAGATGATGGATTGGGCTGCATTACATGCTCGCGATCGTGGTGCCGAAACATGGTGGAAGTCGTTCACCACTGGGAAAAGTGCTGAGACGCTGGGTGGAGTACCGCACGACACCTATGGCATGACTTCGCTATCCATCAGACAGTATGTGCTGGGAATCTACAAGCAGTTGGGCTTGAAGGAGAAGGACATCACGAAGGTGCAAACTGGTGGACCCGATGGAGATCTTGGATCAAGTATGTCTTTTCTTCGTCCGCGTTTCATCAATCAGCTATTCATCCTTCTTGTACCAGACGAAATTTTGCTTAGCTCTGACAAAACTATTGCCATCATCGATGGAAGTGGTGTTCTGGCCGATCCTGCTGGTCTTGACCGTGATGAGCTTGTTCGTTTAGCAAAACTCCGTGTACCTGTTGGGCACTTTGACAAATCAAAACTGAGCAAAGATGGATATTTGGTCAAAGTTGAGGAGCAAGATGTCAAGCTACCTTGTGTGTTCTAGGATCTCTCCGCCTTCCTTGAGCAAGAGACTGATTTCTACAAATTACACAGCTGGCGAAATTGTTCTCGACGGCACTGATTTCCGTAACGGAGCCCATTTGAGGTATAAGGCGGACCTATTTGTGCCTTGCGGTGGACGGTAAGTATTCTCGAGTTACGAGTAATAGAGGAAACCGAATATTTCTTCATAGACCAGAGGCTGTCAACATCTCGAACATGGCGGCACTCTTTGATGGCGAGGGCAAACCTCACTTCAAGTATATCGTCGAGGGCGCCAACCTGTTCCTCACCCAACAGGCTCGATTGTTTCTAGAGAAGCGCAAAGTGGTCGTTTTCAAGGATTCGAGCACCAATAAAGGCGAGTCTGCCTGCACTATCTACTTCTGATGACTTACTTCGCCTAGGTGGTGTGACAAGTTCCTCGATGGAGGTCCTGGCAGGACTCGCCCTTTCGACTCAAGAATACGTCGACCTGATGATTTTCAAAGATGGAAAGCCTTCCGAATTCTACCAGAACTATGTCCGAGATATTCAAGAAAAAATCACTGAGAACGCAGCGGCAGAATTCAACTGTATATGGAAGGAATACTCGCGCCTACACGGAACAAAACCCCGAACAAATATTTCCGATGAGCTCTCGTCTACCTTGAACAACCTGCAGGCGGAGTTGGAGAGTTCTGATCTCTTCGACGACGTTCCGAGCAGAAATGGGGTGTTGACGCGCGCCATACCGAGAACATTGGTTGATAAAATTGGACTGGATTCTTTGTTGAAGCGTCTGCCGGAGACGTACCAACGAGCACTCTTCTCCAGCTGGGTTGCGTCGCACTTTGTAAGTACATTCTTTCATCATGATGAGGTCTAAGGCTTATGTTTGAGTATGATAGATCTACAAATACGGCGTAAATGGGTCGAGCGTAGATTTCTTCCATTTTGCCAGAGACCTTTCAAAATAGCGAAAGATAGAAGGAAATTTAAATTAGTGTAACTATACAGATACTGTATTTTTTTGTAATGCAGGTGATGAATCGTGAAACGAGCCCACCCCCCACCTCGACAAAGCTCGAGAAGACTCTTGAAGACAACGTCAGTAATACAAATTGTCCTGTGAGACGAAGAGGGAACAACCTGAAAAGACTAGGAAACCATATATCAAGTACAACAGTAACAATTTTCCTAACGATTACATCTAGATTATGATACAACAACTTCAAGTCAGTATTTTTCGACGTATCCAAAGCTTTTCCTTTTGACTATCGTTCGAAGTCCGTATGTCCATAACGTATTGTTCATCAAGGGTCTCTGGAGGAAGTGGAGGAAGTTCCTTATCCGTGTTCGGCGCTCTCAAATTTCTGACTCCCCGTCGCCGTCGAGCAACACGACGGACTACACCCGGTGACCATTTCGGCTGAGCCAATACATCTTGCTCGTCTCTAAGGTGATTTCCCCGAGATGAAGGCGGAAAATCAACGTGCTCCCCTAATTCGCAAACGACAGCATGCCATTGGGGTTTGAGAGTAGTGTGTTTAATTTGTTTCCTTGTGGACCGGCAGATGTTCACCTCAATGTGAGCAACTGCTTCATCCAATGTCTGGGATCGAGAGTCGGGGGACAGCATATACAGTTTTTCTCGAGTTTTACGACAGCGTAATAACTGTTCGGTAATGATTTCAGACGACAGACACTGGAAATCTGCAAATATCTGGCGCATGAGAGGGTGGGTAGCATGAGAAACACCATTTCGACGAAGGAATGCGAGCTGTCCGGCTACGTCTGCTGTTAGCAAAATCTACGAGAGAACGATGGTCACAGACGATTCAGATACGTATTCAGGAACACTCACTCGTATGTCGCTTCCAATGTACAACCAGCGTCTCCAATATGTATCAGGCTGAGACAGCAGTTCAGTGGTATTTGGTATTTCTTCGGGTGTCAAGAGCTCGCAGTCATCCTGGGGTCGCCCCACCAATCTATCAATACTGTGGCATCGAAATCCAACAGGAAGGGCGTAGCGGCGGGCAGTGGACGTGATGCCACGGACAGGATGTCGAGATTTAAGTTGTGAACAAAGCTCATTGAACTTGCTACGGGCCTTGTTGAATTTTTTCACCGTTTTGCAGGATGTGGCATATTTGAATTGAGCTTCTTCAAGCAGCAGAAAAGTGGAATATTGGACACTTGCGTCGGGAGGGAGGAGAACCTAGATGCAAGCTTCCAATCAATGTCTGATTATATCAAGTTGCCGAGTCCTTGATAAACGCACCTGAACATCTTCTGAACATTGATACCATCTCCATCCAAAGGAATCTGATACATCCAGCTGTCCGACTCTCAATCTCGCGGGGGCACGATCCAGAACGTATTGATCCTCAGAAAGTTGTATCCTTGCCTGACGTATTTTCCTTGACACCTTGCGTTGTGCCAGCGGCACAGAGCTAGCAGAGCTATCTATGGAGGTTGGTGAAGAAACGTTCAATGTTTTGAAAAAGCTATCTGTGGGATCCTCAAAGGAACTTTGTCTAGTGGAGGTCGTATTTTGAGAACTACGGGCATTCGATTCCCGCCATTCCTTATATTTCCGAGTTTCTGTGGCGCTCAACTGGACCTATGTATACGTTCAGCTGCAAGTGTATAACCAGAAGAAATTATTTACCTTGCAGACATTATCGAGTTGTAACCATGTACGTCCACGCTGATCTGGATCGCTGAGCGTACCCTTCATGATATGAGACGACATGAGGGAAGAAAAGGAAAGGTGAGGGAAAAACGGGAGAATTGGATTGTAGGTCCCACGTCAAGCATAAAGAATGTCTCTAAAGTTGTAATAGCCTCATGTTGATGCTATACGGATGATTCAATGAATTGGTCGTGTCGTGACTTCGCGCGCGTTTGGTTTACGTTTTGTCGAGATAGGACAAGTCGCGCAGCCAGTACGGAATATGCTGTACGGCTATACAGATTTCCTATAGAATGCTCTGTATTGTGCGTGTAATTCAATCAAAACCACAGAAGAAAATGCATTGAGAACAAATGCGTCACTGTCACGATTCACCCGCTGTTTCCTTTTGTCACGGACGTGACAGCCCGTTGAAACTCCGCCAGTTGCTCTTTCGTTTATACCGCCTCGTCGTACTCTCGGATTTGGACTATACTTCACTGAATACCCTTTCAACTCGTACCGCAACAATGTCTGACCTCTGTCCTGTATACGCCCCCTTCTTCAGTGCCATGGTACGTTGACTTTGCCTCGTTGAGTGTGGTAGAAGGATGTAACTGACTATTCCCCTAGGGCTGCACCAGTGCTATTGTTTTCACTTGTAAGCACATGGTTCTAGCGGCATAGCACGTAGTCTTTGCCTATACGATGAACTGTTGACGGATTGACTTTCCGAACGCAATTTGCAGGCATAGGAGCAAGGTTTGTTTCTTCTGTGTTTGACGTGGCTCGACTCTTACGTCTTTTGATCCTGTAGTTATGGTACTGCAAAATCCGGTGTTGGGATCTCTGCCATGTCAGTACTACGACCCGACCTTATGATGAAATGTGTGGTTCCCGTCATTATGGCTGGTATTATTGCCGTATGTGTTTTCTTTGGTTATTTATTGTACATGCATCTTATACTTAGTTCAGATTTACGGTCTCGTCGTCTCGGTTCTCATTGCTGGTGACCGTACGTTCAAGTGCCTCATCCGTATCCTACCTACTTGACTCTTTCGTCCGCAGTGAGTGTAAGCATGTCCCTCGCTCAAGGATTTACACAACTTGGTGCTGGCCTCGCCGTCGGTCTTGCTGGCTTGGCAGCTGGTTTCGCCATCGGTATCGTTGGAGACGCTGGTGTGAGGGGTACTGCGCAGCAGCCACGGTTGTTTGTTGGAATGGTGCGCTGATAACCATGCGCCATTTTTCTACCACAACTCACAGATACCAACCTCTAGATCCTGATTCTCATTTTCGCTGAAGTTTTGGGTCTTTACGGTCTCATTGTCGCCCTCATAATGAATACTTCTTCGCAGACGATGAAGTCTGTTGTACGTCATTTCCATCTTTCTACAATTATAGCCGACACACTAATCGGTCCGCCTTAGTGTGCTTAATATGCAAATGTTGGAGGTCAGACGATGGAATCAACGTGTGTAGAAGCGAACTGCCCCATCCTTCTGACATTCCGGTTTTTTGCGCAATCAATACTTCATACACTGCACTGTACTCCTCTGCACGCCACATAGGTTTTGTCGTAATAGTTTACTCTTTTCATTCAAAACAGAGGATGTCATCTGCCACGATGACTTGCTTTGGATATCATGTTCGAGTCCATGGTTTTAACTTTTCTTACACCACAGTCAAGTCTTGTCCATGGAGATCACAATGCCACCTCGCATAACCACATGTGCATAACAAAAAATACAACCAACGCATCCACCTATCTAATACAAAGGTCTCATCACAGTCGTGTCAAGAAGTGACAAGATCATAACGCGATTACTGAAGTACGTCCATGCTGCAGCCACTCTGTTCAGTAACAAGGCGCAGAATTGTATCGGTCGTGCGTTGAATGTTAGGAACACTCGATAGTTGCTGTTGTGTAACGGCGACGAGACTTCTGACGAAGCGATGCACCAGAACGATATCGCTGCTTCCATTGTTGCGACAATATACCCCGGAGCATTCAACTAGACTGAGTATGGCGTACAAATGTTCTGGAGCTGTGAGTTGACATATTAAGATCCATAAACAATGCAGAACAGTCTCTCTGTCAATGACGTCGCAGCGGTATAAACACCCAGTAAACGCCACAAAGCGACTCGCGCACTGGATATACTCAGGGGCAAAAGAAGAGTCGGATGTGAATCGAAGGGCAGAACCTTTATTCTAGGTTGTCAAGCATTAGTTGACCAGTACTTTAAAACGCGCGAAGTGAGCACCAACCTCGACATCCCAAAGCGCCTCGAAATATCCCTTGACGCATCGCTGAAGAATATCCGTGAATGTAGAGGCATTTTTTTGATCCCCGATAGTTTTAAAGTGATTATAAACGCTGAACGCCAGTAGCGCAACTGACAAAGGATGCGTGTCGAATGAAGGTTCGGAACCTTTCCAGCAGACATGCTGAATCAGGTCGACTAGGCCGCAGCGACTCCAGATCTGTCCGTGAACCAAGTCTCGACCGTATTCGTCTATTGCGGACGCGCTCATCGGGGTCGTATGAGCTGCAAGATCAAGTGAATGGCGCCAGTTTGGGGGGTGTCGGGTAGATGCCAGCCAAGGAGAGGATTCTAAGCCTGACGAGGGTCGTAGGAGGGGAGGAAGAGGACGATCGTATCTTTGGTGAAACCTATTTATCGCATCAATTGCCACCAGTCTTGCTGAGGCACAGCTGCCTGCGCCATTCTCTGAACCAGGGACGAAAGGATGGGCTCGTGGATTAAGAGTCTTGTCTTCAACTGGAAATCTCAAGGAAGAGCTATCTTCTTCGTCAAGCATGGCACGAATATTATTGAGAACAGAGGAGGACAAATTCTGTTCAAAATCATAAGTCCCTTTGTCTGCAGTAAAAATATTTTCCTGTTCTGGAGCCAATGTCGTAGGTTTGATAGTATCGTGCTGATGATGGTGTAGACTGATGAAATACGCTTTGAGGTTGTAATCCTCTGGAGGAAATGTGGAAGAGGAGGAGGAGGAGGAGGTATCAGACATCCGGGTATAGGAAGATTGAGCAAGATAACTTCGTGCTCAGAAATATTGTCTTTTTATAATCTGGGGTCTCCTTCAGGGCCAAAACCATGACTTGACCAATGAAGGTTGATACCCATTGTTTCTATGGTCATGGCTTGGTCAAAGCAAGTCCAAGCAGATAGATTTGTTATTGTTCAATGAGTCGTTTATTATGATGGGCTAGCCACTGCCAAACAACCTGGCTATATTATCAATGAGTCTGATGCTCGTGGATACAGCGAGACGGACAAACAAGAGAGCAAATAGTGATTTATTATAGGAGATTCAATAAAAACGGATGCTGATGGGCTCTTTTCCATCTGCCAATCGTCTATGGACAATGTTGCTGGTAAAAGAAGACCACTGAGGAAAGGCCGATCAGTATGAATTATACCACAATTTCACCCAATAACCAAACCACTCACCCCATTCCCGATAAAGACCGCTGCTCGTCTGGCAATGTCCATGTCCACAGCCATATTGACGTCAGTCTGTTCTTGGTCAAGAGTGAGATCGCGACTCGTCTTGATAGTATGCCAACCATCCTTCCGTAATGTATCCTTAAGCTGGTCGAGCCACTCGCTCTCCTCATTTGTGAGCAAGTATAGAACGTCAAGCGTCCGTTGATCACCTTTGCTCCCTCCTGCCCGTATATAGTCTTCCTTAGAGTCCTTCACCTTTTTCACGATCCCATCAAATGTCGGTAAACAATGCTCCATGTACTTTTCCGTGTTTTCTGGAGTATTCCAACCCCAGCTCCCACCGGCCGGAGGCTCGAAATGATCGGGAAGGAAATCGAGCAAGTTCCAGCTATAATAGGTGGAATTCCACGTGGCCAAACCAATGCAGGCATCCTTGAAATCGCCTCGCCGAACATGCATTGCGAGCATTCGATCATAAGGATTGTGCGAGACTGGATGAGCAGGACGAGGACCATGGGGTAGGAAAAGATATTCATTTCTGTCCACAGCACTGTTTACAATGGGAGAAGTGGCAAGGAGGCGAGAGATGGGGGATTCGGAGAAAGGTTTCCAAAGAGGAAGAACGCGGAAACTACCCCACAACCAAAGGTCAAACGTTTGCGGGAAGTTGTCATCATCTGCCGGAACAATTTCGATGCATCGTTCGGGGGCTTCTGTGAGCACCTTACGCCAAGCTTCGAAAATTTCGTCGCCCATGAGCCACGCTATGTCAGGCTTAACTTCACGGGTATTTAAGATTCGACGTTCCTCCCGAGGGCAGACAACATCGAACCACTTTTCACTTACAGAACGTGGTGCATCATCACCAGGGTCCCAAAGCCCCCCGGCAGTGGGTCCTGCGATAATGGCGTTGAGAGGAGTATGAGGAGGCCATTCAAAGGATTCGGATTGTGGCCAGGAATAATATTCCGGCTTCCAGACGTAGTCCTGAAATACATAAGCACGCTTTGATTTGTATGCAAGAAAAGAGTTCATCAAGCTGTATCAGAAAGTATTAATGAAAATTATCATCTGACTTTCAACGGGAATGCGTACAGTTCGTTGAACACATTATTCCATCCTAACATCTTGATCTGATTAGAGAACTTGACATAGCGTCCAGTCCGCCCCTCGGGGAAAGGCAGATCCAGATTGTGTTGGGGTAATTCATCCTCCCATTGCTTTAATTGCGCCCACGTTGGAGGACCAAAACCGAGGCGGGCGGATTTGCCCTCAGCCTTGAAATTAGAAGGTAGGTCGTAGTAAAAACTTCTGCTCAGGCGTCGTGTGGTCGGATGAATGAACGAAATGGATAGAAGGAGGAAGAGGGAAACGCAAATAACGATCAGTCGTCGTCTGCCTGTACCAATAAATTGTTTGACTCGAAGGGAAGCGTTCTGCCAGGACAAAGGAGAAACGTTGGGGGCTAAGCGTTGATACGGTCCATTGAACATGGTGGATCGAGGAGGGCCATAAAACTTTTCAGAACAGCTTTTATAATTTGATTAGAATCCGCAATTTTCATCGGGCCTGAGGCCTGAGTGTTAAGAGAGAAATAGATGACGTAAACAAACTCCATCAACCCGGGTCGTCAGGACCGTGCCATACCGTGCCAACTTAGCAGCCTTCTCGCAACTTGGACTATTACCCTTATTTGAGTCATATACCTCCCCCAGTTTACCTTCTACAAGGTTCCGGAGCTGCTCCAAAATGCCTTTGAAGCGAGCGGAATCATTGTCTTCGACACGGACTCGGAGGTGAACTTAATTTCTGTACTTTCAGGTACTTCCTCAATATTACCTTCCCACTGGCATATATTTTTCTTCCATAAGATGCTCCGATATTGATCTGACGGCCTTTTTTCCCCGAACAGAGACATTTCTTGAATACTGCCTCTAGGCTAAGGGCACTTACTTGAATACCACAGAATACCACATGTATCTGCATTTCTGCCAAGACGGGAGAGTCAGATGGCAACAGTTTCAAGTTTGTATACCGTTCAACAGCTTTACACATATACACAAGACAGATTATTATCGTCAGGATAGGATAGGATAGTTACAGCGTATTCAAAAAACCTTGTCAGTAGCATAAAAAATGAGATAAAATAAAATAAAATCGAAAAGGTACCCGACGTTTTAGCCGACCGCTTGGTGAGTGTGCTGTCACTTGCGCCTTTTGACAATGATCTTCCATGCCAGTGGTGGAGGCTGGAGGCTGGTGGAGGTAACAAGTCCACTGAAGGATCACAATGTCAATGGAACTCCTCCTGGCATGGTCAGACTCTCCAGAGGCATCATCATCTGTTACTAGTCCTACCTCAGAAGCAAGAGATCTGCAATCATACAAAGGTGGAGCATATGGAGGGGGCAGGCTGCCTCTAGATATCCTTGGATACATGAGAATGGCAGTCAGATGCCAGTACACGGCCAAGGCTTGCACTAAGACAACCCAGAGATAGCCAGAGATGTCCTGAAGACAACAGAGTCCAGACGAAGCACTGCTAACCAGTTGGAAGTTGTTGAAATGACATCTCACAACTGGACAGCACAGGAGGTGACAGGACAGCACTCGCCAAGCGGTCGGCTAAAGGTCGGGTACCTTTTCGATTTTATTTTATTTTATCTCATTTTTTATGCTACTGACAAGGTTTTTTGAATACGCTGTAATATCTGACCTATCGTTGCAAACCGGAGAGTGTCAAGGCGGAATCAACAGTGTTGGAGAATGTCAGGAGAATGTATAGTTATCTCTATCACTCGGCAGGAAGTTGCAATTCTGAACTGTCAACTTGATAAGTTTCTCCAGGTTAGAATCATCTTTCCCTTGTGCAACCGTTTACATACAATCTTCCAGAGGTCGGCGACCAATGTAATAAACAAACTTGTCGATATCAAATTGAGGTCAACCACTTACCAATCTGTGTGTGGACAAGGGCCCAGTTCAGCGTAGCAGTAGTATTTATCAAGTATGTACCTGTAGCAGACCTGTAGTATAGATTTCGAGTCACGCTCAACTCTTATACAGGTTTCGCAAAATCTGGAGGAACTTCCGACAGCCACTTTTCAAAGAGTCTCCCTAGGATATGTAGTATAGCTATGATGATATCCTTATATCCGGACACCACTGCGCAACCATATCTAGAATCTCTTGGACCTTATTATCTTTCTCGTCACTTCCTGCCACTACTGTTCTCGAAAGTACACTGCTACCATTCTGCAACATTGTCGTCTTTGGTAAAAAATTCATCAAAAACAGATCGATCATCTCCCGGCTAGGTTCCCTCGTAACTACGGAGGGCGTTATCAGCGTCGAACCAGGACGGCACCAAAATCGTGGTCCGGCGTGATCAATCAGGACTGATATGGCGGTAATGTGTTCAAGGGAGGTGAGCTCATGAACGAGAATATTGAGACACATTTTGATATGTTGAACGCGGATGAGACCGAGGGTGAACAGGTCGCCAATAAAAGCTACCAACCGGGTTGCGGACGCAACATACTCCTCAGAGGGGGCAAAACGATATGATATTGCTTTGGAGCTCTCCTATAAATTAGTAGAATATTAACATAGCTCTCAAGAAGAACATTAGATGCTCACAGTAGCACACCAACAACCTTTAAAGGTACCTATAAGCGATTCCCTGAGATGCCATACAAACGAATCTGCTGTGTCTTCGTCAAAGGCATCCCGCAGCGCCTGGGAAACCTCCCGAGCAAACGCCGCCATTGTTTCTCGATCGATATCGGCATTTACATCGGAAGCATTCCAACAGAAATGTTGAGCCAGCTCAGCTAAGGCTTCCGGATGCCAGAAATGGGAATGCGCAAGTTCTTTAGCACGCGCAGCCAGGATAAAGGAATCAGCAGGAGTTGTAGTAGATGCCAGATGAAGTATGATCATCCAAGCAGGTATCGCTTTGAGCGGGTTTGGAGGGGGAGGAGGTAATAATGGGATAGAGTCCGAGGCGGAGGCTGCGAGCACTCTGGCTCGGATAATGGAAGGAAGACGCGTACGGGGCCCTGCGGACTGGACGGAAGGTACGAAAGGCGCAGCCTGAGGATTTAGGTGCTTGTAGTTATCCCTAAATTGGGAATCGTAGATATCCGGTGTATCGAGCATTTCCTGGATGGAGATTACCGCGCATGGAGGAAGCTGCGACTTGAAGTCATAGCTGTCTTTGTCAAGAGCAAAGACGTTCTCGATGTCTTGCTCGTCCGATCCAATAGTACTTCCGGAACTCAAGCTCTCAGAGTCCTCGGAGCTCAGCGGAGAGAGAGGCTCATCAGGAGAAGGTTTGAAGCTGTATAAGCCGAAGAAGAATTCTTTGAGCTCGCACTCGTCGGAGGTGTTGGGAAAATAAGATTGGTTATTGCAGTCAATTAGAGGTTTCGAATATAGATCATGATATGAAGGTGAACTCCCTCGAAGGAGGGGCGTAATAGGCGTGGTTGGCATTAGGAAATATTACGCTGGATAATAGGACGATATGGATCTGGCTTGCAGGTTTTGAGTGGGAGAAGGACGAGACACAACCATATATAAGTGGTTCCAGGTAGAGATTTTCTTTGACATAACTTGAAAGCACAAGGGGCACCTTTGTAGAAATAACAATAAGATTGCGAGCATTCATTGCATTTCTTCCACGTGAAGTACTGAAGAACAGTTTCCTTTCTTGATGTTCTCTCCTTGTTCTTTTCAAAGAGGATATCAACACAAAAAGGCTGTAAAACACAAAGGAAAGTACTCATGAGTGACGGGTGACTCAATTACGAAATCACGAGCGAAGTCAATGACAGCCTCGACCACCAGCTGTGTTACTATCTATTATTACTCACGTATTTTTCGCGTTCGTGATGAGCACTATCTATCATCCAACTCAAGTTGTTGTTCTTTTCAAAAGAATCGTGAACGCGATATCAACCTTTTCAATATCCAACCACTACCTGCTCAAGCACGCAAAGCCGGGAAACAACCAATCAGAAGATGTGGATGGAAAAGAGCAGGCAAATTTGGATTGGCCCTGGTGGATATTCAGGACGAGCTGGGGCTGGCCATGGTTGCTATATGGATCACATCGTAGGGAAGGTAAGTACCTCGTACCAAATTTTCCAACAACAAGTTGTCTATCCACTACAACATCTTTAGTGCGTTGGTCCTGGCTCAGTATATCAAATTCTTCTGGCCAAATATTGTCAGCCACAGAGGATCTATACCCACCTCCTACACACTCTCCCCGGTCATCATCGTCTCAGTCGCGAAAAAATCCTACCAAATCGCGTCAAGACCCTGCAAATGAGGAGACTAAGGAATTGGACACGATGCATCAACTATTGCAAAATCCTGCCTTGTATGACCCTCTTCGAGTGCCTCGGAATCCCATAGTATTGTGCCACGGTGTGTGAATCTGAATTTAAGTTTATCTATCGCGGAGTATATTCAACTTGATCGAAAGGGTTGTACGGATTTGACACAAGAGGTCCCTCATCTTTCCCTAGCTTACAATTCCACTATTGGTCCAATGTCCTAAATATTCTTCGGGACAAGATAAAGGCTGATGTGATAGTAACCGCTGTTCCTGGGTAACCCTCGTTAATCTTCTATGCCCTTCCGATATATTGATACATTTCCTTAGCACTGGCTCTATCACCACCCGCGCTGAAAGCCTGGACCGTCAACTACATTCCCGAGCTCCAGGTCGTGGCCTCAATTTCCTCGCACATTCGATGGGTGGCTTAGATTGCCGGGACTTGATATCTCGCGTCAAACCGACCAAGTACACACCTCTCTCTCTAACCACGGTTAGCACGCCCCACCGCGGCAGTCCGTTCATGGATTGGTGCTCTGTGAGCACATCATGAGAGAATTCTTATTTTTTGCTCACGACAAGTCGTTGACAGGATAACCTCGGTCTTGGAAGACTTGCGCGAGAAGAGCAAAAACTTCTCGCCAGAGCTTCCCACTCTCATGCGAACGACGCAACTACGGGATCCTCTTCCCCGAAACCCCAGACTCGTTCCACATTATCTCTTTCCTCTCTCCCGTCATCCTTTACCACCCTCCTTCTATCGATTTTAGATTCACCGGCTTACGCAAACTTGACCTCCGCCCATCTTAATAATGTATTCAACCCCTCCACCCCAGATGATCCGCGCGTTAAATACTTCAGCGTCACCGGTCGGATGCCTGGAGTCAATATTTGGCACCCGCTATGGCTTCCGAAATTGGTTGTGGATGATTTTGAGCATAGGGAGCGTCAGCGCCTCCGGGAATCCTGGGTTTCAGATAACGGCGAATACTCTGAAGCCGATTCGCAGTACAAACCTTTATGGGCCCGAGATGAAGAGTGGGGGAATGACTGTCTGGTTACGGTACAAAGTTCCAAATGGGGCGAATTTTTAGGCGTGATGGATGGATGTGACCGTAAGTTTTTAACATTCACGATTAATACACCCACATGGTCATACGTGGAAGTTGATATGTTTTTTTCGCAGATTGGGAGATTCGAGGAGCTCGGGGATTAGAATTAGGCGTCGATCTTCCCGCCATACCGGCTATAAGCCTGGGGTCGTCTATGGGGGGAGGCGACAGTGCTAAGGACGGAGAGCAGGACGGATGGAGCCTGAAAGATATCGGGTGGTTCCTCAAAGCTTGGCGGAAGGATGAAAAGGTACAACAGGAGGCAATCGCGAGACTCCCTCAGAGCTCTGGAACGCGACAGAAAGAAAGGGAACGTGAAAGAGAAAAAGAAAGAGAAAAGGACGACGCGGTAGTCAAAGCTTCCACTGATAAGCTCTCGGCTGTTTTTGACTGGGTAACGGAACGAGTGCCCTCGCCGCCGCTCTTGGGTACTAAGAACATATCTGCGATATCCGAGTCAGAGCCAAAATCCATATACAATACGATTTCCACAAGGGATAACCGCAAGAAAAATGAGCTGGAAAGCAAGGAGGATCTCGAAAGATTTTATGTTGCGTTATCAAGGAAATTGTACGATGAAGGTCTATGATTGATTGACAGCATCATAATGTATGTGAAGCTCACTAGTCGGCATGTCATTATTTACTACTTATTTCTATCAGAGCCTTCTCAAGAATTTACGAAGGTGGGCTTGTGCTTGTGGCAGATTTTATGGGACATTGGAAACCTTACGGTGTGTAATATCGGGAATGCGCCGCTGTCATAAGTATGAAATACAGTTTTGTGTTCGAATTGCACATGTCCAGAAAACAGCGCAAAAATTCTTCCCACCGACCACAGCTTGAGGGATCGAGGTCGCGGAGCAATTCAACTAATTTGAATTACCAACATTGTCGGGGTGCGGATAGATCCAAGAGCTGAAATTACTCATTTCTGTGCGCTTTTACTTCTTTCAAGGATGTAAAGGGGAGACCCTCCATGGGGTATATAGAATTCGGAGATTTTGATGGGGTCTGTATTTGTATGCATGAGGCTGTATTTCTACATTAGTGCGGCAAGCACCGAGTCGAGGGGAAGTTGAGGGTCTACACGTGGTCGTACGTTGGGCCTTGTGTGATGTGGACGAGCTAACTTTGGTCACTGGCCTCCGCAAACTTTTCAGAAGCCGAAATCGGAAGATTCACTCTTGCCTTGTATAACGATTTCTGGGCGTCACTTTCTTGTTTTGAACCGATGTTGTATTGCTGCCCGATGAGCTTGATGCCACGGCCTCCCACTCACAGCGTTCTCTGGAAGACGCTTCTTTTTTTCCTTTTGGACGACCTTATCACTCGCTCCTTATTTTTCCAAGTGTGACCCATCGTCTTCCTGAGTTTCAGGGTTGCTCTTGGGTGGCTGACCCATTCTGCGGTTGTAAAAGACGATGAACAAGGTTCAAGGCATTGAAATGCCTATTCTCCTTCAATATCCTTCACAACAAGGAAGAAAGTCAACATCGATTCCTGATACCACTCAGTTCTCTGGAGTCACTCGATGTCTCTTCGGTGTTCCATGCGCGACTCCTGACCAGGCATACCATATATCTAAATACAATGAAGTACGTCCACGATCTCTTCATTATTCGTCGAATGCTTCCGAAATGAAGAAAAGAAGCTGAAACATGTTTTTCATATCGCAGTTATATCTGCTTCACCTTCATGTTCCCGTGCACCTACGCGATTATATTCCTGCCAAGGTCCTCGCCCGAGTATCAACGGACGTTAAAGCACGTTCAGACATAAGTATGGAGTCCGAGGTAAGTATTTTGTCCTACTATACTGGTGCTTGATTGACGTCTATGAATGAAGATAGCTACAATGGTATTTGTGAGATCAAGGACAGACGTTGCAGTGCCTTTTGTATATGGCTACTGTCCCACTCGAGAAAATGCCATTGGGCAGCCATTTTCGATAATTTCATTTGTGCGCTTTCTCTACTCGGAGCGGGTTATCAAATTGATACAACCTTGTGTACACCAGGTTGAGGGAGAAACCATGAATAGCTCTATTTGGGAAGATCTTCCTCTTGACGTAAAGCTCAGAACAATTCGAGACTACGCCAGGATCATTCTGGAACTCTCCAAGCTGAAGTTTGATCGCATTGGGTCGCTGTATTTTGCCCCAGGAGTGACTCCTTCATACTCCTACCAGCTTGGACCAATCGCCTGGTGTAAACACGAATCTGAACATCGAAGAAAACATGGTCCCTACGATTGTGGACCGTGGAAGTTATCAACGAGTTGGTTGAGAGCAGCATTGTCAGATGAAGTTAATTTCATAGACAAAATGCCCGAGCTCGCTCAATCTACACATAAATGCCGCCGCCCGCATGACGACACACGTTGGTGGCTGGCCCGACAAGTGCTTCCAAAACTTCAAGACCGAGTGACGGATATTATTGAAGATCCTCTAGACAGGTATAGGGCGGGTCCGTTTGTCCTGGCCCACATGAATTTCAACCCACGGTAGGTACTTAGTTGTTCTCCGCTGATCAATAATTGACGGGAACATAGAAACATCATATTCTCGCGTGAAGGTGGGCATATTCTTTGCGTTGTGGACTGGGAAATGTCTTCGACAGTTCCTCTATGGGCGCTGGTATGCTACCCATCGTGGTTTGGTCAAGTATGTCCAACTCTTCGTAAACGTAGTTCGCGGGAGACACAGATATTCAAGGATGTCTACATAAGAGAGCTCCAAAGGCTCACGCTTGAGCCTTCTATCCTGAGCGTCGTGCAGAATTCAAGATCAGAAGCAAAACGCCGTTTCGCGGATGTGGCAACATTGCCTTGGACCAAGGCTTATCGTATGCTAGATTGGATCAATGAAAATCCAAAGAAGCGTTAGTATACTCGGTAGTAGTTTAAAGTAGGCACTTTCAATACTTCCTTGTTCAACTTTCCTTATCGCTGTAAGGAGTTGAGGTTGTGTCTTTGAGGATCGTTAGCTATCTCAAATTTGTTGGGCGAGCTTTGTAGGGCCTTGAAACGTGAAATTTAATCAGTGTTAATCCGAAGTAGACTCAACGGTTGATAGTGTAGTACTTGACTGATATTTTTAGCGACACACCATGTATCAAACCCTGCATTTGATCTCCGAAGCAGCTTTTTGTAGCAGGGCTCGAGGGAGCCGGGCTGTGAATCTGGGACAGCTGTTGTCGGTAGATAAGAGTACCTGAGTATCATAATTTTGCTTTTAAGATACACTCGCTGCAGCTGAGAATACAGGTAGTGTTTGCGAATGATCTAAGCTCATTTTGAGCATGATTATACTTAGCTAACATGGTCTCAGCATGCAGTATGTATGCTGAAATTGTTTGTACACATCCAGCTTAAAAAAGCAAGGTTAACGTCGAAGAGACTCGAAGTCAAATTTACTACTACGGCATCACGGCATGTCCTGGGAATTTTAGACTATGGCTTGCGAGTTAACCACTTTAACCATCTAATGCGTATCCCTCTTTGTGAACCACAAGCATGCGCAGGCTGAAGCAGATCGACGACGTCTGGAAGGTCATGCTTATCTGTATCGCATGATCACATCCAATTACGCAAGCCGCCTGCATGCTCGCCGCACCCAAGTCGCGCGATGATCTCAAGTGGATTTTGCATCTCTCGCTCACTTACGACGAGCTTTCTCGCTTGCAATGCCTCAGAGAATTGCGGACGCAGCCCATATTGTTCCATATCTCACTCATCGCATTAGCCGTCACGAGCAGCCGACCCCTGAAAAAGGCAAGGAAAATAATGGTCGCATTCGACATACCAAGCCAAAGAAGGGCAAACCTACAAAACAGGAGAAAACTCCTACTCGAGGACGGGAGGCCAACCGCAATCACAGCTCGAGCATTGTTCCTCGATCTCGTACATCACCCTCCTGTAATCGGCTAGATGAAACACGACATCATGAGCATTCGCATCCTCGGGCTCAAGGTCGTTTTCAAGAAGTCAGATATGCGGATGGTAAGCTTTCAACTGATTAGCGTGAATGCGCTCAGATACAATATATCCCAGAAATCCCGGATTACCCACCACCCACTTTTCAAGAGGCTATGTCTAGTCCTCCTGTATCAGTATGTCCTAGTACCGCAACCCTCGGTCTCTACAACGTCCCGAGTCCAGTGCAGGTCGTGCAAAATTATGGCTCTCCCAGAAGTCCTGAGGTAGTACGATCTTATGTGAACTCCGACAGCGATTCCGATGAATCACTCGAGGTTATCGATGTTCGCAGAGATTTCACTCAAGGCGGAGGGACATATCATGACGATGAAGATGTTGTGCGAGACCGTGGCCGGCATTCTTTGGATGATCACGACCCACCCACACCAATTACTTCCACTCAGTCGAAACGAAGACATATGTCTCTTTCACCTCTTCGGCTTTTTGCGCATAAGCCCATAGCACTTCAAGAGCGAGCATTGTCTGCTCAACCTGCATCTCCTTACTCTTTTCATCGGAATGTTGCTCTCTTTCGGAGTACTACTTCGCTCAAAACAGTTTCCAATGGCTCATTCTTTCGTCTGCCGTTGTCTTCCTCATCGTCCACGTCTCTTGTAAAAGCTGACCGGCGAGTTATTTCGAAAGGTAAAGAGCGATCCGCTGAGCCTTTGGAAACCTGGGAGGTTTTGGATCCTCCTGCCAGTCTTATGTCAGCCGTCGAATCATTGACAAACCCGCCCTCACCAGACTCGGGGACACCTTCTCCTGTACAAACTCGCATCTTCACATTTGATTGCCATGCTTCTTCATCCAATGTGGCATGTGCGGAGTCTAATGGTCAAGGCGTGTATTGCAAAGGTCCCAACTTAGACTCGGCTGATAGGTTACTATCCATTCCTACTAATTTCCGTGACGATTCTGCATCGATTCCTCGAAGGCCCTGTTCTCAGAATGTACTGTCTCACCAATACATTTCATCCTATATTCCATCAAATTTACACGACCGTTCTAATACACTTGCAAGTCCATTGCCAGGACCGGGAATCTTGCAGAATCCTGGCACATCTCCGCCGAGTCCGTCCTCCGCATCCAAAAACATGACCTCCTCCTTGCCACTGAGTTTGCAGTCACGGGGTGCTAAACGTCTAGACCTTAACTCAGACACGGCAAACCCGCTTCAGTTGGCATTGGAAACACCGCTGCCTCCTACTCCGATAGATAACATCATGGGAGAAGAGAGCACAAACACTCGTCTTCAAACGGTGGGCCATCATATACACGCACACTTTCAATTTGCTCCCAATCCTAATGAGGTGTTGTCTTCCTATAATGACACCATCGCTGGAGACACGACGAAGGTCCTTCCGCGATCTCGTGTTCATGTCGCACCGAATGATAGGACTTCTGGTAGCTTGAAAGTTATGTACGGTATGCCCCAGGCTGCAGGATACAACAACTCAGTTTCCAAAACCCAGAGGCCAATTCCCAGCCCTCTACAGGTTCCATTCCCTTCAGTCATTTCTCCCGACCCTACATCTACGAGCCATATCTACACTCAGACACCTACACGACGTCACTATCCCGGGAGGCCTTTACCAAAAACCCCACAGCCTGTAGTATCAGAGATTGCTCGAAACATGGTGGATTCACTATATGCTCCAAATCCAGAAAATACATCGAATACAGACACCTGTCTCGGTCCTACTTTTCCACACGGACTCCTCATTGATTTCGACGAGTCGACGCCGGTTCATTCCACGCTAAGCTCGGAAATGAATTCTCCAACTTCCACCGTCAGGCTATCAACCTACGACCGGTCAACTGATGGCGAAAGCCATAGGCTTGCAGATAAGTTGGCACGCACCAATAACAAATCCTCCGAAACTTTGAGAGCTCTCAACCCCAAAAATACTGGTGCATATTCCGCACTGGATATTTCTCCTCTTGGGCAGGGAGAGCAGAAAAATTTGGGCGAATCCAGTTATGATGCGAGTCAATTTTTCTTCTTCCATTCTCCACTATATTGATTTTTCTCAATATGATCAGTATCAACCAGACCGTCACATTGATAACGCTGCAACTGCGAATCCATCTATGCTGAACCTAGCAGACTTTTTTCCATACGAATAATAGGCAATACGTTGGCGAAGTAGGGCTAAAGCTTTTCATTGGCGACATACCTGGTGTATTTCCGTTCTGGTCCGGATAAAACCGACAAAGAAAGAAGTCATCTCATTGTAAGACGCATGTTGAGGTAGAATCTAAATGAGATGCGCAGTAGTCTTGACACAGGTTGTCACTTTTTCGGAACTTTTTTTTTTTGGTTTTCCTTCTCTGGGTCGATACACGCTTGGATTGTGGCTATTCAACCATTCTTTCAATCTCCTTTATGTACGGTTTGGTATTTGTGTGACAAAGTAAATTCATGGGTTCAGTGAATAGTAGAGCTGAGTTGGACAACCTATGCTGTTTATGAATGGTACAGATGAGCCTCCCACTAGTAAGAGGATCACGAATGATTGCGAAAAGTGACCAAGCTCAGATATAGGTGAAAATGAAGAACCGATAAAAGAATGTTCTATGCAACAAAAATTAAAGGACGTTCGTAAGTATGACCGAGGTATAAGTCCAAATGAGTCCATAACATAGCGTATGATTTAACCAGCATTTTCGGCAAGCTCAACAGGACAAGCTGCGTTTGACACTTGAGCTTGCGTTGAAGGGTTCGTAGTTAGTCCAGCAATGTCCATGTCAAGTTTGATTGTAAATTTGACCGCTAAAGGTTGGTCGGGTTGATCAGACTTGGATTCTCAATAGACATGAAGACTTGCCTGGTCTTATTCCACCAACATCGTCAATAGCGTTTCTGCAGGCATCATACCAGTTGGTCCCTGGCAAGAGTATACGTGAGTAGACGAAAATGGGGAGACATGGTACTTGCAAGTTGTGTCACTGGTGTTCACGGCGCTGTACGTGAAATTGAGAGGGAGTTGAAAGCTAGATAACGTTTTCGCTGGAAATGTTCGATGCCCTAAGTCACCGGAACCAACTTCTATACCAGTATCGAGATCATAAACGGTTGCTCGAAGATGATTGAACGTGAGCGGAAGGAAGTTGGAATCAGTATTGACTTGGAGGTCCGCGAAAGCGGCGAACGAGAAGTTGGTAGGAGACCGGCTGAACACGGTCGGAATGGCATCTTTCCAGTCTCCTGTGGCATTGGCTAATGGAGTGCTGGTATTGAATGCAAATGACGGGACACGAGGGATGGTGAACGCAAGGATGAGTCCGATGCTACCCGGAATCATGAGAGAGATGGACGACAGAGGAAAAAACAATCGCACCAGCAACAAAGAACAAAAAGGAATATGACAAGCATTCTTCGAGTGAACCATTTGCCGCAAATTCCACGTTGACCTCGATTCCATTCCCTCCATGCTTGCATTCTACTTTCTGACTTGATCTCTCGCCTGCCAGCCTTGGTCATGTTCCTGAGTTCATCACGCTGCCATTCAGGACCCATAGCAGGGACGGTGACCATCTCAACGGGACCGATAGTGCTGGCAACATCCTCCTTCTGTACCAATGGATGATAACTAATAAGAGAATGCTTGAGAGTCATGGCATGTAGAATAGAGGACTACGCATACGCATCGGCTGCAGTCGAGGAAGAACCAAAAGCACTGCTATATCTTGGACCTTCATTATTGAAATCGGCATAGATATCCCAGGCTCCGCCATTGCCTCCAGCCCCTCCTTCTTCGTCGCGACCACCTTTGACCGGCTCCTCCCTTCCGGCAAGAAAAAAGGATCCTCGGTTGTATCCAGCAGTACTGGCTCGCCCTGCACCATCCAAGTTGCGGGAAGTCTTATCCGGGTCGAAAAAAGAAGAAGCATCGTCCCTGCCTCGTCCTTGTGCATAATTAGGATAGCTTGGACCAGAAGAAGAGGGAAAGTCGTTGTTCAAAGCATCTTGAGAACCTCTTCTTCCACCATAAAACGAAGAGACTGTCGATTTACGGTCAGAGTCCATGAGGTGAGAAGGGAAAGTTGGCTGTCAGTGTGTGAAAACAATTGTAATTCAGTATGTCACTGCCGAATCTTTAGTTTTTGTTTCCATCCCAAGTAAGTTTTAGACTGGTCTTACACGAACAACTTTCAGTGTCTAGTCGTCAGTCCTCATAAGTCACAGTCATACGATAAGCCTCGTGCCCGCAATCTCTGCACTGTACTCGGCGAGCAATAATCAATGCTTAGAGCAGTCTGGACCTCACATCCCAGACTCAGAACCTCGACGTGGTTAAACTAATTGTTCGGCATCGTGCGGCGTATCAGTGTTTCCAGATGGTATGCTGGTATCGCCATTGGGAACAGCACCAATCGTCCGATTCTATCGCCTTGAACGATGTCAAGCGGGTGCAGAAGACGGTGAATGCAGTGGACCTTTTTGCTTATAAGGTAGCTTACAGGTAACTTGACCAAACGCGACAGCTCCAGAAGGAGAGTCGGGTGAAGACGCAGAGTTTAAGGACGATTTCAATGCGGCCTGTGAGGTTCTCGATTTTGCATTTGTGATAACAGCACGATGTGGACACATGGACAATGAAGTTGTGGTACGAGTAGACTGTTATGCAGTGTCAAATCTATCGCAAGAGATGTTGCCAGAAATACGATCAGGCCATTACAGGCCATTACCAACCGCCAGTATAATTCATATTTTATCCTATCCTATCCAACTTGAGGTCGGCTTATGCAACAATCAACTCCCTTTGTCATCTCCCCAGATAGCGGAAGTGTATCATTATCGTCCTCGATTCAACACCTGGCCGTCTTCCGGATTCTAGCCTATTGATCACGCGGAGCTCTTCGAGAAAGCCAGTTACAGGGGGGCTTCAATCAACGAAGGTGAACCCTCTGCCTTCCAGAGAGGGGAAAGCCTCAGCTGTAGCAGTGCTCAATCCCGACGCGGTACAAAATATCTCAACAACACAGATTGATGGTGAGCTCGAAGAACTTGGCTGGATTGAAGTCCGGTTTGGAAATAATTATTCAATTTCCTCTGCTTTTTACATTCACTCTGCCCTGTATCTGTGAACTATGCGTTTTCCCTCAGATCGACGTTGGCCTCAAACGAACCATTAGCAGAAAGTCCTGCTATGGCAGCACAAGTCTAAACAGAGCTTGCATTTAAATCCTCTCAGGCTGCATCATCACATAATGCTGTCCTCAATGGCTTGACCAGATATGATTTGAGAAAAAAGGAAGTGCGGACTACCGATGTATCGTCGACGTCTGCAAAGCAAAAAGTAGACGATAGGAAAAAATCCGGGTTGGAGAAGAAACCAAAGTTGATGCAAGAGCTTCATGAATCTTATCATAGCTTCTACCTATCATTTCGGCTGTCCCCTTGCCACGCAATAAGCAAGTACATGTCTGACCTGCTTGAGTTTTCATCTTTGTCGATATCAAACCTTCTTCCTCCCATAATTCTCTCGATATGGAGGTCACCGAAAGAGATGATGCTGGGCACGTCGTTCGAATTAGAATCAAATCTTTGACGGTCTCCATCTTTCCCGCTTCTATGATCACCCAGACTGACAGTGCTTCAAGATTGGACAAATGGTCTTCACAACCATGGGGGACAACACTTCTCGCGCGTCATTTCTAAGTTTCGTCGCAAAAGTCTTCTTGCCAGCAGGTTATCCACGTAGTGTTTCACCCGGTGTGTCCTGTCATATGCATCTCAACATCCCAATTGAATCCGACATCATCAAAATCCAGACTATCTTCGGTATGAGCACCTCAACGCCATCCATTGACCCATGCCTCATACTTTATATCTGAGCTTAGCTACCAGATGTTGAATGCGGCTCAGGCTTTCTGCAGCTCATTGGCGACTTTGCTATCATTAAGAGCAACGCTGGAAGGTGGGGTGACACCTTTCGAAGGCGGACTGCTCATCACTCTGTCTTCGCTAGGTTACGGAGTCGGAAATGCATCTGCATCGTCTACAAACGCTCTTCTGCTCACAATCGTACAGAATATTTCCAATCGACTGACAAGTTAGTACTGTTTGCGATATCAAGTTCACTATGGCTCACAGTTCTTTACAGTCATTATAGCAGCCTTCTTCTTTGGATCTTCTTTATTCCCTGAAGCCAAAACCTATCATTTTCTTGCAGATATCCTCAGCGATGTAACAATCGTGATTGACACGCTTTCACCGCTCCTGGCTTCTCTATACGAAGCACACGTTCCAAATTTTATAACAGTATTGCCATTCCTCCCTCCTACAGTCCCTTTGCGTGTGTACACGCTCTGCTTCAGTGCCTCAATACGCGCGCTATGTAGCGTTACGGCATCTGGTTCAAAGACAGCATTTACAATGCACTTTGCAACTCCTCTAGAAGGCACCGGAGATGTTGGGGATCTGAATGCTAAAAATTCTAGTAAAGTGACGGTTGTTGCTCTGCTGGGTATGCTGGTAAGGTCCATTTTCTTTGAACTTTGGAAAACATTATGGATCAGTAATGCGAATCTTAGATCGGGACTATGACTATGCCATATCTCACTACTCCGTGGTCAACATACACAGTCCTCTTCTTCATGGTGTTCTTTCATCTCCTCATTAATTATATTGCTGTTCGTGGCGTCATCTTTAGATCTTTGAATCGGCAACGTGCATGCTTGGCCTGGATGGCATTCAAGTCCAAATGTGACTCCATCAATACCCCCACCTACCTTGCATCCTTGGAGCGTATCCTTATATCTTCTGATACTATTCTAAGTCTTCCCTCCGGAACAGCCATTGGACGCTGTAACATGGGCTCTAGCTTTCGGGCCTGCAATCCTGATCCTGATGTCATGGAAATCTTTCAGCAGAAACACTATGTCATCTGCTTGGACAAAAAAAGCTCTTTGTGTTTCGGAACAAAACCCCACTTTCATATCCTCCTGAAGGATAGCTATAATTCTGCAGATCAATTACATGCTTGGATCCTTGCCTGTGAAGTAACAAGACTTTTTGCTTCTATGAAGACAAGAAAGATTGGGTTGAAAACCTTGATGCAGGAAGTTTTGACTACTTTCAATGAGGATTATTTATCCTTTTTAGAGGATTTGCACAAGAATGGCTGGATCACTGTAACTGTGACAGCAGATGAATCAACTACCAAGGAGAACAGTGAATATCAACCACCACCTCTTCTTCCTGGCTCAAAAATCATATCTTTTACTTCTGGTGCTCCCAGAAATGTGATGATTAGTTTTTCCAGTACTCAATATAACAAGAAGGATTAATCACCTTTGCTTATACATAATTCCAAGTGCCCCTGCAGGCACCAGCACTTGATATTTGCTTCATCCTTATTCCTACTCATTTTTGTGCTACTACATTGCTCATAATGTTGTTTCTTTCCATTTCTTCCTACTGTAGTTCTTCCTTGTATTGCGTCTACAGCCTTTTTTTTCTCATACCCTCTCATTTAATATCTATCTGACACTACTGATCAGTGATGGTATACCGTATTTGAGGTGCATAAGCAATTCCACTTGATGCGCCCTCGAACCTGGCACCTAGCTTCATTTACTTGAATACACAGCAATTACAGGTCTCCCAAAACTCCACTGAGTATATTCTATGAGATAGGGATTGCCTTCCATTTTACATGGCCAAATCCACACTCTCTCGAGCTTCAAGTCTCATCTATCGTCGTATAACCGACATCGATCCAGGACCGCATTTGCTCCCCATACCGGATTGTGCACCAGAGCAATCTGGAGGGAGTGACAAAATGATTTTTATAGCTTTGGAAATGCAAAGGAGCATCTGAGTACTCACCCAAACCCTAGCCATGCTAACAAGGCCGATATCACATTGGTCCACACTAGCCCGATGCTGTCTAGCATTGGCATGAGGGCAGCGAGCAGTAAAGAGATGAGGAGGGAGCGTAGGCCACTAGACGATGATGAGATTAGTCATGATTACTGAACGGGGTGTAACTCACTTATTGGCTGCCATGCTTTCCGCACTTTTCATATGCATTACATCCACAATGTATGCAGCAGAAGGGCTGAGAACAAGATCCACCTACAAAGGAAGGAAAATTGTAAGCAAGTGTCACTTCAACTGGTAGATGGGAGATACCCACTCCAATCCCATTCGCAAACAAACAAATGAAATCCAAATACAATCCCACTTTCCCTTCGACATAAGTCGTGATCAAGCCCACGCCCAGCACACTTAATGGCACCAACGTCGCAGAGGCAACCACCGTCCCAATCAATCGGTCCTCAGGATACCATTCTCCTTTGCGTTGGATTCTTTTACGCTTTAGGATTTGGTCCGAGAGATATCCAGCCATGGGGGCCCCAACTATCAGAGGGGGGATTATGAGTGAAACCACGTTCATGTAAGATATAAGCGAAGTGTATAGAAACCAAGTTCTACTACTGACTGAAATTCCCTAATCCTATTGGGATAAAACACGCTCCCAAAATGGCTTGATTTGTTATCCCATATCGTGCGCCCTTGAAGCGTTTGAGAGCGCGGTCACCGAAAGCAATTAACCAGGATGACTTACGAGCGTGACCGAGAGAGGTGTTAAAATGACTGAAATTAAGCGATACAAGTAAGAAGCTGATAGAAAACTGATATATATAGGAATTACCATAGTCCGTAAGTAGAACCACGGTTCCAGCAAGGGCCTAGATAGACAAGGCGTCAAGATTTAAATGAAGAATCCCCACAGCTGCCTGAATATAAGTACCACAGCCAGTAGATTCGGACTCCTTAGCAAGCTCAATGTCTTCAAGGGGTTGATCCAGATAATCTTGAACCATTTTTCACCTGAGGCTATATTTCTTTCAACAAGGGCGGCGCGTTTCTTATCAATTCCTCTTGATCCAGGAATACTCGTCTCAGGCAACATTGTCGCGATGCATACAAACGTCAATAATCCCCATGCGCCGAGAAACAGCTGCGTTATTCGCCAAGAGGCATAATGTGATATAACACCTGATACAATGTCAAAATCCCAGGCATGTTCAGAAGGAATAAGTCGAGCATACCTCCAAATAGCGGTGCAAGGGCGGGTCCAAGAAGACAAGCCTAAATAATAATGATCGATTGAGGTCAGTCAATCAGTCATAAACGGTCGAAGAAGCTGATATCCATGCCTAGTGGCTCGGATAAACAGATTTTGAGAATTTTCCGAGTCGAAATATACTCACGCCAAAGAACACGCCCATTGCCGTTCCTCTCTCCTCCAATCGATATATATCTCCGACTACTCCTGCACCAACAGAAAGGCCCGGACTCCCACCGAATGTTTGTAAGAATCGCCAAACCATGAGTTCGGGCATTGTACGGGAGAAAGCCACTCCTATGGATCCAATGGTGAGAAGGGGTAGGCCAACAAGATATACAGGTTTGCGTCCATCTAAGCAATAGTCCGAGGGTCATAGTGCATGCAAATATGAATCAGTATATTAATAAGTGGATGTACCACAAAAGATTCGGCACCAGTCAATCATTAGCGGTCAAGGATAGGATGCTGCGGTTCACGCACAGAAACCTGAGTAAGATGCACCGACCAGTGCTCCGATGCAAGCGGCGAAGATGGAAACACTAACCGTCAAACTAAGATCATGAGTAGAAATTATATTAATTGTCACGGTTATGACTCGAACTGACTCAAAATAATGGACCTCACCTCACGACAGAAGGAGAGGTATTCATGTCCTTGGAAATGGATGGTATAGATGGAAAAAAAGAACCGGAAACAAACACTATGCTCCTATAGCCGTCAGTGCGTATTGGAGAAAACTGATAATAACCATCGCTCACAAGGTAGAAGCCCACAAAATGATATGAGCGTAACGATAACGCGTTTCCTACCCTTCGAGAATCTATTGTATATTGCATCATGCCCGGCTTCGACATCTGGTTTTGCGGAAGTTGCGTGGCTCGTATTGCTGGACGCTCCACCGTCACCGAGGGTTCGCGTTGAGCTTGCAGCCACAGTTGGATTCAGCAAGGGTGTAGTTTCTTCAGGCATAATGAGGGTTAGAACGGCGGGATCCGATTCGGAGTGGATGAAGATAGAACAGCAAAACTTTGAAAACCAACAATGGTAGCTGAGTGCAAGCCCGGTACGAGCTGGCGCTACCAGGGCGCTACTTAAGTAAACTGTAACAGGGTGTCTTTTGATCCGCTGGACACGTGGAATGTGTGATCGTGATGAATGACAGTTGACCATGACTAGCCATTAGCCATTGTACAACCTGATTTATTGTTGGAGTTGACCCGTGCGCCTTGATGCGCAGTATACCGATACCCGCCTGTTTCCTTTTCTGTGTTGACCACGACCTTATCTCTGACTCATACATGTCTACCTCCTATTTGTTTCCATACTTATATCTCATCATGGAATACCTCAGTCGTTTTACCCACCTTGTTGTATGACTGAGGTATGTCCTTTTTACTTACTTGTTCTATTATACTTACTTACATGACTCTCGTAGTTCTTACAATTGTTCTCTGGCTTTTAGGTAAACTACGAGACTCCAATACAGTCGTTTTACCCACCTTGTTGTACGACTGAGTTCTTACAATTGTTCTCTGGCTTTTAGGTTATGTGGCCCCGTAGCCGCTAAATCACTCACAAGAGAACGCAGCAAGAAAACAACTCACATCAAACACACAACACATACTGAACACACTACACCTCGACGAATTACCCCTATGTCGTCCAGCATACCATCCGTGCATGTTCTATCTGCAGAACATCAGTTTGCGGGGACGAACCTAGCATCATGGAAACTACAGCTTAAAGCTTTACTCACTGGGAAGGGACTGTGGGGTTATATCGACGGATCGATACCTCGCCCAAGTCCTCCCTCAGACACCCAACTCACAATATATTCTCCTGTTACTCCTGTATACTCGAAGCTTCCTTCGCTCGAGGAATGGGATTTTCGTGATGGAGTGGCTCATTCGACAATCATCTTGAATGTTGCGGATCCTCGAGGAATGGGAATAGATGACAATGGCACATCTAAAGAAGTCTGGGACGCCATTGAGAAGGTGCACGGTAACAAGACAGAGATGGCTTTGTCTGAGGCCAAGCGACTACTTGAGGCGACGAAGTACAAGGAAGGTACGAAGATGAGCGACCACATCAAGACTATGCGCACTAGGTTGGCGAACGTCAACGATCTCAGTGACATAGCCATAGATGACAAGACCTACTGTGGTATTCTTATCCGCTCAATTCCTCTATCGCCTACCTGGATTCCCTTGATCCCAACTCTATACGGCATCTCATCATCCACAGGAATCATCGCACTTCTCTCGACACATGCATACACTCTGTACGGAGATCTTGAATCTGCCGTATCCTCTTCTCCAGATACCAGTCTAGCGCTTGCTGCTATGTCGTCTCATGACCCCAGTACTCCCTGCAAGAATCCCAAATGCAAAGCCATCAATAAATCCAGTCACGGTTGGCCCGACTGCTACTGGGAGGGTGGAGGAAAAGAGGGACAGTTCCCACCTAATTTTGGTCGAGCTCGTCGTAACCCCAGAGCCAATGTTTCTACCACCACATCTGGGTCTTCCAGCACTACCCCCAAAGCCAACACTGCTACCTCCCATGTTGAGCATTTTGTCATGGCGGCTCGTGCTGGTGGCCATGATCCTGAAGCTCATCAGGAGATCATTGTTGAGGAGGTTGTTGAACTGCGTCGTCATTCCAATCAAGTTTCTATCAAAGAAATTGATGAGTGCCCGGCTCCTTTTGTTGGCGGATGGAACGGAACCCATACCTTTTGGGGTACAAACGACAATATCTCGGACGAATCAGATTTGGAAATGGTAGAGGTGCCATCAGATTCCGAGTTTGAGGAGGTCGGAACTGAGGCCGGGGATTCCTGCTCAGAGTTTGAGTTAGTAGAGGACTCTGGAGACAAGGAAGAAGTGGAGGATTTCATGTGCGACATAGCCGTATCTGGTTGTGCTTTCGTAACCACCACCTTCGCTGGCAAGAAGCCAACCATTACTCTGAACTTCATGGACTCGGGTGCTAGTGACCACTTCATGAAGCATCGAGAGGACTTCACCGACTTCGAGTATGGCTCTTATGACCCGGGAGCCTCTGCCGTCGAAGGTGCTGGATCGTTCAAGATTCTAGGGAAGGGCACGGCAGTTAAGCTATTTCACGTGAAGGGAAAAATTATCAGAATTACCTTCAAGAACGCCCTCCTCGCACCATCTCTCGCCGCCAATCTTATATCCATCAGTGCCCTTGATAAAGCCGGACTCTTTACAACATTCGGTGGAAATGCTGTGGTGGTGAAGAGAAAAGATGGGACGGAGTTATTCCGTGGTCGAGGACACAATGGGATGTACATACTTGATGCTGAGGAAGCTCCAGGTCAGACGTCAGGCCCTCACCACCATGCGGCACTATCTTCACGCAGTAGCCCAACTGACATTGAACAATGGCACCGCCGTTTTGTTCATGCGAGTACGGAGACTATTGAGTGCATGGAACGGGAAAACATGGTCGATGGACTGAAGGGAGCGGTCACGAGTCACAAGTTGGAGGGAAAGTGCGAATCCTGCATCCTTGCGCGCCAGATACGTCGTCCCTTCAATGTTCCCACTGATCCACATGTTGAACCACTCGACCTCGTTTCGGTTGATCTCTGGGGTCCATCTCGCACAAGGTCTTCTGGTGGAAAGGTATATCTGATGCCTATTGTCGATAGCGGGACGTCTTTCAAACACGCGGCATTCTTGGTGGATAAGTCAGACGACACAACACTAGCAGCATTTGATGAGTATCACATCATGGCCGAGACCCAGACCGGTCGCAAGATTCGTGCTTTATGGGTCAATGGAGCGTTCGCAGGATCAAAGTGGAAGGAGTATTGCAAGGAGCATGGAATAAAATTGGAACTCACTGCACCACATTCCTCTGCGCAGAATGGACTTGCCGAGAGGGCCATTCGAACCACCATTGAAGACACGCGGGCACTTCTCCGAGACTCAGGTCTACCCCATCAATTCTGGTGTGAGGCCGCTGCCATGTCCATCTACACGCGCAATTTGATCCCTGCAAAACGTCATCCCTCCACTATCCCTGCTGAAGCTTTCACTAAGAAGCGACAGGACGTCTCTCACCTCCGAGTCTTTGGTTCTGTGTGTTGGGCCAAAGTTCCGACGGTGAATGGTGTTCAGGTCAATGGTGGAAGTAAGCTCGATGATCAGTCAGTCAAATGCACATTCCTGGGCTACGCAGCTGGAGGGAATTACAAACTCATTGATCGCTCCTCGAGCCGTGTCTTCGTGTCCCGCGACGTTGTCTTCGAAGAAGGTCATCCGAAGCGAACATCATCGAGTGCGGGGGAGATAGATGGAGATAATGATGAAGTCTTTGCACTCGATTCTGATCCTACCACAAAGACCACTTCTACCACGCCAACTACCCCGTTTGACACCAATCCTGACCCACCAAGTACCATCCCTACTTCCACTGCACCAATCCCATCCGAGCCTCGCAGATCCACTCGCCACATCATCGAAACCACCGCTGCTAGGGAATCGCGTGAGTATCTTCAGTCCGAAGCTGATGCACGTACCCGAGGTGAAGATTGGGCCGAAGAGACCCCGCGACCACGCGCAGCCATGGCCCAGCTCTCCGTGGAGATAGATGATTACATTGCATGTATGGCAAAGTCAAAATCCTCTCATGGAATCCCTCGCTCGTATGGTGAAGCAATGCGCACCGATTCTTCTCGTTGGTCAGAAGCAATGGACACCGAATACGATACGCTTATGAAGAGACATACCTGGGATCTCGTAGAGAAACCACTGGGGGTCAATGTCATGGATTGCATGTGGGTGTATGACATCAAGTGGAATGGTGAAGGCGAAGCCATCCATGACAAGGCTCGTTTGGTTGGGAAGGGATACACCCAGCAGCTGGGCCTCGACTACAACGAGACTTGGGCTGCGGTTACGCGCTTGGAATCTGTTCGGATGTCGGCTGCAGTTGCTGCGAGCCTTGGGCTTCATCTTTGGCAGGTTGACTTCGTTTCGGCGTATCTGAACAGCGAGACGAAGGAGGACATATATATGCGTCAACCGCCTGGATATATCGTTCCTGGGAAAGAGGACATGGTTTGTAAGCTGGTACATACCATCTACGGGACGATGCAAGGGGCTCACGATTGGTATGAAACCCTCTTGAAAACTTACAACGATCTGGGCTATTACACCTCCCGCGCCGATCCCTGTGTTCGAGTAAAGTGGTCGGAGGACGGATCATTCACCTTGACTGACACATACACAGACGATGTCTGGGGAGCATCATCCAATCGTGCAGAGGCGGAACGTCGGAAGCAGGAGTTGGATGGCAAATGGGAAACTAAAGATGTGGGGGAGAATAGGTATTTCCTGGGGATGGTGGTTGATCAGGATCAAGACGCCGGTACGATACGTCTTTCCCAGCGCCCATACTCCGAAAATGTCATCGAACAATTCGGTCTCGAGCACATTACTCCCCGATCCACTCCTTTTCCTGTCGGAATCCTCCTCGACAATGACATGTCCCCCACCACCGATGCCGAACGTCGAGAGATGGACACCTTGCCATATCGTCGTGTCCTGGGATCAGTTATATGGGCACAAATCGCCACTCGACCTGATCTTGCGTACCCAGTCAGTGTTCTCGTGAGATTCCAATCTAATCCCGGTTTGGCGCACTGGAAGGCCCTCATGCACGTCATCAGCTATATCAAATCCACCCTCGACTACGGCTTGACCTACTCCAAGCATGAACCACTTCGACCCATCGGTTTTGTTGATGCCGATTACGGTGGTTGTCGGGATACCAAACGTTCAACTTCCGGATATGTCTTCCTCATGGCTGGAGGCCCTGTATGCTGGAGCTCAAAACGTCAAGCTACAGTCGCCTTATCCACTGTGGAGGCTGAATATGTCTCCCTTACTCGTGCTGCGCAGCAGATGAAGTGGATCTACTCCTGGATGGATGAGATTGGATTGCCACAGGAGAAGCCGGGGGAATTGAGGGGTGATAATCGAGGTGCTGTAGCTCTTACTTCCAACACACGTAACCATGGAAAGGTCAAGCACATCGACATTCGCGAACACTACATTCGAGAACTTGTCGAAGCAGGGGATATCGATGTGGAGTTCATCCGTGGAAACGCCAACCCTGCCGATCTTTTCACCAAACCACTTGCTCGTGATGCTCATCATCGCTACCTCTCCGAGCTCAACATCATCTAGGCGCTCGTGTCTGGGGGAGTGTTGGAGTTGACCCGTGCGCCTTGATGCGCAGTATACCAATACCCGCCTGTTTCCTTTTCTGTGTTGACCACGACCTTATCTCTGACTCATACATGTCTACCTCCTATTTGTTTCCATACTTATATCTCATCTTATCATGGAATACCTCAGTCGTTTTACCCACCTTGTTGTACGACTGAGGTATGTCCTTTTTACTTACTTGTTCTATTATACTTACTTACATGACTCTCGTAGTTCTTACAATTGTTCTCTGGCTTTTAGGTAAACTACGAGACTCCAATACAGTCGTTTTACCCACCTTGTTGTACGACTGAGTTCTTACAATTGTTCTCTGGCTTTTATTTATTAGAGCAAATCTTCGTCACTTTGAATATCCTCTGATTACTGAATTTAGATACTAGAGTCGATTAATCACAGTCGGAGTAGTAGTGGATCAATACAATTTATATATGTCACCTCCGTCTGTTTCTCTGTGACGAATTGGTCCTCCTCGTCCTCGCATGACTATCTGTGGTATTCGCATGAGCTCGTGGGTTGACGACTACTTGAGGCGCAGAATGAGCCCTACTCCCTTGTTGGGGAGTGGGGTGAGTTGTCCGTATGGGTCGAGCAGTAGACTGAGCAGCCTGAGAGGTTTGATTGCTTGGTCTACTCTGTGTCTGTACAGGGATGGCCTGGAGAGGGTTCGGTTCAGATGCAAATTCAGCGACAAGCTCTGGCGTTTGTGTTCCATTTAGATCTGTTGGGACCGGCTCTCGTTCTAGCATCAAGCCTATTGGATATCCTCTTCTGCGCGACACCGAAGGTGATATAGCTTCAATAAGGCAGACCTTCCGCAGCGAGGCCGGCAACGGTCCAAAGATGTCGACAAGCCTCTGCTTTCTATCAGTACTGGCCTGCGCAAGGTCCATAATATACACGGAATATACACCCTCATCCGACACTTCAGATTCGAGAGGAAATTCCATGCACAAGATTGCTTCCATATTGTTTGGCCCGAAAACTTGCATGTTCCAACGCTTAATGCATGCAAAAGCAACATCCTCTGCGCTCAGTGAAGATGGATGTTGGAAAATCTGGGGTAACAAGTCAGACTAATTAGCAAAGAGGGTATAAAGGTAACCTGATGAATCACATTTTGTAATTCACACATAAATGGGGCCCATGGGGAAAAGCATTGATTCTGATCTTGGATATAATGAGGAAGCTGGAGAGACAGAGGAAGAATGGAATTCGCATCCATCAATTTGGTAGTAGGGAAGGGCATGTGGGGAATGCCCACGGAAGTAAGAGGAGGTGGTTCACGAGAATGGAATGTGGTAACAGGGAAGGAAACACTAGGACTGGTTCTTGGTTGTTCTGACTCATGTCTATATTCTTCAAGTTTTGGACTTCGAGCGTCGCGGTTATTGAACGTGCGTAGCACAGAATCCTGATCCAAGTGGTCTCCAAATTGCAAGGAGAGTGTGATCACCAAGGCGCCGATGCAGACAACACCAAAAGTTAAAACAGCTGATACAGTAATTCGCAAAGACAGCATTGCATGTGCAGAAAGTTCAATAGTACTAGAAACACCATTCTGAGTAGTGTTACGCCAAGTGTACAACATTATGGTGGCCATAAGCAGAGATATAGACCAAGCCAACCAAGTTGCTGGTATTGCGAGCATTATCCAGCAGTTCCACCAAACGAGTTGATCTGACTTGTGGGCCTCCTTCAGAGACGGTGTTGGGAAACTTATGGCAAGTTCTGAAAGTTATAGACACTTGCCTTCATCCATTTTGCTGCCTCTGGCATTCTTCGCATAGATCCAAATTGGAGAACGCAAAAGCTCCCACACAGGAGCGATATTCCAGCGCAAATGAAAGAGAGTAAGACTCCAGTTCTCGTGATAGGATCGGAACCTGCTTGACCATCCAACGAAAGTAACACCGATATGGATCTAGAAGATTGTGAACAATAGGCCAGAGTCAAATTACCAAGTGTTGCACATACGTTTGCACCAACGCAGATATTAAATTGAACATTTTCCATTCTTGCAGAAGATCATCAACAAGAAGCTCCCACGAAGCTTTGAACTGCACCAGATGAGGTGATACCGCAATGACATTATTTTTCGCAACCAGCGAAGGTGGAAGCTCATGCCTCCAAAGTGCAGAAAAGGTTGTTGACAAGAGGTGGAGATCAGCAGTGCCAATTCCAGAGCTGGTAGCAACCTGTAACATCCGCGAGTGATACAGAGCAGGCAGGCGAAAGAATAACAAGAGCCAACATTGCTGAACCAGTCGGGATAGAGTACTACTTAGAGAAGAGCGGTTCGTTTCGGAATTAGTCTGGGGCAAATTGTTTGTGATACCAACATGACTGTGAGGCAGAATGAAGTCATCTACAAGATGAGGTTTGAGTTATTCAAGGCGCGATGCTAATTAAATGACATACTGGTGTAAGTAGTGCCATGGCGCGTGTTCCCCCGTTCCATTCTTCGGAATCGCGGAATCAGTCTTGGCTTACCATTGAAGGTAAACTGGAAACCCTCAATCACTTCGAAGTCGTGATTTCCTTCGGCTTCAATGTCTGGACGATTGTCGTGGAAGGCCATGGGAGGAGTTTTATATGGGCGAAACTAAAAGACATACGCAGAACGTAGAGCTCCAAGTATAAGGACCTCTGATGATCAAATTTGGCCGTCATAGTAGTTGAAACGTTGTAACTCGAAGAGGGTCGCACAATTCTCACGCTGAGATTCTCTTCGTCGGAGCAACGCAACGAATCAAAATAAAAAACAGTGAGGTCTGGAATCTCCACGACAGGTATCAAGATGATCCTTGTCGACGACGAGGAGCGCTCCGATCACTTCTGCAGTTTTTACATACGCATTGACATGATCCGTCTCTGGATTTACTCTAGAACAAGCTTGGTATTCTTGTCCTTTCCCAGAGAGGTCCAAAGCCAAGATGCACTGCCTTGTATGATTCAAACTACAGGACTTTACAGCTTTTGTACTATGACCCAGCCCAAGCCGTATAAGAGGCAAATGTTGACACCACAACTGGTTCCCAACACAACCTGATATATCCACCGTTATGTTTGTGCCAGCCTCAAACATTACCGGACCTCAGGTGCAGAATAATCTCGTCGCCCTTGAAGGGGAGGTCTGTTCAATTCAGACATCGGAAAGTAGTAAGGATCCGTCTTTAACTTGAATATGTTGCAAGATCCTTTACAATTTCACAGACGGTTACACAAGAGCCATAATCATGGCTTTCTTCCTTTTGATATTTTATGCACTGGCATTATGGGATCGGTGGATGAACCTCAAATCGAAGGAGCTTGAGAAACTTAGCAGCAAGTCCCTAAAAACCATCCTTGATCACTTGTTCGCTTATTCTCAAAGTTAGAATTTCAGACAACCAAGTCTTCTTCAATAAGTTATGGCTCAATCCTACGGGTCCCCACTCCCGTCAAAGCCCAATTACGAACTACTCATGAATAGGAAACATTGCAAAATACGCACGCCTACTTTGTTTTCCTGGCAAGTACCTCAGAGCCGACTTGAATGGTATACCTGACAGTCCCTGCTGTGAGGTTTCGGTCTGACGATGATGAAAGAGGTCAGAGGTTATCATGTATCTTAGATGAAGTGCCAGACCGTATATAGATGTCCACCCGGATTTAACTCATCCCACACAGCAAGCATTGTCAGCAACGAATGATAACTTGTATTTATATATATATACTCAATGATACTTTGAATTGACTGGAAAGCTGTAGATAGCAAGTTGCAATTATTAGGATTACAGCCTTTATCAGTCATGCTTCCCAGACTTCGCCTCCCCGTAAATTCTGTGCTATTCTTCAGACCAGCTGAAATGGCCAATGAAGTTGACCGAATCCTCCAATACTTGACGATTATTTGTGAGTGTGTCTGCGGCATTCCTCTCGCTCTTAATAGATGTCACCTCATGTTGGTTTACTATAGTGCTTGCTACAATAGCGATTAGTATATGTTTCTTTCTACCTAGATCCAGAAGGAGTCATCAAAGTCAGGATCTGTATATAAATGTGCGAAGGTGGGCTACCGCACAGCGTCGCAGAACGAGTCCTCTTGATTAGGAAACATGGTGTTCTGGATCTGATAGAAGAGAAAAACAGCCCTGCAGTCTGATACTTGTACGAATAACAAGGAGCATAAGATCGGGAAGCGATACACCTAAGAAGACTGAAATTGGCCTGCGAGAGTAACGGATAGTCAATTGCCAAAGAATGCGGTGCGTTTTTCAATGGAGCAACACCAATGCAGGCCAGTAGTGGAAGGGAGTTTACTCCTTTCGGGGCAAACGTCTGCGAGGGTAGCAAGGATATGATAGGCAGCGAGAGCACAATGAATCGATATCACGACTCGGGATCTTGGATCAGGAACTGGGTAACGAAAACTGGGTTTTCAAACACGGGATTCAGGTATGAAAAGGTGATGTTAGTGGTATTTTCCTCGCTGGCGCAGATGGCGCAAGCACAGACAGTCGAGAATTCAGGTGAGCTGTTCCTAGCACGTACTTGGATCTGTAGAGTTGACCTGAATGGTATACATGTAACCTGACAGTCCAATGCTGTGATCTTACAAACCGACGCGGTCAACGACTGTGGATAGGATATGGAAGAGCAAACCTTATCATATACCCTGTATAGAGCTAGACTATGTACAGATGGCCACTCAGTTCACGCAACATTACCTGTATATATTCAACCATTCTAAATGACTTTAAAGCTGTAGAAAGCATCAAGTTCGAATGATTGTGATCGAGTAAGTTGGACACCCACCCGAACGCTGTCTCACTGCCTACCACATCCCATCGTTGGCGCTCGGCGCGTTACAAAAGATTCAGGGATCAGTTTTCACCTGTTATACTTCCTAAACTTAGCTTCACCTCCCCGTCAATCTTGCGCTGTTTTCGTTTTCCAGAGCAGCTGAAATGACTGACAAAGTCGATCTAATCCTTCAAAGCTTGGTGATCATTCGTGTGTTTTGCGTCATCCCCTCTAGAAGATGTCATCTCATGCTGGTATATCAGTGTCTTGTGTCCTAACAGTGCTTGTTGCAATAGCGGTGACATGTTTCGTCCTACCTAGATGTAGAGGGTGTCATAAAGATGAGGAAAACTATGGGAACAACATACCTTTATCAGGAATGTTGCTTCATGTACAGCCAGACGCATATGGTACTGACTTGAAGATCGCCCAAGAACTGGAAATCGTGCCAGCTAGGTGTAATTGAATCCCGGAAGTATAGTAGCACAATGTGTGTTCACTGATTCTTGCATTGCTGTGAATCTGATTGGGAGAAAAACAGTTTCACACCGTTCATGCATCGCCTCCATGACTTTCAGCGAGTTCAAACGGAGTACTGTAGAATTGCGACGTCTACAACGTTACGTAGTTCCATGTCTAGGATTGTTGTCAACCAGTTTAGGTTACACATACTTTCATGTAAATCCCAAAAACAAGCCGAAATTTAGTGAGAAGAATCTCTCAAGAGTGAAGTCCTCTCCTCGCGATCTTCTCTGAACACCGTACTCGAAGATGCCCGAGAATAAGTGGGTCTGATCCGTTCTATTCGCGACCTGATTTTTTCTGCATCCGCTTTGAGATCCAGTTCGCTCAGTCGATATTGCTTTGGGGTTATGCCCTTCCCAAAAACGCTCGTGACGTGATTTGAACACAGCAGTGCAACGAATATATTGATGAGGTGCAACGAGATGACAGAAAATGTTGTTGACCAAATTAACGACAGATTTTCTCGCTCAAAGCGATACAATTTTGCTTTGCACCCTGGAAGAGGTGTGCGTGTATAGCATTTGTTGCTCGTGGTAGCTTCATGTAATGGATCATAGAAGCCACAGCATCGAAGAGAGCTCTGAATCATCAGGCGGCCGAGGGGAGTGTAGTATTGGCTCCAAGAAAAGTTAAGTTTCCGATCCAGAGAGAAGGCATAACGTTTATAGCTGGTATATCCAACGGCGAGCATCGATATCAGCGCAGGCCAAAGGAGAAGGGTATATGTCGCGAGAATTGGCCGAGAATTGAGTAACGTCCCCGTTAAACCAAGGAGTGCAGTGAACATGAGGATCGAACCGGCCAGAGTTATGAGTATGAGGATATCGTTATCAGCAACGTACATGACATCCGCATGATTCCAAGCTGTAAAACAGGATCAAACTACGGCAGAGGAAAATAAGAAGTTGATACACACTTCTGAACCAGGTTAATATCGCACAAATCATTGCGCCAGACCCATAGCAAAGAACAGTTATTACAGAGACCATCAAACACCATTTAGACCTTGTCCACCTGTCTATCTTGTCCAGACCCAGACTATAACCCTCTTCCAGTTCCAAAATGGTTTCTTGAATGGCTCCGTTCCGATTTCTCCAACCCTTAGCAGAACGATTGATATTCAAAGCTTTCAGAGATCGTGGTCGCGGCCATTTGCTGGTGAATTTTTCGGTCGTTTGTATGGAGGGAATGAATTTCTTGTGGCCAGAGTCGACGGAAGCCCTGGAAGATATTGAATGATGACGAGTCGGACTGAGGGTGTACTTTGAGTCTATCCTCATCCTCAGTGAGGGTTTCTCAGAAGAAGAGTATGTTGATCCAGACGATATAGATGGAAGAAGCGGAGAAGATCTTTGAGGAAGGGTAAATAGAGTAGATCTTCGCGATTGAGAAGAGTGTTCACGCGTTCGATTACTAGAGCACATTGCAGGAGAGTTTGAACGCGTTTGGCCATGGGAAGTAGACCGAAGAGTAAGGTGAACAGGATCAGATAATGCAGTTTCTTCATTTTCGTCCACGAGGCGGTCGACTGCATTCGAGCTTCCATTGGCAGAGTGAAAGGATGCTCGAGAAGACTGTATAGTAACGAGTCGTACAGATGCTGATGGTTCATGAGACCCAGTGATATTGTCGCTTTGATCAGAGCGACGGCGCATAGTCTCACGAGGGTAATTTGAGTGTTGCAAGGAGTAGGTTTGTAAAGTCATGGAATAAAAGACGAGGAAGAATTAGGAAGGAAGAATGATCCCTCGACGACGATTCTTGAGCAGGATTACATACATAAACCAAATGATAGAGCATCAATTCTCAATAATTATAAACTTCTTTCTGATTCTTAGTATGCAAGGCGTAGTAAGTCAAAAGAAAAAGGGGATGGAATAATTAATGGAAATGAGGTATGTAGGAAACCAGGTCGGAAAAGTTTGGACCACCGGAACTGCTATAGCCCAAGCGCGCCTTACAGATCTTGGTGAATGTTCAGCTGACTAGTGGTCTTGTAGTTCACGATTGTTCAGTATTCTGGCAGATATGTAGATTGATAGATACGTAGATACGCTCACCAGGTCTTCAACACAGAGAAAATAAAACGACGTCGATACGTGTGACTGGTTAACATCATGTGCTTCTGGCACCTAGGTTAAGGTTGGGATTCTCTCCAGCTGCTGTGCTATTATTCTAAGTAGTACTTCTAGAATTGTAATCCACCTTCTTCGTCGTTTCCCTTCAAAGCAAACACTGGACCCATGGACCGACTAGAAGCGCTCGGAAGTACCCTCTCTCAAATCACATTGTACGACATCAAGTCGTACTATGAACAGGTAAGCATCCATGATCGATTCATTCAACTTTGTGCTCAGTTCACGCTGGAATCAGGCTAAAAATGTGGTGCTCAATGTCAGCGAGATAGAGGCCAAGGTCAGAGAGGCAACAAACGATGACCCATGGTAAGAAAGTCCGGTAACAACTCAAGAACTTCGAGAATAATCGGTTCATGTAGGGGCGCAAGCTCGACTCTCATGCAGGATATAGCAAGTCGGTGAGTATCTCAAAGTATCTGCCCACTATAGCCAAAGCTAATAACTGCTTCTAGTACATTCAACTAGTGCGTCTCACTATCTGCTACAGTCCATTTCAATACTTCATGCACATTATAGTCCAGAATTCAACGAGATCATGCCCAGCATATATTCTCGCTTTATGGAAAAGGAAGCTAAACAATGGCGCCAGATTTACAAGTCCCTTCAACTTCTAGAGTATCTCATTAAAAATGGCTCTGAACGCGTTGTAGACGACGCAAGAGCACATATATCAACCATCAAAATGCTACGCAACTTCCATTATATAGACGACAAAGGGAAAGACCAAGGAATCAATGTCCGAAATCGCTCAAAAGAGATTGTCGAGCTTTTATCCGACGTCGAAAACATCCGTACCGAGCGTCGTAAAGCTAAGGCCAACAGGAGCAAATATATCGGTACCGGGAGTGATGGATTAAGTTCCTCTAGTGGAGGAAGTCGGTATGGTGGATTTGGGAGCGATAGCCTTGGGTACAATGGGGGAGGAAGCTCTAGTTATAACAGCGGTGACAGATATGGTTCTGGAGGTATGGGTCAATGTTCTAAATGAATGTCCTGTCATTTACGCGTTTTTTACTCCCTTAAGAACGGAGCTCTGGATCTTACGGTGGCGGAAGCAGCTCTTTCAGGGATTCTGGCTCCCGTGGGTTCGAAGAATACAACGCTGGCGATGATGAAGTTGTGGCCACGTCTCCTACAAGGAATAATAGCTTGACTGTATCTTCTCCCTCTTCTGCTCGTTTTGCTCCAGCTCGGAAGTCTGCCGCGCCAGAGCCTGCACCAGCACCAGAAGTCGACCTTCTTGGCGGACTTGACGATGACACTTTCTCTTCTGGTACTACATCCAACCCTCCTTTCGGCATTACCGAAAAGGCTCTACCCGCAGTGGGGGCTGTTCCTGCACAAACTAGTATTGGTATCGATGGTGCGTGGAATTCCACCCTTCCCTTTTACTATCCGTTGACATTCTTTCAGACGATGATTTTGCTGATTTCCAAGCTGCACCAGTCACTCCTCATACTACTGTTGCACCGTTTCAAGCCGCGCCTGCCGCTGCACACAAGATGAATTTGATGGAAATGCTCAACTCAACATCGGCTACGCCGGCGAGACCCCAATCGATGAGCTACGCCCAACCTCAGGCACCACCAATGCAGACTCAAGGCCTGGTATATGGCTCGGGAATGGGTATGGGCTCTTCGGGAATGGGTATGGCTGGAATGGCTACAGGAGGAATGCACCGACCTTCGCCGTCATTGTCGAACCAAAGCTCCTTTGGTGGTGTACCTACTATGCGGCCAATGTCTACTACGTCAGTCTCCAGCTCCGGCTCTACCATGAATCGCGCAGCCTCCGTTGCCTCATCTAAACCTGCATCGAGCGCCAATTTTGATGACCTGTGGTCCATGTCACTGGGTTCAAAGCCTTCGACGCCAGCGGCAGGTGCCGCAGTTGTAAGCAAGTCGATTAAGGACATACAGAATGAAAAGGCATCAGCCGGATTGTGGGGCTCTGGGCCTGCAAAACCTCAACAACCTACCATGGGGAATGCCTTTGGATCTTTCGGCTCTTCCGGAGGAGCTACTAGTTCCAGTGGTGGTGATGACCTTCTTTTGTAGGGCTTTTCTCTCGCTGCGTATTCTTTATTACTTCCAGTTGCTCGTAAATTCGTTTGTGGAATCCTTATGAAATTCATGATTTCGTTTAAACTTCAATAGCGTTACGAAGTCCAATATCGTAGTGCGAAGCAATCATAGATCGCGAACACTCGAAATCTGTGTATCATGAGGAATTCGAAGTTCTTGCTATTAGATTATTGAATCATCGGGACGGCGCGTGTCTCAACTTTCCCACATTGAACCCGCGTCCTGATTTGAACTTTTCCCCGGTCAACAATTTAATACGGCTACCTATAAGATGGACGTGTCTAAGCAAGAAGACGATCCACTTCTTTACCCCCAATTACTACTATATGACTCGCATATTTCTCGTGGTCGCTACCGTTATCAGCGCTGCCTACGCCCTTTGGCCTCTTCCTACGGACTTTTCGACGGGCACTGCAGCACTGACCCTCGCATCCGACTTTCACATCGACATTTCGGCAATACCAAATCCTCCTCAGGATCTTTTGGACGCGATTTCACGTACCAAAGGGTATCTTCAAACAGATCAACTCGAGGCCTTGGTCGTGGACAGGGGAGCCTCGTATAATCAGAGCTTGCAGAATGCCTCTTCGCTTGTTTCCCTCGTGTTATCTTACGATTCCGGTGTCGCCGGGGAGCCTACTAGTATCTCTGAGGAAGCCATAGATGATATCGACAGTCGTGTGGAAGGGTACACTTTGACAGTGCCGGAAGATGGTTCAGCAGCCACTATCAAGGCCAACTCGACTTTGGGGTTGTTCCGTGGTCTGACAACATTTGGTCAGCTGTGGTACGATCTCAACAACACCACCTACACCATTGAAGCACCCATAGCCATCACGGATTCACCTGTCTTTGTAAGTAGTACTCCATATGTATGGTCTAAAATTGATATTTCAATTCAGCCTTATCGCGGATTCATGCTGGACACTTCTAGAAACTAGTAAGCCGGTCCAATGTTCCGCAAGCCTATCACTTAAGTTATTTGTTAGCTTCCCTGTATCTGACATCTTGCGTACTTTGGATGCAATGAGCTGGGTTAAGGTGCTTCTTGTGCTTCTTCTTTATTCATCTTCTGATGGTGTCCGCAGATGACCACCTTCCATTGGCACATGGTCGACAGTCAAAGCTTCCCTTTAGAGGTTCCCGAGTTCCCGGAACTATCACTTAACGGAGCTTATGGTCCCTCGCTCGTCTACAGTACTAATGATGTACAGACTATCGTCAGCTATGCTAATGCAGTAAGTGTTTACTGGATCAATCGATATCTGTTCTGACGAAATTTGTCAGCGAGGGATTGATGTACTTCCTGAAATAGATACTCCAGGACACACCGCGATTATTGCTCAAGCCTACCCAGAACATGTCGCTTGTCCAGGCGCCACTCCTTGGGCCACGTACGCTAATGGTTTATCGTGCGTTTTTTTTCATTGGTTGACCATCCTAACTATATTGTATGATTCCAGAGCCTCCTGCTGGTCAACTTCGTTTTGCCAATGCCAACACAACCAATTTTACGGCTTCTCTCATTTCTTCAGTCTCTGCCCGCTTCCCCGGAAAATATTTTTCCACTGGAGGAGATGAACTCAATACTGAGTGCTACGCTATTGACGAATCTACTCAAGCCGATTTAAATACAACTGGAAAAACTTTGGAACAAGCCCTCGACACCTTTACACAAACTGTACAGAGTGTCCTCGAGGACAGTGGAAAGACGCCTGTAGTCTGGGAAGGTGAGTCAAACTATTTTATACCATAGTAACTGTATTTACGGTCATGTGTATCAGAAATGGTCCTCGATTTCAACCTCACTTTGTCGAACAATACTATCGTGATGTATATACAACTAGTTTCATATTTGAAAACAAATATTGACTTCAACTCTCTATAGGGTGTGGATCTCATCTGCAGATGCTGCTGCTGTCGCCGATAAAGGCTTCAGGCTTGTCCAGGCCCCCTCAGATTATTTCTACCTTGACTGTGGCGCAGGTGGTTGGGTTGGTGCGAATCCTTCAGGCAATAGTTGGTCAGCTTTAAAATCGCCACCTTCTCTTGAATATGTCTTTAATTTCACTTTTACAGGTGCGATCCGTTCAAAACCTGGCAGTATGCATATAGCTTCGACCCAGTCGCTAATTTGACCGATGCTCAAGCTAAACTCGTCATTGGGGGTAAGAGACTCACCAATCATCATTTTGGCAACTGTATTTTACTCAATGCGTTTGTCACAGGAGAACACCTCCTCTGGACCGAGCAGTCGCATGCGTCCAACTTGGATTCAATCGTGTGGCCGCGTGCTGCTGCATCTGCAGAACTTTTTTGGTCCGGACCTGGAGGCAACATTAGTGAAGCGCTACATCAGGAAACACTGAACCGGCTATATTGCCCTGGGCAAGAGTACAATAGCCAATATTGTCCCCCTGCCAAGCTCCATAGTATTGGTAGCACTATATAGTTCACGTAGCAACTCTGCAACTACTATGTATGATATTGTATCACTACGTACTTCACTAAGGTGATCAAGTAGACTTACATAGCTTCAGTAATTTTGACGATCTTCTCCATTGCTTTTGCCTAATATTCCATAGCATGTGTAGACTGCATTATATATACTATTTAGTCATGATTTAACAATGTTGAAACAATTAAAGAAGAATAAACTATATTCAATGACTTTAACTATGGTATTGACAGTATGTACATAGACATCAACTTGAAATCACTGTAAAATAATTCATGGTCGACACAAAATTGAAGACAACGCATACTGTACAATCGGACTTAAAAGAAAAAGAAGAAAAAACCAAGGCCCGGCATATTCACGTGGCACTATACAGGTGCTGAGAAATATTTTCCCGCGGTTTTCCAAGTGATCAACGCGCGAAGAAAATACAAAATCCGTCGTTCTCCCCTTCTCTCTTCCTTTCTCCTCCATTTTGTGGTCCATTGGCGTTGGCCTTGTCCACTATCCACATACTCCTTTTGTCATTCTTGTGTTATTTTTCGTTATCTTTCCCTTTACACCTGCCTTCAGCGACTAGTTACAGGCAGCAACTACATACATGGCAATGAGCAGTGGAATGGTAGCAGTTGCATTCGGAAACAGGTAAGCAATTTTATCTTATCTGCCAACCAATTCTTACCCACTTTATTTGACAGGAATTGTGTGAGCAGGGCAATCATGGTGCAACTGATACTAGTACGTGTATGTTGTGTTCATGTCAGAATTCCTCCTCTGATTATTGTTTTTGTTTAGGCTCTGCTTACTTGCGCTCCAACCAAGGTAAATTATTTATCTCATATACTAGCTAGACTAGCTATCAAAAATCAGACTTTTACATGTGTCTAATATCTATCTCGGTTTCTGCTTATTTACGCTGCTTGTACAAAAATAGTAACGTATGTATGCTGTGAAAATATACTATTGTGTTCCTTCTTTCTTAGAAAAATTGATTTCGGTGTGAATAATTTTTGTTTTTTTTGTGTAGTTGTAGCTTGAACTATGTAGTACCTATACCCTATGTTGCATGAATAGATTTGTAGGCTAAGTAGGCAAGCATTAGACTATCTGTGCTATGCGAGCTATGTAGCACTTGGTGGTAACTACTATTGCTACTATAGTGATACAGGTTAGGGGACTTGTATATGAGACTATAATCATGATCGAGTCTATATAGTGATACATAGAAAATTCCGTGTTTCCTGATGTACCTCGTTTGCACGATGTTGCATTCCGAATGACCCAGCGTGGTGTAGGAGCAATTGCACTTCAACCATTATGGTGTGCCCTGAGGCCGGGTGTCTGCGACCTTACAGCTTGAAAAGTATATGTATACGCCCCTTCTGTCCTCGTTCGCCGAAAAACGTAACCTTTTATAAACAAAAGAAAGAGTCAATAAATTATCTACTTTAAGTGTGCTAATTTTGACGCCGCTTCTCATGACCTGTGGGAGGAACTCACGTCGAGAATGTGTGATTCCGAGATGACCATTACAGCCGCGCCGACATCGTCTGTCGTACCTTTTGCAGCCTTTTTTCCGTCATGTGTACGATTTTCGAGGAACATGATTGCGAGTCATGGGAGAGTCTTCTTTAAATTTGGAATGCGCCGAAGAAAACTCTCGGGACTACAAGGGCAAGAAATCCAAGAAAACATCGAAGGATGATTGCTGCATGTGGCCCCATTCCCGATCTTCTTTTCTCCCTTCCTGGAGCTGTTCATGCAACAGACAAGCTTCGATCACTTGTCATAAAAGGTCCTTGTCTACATTTCCCATAGCTCCTCTGGCTCTCTTCGTAACCTTTGTCTAGCGTGTGCAGGATGGTCAAGTTTTCGCCTCCATCTAGATGGATTGTGATCTTGTGCAGCTTTTCCCTTTCACTTGCAGGCCCTGTTCAAATCCCTAACCTAAAGGTCCCCGCAAGTGCTGCTGCTAATCAACAAGCTGTGAAGGATATTTTCCTGCAAAGTTACAGCGCATACAGGTATTTGTTTGGTGTAGTTTCCGTTTAATCAATACTGACCCTCACCTAGTGAGTTTGCATTTGGGCATGACTCCTTGCTTCCTGTGAGTAAGGGTTTTGTGGATGATCGAAATGGTTGGGGTGCCACCATTGCTGATGCTATGGGCACAATGGTATGTTTTTCAGTGAATAAGACTGAACATCGACTCATTATACTCTCAAGCTTTTGATGGATCTGACTGTAAATCACTTCTAATCCCTTCTCAAAGAACGCACTAGAATCGTTGAAACTTCTTTGTCACAGGATCTGTTCGAGCAAGCTCTGGACTTCGTTTCCAAAGTTGATTTTAGTCAATCGAACACCCCGAGCTCTGTCAGGTAATATCATTTGTATCCAGCTCTTGAACAGCTTTAGATGTTAGCATGGTGCAGTCTTTTTGAAACAAGCATTCGTTACGTGGGTGGAATGATCAGCGCCTACGAGCTGAGCGGGAAACAACACCAGATTCTCGTGCAACAAGCCCAACAACTGGTGGATAAGATGGTTTTCGCTTGGGCAGACCCGGTGATTGACTCTCAACATTCGCGGTGTGCCTCGATTGTCTGACATTAATATACAGAATCAGACAATTCCGTTTGGAGAAATTTTCTTTGCAAACAATTCACCCATCGCAGCTGTCGTCAGTAAATTCTTGCAATGCGAACCATCGACTTAGGATTGACTATCTTTTAGAATAACGTGGCTGAAGCAGGGACTGTAAGAATGGATCCGACTTGCCTATCCATGACACTAATTATTGTCCTTTAGCTCGACGTAGAATGGTCTCGAGTTACTCTGTATGACCCTTCTTGATTTGCTAGATCTTCATAATTTTCTGACATTATTTCACAGTTACACAGGTAACCAGCTCTACACAAACTTGTCAGAGGGTTCCGTTCGAACCATAGCTAATTTGGTAAGCATTCTACAACTATGACCATTGAAATGTAACCCTCTTACCTGCGCTAGCCAAGTCCCTTCCCAGGTATCAAGCAATTTGACTCAGTCTTTTTGAGGTTAATCGAGTCCTCAAATTTTAGGCTTACCACCCCAACTTGTTGACCCAACGGATGATATGTTCGTAGACGCCTTCCTCGTAAGTGACTTGTTTCATTGAGCCCTGTGATAGAGTGATATCCTCAACTTCGATCTCGACAGACATGGGGAGGAGGGACTGATAGTTACCTCGAATACTTGATCAAGTATGCACGAATCACAAATACCGACGACAATCTCTTTGCGGACACTTGGCATGCTGCCGTTGATAGCTCAATAAAAGAATTATTAAGGGTCTGTCATTGATTCTCCCATCCTCCCTCTTTATTGACACAATGTAGACTTCCACGATTGGGGACCATACTTACCTTGCTGATTGGAATGCTGGGGAAATCCTTCTCGAGGGATCGCATTTAGCGTGTTTTCATGGTGGAAATTGGATCCTTGGTAAATCTTTCTCGTCAATGCTAGTAGTACTATTCGATGCTAAGATATACACATCGCAGGGGGGAAGCTTTTGAACAACCAAACGATTGTTGACATCGGACTGGAGCTTGTGGAAGCATGCTGGAATACATACGCCAGCACAGAGTACGTTTTTTATTCGACCCTATTTTTCCATTGCTGAATATTTTTAGGACGGGAATTGGTCCTGAAACATTCAGTTTTATGGCTCCTGACGGGGACTTCACTCAACCAGACGCTCAGCAATTGGCGTTCAATAGTGAACATGGTTTCTGGATCACTAGTACGACTTTCTGGAATCGCGTGAATCACATATGTATAACATTTACTGACATCTTGCCTTCCTAACAGCATCCGATTATATACAACGGCCTGAAGTGCTTGAATCAAACTTCTACGCTTGGCGTGCCACTGGCGACACAAAATATCTAGACCGTGCTGCGAGTGCTGTCGAAAGCTTCCGAAAATTCTTGGTTGCGAATGAGACAAATGGATTTGCGGGTTTGAATGACGTGAATGATTTCACTGCAGGGCTAGAAGATGATACAGAATCATTCTGGTTCGCTGAAGTATTGAAGTACCTGTAAGGGTTGGGACAATTTTCCAAGCCAAGTCAAGCCTAATCTTTTCTTAGCTTCCTCACATTCGACGATCCTGAAAACATCAGTTTGGATAATTGTATGTATTTCCCGGGCTCATTGAACCGCAGTGTTGATGCCCTGGCAAAACAGTTGTTTTCAATACAGAAGGCCAAGTATTTGAAGCTCCTCCAGCTAAAGCTGTCTACGGTAGCGGTACACCTATAGCAGCCTCTGGTCAATTTCACACCAAGACGTCTGATGCGCTACCACTACCAGTGATCAGTCCGGATCCACTGGTGACTATTAAGCCTGGTCCTATGAACGGGCAATAGTGTTAGAGAAATAAACGTAGTACTTTTACCAGTACTAGTCTTCTTCAATGATGGATCCTCCGATTGTTGTATACTTTTTCTGCTATAAATTGTTTCTAAGTTGGCCAGTATACAAAGTTGCCACAACCACCAGGATGTGGACGAGCGATTCGAAGAGAGGAAGTATTATTCCCAGCCGACATGGAGATTCCTAATGACACTACTGTGCTGTCTATTGATACAAAATGCGAATGTGTATGTACGAGTCTGTATGAATGTCAGATAAAGTCCGTCACAACAGTTGAGTATAGCAGTACAAGAAGAGGATGAGCCACTATAAGTATGCAGTGATAGGTACGCAGGGATGTGTACCAATAGATAGGTATTTATTTGTTAAATAAGGAGGACGTAAAGTACGCGATCTTGGTGATCTTCAGCGAATGCGAGGAGCAGAGTCGGGACATGTCGGGGAAGAGAGTGGAGGTAATCAATCAAAAAAGAAAGACAAAAATGATTAGGAGAAAGTTCAAAGGAAGGATATTCAAGTCCGATTTTCAGGTCCTAGTCAAAGCAGACTCAAGATTGTAGCATGTCAGTTGAAGGGAATGGTGATACGGAAAGAAAGCAGTCCATGAAGGAAGACAGGCCTCATGGCTTAGAGATATAACGATGAGGGTCTTGGGCGCACACAAAACAAGATCAGAGTGCCATCACGCAAGTCACGAGGCAGGCAATTGCAGAGAGCATCATTCCTAGCCCATTAACGCTAGTCACAGGACGAAGAGCAGCATTTGTGTTAGAGTTCCCTGAACTCGAGGACGTCGACGAGGGCGATGAAGTACTGGTCGTAGCGTTTGGGTTCGTCGAGACGGCATTCCAGTAATCCCTGATGATAGTGGAGGCTTGTTCTGCGAGTCCGTATGTAGGTGCACCCAGCTACGCGAATCACCGGATCAGACAGAAAAAAAATGAGGGATGGATACAGAAAACGTACATGGCTAGACAAGTCGAATGGATACACACTGGCATCTGCAACCCTGACATTTGAAGTACCATAAACGAGTAATGACGGACTGACAACGCCTCCCAACTCGAGAGGGAGCATCGCACATGTCCCTGTAGGATGGTACTCCGTTCCTACAGCGCTTTCAATCCAAGCATTCCATTCATCATCTGTGCTGACCGAGGATCCAGGAGTGGTTTCACCTGTGAGGTACGCGGAAAGTGGTGAAGCCTGCGAGATGAGTCGTGCCATTTTAAACCCTTCACGCAAAATGGTAAGATCGGCGCTGTGTGCAAGATAATTGGGGTTAATGTAAGGGTAGTCAAAGGCTGAGTTGGAGGTAATATAGAGCTCGCCCGCACTGAGGTGATGAGATTAGTCAAATTCTACGAACATATCCGAATATCTTACCTGAGAGGATGTTGGATGGCAGCTTGAAGGAGGACGTTTGTGCTAGTAATGCTCAACAACAATTCAATCTGGCCACTGTTGCTCGAGTAGAACTGATTTGTGATGGTGTCATAAATTGCCTTGTAACCAGCAGCGACAGTGGAGTCACCCAACGGGAGGAACGACGACACAGACGAGTCGACTTCTGCTTGAGCAGAAGAGATGAGAGCGGAAGCATTATCTGATCCAAGAAGGGTCGTGAGGTTGACATATGCAGTAGCAGAGTTGATGTAAGAGAGAAATTCTGCGGTGGCTACACCAGCATTGTACATATCACCCGCTGTCTCCGCGTTGGTGCTGTAAATGAGACTCCCGCTCTGAAGAGATATGAAGATCGGTCATAGCAGGATGTAAAAAGGAGACACACCAAGTGATCCTGGAGTCGTTGTCCAACTCCAGGAAGGTCAAGTTGCACATCTACACCTGCGGCTTGCAAATACTTGGATGGCCCAACCCCACTCAGTTGTAACAGCTGTGTACTGCCAATACTTCCAGCGGCGAGTATGACTTCCTTATTCGCATTCACCGTTTGTTTGGCTGCCGTAGACGAGGAAGCCCACTGCACTCCAGTGGCCGTCAAATTACCAGACGTACCAGATTGCCAAACGATATTCGTGACAGTCGCAGACGTGAGAATGTCCAAATTCGATCGTGGAGGCAAAGGATCAATGTACCCGGAACGCGAGTATGAACGAGTCCAATTAGAAGGGTTGATGGAAGAGGTTGTGATGTAAGCACCAGAATTATCGCCTGATGCAGCGTCTGGATTCGTTGGAATGCCGAGGGTCAAAAGCGAAGGTGTCCAATTTCCGACAAGGTTGAATGTTTCTCCAGGGTAAGACCAATGAATGGGACCATTAGATCCGTAGGACGAGGCGCTATACTGGATCCCAGCTTCAGCCGCTACATCAGCGGAAGGAGCACCAAAAGTTTCGCTCTTTTTCATAGCAGCGTAATATGAATCCCATGTCCAAAACTCATCCGTATCGTTGGGATTGATCGAATGTAGCGCGTTGATTTCAGGTTCGTTGGGTCGAACAAGGTACATTCCATTGATAGCGGAAGATCCGCCCAGAACTTTGCCTCTGGGCCAGGAGACGTTCCGGTTCGCACATCCAGCTTGCTGAACAGTCTGACCATATGATTTGAGGGACAGGATTCATAGATGATGAAACGGAGTTTACCTGGTAGGCGTAATCATATTCTGATCCAACGAGAGAGTTGTAGTATGTGTCGGCCGGCGTATCTACATATAAGTATATCCCACGACTATGATGAGAAATAACATGGATAAATCACTGATAGTTACGCACTGATTTGTGTTATATTTGCATCGCCAGATTCTCCAGCTTCCAGCACAAGGACAGTATGATTGGAGTCCTCGGATAACCTCGAAGCTAGGACCAACCCAGCCAAACCACCACCCACGATGATGAAATCATACGAACTTTGGATATCAGAGCTATCCGACACAATGTTTCTTGCTCGAAGATTATTTTGTTGCCGACGTGTTTCAGAAGGATCAGGGAGAGGTGATGCAGAGGATTTCGATAAAAGGTACGTCGAAGCGAGTGTGAGGATAGTGGTTTTGGCGAACCACATATCGTGACAGATCGTAAAATTATGGAATGTGAAGATGAAGAGATTAGGCTGTAAAAGCGGAAGAATAGGTTCAAAAAGAGCCTTTCAACGATGAGGCAACAACGTTCAATGGATTAATGAAATTCTGAAGACCAGTTTCGACCGCGGTATATAAGGTGTCTATGGCGGTAAGGTCTAGACCACTGAATTGACCGCTTGGATCTTCTGGGCCATCGCGCGTGACCCATGAGGCCTTCTCGACCAGCAGCGGGACGCTTCGAGGCTGAAGGAGGCTGAAGCAGGGTTAAGTTCGACTTCCCTTGACAATGTTTGACACCCTGTACGCAAGACGAAGATTCGGGTGATATTATCAGACCGGATGGTAATATGGCGACTACTCAAGTCCTCCGACGTTGGGTGCAAATTCCCCATTCTTGCTGCATTTTCGTTGCTTTCTCTCGCGGAAGCATTTTGATTTCGTGCTCTCCGAGTGTAAATCTCAAACTCCCCCTAGCACGGTGTTTCTCATTCTCCAAAATATACAGACATCATAACCAGCAGCTGGCATCGTCATGAATGTTTCTCTGCCTCCGGGTCAATAATTCCCGACTATCTAAAACTTCATCATCGTCATACTTCTTGCAAGACATGTATATATGAAGTCAACCATTCGTCCATGTACATATTCAAACCCATTTCGAAACCAAACCTCTTCCCTATAACATTCTTCATCATGCAGATCAAAAGCTGTTTTTCCATCTTACTTGTTGCACGAATTATGGCGACAACTGACGCTGCTCTGATTTTTAACCATGTTGATACTACCAGCGCGAACACAAGGAGTTCGGTGTCCACCACTAGATCAATGTCAACGCAATCTATAAGATTGACCAGTTCTACTACATTCGCTTCTTCCAAGTCTGCCAGCAGCATTCCAACGAACCCCAGACCTACAAGCACCACCCGCACAAGTTCTGTTCAAACCCTCACCAAACTTTCCAGCAGCAGTACGGCGGCCTCCCGCCTCACCAATTTCAGCTTCAGCCGAACAAGTTCCGTTCAGACCCTCACGAGACTTGTCAGCAGCAGTGTATCTACCTCTAGCCTCACCAGTTCCAGCCAGACAGCGAGTGCTACCAGTGGGGCAACAGTAGAATTCATTCAATCCACTCTCAACAGTCATAACAGTGCGCGTGCTCAGTATGGTGCATCTTCGTTGACATGGAATTCGAATCTTTATCCGGCCACTCAGCAATGGGCTAATGCGTGTGTGTTTCAACACAGGTAAGCGTTCATGCCACACATACTATCCACGGTAGAAAATTTAAGTTTTTATACATAGCGGAGGAAATTATGGTGAAAATTTAGTAAATACTCATAGTAAACCTCGGTCATACTCAAATTTAACAATATACTTCTTTTCGAATGTAGGCTGCAGCAGCTCCACAAGGAATCTCTGTCCAACAAGGCGTGAACATGTGGATGGCAGAAGTTTGTGCGTATTTGAATCAATGTTTACAATTATAGTTGACATAAAAGCATTCCTACAGCGCAATACAATTGTGGGCTTCTCATCTAGTCATGTAATGGTGGTACAATTTCTGACCTTCTTTCAGATAGCAACCCCACATTCTCCTCATCGACTGGTCACTTCACTCAGGTGGGTTCACATCTCGTACACGTTGCGGTAACGGGCTTATTTCATCTCATCAGGTTGTATGGAAATCCACCACCTCCGTTGCTTGTGCAATCGCCACCTGCAATTTCTTGGGTAACGGAACCGGATATTTGGTCTGTCGATATGATCCTCCGGGAAATTATTTAGGGCAGTTTGCGTAAGTCGAGGAGTATTATCAGTGCCGTTTGCTTGCTGTCTTAAATCACTCCCACTTCAGGCAAAATGTCGGGCGCCCGTCGAATTGAGCGAAACAACAATATGGATCCGGATACCATTTTACGGAGTAATTTTGTTTCCATTATGATCCTTGCTCGAACTGTTTTCGAAAAGTCCGTACAACAAATGACCCAACATCTATAACTACATGTGTAAATTACTTTCCAAAAAGACGTGTTTATGAACATATACAAAAGAACTATTTATACTACTATATTTCTTTAAACTTGAATCGTGAATCATGTCTAAGCTCTATCGCAGGTTCTGTTAATTGCAGACCAGGTACGTCCTGCGGGCGTGGTAGGGCTAACTCGTGCCATCTCTCTCCTGCCCCAGGGTATATGTTTTCACGTGTAGGAGGCTGCAATTCGGTAACGATTGAGCATTTTGAGTATTGGGAAGAGTGTACAACGATGCACGCACCACATAATGCCTCGCATGATATTTCGCCCAATCAACATTTTCAAACCATGGAAAATCCATGACCTCCTGGACACCATGCGTACCCAGGCGCTCCAAAGGGTCCACGGCGAGCAGTGCAGCAACTAACGTTTTAACTATTTTGCCAACATAAACGTCATTCGGCCATCTGTATTTTCCTCGTTTGATCATCTCTTCCATCTTCTTAGTGTCTTTTGAGTAGAAGGGATATTCTCGCGCTAGCATTTCATATAGAGTGATCCCTGCTGCCCACCAATCTACGCTGGAACCGATATATCGAGATTCAGTCATCGCCGTGTATTGCTCTGGGGCATTGTAGACGAATGTTCCAACTTCGTGCCAGTCAAATGGTAACATCGGAGGAGCAATTGAGAGGCCGCGTTCATCTTCTCTGACCTGTATGAAATCGTCCTGCATCCTTCGGGCGGTACCAAAGTCTCCCATGATAGGGTAACCCCCGGGGCCTAGAAAAACGTTTTCCGGCTTCACATCACGATGCACAATGTCGTGGTCATGGAGAAAAGCGAGCCCAGCAACTATGCCACAAAAGTAGAACTGAGCAACGGTTGGTTCCAACCGTTCGCCCATGTCAAGAACTACGCGCAAAGAATTTTGGGGGCAAAATTCGAAAGCATAGTACACATTGAATGTATCGACAAATGTGCCGATGAGTCCACAGATGAAAGGATTCCAAGGAAGCTCGGTAAGGATGGAACGCTCTACTTGCTTGCTCTCTGGGGTATTTTCTTCAAACTATGCATGCAAGGGGATTTCTCAGTTCTAGTCTGGGATAGTCGAACAAGCGACTCACTGAGTCTGCTTCACGTAGTTGTTTCTTTTCAACAATTTTGACAGCAAACACGCTACCAGACTGATCTAATGGATGGATATTCCGCACAACTTTCGCGTAGATGACAGAGGCAGTACTGCCATAGCCTGTGATCATCGGTCAATGACGTTGACAATTGATTTGAAGGGTGATCTGTACGCACCTAGAGTTCGAACGGCCTCAAAGTCAGTGATGTTCAAAGGAGGTGGCCTGGGATCCTTCGGCTGCAGGTTTGTTGGAAGCGGTCGCAGATACTTTAGCGGGAGTTAGTTAGTTAAAAGAATCCAATCCGGTAGAACGTCGCGTACCTCTGGTTGACCTAGATGTGAGTAATATTTCCTGAACGCTTTCCCAAACAGCCTAGCATCTACATGTCTGTGCGGAACATGATCCAAGGTCTTGAACATCAATGGACCTTTTGGATGTTGTCGTACTTCGACATCACTATACGGGTCGTGTTTCCGACGCTCACGAAGAAGTGGCGAATCTGTCCTGGTTGCAGGCATAAGAAGAGTTGGGTGCTCATTCGAAAATTGCCATTGTTGGTTTTATATGACCATCGTGCAGCTTTGGCCGGACTAAGAACAATGACAGTTCGGTTATCATACATAGATCCTGTTTAGGCTGGTCTTTTTCGTTAGCGATGTATAGCAAGTAGCCAATATTGAAAAGGATGAAGCATCATCGACTAGTATCGCCATAGATTTGGTTAGAGAGCGAGAATGACGGAGACAGAGTTGGTTGAAAAGGGAGAACGATGAAGATAAAGGTAGCGGACTCCCGGATTCGGAGTTTTCTCACGTGTAAATGCGATAGAGAATATTAGACGAGAATGTGGTGTTTCAGTAAAAATAATCCATAATGAATATATAACGCGACAACATGAGATACAATACAAAGATGTAGCTTACCGCTTGCGCAAATTATACGGAGAGGTGTGCGAAGAAGAGGAAGCAGTGGGTTCAACTCGATCAGAGCGAGGAGCACTTGCTGAAGCACGTCCTGTTGCAACATTACTAATTTTGCTTGGGATGCGACGGGATCGCAGACTTCTGCCCGCGCCTTTGCGAGCTTTTCTCCCTCGAGTGCTAGAGCCTGACGAAGCAGCATGGTCGCTCCTGGTAGACTTCGGGGGGTTTTTTGTTTTGGATCGGGATGTCCCAGAGGTTGCCGTACCAACGTCATCGTCAATCGTCGTGGATCTTCCTCGTTTTTGACCTTGTTCTTTGGGAGCTTCAGTAGCTGACGCCGGAGGTACAACAGTTACCTCATTCCTTTGAGAGAAAATTCGAGAAAGACGACGCATGAGCATGTCTTCGGAAATACTTTTCGCAGCTCCGCTTAATCCTTCAATGTTCAAAATCCCAGAGGGATAGAGTTCATGCGGAATGCTCTCTTCGGTCGCTTTTTCAACCCAGAACGACCCAGAAATACGCAGCATACCAGATGGACCCGCATCGAGACAGAGATCCGGTATCTGGTTGAGGAGCGAAGCGACTTCTGACTGCAAGGGGGGTAAATATATCGAAAGACTGGGGTCGAGAGGTTTCCTTACCTGATCACGAAAAATTTCGGTTGGATGGAGATCCTGTATGTCTCGGGCAAAATCCGTTTCTTCCTTGTTCTGGAACGTCGAAGGTACTCGAACGAAGACCCAAGAAGTCCGCGCGTCAGAAAATTGAAGACAAAAGACCAGTGTTGCACTTGTGCTTGAGGAATATTGCAAGGCGCAAAATGGTTCATCACGCTCGTGTTTGAACCAACAGAGCGCCTCTTCCGGGGTAGTAGCCAACAACACGAGTCGGTCGGGAGTATGATCTGTAAAATGTACATCTCTCGCTTCTAGTCGAGGGCCAATACGGGTGAATGTGACAAGTTTTGCTTCGAGGAAAGGAGTAGATATTCCAGATACTGTGAATGCATTTGAAATTTGTGTTAAACCATCAAACATTGATGCAAACAACAATGCAAGAAAGAAAGCAAAATGAGAAGAACGTGCGTCCGTGCCATGATGAGAGTCAAAAATATCGAAGTTTGTGATCTGAAAGCGCGATCTCTTATTGGTTTTCTTGAGCCACCCCGCACCGTACATTATAGTTAGGGGTTCATCCAAAGCTATTTGGGAGCAGTCGGGATCAATGAAGAAACCGTAATCTTCACTGATGAGTGCTCTCTCGTTGGTTGAACAATCGTGACACCCGCGCGAGGTAACCAGAAAGCTGATGACTGCTCGGTGCATCTCGATAACGCTGATCCATCCTAGAATAAGGTGAATGAGGAAAGATTTGATATGGAGGGCTTCCTTCTGCAATTACCTTCGCTTAGACCGCTGTCACCAAGTGAGTCGTACCATTTATCGAAAAGAACCGATTCTCCTGATGTGTACTCAGAATTATCAGGGGGAAAGTAGTTGGAGATATTCTCAATGTAATTTCCCAACAGTGAATGAGGACTTTCAAAGCCGCTGCTAAGTAGTACTGCGATGAAAGATGCAGTATAGCGATGCCTGGAACATTCGTTAGCAAGACGTGTTAAGTTACAGAAATAATTGACATATAACCTTCCACGCAACCATTGCCATGAGCGATCCAAAAGAGCTTGTCCTGTAACTGAACTCACTAATTCCGGCGGCAAAAACTGGGAAACGTATCGCCGATGTTCCGTGGGATTGTCGAAAGATCCAGTATCCGAACACCAGCGAAAATCAGCCCATTCTCCGACCGCTGACTGAAAATGCTCTGATTGAATTATGGTCCCGGAGACGACAAATCTCACAGGCAAATGACCTAGCCTGCGTCTCAAAGCGCGCAGCATTTCCTTTAGAATGGGATAACGGCCATAGTCATCCGAGAAGGCCCAGCGATGCTTCGTCGAAGCTACATTTGCTTCGTCCAGGACAACATAAAAATGTTCTCCAGCAGGCATATCCCAGATACTTTGGATATCCTCCAACGTATGAGAAATCGCTTGATCAAGGATTGAATCAGATAGTTGGAGGGTGGAAATCGAGTTTTTGATCTTCCAGAAAGGATCGAATGCGGGGATGAGATTGAGTGGAAATATCTGTGATTCTAGCCAACGTCTTCGTTGATCATGAGAAAAGCCCGCCTTCGAACAAGCTTTCAAATACACGTTGAATATGAGCAGCCTGGCTAGCAACGCCTCACTACATGTGCGGTAGACCACATGTATGTTGTCGTGAACGACCGAGCTGTGTGTGGGGTCAGATATGGGAGGCACAAGCGGTTTCCAATTGTAGTCGTCGTTGACGTTGGTTACGACATGCGCGAAGTCCCCCGCTCCAAGCAGCGACGTGTCTATGGCACATGTAAGATAAAAGCCCCAATGAAGGCAAAGGCCTTCGAAGAGGAGTCTGGTTTTCCCGGTACCTGAAGTATTGACCAGAAAGCTGCAGAAACATGAAACGTCAGCTCGGAATTCATGAATCATAGCCCAGACTCACGTATGATTCAGAGGAGAAAATATGCGATTCAATCTCTTCCTAAGTAACGAGTCATGTTGAAAACTGCCAAGCTTATGAAGAATTACAAGAGGCACTTTCTCGGATTTCCCCAGTGGTATTCGAAGCTTTTGAATGTTTTCAGCCACACGAGTATCGGAAGTATGCCTCAGAGGGCTCCAAACTGGTCGATTGAACTCATTGACCGCCACATCCTGTATCTTCCCCGTAGATTCCATGGCGCGAATCACTTGGTTCATCTTCTCGAATGAAGGATGGTAACGCCATGAGTTTCGTTCGAGGTGAACTGGCCATTGAGGTTTAGGACGATTTCTGTTCAGAGAGAACAAAAGACACACCGCGCAGACGCTCGAGAGCATCTAAATCTCGTTTCCGATGGATAGCTTTCAGTGTGTCATGGAGAGACAGATCAACAGTTAAACTTGTAGTACATAGTTCCAGGGAGGGTTTGAATAATCCTTCAGAGGTTTTGTTCAGATAAGCATGCAAGAATTTTGAAGCAAGAGTAACGTCTGAAACCTCCGTAAAAGAATCAAATTCAAAAGCTTCCATGCCCAAGCGCTCAAGCTCAAGATTCAGGAATTTGATTATTTATAGAATCGTGATAAGATAAGCACAGGATAAGTGTATTAATCTAACTATCTTAGTATCTAGTCTTCATTATCGCCCTCGTAATCATCCAACTCTTTCTCTGACAAACCGCGCTTACGCTTTCGCACTCTGGGCGGCAGATCCAAGCCTCGACTTTGACCATAATCTGACCTCAACATCTCAATGATCATGCGTGAATGATTGTCGAACTCGAAAGACTTTGCCCGGACTGGAACTCTCCGCTGTCTTCTCAGTGGTTCTTCTTTCTCTTCCTCTTCAGACTCTGACCACAAGATAGCGGGATCGAAAGTACTCCAGAAGCTTTCCCCCTTCTTTTTTGCTTTACGCGCACGCGATTTTATCACCTTGAGTAGATCCGTTGGATGAAGATGGGCAGTCTCTGAAGTCAAGAACTCTGTTTTCAACTTCCCCAAAGGATGTTCATCTTCCTCGTCTGGATCCAGTATGTATTTCCGTGTTTTTTCCTGTTCCTTGTGCTGGTAGAATACCGAGTCAAGATCGACCCTCACAGGGAACCCACAAATGACACGCATCACGCCGTACTTGCCAGCCAATGGGTCCCTGCATGGTAATCCTTCAAGGGCACTTAAGAGGCTCTCACGTAGCCCTTTTCTCTTTTCTTCACGCTGTGCTGCTTTGTTACCGTCTTTGACCTGTGCAAAAAAGATGAGTTCACAGTAATAAATTTACCATTGGTTTAACTTACATGTCGTGGTGCAAAAAATTTTCTTGGAGTAACCGTAGCAATTGCATCCTTCAGTGTAGAAGGTTCAAGTTCCCCATCTACTTGATGGAATTTGCATTGGAGTGCAAGACATATGTAGGTGAAGTCTTCCGGATTTCCATTGTCATCTTCTAACTTGAGGAAGCACATGATGTCAGGTCCCATCTCATTCATTGGAAAACAAAACGCTGTATGTCCCTTCAACTTCACCCAGTCAAATAAAGGGACACACTCCTCCGTTGACTCAATTGCTAGGCCAAGTGCACCTGGAAGTTTTGCTTCACCTATGTTTTCAATATCAGTTGTTCCTTCCACAAGTTTACGCTGGGAGCCAACTTCATCAATATGAAGAGTCACTAAAGTAGCACGCTTCTGGGCTAGCGCACTCTCTGCCTCTGGATTCTGTTTATCCCGTAAATCAAAAACTTGGCCCAATCTTCGAGGTTTTCGAAAAACCCGCTGAAGGTAGAAGCACATGAACTCTTCGAATCCATTTCGACCGGTTGAAGGGTTGTGATCCTGAATGCGATTAGCTACATATTTGTATAGCGAGTGTGCATCTGACTCATGACTTCCGTTGAGCCATATTGCACAGGCCATCATGACGAGAGGTTCATCGATTCTGATGAGTGTCAATCCCCCGGAATTCTTGACCCTTGCAAAGCCGTGAGCGATGTAATCATTCTCGTCTGTCCCTAGCCATCCGTCTAATCTTGATCTCAACAGGTAGTCGTAACACAATGATTTGATCTTTTCCTTCATCCTGCCGCTTACCGCCTCGAATACAAATGCCCGAGCCGGGAAATCGATTATCGCCGGGATTACTTCCTTCCCCTGATAATCCGTGGGCTCGAAGCCAGTCAGACTGTAGATATACGCGTTGAGAAGCTTGTCGAGATTTTTGTAACCATTCTGCAATACCACGGATATATATTCCGCAGTGAACCTGTGCCTTCAAAATCATGAGTGAGATCATGACATTTACTCAGTAAATCGTGTATTCACCTTCCTTGAAGCCAGCGAAAAATCCGTTGCAAAAGTCGTGGAAACTGGTCGCTTCGCCATATATGGAGAGGAAAATACTCTCCAAGGTATTTTTGCTGAATGTCAATGTCGTCGAATGCCCCAGTATCATTCACGTCTTTGCACAATGGTGTTTTTGCAACGACTGACGACAATGCATCAGTTATGTCATTTTTGGAAAGACCAGTCCCTGTGAAAATGAAGGTAACAGCAAGGTCCGACAGATTGCCGTTGAATACACCGTTCAAGCATTTCGCTATTTGGCGGAGAAGTGGTCGTTTTGAGATCCAATCATCCGAGCGAAAGGCATTTCTCAGACTGTGTGCAGCAAACTGACACTCGTCGAGCACGATTACAAGGTCGGAGGGAAGGATTGACCGGATTTCAGCCAGGACATCTGTTAACAAACTCTTCAAGACAATTTCATTTACTGGCAGAGAGAAGTCGATGATTCTCATAATATGGTCTCTGAGCTGAGCGAAAATGTCCCCCGATTCGTCTGGCCGTAACAAAAGATCGGGATGAAGCTGAAGTCGCAACCAATTGCGTATGTGCAATGGTTGTGTAATATCTTCTTCCATCTCGACCAAAGTCACCAGGAATTGCCGCAAAACGTAAAAACGAGCCAGTAGCGTACTGAGCACCTCGCATGAGACCAGCTGATTGTTAGTATTGAGGACCTGGGAGAACTCGTGACCTTCGAGGGTAGACGCGAAATGCTCCATCTTGTTCCGTAAAACACGTCCCCGGTCATCATCATCTTTGCCGCTAACTTCAATACTGGGAGACGGAGGGAGAGTGTTCGTAAATGAAGGGCTATCCTCAATGCTCGAGATAGCGGTGGACATGTCTTTCGAACCAATATGGGAATCATTATGGCAGGTGAGATATAAGCCCCAATTGGTACACAGATGTTCTAGAACGAGCCTGGTTTTTCCGGCACCAGACGTATTCACAAAGATCCTTTGTAGCACCAGAATTCAATTAGAGTCGGCCACAGGCAAGATTTGACTCGACTTACTTATGAGCCTCTGTACCAAATAACACGTCCATTCGCTGCTTCAATCTTGTGTCGTCCTGAAATCTACCCAATCGATGTGACAACATGTCGGGAAGATGACTATACGGACGACAAGCTCGAGGTATGTCTAAACGCCTTATGCTGTGCAATGTTTCCTCATCAACCATCACATTTGGAGTCCAGGGATCTCTAGATATAGCATTTCTTGCCAACTCATTCATTCCAGACTGATATTTTTGCATGTGGCGGTATATAGTCACTTTGGCAGTGGCACTCATCATGTTCTCTGTGTATAGGGCAGCACTAAATGAATAAAGCAGATTTGAAAGATCATGATAGACTTACTTTCTGGCTTGTGACCGAGTGTGAGTCCACCTTTGCATTCATGGTTAATGGAGAGTGAATACAAGAAAGCACACACATACCAGTTGCCTGGTGCAAGTCAATAATCGTTGACTGCTCCATAAAAATGCCGTCAACACTGGTGGTCATCAGCATTTGACTCTTCATGAAAAGCATCAATATAGCTATACCAACCAGTAATCAAATTGTGTTAGAAACTGAAGGAAACTGAACGATGAGTCGTTAACGTCGATAGAAAGAGAAGTGATGTGGAAAGGGAAGTCTGGTTGTTGTTCGTTCTGATCTTGCATCCAAACTTAAGTACGTCCTGAAGAGGATAGTTTCAATAGCCTGTTGCCAAAGTTTTAGAAAGAACAAGGTCATGTATGTATCCGTATGATCATGGATTGAATTATTAAAATGATCCATGCTCAAATTACAATTGGGACGAACAAAAACAATCGACAATTGACAGGAAGTCTGGTAGTCACTAGCACTGCATCAATAATGAATTTAAATAAGTTGAGATAACACCTAAGTCACAAATGAGGATACTTTTGTTCTTTGAGCACAACGCATTTGAAGTGAGCCAGATCATGGTGTCTCAATCAGAATCAGATCATGATGCGCATGCATATGCTTAGACTCGAGCCAGTAGTTTCGAATTGTGACACTTTTCCAGCAAAGACCACTGTCCAGTGACTAGCAAAGATTCATTCCAATCCAGGCTCCTCATAGTCCATGGGAACATCTTTCCGTTCAAGCCATGCTGCATCCTCCGTGCCCAAGTCCACACCCTTTCCACAATCTAGTCTCCGACGTGGAGGAAGCTCCTTCAACTCTAAGGCTGTGGCCTCACTAGAAGGACTTGATGGAGCAGCTAGAGTAATGTCTGGACACGACAAATTTATGGAAGAAAAATTTCTCTTTGCCGTAGATGCGAGTGAGGGGACGGATGTAAAGGAAGACGTCGGAGCTGAGGACAGGGAAGGAGTCCGAGATGAGCCATTCATCATAGGAGCGGAACAAGATGGTGTTGACTGTACAGAAACTAATGAAGTGCAAGCCGTTGTCGATGATCCTGCGGGGGTATTCCTGACAACAACATAATGTTCTCTATGCCACCCAACAAAATCAAGGGTAGGTAGCGTGCACGCAATGCTCCTTGCACTGGCTTGCCACAGATCCGTCTCTCGCTGGAATTCACTTTCGGGCATAAGGTTGGGTTTCGGTCTTCGTTGTGAAGAAGATTGCAAATGAAGGAACGAGAGTTGGTGGAAGCGGGTGAAAAGCGGGGCGTAAGCATTCTAGTATATAATGTTAAAAAAGCGATAAATACGGATTGAGAGATTGGGAAGGCAGAACCCACCATCGAGCGGTCAGGAACTCCGGCCCAAAGACTTATTGCCACCATTTCCCTCGGCAACACAGTCACTAGCTCCAGCACCTTCGTTTCCGTCATGGTGCCCATGCGCACACCGAGTGTCCGCAAGCCCGGGATTCCGATAGTTTTCGGTGTCGGTTCTCGTTGCGAATTAAAACCCGATGAGAAACTTGCGATAGCACCGAAACTTGTACTAGCAACTGATCCCGACATGGAGGAAGCTTTGTGATCCAGTTCAGAGTTTACATGTGGAGGTGTTCCTCGTAGAAGAGCTAATACCATGTGCCATGGGCAGCTTCCCAAATCCAGCCGTCTGAGATGCGGCCTTCGGCGCAAAAACTCGATAACGCTGGTATAGAGTGCGGGTTCGTCTTGCCCAACCATCAGAAATCTATGGGGTTTTCGATAAAGTCCAATTCTCAAGCTGATTGAACTCACCGAAACGACTCAAGATGAGGCAAAAATGTATGCTGGTCTTCCCCGTTGGGACCGGGTATGACTTGATCACCACCGAAAAGTACTGCAGCCTTGGCGGGCTCTTCCATTGTTCCGTGTAGGGTCAAGCTTCGCAACCCCCCCGCAGCTCCGAGGATTCTTCCTAGGACATAATGGGAAATGCGAGTGTCGACCAGGTCCAAATGGGTTAAACGACTGATGGCGTGGCTCTGAAAAGCCATATCCCAGGAATGAGGTCGAGCAAGATAAGCAGCAAGCACAAGATGTTTGAGAGTGGGAAGATTGGTGTTTAGAAGAAGCGGAATTTCTGACATGGGAGCAAATCCGTCGTCATCTTCTGCTCGGAGAGTGAATTTACGGAGGGAGGTAAAAGAGGATATTCCAATAGCATCAAAATGCCAACCTCTGTGAGAGAATGATATTAGCGAAATAAACAGAGAACAGCTTGAAAGTTGAAACCCACATTAGTCCCAAGCCATGTAAACCGCTATGACTTTGTAATATATCCTGTATCGTATCCGCCCGTAATTCAGGATATCCTATCCATTCAAAGTCTTGCAAGGCCTTGAACTCCGGCAAAGCAGTCCGGAAAATTCGCATCATCAGATCCAGCATGTCACCCTCTTCGTAGGCCCAATGCAACCTCAAACTCTTTACTCTTCTGGCGAAAACTGGATCATTCTTGGCACGATCGAAGATATCCAGTCCTTTGTTCAAATTATCTTGGTCTTCACCAAAATATAAGTCTAGGGTGTGAAAGATGATGCGGACGGCGATCTCTCGATGAAAGGGTGAGAGAAATAGCCAAGTACGGAGGTGATAGCGGGGTATATGGTATGCTATGCGTTCCCAAATTTCCGGAGGGGCACGTTGAGATGCAGGTGTGTTGGATATAAATTTCGGCACCTATATGGAGGCATCAAACAAAACTATGCCCAAGTTATGGGCGTGTACCTACCATCTTACTCCGGCCAAGTAGATGTTGTATGTCTTTATTCGAAGGATCAAGTTTCAATACAGCTTCATAATCTGCAGAAGTTTAGACAGTGGATTGACTAAGTGACAATCACTCACTACTCACCCTGCTGAGCTTTGGCGAGTAAACACTCCCCCTCAGCCTTCCGAGCCTTTCCTCGGGCTACCAGGGCCCTTACAACATCTTCCACTGGCAAATTTGGTGTGCGCAGATACACATCAAAGTAATTTTCCACTTGTGCTCCATATCTAAGAATGAATAAATATTTAGCCGGTAGCAAGTTCCTCAGTCGAATAGACGCACTGTCCAACGGCAATTAGGGCGAGGGCGGTATCCAACAGAAAAGTTGCTTTTTGAGTGGGCACTAGATTTTGTAGGGCATCAAAAACAGTGCTGGTCAGCTCGTCCCGCGGCGGCGGTGTCATTGATGTTATCGACGTGGATGTAAGTATCCAAACAAGGCTAACAACAGCGCTTAGCTCTTAACGCTGACCCTAACCCAAGTTGCCCCAATCCTTTCACTTGCAAACGCAAGTTATTATCGAAGTGACTTGATCATCTATCCTCTTGAAAACTTCGGTGTGCACCTTGTTCCTTCATCAGCTTAACCGAAGTTTCTTATCTGGTTTCTCCGATTTTTCCCAACCCAACAGACATGAACCGACAAGGTAAGTTGCTTGAAAATCGCGGTCCTGAGCCACAAAGTGAAACACCGAAAATTACATTGCAGGCCAGACTCAACAGCGACCACCAAATATTGCACCCAATCCCGCACTCACGGGTCAGTATCGGTCGCCATATGCATATGGATTACAGCCACCTCGGACAGTAAACGTTATGCAAGGAGGATTTGTTCCGGGACTGCCTACGAATAATCATCGAGCAGCGACGCAGCAGACATCTCAGGGTATTCTACCTCCGCCAACATTTATGCAGCAACGAGGGCAGAACAATTTCGGCTTTGGAGGGCCTTTAGGCCAGCACCAATCGGTCCAACAGTCACAGCTAAATGGAACCTCAAATTCATTACCTCCACATTTATCCCAAACTCCGAGTTTAGGAAACTCTGCACCGTCTGTATCATCTACGAGCGAGCTTGGTCTTGATCCTAATGACTTCCCGGCCCTCGGCTCCACTTCCACGAACAATAACAATGGGAATGGGAACAACAATGGAAGCGTAGCCAGTAGCGTGACGACGAGTTACGCAAGTCAGGCAGGAACTGGAATGGGGGGGTCAACGCCAGCGATCAGCGGAACAGGGGGTACAGCTTCAAACCAGACGAGAGATTTCACGCCTGATGACTTTCCGGCGCTCGGTGGTCAGTCACAATCGCAGAACAACCAAGACTCCTCTCTTCCTCATCCGCCTGGTCTCAACGGTTTCGACCAACAGCATCGGCAGAATCTTCTAGGCACTTTACAAGGGACACCGGGCATGTTGAATTTGGGTCCACAGGGGAGGAATGCACACACATTCGATGCAGACAAGCAGCAACAGCAACGAGTGTGTTATCATTATTTTTATCTATCAGACATTTGTTTGAACGTGTAAACCGTTTTCAGAAACTGTATCAATCAGCACACGCCGCGTGGAATTCTCCGAATACGCCCAATGCACAGGCACAACCCACCAGCGGCCTTGGTGCATTCGCTGCTACGCAACAGCAAAATGGAACACATCCATCACAACAAAATCTTTCATCGACACATTTGAATGCGCCTCCGAATTTACCACCCCCGCTGCTTCCAGCAGGGAACAATCTAAATGGCCCCGGAGCAGCGACGACACCAGCACCGTATGGGTCAAATGGTCTCGGCGGTCTTGATACACAGCAGTTAAATGCCACTACCGTGAATCCCAACCCGCCAAATCCGATCCCAAATCCAAACGCGACACCTAACCCACATCCGAACTCGACCCAGAACTCGTTACCCAATTCCACAGCACATGTACATCAGCATCCCCAAACTCCAGCACAACAGATACTGATGAGCGCTGCGGATCGATGGGGACTTCTAGGACTGCTCGCAATGATAAAAAACGCCGGGTCGGACTCCGATCAAGCCTTGAGCAGTGTTGGGACAGATCTGGGCACGATGGGCCTGGACATGGGATATGCAGGGTCAGTATAACCACTTTTGAGGAATTCAATCTGGATTATTGAAATCTCTTTCGTTGTGCCAGGAGTTTATACTCGACCTTCATTACACCATGGGCAGATCAGTCTGCAGCACATACAGTTGAGCCTGATTTTCATCTCCCAGCGTGTTACAGCGTACAACCACCGCCACCGGGCCCTGGAAAAGTGACGGCGTTCAGTGATGAAACGTTATTTTTCATGTTTTACTCGTCACCTCGCGATGCACTTCAAGAAGTCGCTGCGCAAGAACTGTGAGCATTCATTCGTTCTTAGGTTTTCAATGTCGTTCACTGATACCCCTGTTTCTTATCCTCCGCGATTCAAAAGATACAACCGGAACTGGCGATTCCACAAAGAGCTCCGACTCTGGATAACGAAGGACAATGGCTCCAACCCTTCGACCAAGGTTCCTGGCGGAGAGAGTGGACAGTACACATACTGGGATCCTGAAAACTGGACGAAAGAAAGGAAGGATATGACTGTCATATATGCGGAACTGGAGGAAAAGAATGTCCCTGCATTTATGCCCGGGACGGCTCTGATACCTGCCCCACAACCCACACCTGGACTAAGTCAGAACCTACAACAACCTGGGCACCAGAATCAACCTCCCCAGAGAGGATCGTTCCAAGTTGGCGTGGCTGTCTGAATAGTCCAAGGATGAGGTATCCTCTTATTGTCTCTCGACTGCTTCGTGTGTCCAGCAACCAGTATACCGATGTTCGTTTGCTTTTGTACCGCTCCTGTCGCTTCTGGCATTCTCTTGCATCTGTGATTTTCTGTCTTCTTCGAACTGTGTATTACAAAGTTGTTCTCATATACGCCTTGGCATCCCCCATTCCTTATCTTTCTTCCTGCAGCTCCACCTCTCCTCATCATAGCCTTATTATATATTCTACGATGAAATGACTTCATACGTCCGTGATTTGCTTTGCATAACGTCGATTGAAAGCCGCTTTTCTGACGCTGCGGGGAAATACATGTCGAGATCTAACTTATAGACAGGCTGATCATCGAACAGCTGAAGACAGCTGAGCTTGTATTTTCTAACTCCTGAGTACTACTGCCGCTGCAACCAAATGAAAGCATACCGGCCTGGTATATAATTCTCTTTCCCAAAGATTTATAACGCCGCTTCCTTTGATCCTTCCATATCCTTCTTGGCCTCTCAAGTTGTCTCCAGATATGTCTGGTACCCCACCGGCAACGTCAGAGCACTTTTATCTACCACCGCTTGCTAGGGCAGCACACGCTGGACACGTTAAAAGATGTCTTCTAGGTCTTCCTGATAGCCAGGTCGATTTGGATTCGGGAAGGTGTTCTTCTCGTCTAGTAGTTTTTGTTGGTCGCTCAACAATTTCACAGAATGGCGATCGCGTTTTATTGCTTAGGAAGCTTGGATCTACTCAAGATGTTACAAGACAAGACATCGCAGACAGATCGAGAGTCCTGGAAAGAATGGATATGGGAGCAGCAAACGCGTATGGATGGATCACTCAGTCTCTATCTATCATGTTGATTGAAACCGTTCAGGCGGGAAGTATGGATCAGGCTTCAGGCCTAGTCCTTTCATGGCAAGCTCGATGCCTTCTGAGGGGAGTCGCGATGAAATATTCTGCGCTTCAAACTGACATGGATCCGAATACACAGACAGCTAGATATACAGATTATGACACGCCTCATATTATCATGACATATACCGCGCTTCTCACCCTTGCAATTCTCCGAGATGATTTTTCTCGGCTTGAAAAGCAGGGGATCCTGTTACTACTGAAGGCATGCCAGCGGAAAGACGGCAGGTGAATTGATTAGCCCATGTAAGAACTTGGATTCATTTATAATCCTCCGGACAGTTTTTCGACAATACCAGGAAGTGGAGAGACCGACCTCAGAACACTTTATTGTGCCTTTGTGATCAGTCATCTATTAAATGACTGGTCTGGCGTAGACGTAAACCGTGCGCTGGCCTTCATCGCATCCTGTCGAGTAGGTATCTCTGATTTTCCTCGTTATCACTGTTCAAATCGACTTCCAGTCATACGAAGGTGGATATGGCCAATCCCCGTACTGTGAGGCGAATGGTATGTACCTTACTTGACTTTTACATACTGACACCAACATTTCGTCACGGATCGTAGGAGGGACGACGTACATCGCCATGGCGGCGATACGTCTTGCGCCTTCAAATTCTAATTCCCTTAGCCTTTCCGAAATACGCAAAACGATAGATTGGGCAGTACACAAGCAACACCGGTCGGGTGGGTTCTGTGGAAGGACCAATAAAATTGCCGATGCGTGTTATTGCTTTTGGATAGGAGCATCTTTGAAGGTTGGTTCTGGTCCCTTCATAATCTAACTGCGATTTGAACCGATTTCGATGACTTTAATATGCGTTCAATAGATCCTCGGCGCAGGAAATCTGGTAGACTCTCGATCCTTGGCCTTATTCTTAGCCAGCTGTCAGTTTAAATTCGGAGGCATCGCTAAGGCTCCAGGGGAGCATCCTGGTATGCGTTCTCTTGTGATTTTCTGGTTATCTTTTTCGTTGAATTGTTGATCGTCTCTTCAGACCCTTATCACACTTATCTCTCCCTCGCAGCTCTTTCGATGTTTCCTCCACCACAGTACGATAACGATGCCAATAGCTCGACATGGGCCTTTGAATCACTCGACCCACTCATCAATGCCAGAGGGGAGACAGCGGATTGGGCGAGAAGCCATATCGCGATTCAAGGATAGGACATGCTTAGAAATAAGTAACAGGGACGGAATAGAGACCTAGAAAGACACGACGAAAGGCTTTTGTATATTTAATTTTCAGTGATCGTACAATTCGAAACGAGTTTTTGTTATTTCAGGCGACTCTGTATGTATAGACATGGCGAGTGAACGCTAGCAATCATAACCCGCATCATGTTGGTGGTAGATCACTGAAATTGTATTTTCTGGTATACTTCATCAATATTCATATGCGCTTGGACAAATCCGTTCCACTGAAGTCCAACTTCTTGCATCTCAAATAGGAATTTCCTAATCTCTCTCAAGTACATACACGCCGACTCCAACTTCAAGAAGTGCAATTCATAGACCAACGGAAACCATGAAGGTCACATCAGCGAAGGCGTATCCAGCCTCAGATGACCTTAGAGAAGTTGGAACCTATTGGTACAGGAAGTTTATGAATACTCGAATAATATAAAGCACAATAGAATCAAATAGAGAACAATCGCCCATTGTAAAAAAAAAGCAGGAGGAAAGAGGAGGAGAGGGGACGAGGAAGAGAGAAAGACTTCGGAAATTGATCCGGCGGATAATCAAGCCCGTCTTGGCGGCGATGCTTGCCGCGGCGTATGAGGCAACTTTCAATCCGATGCTCATGTCCGCTCAATAGATTCATTATTCCTCTTTGCTGCGCTCACGCCTTTTCCTCCTCTCTTCTGCAAGCGAATTTCAGTTTTTAGTTATAGGGACCAAAAATTCGGAAACCTGGCGATGTTAGGAATTCGCCTGTCGAACCGCTTCTACTTCTTCGCCATTCTGCTCTTCTGCCTCGTTGTAATCGGTCTGTTGGGACATACAGGACACTCTCCGTCTCAAGTGCTCTTTTGGCCTGTATTCGAGGAATCTGGTGGAACGGTCGAGGCGGGACGACGGCCACCAGAACCTCCAACCTGGACTCGGTTGCGGCAGTGGGAGGACAACCTGCCCCAGCACGATCTTTCGCTTCCTTTTCCTGAAGGTAGCACAGGCCGGTATGTCAAATTTGACAATCAAATCAAGATGCTAGGATGGAATAATGTGCTCAATGAAGTGTTCGTGTTTCTTCAGCAACCTCTTGCTAAATTGTTCACTTCTTTCCTTAGACTTATGAATGCGCACCTTTCTTATGTCTCTGGTCGATCCTATGTGTTCTTGGATTATTACTGGAAGCCTGAATACTATTCTTGGCCCAAATCCCAGTTCCGCAGTAACCCGCCACGAACGCCTCTCAATGCGCTCATATCAGGACCAGCGGCCGGTGGCCCTTGGGACGAAGGCGATGAGGCCCCGCGAGCCATATCTGAACGTTGGTACGACATTGTCTGTCCTTACGGAGAGCGACGGTTCATGAACACTCGGGAATTCAAACCACCAGTTTGGAACTCTCCTGGAATCGACATGCTCAACCATTGGTCACAAGTTTTACGAAATGCACCCGAGCGTTGTATAGAGATACAGGGTGACGATGAACACGACATGTTTCCACAGGTCTTTGATTTGTGGATGTGGGGGAGCACGCGCGTCCTCTCATTATGGGAAGAGTTTTCAAAATCTCCGGTGAGCAGGTTGCTACAGACTTCACCTGTCGTGAAGAGCGCAGTCGATGCAAATGAATTCCTCTTCTATCCTCGCGGTTCACGTCTCCCTTTATCAAATCTTGGACCCAGGGACCCCTACGACAGGATGATGGCGATACATATACGGAGGGGAGACTTCAAAGAGGCGTGCATGCGCTTAGCATACTTTAACTCAACGTTTTATAGCTGGAACCTTTTGCCACAGCTTCCAGACTCTTTCGAAGTTCCACCGTCACTGGTATGGGATAGCTCAGAATACAATCAGTATTACGTCGAGAGATGTTTTCCCGAGCAGCAATCTATCGTGGCCAAAGTTCGAGAGGCCCGAAAGTCGTATATCTCAGCTGCAGGAAAGGACGAGAAGCGAACGCTCGATGTTATGTATCTCCTCACGAACGCGAAAGGTAACTGGCTGGCAAAGATGATAGCTGACCTTAAACAGGATGGATGGCATACGATAGTTACAAGTAAAGATCTAGAGTTGAATGCGGAGCAGACGGATGTTAATATGGCGGTGGATATGGACATTGCGAGGAAGGCTGCTGTGTTCATTGGCAACGGTGTAAGGATCCGCAATGCTCTCTTTGGTGTCTGAATTGACGTTTTTACCTTTTCTAGTGGTCGTCGTTCACTAGTAATATCGTTCATCGAAGATTGGTGGATGGAAAAGAGCCACTCAGCACACGATTTTGGTGACTCACGACCGCATAGGCATAATGGTATATAGTGTTCAGTTATCTTGGTTTAATTCATATCTCGGAGACAAATACTCTTCACGGGTGGTAGAGTGTGTAGCGCATGTGGCACACAATCACCTTGCTTGGTTAGGTTTCTTGCCATCTTTAATTGACGCAGTTTATCGTTCCATATCACAAATATGCCACAACACGGCTTCCTTCTCAGCTCAGCAATTTGTCCCCCCATCTGCTCATTGCTCTGACTATCTCAATGCCCGACCACCTCATCTGAATATTGAAAGTATAGTTTGTGTTTTGTGTTATGCCTTGCGGCCTGTGCTCTAGAGTCTAATGCCATGTACTTGTTGAAGGTGCCTATTGTAAGAAATTGTACCTAAGCTCACTATTCTGTCCATAAACATCCTTGTATGCTATTGTGAAATCAGCCAATCCAGGCCTCGGTACGAGCTCAGTAATAGACTGATGGATTACCACAGATGCAGCCAGTTCAGGAGCTTACAAAACAAATTGAAATTGAGAAACAAAATATATACGTTTAAGGATTCCGAGGAAGACAGGAAGTATTTAGTACAAAGAACAGAGCAAATAAATACGGTCACTACAAGGTGCAGCCAGGGTGCGGCCGGAAAAACAAGTAACGATGCATTGAAGGCGGAAGTATACCGTAGTGCACGGAATAAGAAACGGAATATATGACCGAGCTAAATCGAGATGGGAAACAAATAATCAGGTTGAGATCACATCCATCGCGGGGCCAAGGAGTAGTTCCAAAGCGGGACGGTATGTGACACAACAACCGATGCCTGGCGTGCAATGTCCCGTTATACCAAAGGTGTAACGATATCAGAAAATGTGCATATAGAAGCCAAACAACAATTGAGCAAGTGTTGAGTCAAAGGCTTGCAGCATTGCCAGCATCTAGGTGGTAAGGGAAGGGATAGATGTTCATCGCTACCGTGAATAAATAAGAGTCAGCAAAAGAGAATTGGCCGATGTAGAAGAGACACGAGACATACAAAGCATACCGTGCATTTACTTGACTTGATCAGATTCATCACAATCGCAAGGTGTACCGTTACCAACGGAACCTTTTCCACAATTGTGACACCTATGGGCCCCATTACCGACGCCGATTGTTTTCGCGACAGGTGTAAGACCAGCATTTTCGCGGTGGAGGCTAATGATATGCCTGCCAAGATCATGCTTACGACTGAAAGCACGATGACAAGAAAGGTGAGGGCAAACATATGGTTTTTGTCTGTTTGGGTTGTGCGTGTCCATGTGAGTTTTGAGGTTGTATGCCCTGTCAAAAGCTGCGCAAAGATGATGATCAGATAAGTATCTTGCTGCGGCTAGTGAAGTAACAGGTCTTACCACGGGTACAAACGGTACACTTGTACTTCTTCTTACTGGAATTGTCTTTGCGAGAATCATCCGTAGAAGAGGGCGCTAGTGCAATCGAGTAGACTCCTGAAAGATGAGAGTCGATCTGATCAACTGAAACAGTAGCGCCTGCGATTGTGCCATAGCTTGCCAACTGGTTCAAAAAGTTGGGGGTGGATGGCCCATAGTCAGAAAAACTGGACTTGCTATCGTATGATTTTGTGGCTATCAGCGCGAGGTCAGATGGATTGTAAGGAGATGCAGGCATCGTGTTGAATGCGGTAGGATCGATGCAATCCAATCTGCCTAGAGTGATACCTTGGCTTTGGGCCTGGGTATCAACGCTAAACCTCTGATACTCCGAGTCGAGGTCGAATGATAAGGAATAATCCGAAGCGGCATCGCGAGACGAGTATCCGTAAGAGGACTCGGAATGAGTCGAATGTGACTCATAAGAGGACTCAGAGGATGAGAAAGTGAACGCAGACGCAGGTCCACGGAGACTGAATGAATCGGACCCATGAAACTGAAAGGCCCGAGGGTTGGTAGTTTGCACCGTAAGAGCATCAAAGTTGATTCCTTCGAATAGAGCGTCGAGATCAGAGTCGAACTCATCTGTGGTGGGCGCCACAACATCCTCCATAGAGTTCATGAATGATAAAGACTGGTCAAGATCGGTTTTAGTATACGCTCCCTCTTGGGCGTACACGTCAAACGGACCATCGATAGTATACGCAGTATGGGTAGACATGATGAAGATGGATGCAGGAAAGAGAGAGTCAATGTGGGGGAGTTTTGAGAGAAACAGCTTTTAACAGCATTTGAAGCGGTCTGTCACCCCCGTTTCTCCCAGCTTTGCTGCGGAATAGATATGTTAGACGCCCAGATGTGACATCACAAGCGCTTATCCTTCCGAATTCGGCAATTTGGATTTGTGTTGGTTCATTCCAAAGTAAATAACTAGCTTCTTTCATTTTGACTTTGGTCTCATTTTAAGAAGGAATTCTATAACTTCAAACTTACGCTCCCTACGACCTCGTGCTCACGAAAACGACGCGCTGTACGACACGGTTAGCCCCTAAGGATCATTTACCACTGGACAGCACTTCAGCAGAGCTGAATGAACATAGAAACATCTCGGTAAGAGCCTTGAAGATATGTAGGAGTTTGCCGGGAATGACACCGTCCTTACTATAGATTCCTTCATTCCGAATACTTATATCATGCCCAGCTTGCATCTTCTTGCACGCATCTACAGAAAGAAAACAACGTCCTTAGACCATGATGGCTCCGGGCCAAGAGTTACCCCTGAACCAAGAGCTTCACAGAACGAAAATACTTTACCCAGATCCAGCTTGTCATCTCCTTTTGAACGAAGAATTCACCCTAATCTTAACGCTCTTGCAGCAGAGTTGTCGTCTGACATACAGGATACCCGTCCTCCTAACGAAACCTCTTTTCCACCACCAGCTTCTCCTTCGCAAATTGACGTCAACATACCTTTCCTTCCACTGACTCCTTGGATTCGAACCCGACATAGCTCTTCCAGCGCTAACCCGACCACGACTCAGATTGCCAACACCTCGACGCGAACTCAGGAAGAACGATCTGAAGTCCAAGAGCACATACCATCGAACAGGTCTATAGATCCTACTACTTCTCAGAGTAATGCCAATCCCACACCTTCCAACGAAAGACCAGAATCCCGTACAAACCGCATATTCAATCGTTTGACTGGATTAGGGGCCCGTGCCTCACCCACCCCGAATCCGCCCTCAGCTTGGAATACTTTTGGAAGAAGAAAGTCTCGTAGACACAACTCTATACCTCACGCGTCAGATTTTGGTGCCAGCCCTGACGTCTCGCTTTCCAACTCACAACGTTCGCGCGCCAGTTCCAATCAAACGTCCCCCTGGTACGCCACAGAGACATCTGCAGATACCTCCGGTTCATTGTCCGTGTCCCTGCAGTCAATTTCTCAGTCACATTCTCGATCCCAATCCCAATCCCTGTCCTTTCAAACTCCATCGCATACTCAGCATCCTCATTCCCCACCTTCCTCAGCATTTACCTTCGGCCCTGTTGGTCCTGTATATGGTCAAACTCCGTCTCCTCCTGTTCTTTCGACATATCCAGCATTGCGCTTTAGTCTATTCAGTGGTGAGAGTGGAGTAGTACTAGACGAAAACGTTGATGAAGAGCATGATAGGACGGGAAATACGAGCTTTGATAATAATATAGAGCCTTTATTTCAACCCCGGACTTCCGTGTCTATGCCCTCTTTGTCCCAGCATCGACTGTCCGAATTGGCTTCGCATCATAGCCTTTCGTCTGGTGCAAGACCAATCAGACCGCGGGTGCAAGATATTTTCCCGGCGTCATCATCACTGGAGCAGATTTCCCAAGGCAGACAAAGGAGAAGGTCGGATAGAAGTTCGAGAGCAAGTAATAGCACCAGGCGCAGACGTAATACAAGAAAAGTTACTCGACATCTAGAAGGACTTCCTCTAGCTTCGGCTGAAGTCCCCGGTTTGTCCGAGACATGTGCAAGCAACGTGAGTTACGAAGAGATGTTTTTACCCGTTCTCGGAAAGTTTACACGAGTTATGCTTTCTGTCTCCTCGTGTTGATCCAATTATGTTCCTTGGTCACTATCTCGTTATAACACTGCTTGCTGCGTCAAGTTACTGATATCGTCCCCCAAATCATAGGTCGAAATGTCGGAAGCATTAGGGACTCCGTTTCTCATACAGCAAGGGCCAGCGCTAGTGAGGCACTCAGCGCCTGGTAAGTTGATACCTTCGAGCGAAAACGTGTTTCTTTGCTGCGTTTTGTTAGCCCTTCACAATGACTTCATTGGCATCTATGCCACTGCAAAACGTGTCGATGGATATGATATATAACTGGCTAATCACTTTTTTTTCTTGTTATCGTAGACGCGACATCTAATTTATCGACCAACATCAACACTCCTTTTCCCCAGAACCATTCGATACATTCACGTATTGTCCACACTATGCTTACCGGCACTACCACTCCTCCACGGAGAAAGTCTCCCTCTTTGAGAGGAAGCGGAGATGAACAAATTAACGCGAGGAATCCAGGTAATGGAAAGGGCAAAGAAAAAGAAGTTTATACTTCTAGAACGTCCCCTCTTCGAAACGTGACTCCGCCTGGTGCGCTGGCAGAGTTTCCCATTCCATCTCTTCCTATTTCACGACCTTCAACTCCCCTGCGCTCTGCTATGGCATCAACATCGAGATTCAAGGCGCCGTCGCCTTCTCAGCATATACCTCTAGCGAACTCGACTTCTGTTTCCAGCCTGGGCAAGGGAAAGCGGAAAGCGGATGAAGTTGATGGTGGTGGGGAAGATCTCACTGTCGGTGGTCCTACCCTGCCACTGGAGACTACCCAGCAGCAGCGTAGATCTGTGCATAGAGCAACCTTCGCTGCTGAGCCGAGAAGTACGTTGCGTATGGGATTGACGTGCTTTGAATCATTGACGAGAACCTTGACAGAGTACCGCACGTCAACCTCTTCTCATACTACATCACATTATGCCAGGCGAAAACGTGCTCGTTTGTCCAGCGGAACCAGTCTCGCTACAAATCAGACTGTTTCCGAGCACGGTGTTCGTGCCCCGTCTCGTTCTGAAAGTTCTCGTCGGCGTGCACCGTACGCCGCTTCGTCTGCGTCTCGAGGATCGCATACTCCCACCCAATCTCTTCGAGCTGGGTCCGCTTCGTCTCACCAACAACACAGCGTGCGGTATGTAGGCCAACCCCAGCGTGCACGACATCCGTCCTCCACAAGGGGGTCGTCAAAGCGAGGCAGTGTTTCGCAAGTGTCCATACCCATCTCGGCCCTCATATCTCCCCATGCACCATCAATATCTCTGCATCCCTCCACAACTTACCACATGCGTGACCCGAGAAAACCCTCACCGGTCCACCCGACATCTTGGTCTTTGTCATTTCCCTCTGCGGGTCCGCACGAGAGAGGCTGGCTGGCGGGATGCTTTAATGCACTGACATGGGGAAGATTCTTTGAACGAGCGTTTAGGAGACAAATAAAGGGAAAAGAACAGGATATAGAAGGACAGACGCATCAGCAAGAGGAAGATGGTGGTAAATTTCCTGTTGTAGACTGGACCGAAGGAGGAGGAAGCCCCATACACGCTTGGTTGTTCTTTCTGGGATTCATTTTGTTCCCCGTATGGTGGATTGCCGGGCTCTTTATTGGTATACCGAAAACTAGGACTCTTGAAGGAAGAGGACTTGAGGAGAAAAGTGTGGTTCTGGACGATCCACAGGTAGAACATGGTACGCTCTGAGCGAGCCTTCTAAGAATCATGCTGATTTGATTTGTACATCTAGACGCAAAATCCTGGCGGACTAGATGTCGTGTCATGGCGGCTATTTCTCTATTTACTTACATACCGTTCATTGTTCTCGTTGTCGTATTTGTACCACGATCTGAAAGATGAATCGTGTTCGCCTCTTCAAGCTACATCCTTCCGGGTGGGATGTATTCCCGATGTACATTCTTTTCGTATATTATTACCAGTCGTTTCTTACACTCTCCCCGTTGCTCGTTGTAGTCGTTCCATTCTTTTGTAAAATTGACAGCAATTCTTTGTCCATTTTTTTTCTTTCTTCGACATTCTTATGCCTTTCTCTCTTTATTGCATGGATCAGGAAACCGGAACCCTCATATCGATTATGTTTATGCCATTATTATTTCTGCTTTGAACCTTCGTCGGCGATTCCGATGCACAGACGACCGCCTAGAGTCACAGTCTGAGTGATAGTCTTAAGGTTGAATCTACGGGGCTGACCCGATCCGAATGTATTACGTACAACTAGAACCATCATTCTCTTTCTCCTACGGACGTGGCCTTTTCACCTTCTTTCGCCGTTTTCTAGCTGGAGACAGGAGACAGCGTTTGGTGTAGCTTGCCACAATCCACAATCAATCCGCTTGTTTCCAGGTCGATGGCACTCTTCGCTGTACTTCCAGCAGCTTTTCTAGCTCTCGTATTTGCTTCGCCAGTGCTCTCTGCTCCCAGTTCTTCCAACGATCCTTTCAGAGCTCTTTCTGCGCATGCTACTAGACAACCCGAGCCTCCTGTGTGCTGCTTGACACCCTTACCTCCTATTGAGCCGGTGGAAGATGAAGTTTTGTTATCTTTTGAGGAATGGAAAGAGAAGCAAGCTGCACTGCAGGCGTCCGCTAAAGTCAATGGAAAAGGAGAACCACCTAATCACACCAATGCAGTTGCGGGAAATTCTGCGCACGTCAATGCAGGTCGTGAAATACGCTCATCTGCTGCCGAAAATGCTGTTCCAGTAACACCTTCCGAAATGCTGGACGCCTTAGACTCTGACAATGCGTCAGAGAAACTTTCTCCACACTTCCAGGTTCCCCTCACGGATAGATTTAATTATGCTGGCACGGATTGTTCCGCGCGCGTTCATCTGGCACATCGTTCGGCCAAATCGCCTGCATCCATACTGTCTTCCAAGCGTGATAGATACATGCTCAGTCCGTGTAACTCTCCAAAGGAAAAACAATTTGTGGTCGTGGAGTTGTGTGAAGACATTCGCATTGATACTGTGCAGCTAGCCAATTTTGAATTCTTCAGTGGGGTGTTCAAAGATTTTACGGTCAGCGTTTCTAAGACGTACAAGGAGGATTGGATTGTTGCAGGGACCTATAGAGCCAAGAATATTCGCGGTGTTCAGGTGTGTTCATCTGCCTGATTTGCTTTGGATTCTTGTTTGACATCTCGTCTTGATGCAGTCTTTTCACCCGCCGCCGTCCTTGACCGGATTCTATCGCTTCATTCGCATTGATTTTCATACCCATTATAGCAACGAGTACTACTGTCCAATATCCCTTCTTCGCGTGTATGGTCTAACTCACCTTGAAGAGTGGAAATGGGAGATTTGGGAGGCAGAAAGTAGAGCCAAGCGCGAGGGACTCCTGGAGCCTTCTGCTCCTCGGCAAGTCATTGCAGATGAATCTTTGTCGATGAAGTTGCCTTCGTCTATAGCGTCGGAAGCGAGTGTCAAGCCCCCCGTAGACAACGGTGCAGCATCGGTTCCTCCATCCAACAATAGTTCTTCCACTACCACGGACGATGAGGGAGCCTTATCGTTCGCCGCTCAAAAATATTCCACCTCTCACCGTACGCTGCCCGCTTTTGCTTGGGAACAGTTTGCCACAGCCAATACAAAGGAAACTGAGGTGCCCCAGGACAGTCACGAATTACATACCATCACAAATGATCATATTGCCATTTCCACGTCCACAACTTTATTTTCACCTTCTCCTCTCATCACTCTTCCCATCGAACTCTCAAATACCACCGTCATCTCATCTACTCAAATGGCATCTCCAGTTGCCTCTTCTTCCTCCATAGTTTCTGTCATGCACCAAGTCCACAATCCTCCACCTGCAATGGGGGGCGAATCTATCTATCGTAATATAATGAATCGGCTCACTGCACTGGAAGCCAACCATACGCTATACGTCCGTTATGTCGAAGAACAGACAAACGGTGTGCGAGAGATGATTCGCCGACTAGGTGAAGACATTGGTCGCTTAGACGGAATTGTGAGTTTTACAACATGACTATTCTCACAATGTCCACTAAGCGTCACCAAGGGAAAAGCGCAAGCTCAGAAATTCCAACGCAGCTTAACAGATTGGGAAAATCAACGGAAGACGCTAGAGGATGAATATATGGAACTCGTTGCTCGAATTGAGTATCTTTCAGACGAGATCGTGCTTGAGAAACGTCTTGGAATCGCCCAACTCTGCTTACTTCTCGCTGTGATTGTCTTCATTGGCCTGACCAGAGGTTCGAGAGGGGAGTCTCCTCCAGAACATGGGCCCCTACGGTTCAATCGCTCTATGCGTGATTGGGGTCGACGCCATCTGAGCTTTAGTGGTCAATGGGCCAGCCGATTTATATCGAGCTCTAGTCCTAGTCGAAGTCCACCCAGAACTGCCAAGTCACCCAAGGGAAATTTTGTTCCGCAGCAAAGTATGTCTTCACTTTACTTTCGTGGTGCCACTCTTGATGTCTTTACTGCTAGTAAACCTTGATGATGGGCGAGCCCCTTTTCCGACTCTCAGTGCACGGCCGAGAGGGGTCAAAAGCGCTTCATATGCAAAGCCCCACGTACCCGACCGCAAAGTTCAAAATGTCTACATCCACGCTCGGTCCAGATCTCGTACTCCCTCTCTCCCTCTCCGTACCGCACTTCCTCATAATCCGCGCATCGTCTCCCGCCCCACTACGCCTACTACTTCTATCACAACTGCCCTCCGTCCTCAGCTGCAGCGAGCAAATTCTCTCACCTCCAGTAACACTGGTTTACCTACGAGTGCCTCTTTCTCAGCAGTAGGACCTGTTCCCAAGAGCGCAAAGCGCTGGGCGAGAACTGCACATTTACACGAAGTGAAAAGCCCTGCACCCCTCATTGCTACCGCAAATAACAAGGTTGCGAAAGACGATAGTAAAAATCTGGAGAAGAAATCTTCAGAAGTAGTGTCGAACGCTCGTTCAATGACCACGTTGTTGACTACCCAAGATAAAGCTAAAAGCTTAGATGATTCAGACCTCTTTCTAGAAGCCCCTGGCCGTTCAACCAGGAGATCCAATCGGTACTCCTTCGCAACTTCGGATATCGACAAGCCAATGATTCCTGCAGGGAAACGTTGGACGTCATCTTCTGATAGCTCTTGTGACGGGGACGGCGGGGATCTATGGATCGACACTGACGCGACTGACACGAGCGTGGATGGAGATTCAGGTGGTTTCAGTGGGTTTAGTTTTGAAGAAGGTATGTGAAAGGTCGTTCGGTCCTGCGCTCGATGCATCATTGTATAACATCATCATTCCGGATTTTTACATAAACGTTATCTCACTAGTAAATAAGACCTTACATTTTCTACTGTTACTCCTCATCAAGCATTGCATAAAACTTCAAAAATTAGAAACCTGTATATTATTATTATGAATTGCATGATCATTGCATTCTGGACTGTGGCTCTTTGTTCATTTTATCAATTCCCATTTGTCGGGGCCATGGGATACTCCGTTGTGGTCTCGAGCTCTGAGCAGCTGAGTGGAAATCAGTTCAGAGGTAAGAGTGAATTTCAGATAAAGCTGTGATATTCTCCCTTGTGTGGCCAAATAATGTCCCCACATCCAACTGGATGTAATCAACGGGCTTAAAAACGTATCGAAACATGATCACGATGCGTTTCATTTTAGCGTTAACCTGAGCGACTAAGGCTAGTGAGGAGTCGAATCCAGAGGTAAGGAGAGTCCAGTCAAACTCTGGTGTTACAAACGTGAATTGTAAATGTAACAGTGAGGATAACAAAGAAAGGAGGTCGACGATTCTATAGATGGCCAGACAATTATCTTCACAGGTGAGGGAACAAGACTGCAGATGTGCGGACTCCTGAAAAACGTCCTCAAGGCCATTGAGCGCAGAAATGTTTGGTCTTTTGCTTGCATCTGAAAGACGGTCACGGATAGAATCATGATCGAGATACCACAAAAGGGGTGAATCAGCAAACGTATGCAGAATTAGAGATAGTAAACATACATACGCTTGAGTGTGAGCTGAAGACATTGAAAGTTCTTCCGAGGCCTGAAGAAGGATACCGTAGTCAGTGAGCTGATGGAACGGTAGCAAAAGGTCCAGATGACGTGGTAAGGATGTATCAAAATTTGAACATCCTTCTGTAGTAGATAGATATTGCAAGAACGGTAGTAACTCGGTTTTCGATAGGCATAAGAGCGATTATTTCAGCGTCGTTTGGGCCAGACTGGGAACAAGGCAGGAGAATAATATACCGTACTTTAGGCTCCAGATTTTCCGTCGTTGTCCGAAATAGCGTACTTTGGCAGCGATTTGGTGGTGGACCAGTGCCGAGCCAGAATTCGTTAAAAAAGGAGCGAGAGGAGGGGAGGGCAATGAGTGTAGCAATGTTATTAAGAAATTGCTCACGAAGAGTGTTAAGTCCGGGGACGGACGTGCACTGAAGAACATGCTGTGGAGATTCCGGGTGATAGGACGAGCTGTAGGCGCGACATTGTTTCATTGAGCGATCAGCAGGCTCGAGTGGGAGTATGCGGGTAGAGGCACGGAATGCCAGTGGAACCATATCCCGGTACAATGAATTGGTAAGAGTGAGACGGTGATTGGGTTTCAATACTCGCGCGAGGTAAATACGGAGAGTTCGTGGCTGATATTTTGCTGTCTCAAGTGATTCACAACAGCCTTGGAGGAGTGCAAGATGACTGCTACTGTTGATCTCACTCTGGAGAAAGTGGTTGCATTGCTGTGAGATGAACTTAATCAAGGTCAACATAGCCTACTCCAAGAACAGGGCAGTGCTGGGCAGTGGGAGGGTTTAGAGGGATTGAGCTAGGGAGATGACGGATTGCTCAGTCAAGATCGGATAACCGGGTTTCCCCGGTCCCGGGAGCGCAGGATTTGGTTTTAAGTATATACATACGTATGGGCACCTCTGATTGAGAATCATCAGGGTCATTGTTCTCTACGCATTGTTTTCTAAGAGCTGCTTTTCTCCCAATTCGTTGAATGTGTTGTGCTCAAAACCAAAGTGACCTTGTTCGTAACTCAGGTGGGCTCTTAGCTATATATGTTATCTTTCGGGTTCTTAATGTATGGACCTGCCAGAATTCCTGTCAAATCTAGACTGTTCTACATAATTTTGATTGTCTTTGTTCATCGTTCGAATTCCAATTGTTAGTATGTAACTCCAAAACATTATAATCTATGCATACCTTGTTCTTTTTGAAACCAGTTAAAAACTGCTTAGCAACGGGCTATTGAATATATCCTCGTCAGTACTTAAGTTTCAAAGCAAGGTTAGAACAAGCAACAATATCCCTTTGCGTTTCACAGTATCCCCTCTTTTCTTGACATCGGTATATGACTTGATTGTTGGTTAGTCTACCTACGTTGACATTTGTGTAAAGAACCAAATGCTGACGAAACATAGATCACTGTTAAGGAAAATTCTATGGAGCAGCCAATGATTATCGACTTGCATAAAGCAACTGGTATGCATGTACTTGCCTGTCATTACTGCTGTTAACCATACTAAATTCAAAGGTGAACTCACACTTGGTGATGAGCAAAGTAAGTCTATGATCTTTTTGGTCTACCTTTGTGCACTGAGTGTTGCTCTGTGCTGCCCCATATGCAGTCAAGACAATGAGTACCACTGTTAAAGCAGCTATATACAGCTACATGCAGGACTATCAGCCTGGGATGAACGAGTTGGCAAGAAACGCTATATCCACATCTGCAAAACCTGGGTAATGTTCGCCAGCTCTTGGGAGCATTTCCCAGCATTTCCCAGCATTCCCAGCCCCTAAAGCAGTGAAAGAAAGGGTACTGACTGGAGAGCACTGGAGAGCACTGGGAAGTGCTGGGAAAAGCTTCAAAAATTTTGAACTCTTTTAACGTAATTCACCCAACTATTCCACAGCTGGGAACAAAATACTTTCAAAAGTGCAATCATTGCGTTATCAGATCCATATTGGGTAATATTTACAAATATCGGGATGATTACGTATTTACTGTCCTGGTTATATCTGCACCTACTATCCCGATCCCGCACCCGCTATCCCGCTATCCCGCACCCGCTATCCCGCACCCACTATCCCGATCCCGCACCCGCTATTCTGCTATCCTGCTCCTGCTATCCCACTATCCCGCTATCCCACTACCCTGCCATCCCCACCATACCCGCTATTCATCTCACCAGGCCTGTCGCCAGACGACGCCTGCCTGCCACTGTATGCATCCACATAACTACTAGGCTGATAACAAGATATCGACAAATATTGGTGAAAGTCTTGCAAAAGGGGCACATATAAACAAATTTCTATAGGGAATCCGGTTTATTAGTCTGTGAAAGGGCGATTATTAGTTGTTGGTTACCTTCCAAGGTTATGAAAGGTCGATATGATCTGTTTGAGTCTTCCCTCTCTCCAAATTTGCCTCCAAACTGAAGCATTTTGTTAGCATCAAATTATCAACATCTTCGAAACCAACCTGAAACTAAAAGCCCAAGATCTCATATTCACGTTAAACTTAGAAGCATGATAAGGCTCCCTGAGCATGTTTATAATCATATCACTGTATAGCTTGTGGTACTCGAGGTTTGAGGCTGTAGTAAAATCGATATTCTTGGCTTTTGGACCATCTTCGTACTTGGAGATACAATATCGTATCTGTAATATCAATAGTGAATCAAAAGTTGAGGCGACTATAGGCAGAGTCAACTCAACAAGCATAGAAGCTAAAACAATTGCTCCGTGAGGAACCTCCGCCTTGAAATCATCTGGAAAGGTTTTCGCTAATGCTTTGTTACTTGTATAAAACAAAACCTTCACGACTTCTTTGAGACATGGATGTGCAAAATTATTAACCCGTCCCTAGTAATTTTGAAATCAGGTATCACTTGAGACAAATATTGAGAAATTTTACGTTGGCATCCCGTCCATCTTGCAAGAAAAAACTTTTCTCCAAAAGCTTGTTCACATAAGCTACAGTTAAATCGTTAAGTTGAGAGGCATTGAAACCAGTAGTTGGCTCTTGTTCTTTCGGCAATGGTAAACCATAGTGGCTAACCACCATAGGTTCCGCAAGTCTCTTCAGAGTATTTCTGAAACTACTCTGGCTTTTGTACAGCTAGGCGGTAGTCAATAAACTTGAGATGAAGATCAACGAGAAGACTTGCAAAAGTAATTATATCTTCGCGGTGCTCTTTGATGTAACCTGAAATACAAAGGATCAAAATTATGGAAAACCGACAAAGAAGTTTACAATAACTCACCTGCTTCAACATGAACACCCTTTTCTCCTCTTTCCTCTATTGATCGGTCTAGACAATTAGCAAGTAGTGTTTCATGATTCTCCATCGTCAAAAAAGGTCCTTGAAGAACCATAGTTCTATGCATAAATAATTGTGAGCCTGCAATTACTTTTTTCACTTGTGGCGTATAGAAAGAGAGTTTTGTTGGATCTTTTGTAGAATTAGACCTGCGTCCTAGACAAGATAGCCCATTCAGCATAAAGGTCAAAAACCTGGATAAACATACCTTTAGAAGCCTTTGAAGTGTTTGAACTATCCTGGTCTATTTTGTCCAGCCAAAATTATTTCCAGATTGAAAATAATTGATATAATAGAAACAAACCTTTTGATGATGAAGGAACAGCCAAAATAGGTGAAACAGGATGAGCTGGCAGATGAGATACTAGACGAGAAGGAGATACTGGACGAGAAGCTTGACGAGAAAGTGGACGAGATACAGAACGAGATACTGGACGAGATACTGGGCGTGAAACTGGGCGAGAAGCTGGGCGAGAAGCTGGGCGTGAAACTGGGCGAGAAGCTGGGCGAGAAGCTATACGCGATACTGGTCGCGAAATAGATCCTAATACTGTGTAAGTTACTTGTCGTCAACCTGGTTGAGAATAGAGTGCAAACTTTTATGAGCGTTGAATTCAGATTGGGGTACTGTAGAAGCATAGCCTATAGTAGGAAACATCAGAATACAAACTCAAAAAGAGCAAAACTACCTGCGTTTATATTCCCGAGATGTTAGAGTGACATCTTCTCCGTTATTATCGGCATCCTCATCCTCAGCGTCTGTGTTCTCATCATCCTCATCATCTGCATAACGATCATGTTCAAACTCAGCCAGTTCTTCGTTAATAAAGTCCTCTTCTGTAGTAGGAACATGGCTTTTTGAGTGAATCTTAAGAATTGCAGGGTTTGGAGGCTTCGGAAGATTTCGCTTTCTCTTCTTGAGGACTTCGGTTTCTCCCTCCACCTAGAGTTTATATTAGATAATTGGTTTAGACAGGCTAAAGCAAAAACGTACAACAGGTTCTGGCACCTTTTGGGTATCTGAGTGGGGGCTGTAAGCTTTCGTACTCAAAAATCAAAAAGAAACACATTCCTTTAGTCGCTCTTGAACCTGTTCCCTCTGAATGGAAACTTATTTGAGATTGTTCTTGACTTGGTATGTTGTCCACCGAAGAACTAGCATAGCCGACTTCTTTGTGGACCCCAACCAGAGCTTCCATATTCACACCATCTGCATGAGGAAAGGTGGAACCATCCCGCTGATATTCGTATCCACCTCCGTATCCACCTCCGTATCCACTTCTGTATCCACTTCCGTATCCCCCTCCGTATCCCCCTCCATATTCGCCTCTGTATCCACCTCCATATTCACCTCCGTATCTACCTCCATATCCACCAGTATATCCCCCTCTATATCCTCCCCCATCTACTCCCGGATAACCTTCTCCATAGCCTTGTACACCAGAAAGACTTCTTCCGAAGCTCATATTATGTCCAGCAATATATCCACCGTCATCAACCTTATCGCTTCTCCCTCCCTGACCATAGCTGTTTTCGTAGCCTCTATTATAGTCTCCAGAATACGCTCCATAGTTTCTGCCATGGCCCCCTCCATAACCGTCAAGATTTGCGTTACCACTACCAAAACCCACTACGGGGCCTGGTTGTGAGCCATAGTAATGGCTTCCACCGCTAGAAGCTGTAGATCCTCGTCCCATGTTACCGTTATAGTCAAAATCTCCTACATCATTTCCAGTGCGTATATCTTCGGGAAGTCTAAGGATCTGACTGTGATTGATGCTTGTAGCTCTTTCATTCAACTGTGAGTCAACGTTGAAAGAGTCACCTCCTTGTCCTAAGTAAACAAAATGACCGGTGCTTGATCTTTGAGTAATTTGCTTACCCACGACAAAGGAAGTATGAGCTTGACTTTGATTCTATATCGAAATCAGTATAGTAAGCTATGGTTTTCTTTCTGAAATTGGTATATTTCTACTGTATTGTGTTGTTCTCGAGCAATAACTTCGGCAATAGGTACTTTGGATGGTAGTGGAACTTGACGACTAGACAAAGGAGCAGGCGGAGGATAACCAGATGTTGGAGAAACCAAAGGCAGCATATTTGGAACAGAGGAAGAGGAAGAAGAGGCTGACGGTATTTCGTTCATTTTTTTTTGGCCCTTAGTTTGAGTGCTAGCCTTCTTGTTTCTTCCTCGTTTCTAGGAGAAGAAATATTAGCTTTTAAAGAGAAATTCATTATAGTTATCTAAACAAACTGGTTTTTCCGGTGGAGGTGCCATAGGATTGGTTACAGCGTCCTCGGGAAAAATAGTATTGGCCCCTTGAAGAGATAATCGTTGAGAAAGGAACATTTTATCAGCTGTTTCCAGCATTTGATTTGCATGCCCCCCCTTCCCTTTGTTTGTGCGGCTGCTCGACCTCTGGATATAGTAAGAATCTAAAAAAACAATTACAAGAAACCGTTTTCACCTCTGTTTGAAAATGTTCAAAAATGGAAAATAAATCAATACAAAAACATACGAGGCAAAGGGGGGCCTGCGTTACTGTCAGGTCTCTTACTCATAAGCAAATAATTGAGCCACAAGGAAATGCAAAGACCAGTAAGAAGATGGGTCGCAAAGCGGAAAAATGGTAGGTCCACAAAGGTAACGTGCTTTTTGGGACCCACTGTTTCTTTCCCAAGGCCGGATCTTCTCGAAATGCCGCCTTTTATGCCCAGAAAAATGTTCGACACAACTGCCTCTGACTTTCAGATCCACAAGTACAAAATAACTCTCCTATTGTAGAATAAGAACAAAATTTCTTCCAAAATACTGTGATTGATCCCGCCTCATTTTCTTCAATCCAATACGAGACCTCCTGTAGCACCTCCAAAGCGATAAACTCTAACTCCTAAAAAGCTTGTTAGAATGGGAAGCAAACAAAGGGCAGAAATAGACAACCTTCGTCAAAGTAGCAAATTTCGGTATTTTGATCTTTGCCACCATCAGTAGTAGGTGGGTGAGGTTCGACCTCGTCTTCCCAGGGCTCACATATATCATCCTCATCATCGTAGGTATCGTTGTAATCTAGCTCCATGGAGGGAGGAGTGTTAGGAGTTGCAGGGCAAGCTCCAACTGAGTTATCTAGCGAAAGTAACATCTGATAATGTGTACGCAGATAGACGAATGACTCTTACCACATCCTTGGATCTTATTCAAGATTCCTTCCATTCGAACAGCGTTTTGTCTGGCCTCAGAGCTTTCCATTTGAATTTTACTTAGTCGACAAAAATGCAATTCCATTATAAGTTTAGTAATTGCAATTTTCAGATCTAGTGCTGCTTGCTCAGCTGAACAAAGAGCTTGTTGAGCGTTGGCTATTCTGAGAAGATAATTAGCTTCTTTTTCTGTCTTCAGAAATGACAATAAGCCACAAATTTTGCCCACAAATGAAACTCTTACTAATGATTCGTATGTTTCTCCTTCGCCATTGACCCAGGGATGATATGAAGATAGAGAAGAGGAATCTGCAGGAATTTCTACTTGAGAATTGTCAATAATTAACAAGATTAAAGAGATACTGTTGCACCTTTGTTGCTCATTTCTCGAACGAGGATGGAAGATGAGAGAAGATACTGAAATGGTTTAAGACAATAGGTACAAATAAAACAATTTGTCATTAGGTAAGATAACCAGTAATTATCTATTTAAAGTAAATATTGTCGAACCAACCAAACCCATCTTTTTGATAGCTTACTCCAGTTTTATCTGCATGAATAACTATGGAACCCCTTGTACCACTATAAGGTAAATTGAAATGGGTATACCTATCAGAATGGAACACTACGACATCTCCGTTGCAAGTTTCCAACAAGAGCTTGGGTTCGTATAAACCTAGCTCACCTCCCTGAGGATTACCCACAGTGATACAGATGCAAGCTGATTTGTCGTTTTTGTCGCGGTGAGCTAAGGTACTCACATTAATGTTGAACACAATGCTCGTAAAAGGAGAAGCGGGGGAAGTGTCTTGTAAGGGAAGAAGATCAACGGTGGCGCAAATCTCATGAAAAGTATCGGGATGAATCTGTAAAACCTTTAAACTTATGTTAGAAATACAGAGTAACTCATGCAAAGAAGTTTTGCTCACCTTTTCTGAAACCCAACGTAAAGTTTCCTCCAAACTCTGTTTCAAATCTTTGAAAGGCCCGGAAAATTTCTGAATGTCTTCAGAAGGATGAACCAGAAGCTGACTGTGATTCATCTTTCCTCCATTGGCGTTGACAAGATATAAAGGATGGATATCCTTAGGGGCCTCATATCCCTAAGATAACGTCAGAAAAATATAAGCAGATAATAGCAAAAAACTGACATGAGTTAAATAGCGCGTTTGATTGGTGAAATGAAGAGAGGAAAAAGCAGCAGTTTGAACAGATGAAGAAGGATCTTGAGGTGTGAACTGTGCAGTGGTATCGGACAAGCAGGCCTGAATAATCCTTTCCAAGCCTTCTTTTAGGTGTTGAGGCATAGTGGTGTCCAACGTATAAAGTAAATCTTTGTTGTCATCGAATATCTGTACAACTTTGCTATTTTTGAATTAGTAAAAAGCAACGCCGAAGTTGAGACATCTTACCCTTCAATAATGTTTCGATTGAGCTTCAGGTACCTAGAGTCGGAAAGCCGTCCCAAGCTATCGAAACGTCCGTTCATCTGAAAATCTGTAGTATCAGAATCCTAAACTCAAGTTAAAATCATAAGCTTACCTTGCTAGCGTAACTCTCCAAAGAATCAGGAGTAACACAATCTTGAGCTAGAGATCTTTCGTTTTCCGTCCATTTGCTTCTACCTTGATAGTCAAGAGGAAAAGGTTCCTTAGTTTTGGCAGGTTTGTACGGCGTAAACAGAACTTGATGGATTCCTTCTGAATCTTGAGACTGGAAGCCCATACGATCAAAAAGAATTGAAATAGGTGGAACAGTTGGAGGGGGAGTGAAGGTCTCTTCTTCAGAGGACAGTTCAGAAACTGCAGATGCATGCTGAGCAGCTCCTGTCTGTTCTGGAGAAAAGAGAAGAAAGCGTCTCTCCAAGGGAGATGTACTTAACAAAGTACGTTCGGATTTCATAGACACATCAAATTGCTTCCAGGCTTCCCAATCTCTAGGAAGAGATCTAAAGGTGCTAGAAGAACGTTATACGTAGATGTCTATAAGTCAGAGAAACCAATTACTCACTGAAAAAAGAAAGATCCAAAATAATTATCGTTTACTCGCAAATCTCCGCAATCAAAGGAACCAGAAAGGCCCAGATCTCTCAAAAGAGACCTATGATACAAAGTCGGTATTGAAATGGGGATATCTTTGCAAAGGTTAGCTAGAACCGGTATGAGGTTAAACCTAACAATTTCTCCCATAATTCCTGAGTTAAAATGGGTGAAATGTTTGCGTACTTTCAAAACACAAACTTACCTGATGAATCAGGCGCTCTAATTTTATTGCACAGAGCTTGTATAACAGTTACTGAGGCTTTCTTTCTGAAATATTCATCTTCTCCTTTGAAGGCAATAACCAGCAATAAATAAAGTGACCCTGTATAAAGCTCAGCTAAAGTGGTTGAAACGTAACTTATAACTTACCTGCATTAGCCAAGAATGCCCATCTACTCCCAGCTGACATATAATCTCGACTTTTATGTTCAGGAATACTATGAGTTTGAAGAGACTTGTATACTTCGGAAGGCTTCGGTCGACGACTGTTATCTTTGAATTTCATCAAATTCAAGCGACTATAACAGGTAAGGCCTAACCGTCTCAGAACATGGTAGGACCACACGTACCTATTAACTTTGGCAGAGAAGTAAAGCTCATGCAGCATACGAACAAATCTTGCTGTTCCGTCGACATTGGCAGCTAAATCACATCGCCTGGCTATACTGACTAGTGAAGAAACAGCCAAGTCCTTCACATTGTCTATCGTTCCCTCTATCATCCCCTTTAGATCCGACACCCAGCTCAGATAATCCTCGTGACCAATAGAGGTTCTGGTGCCAAACGAAAGTCTCGCCAGTTGCTTCGTAAGGTCCACAGAAACATCTCTAGAAGGTTGCGCTGCATGGTCCCCAACAGCAAAACGACCAGCAGTAGAGTCATCATATGAATACTGATCGATTCGACGCCTCTTCCTTGTACGTACACTTTTTCTAGGGCAATGAATAAAGGTAGGATCACTGGGTCCTCCGCTAGTTAAGTCTGTTGAATTGACCTTGGTTTTCTGAGATCTGCGGCGTTTTCTCTTGGGTTGTGGCTCTGAACGTGGCTCTAAATGTGGCTCTAAATGTGAAACCAAATCCGAATGTGAGCGTGAACGTGAGCAAGAATCCGAACGTGAGCGCGGACTCGAATGTGAACGCAAGTGGGAATCCAAATCCGAACGTGAGCGTGAACGCGAATGTGAACGCGAGCGAGAATCCAAATCCAAATCCAAACGTGAGCGTGGACTCGAATGTGAACGCGAGTGGGAATCCAAATTTGAATGCAAGCGAGAATCCAAATTCGAATGCGAGCGAGAGTCCAAATCCAAATGCGAGCGAGAATCTGAGTGTGAACGTGAGTGAGAATCTGAATGTGAATGGGAATGCATGGGTGAATGCGGATGTGGACGTAAAGGTGAACGGGAAGGTGAACGGGAACGCATGGGCAAATGTGAATGCGGATGTGAAGAATGTTGACGCGGACGCGAATGCGAATGCGAATGTGGACTCGAACGCGAACGTGGACCCGAATGCGAACGCGAACGCGAACGTGGACCCGAACATGGACTCAAACGCGAACGCGAACGTGGACCCGAATGTGAACGCGAACGCGAATGTGGACCCGAACGTGGACCCGAACGTGGACCCAAACGTGGACCCGAACGCGAACGCGAACGTGGACCCAAACGTGGACCCGAACGCGAACGCGAACGTGAACGTGAACTCGGATGTGAATGTGGATGCAAGGGTGAATGTAAACGTGAGAGCGAAGGCGAAATCGACTTGGGATGGAACTGGGAAGGATGAAGGGAAGAATGAGAGGCCGAAGATGGGAAGCTAGCATCAACACTAGCTTCTCTGTACCTAGGAGTGGACTGTGTTGAAGAGAGATTTTGCCTTAAAGGGCCCCTTTGACCTGCTTGACAACAACTAGGACATAAAGCCTGTCTAGAGTGAACCTATGATTGGTCAGATCAAAAGGAAGTAAGGGAAGTCCTAGAATATTACCTGACTGACTCTTGGAGAAGTAGAAGAGGAAGAAGTAACTTGAGCTTGATGATCAATGGCACCAGAGGGAAGGACTGCAATAAGTTCTTGAAGGGCAAGAGGCAAGGTTTCTTCTCTGCTAAGAAGGTACTTCTGCAAAGCCAAAGCCTGGGCTGCAGATAATCTGAATGTCGACATTGCTAGACCCCAAGCATAACAGCGGCGCTCGGAAAGAATATCAGAGAAAAGAGTCTAGTTAAGCGCCTTCCGGATTTGGAGCGACACTTGCTGCCAGCAAGTGTCGCTCCAAATCCGGAAGGCGCTTAACAAGAGGCGCTTATTTTGAATTGACTTTGGTTTTCCACCTCCACCACCTCTGCCGCCTCTTCCACCACCTCTACTGCCGCCTCTACCACTTCCACCACTTCCACCACCACTTCCACCACCTCTACCACCTCCACCACCACTTCCACTCACCTCAAGAAGTAATCAGGACCCAACGTCAGGCGCTACCTCAAGTACCTCACCCGCCTCCACCACCTCCTCTGTATCGTGCGGTGGACTCGCCAGTCCACCGCCTCCTTTGGATCGTTTGGTGGACTCACGAGTTGGAGTCCACCGCCTCCACTACCTCCCCGTCCGCCGCTATCACCTCCACCACCACCTCTACCGCCTCGTCCACCTCTACTGCCTGTGGATTGTTCGGTGGACTCATGAGGTAGAGTCCACCACCTCCACTACCTCCTCTTCCGCCTCACCTGCCTCCACCACCTCCTCTGTATCGTGCGGTGGACTCGCCAGTCCACCGCCTCCTCTGGATCGTTTGATGGACTCACGAGTTGGAGTCCACCGCCTCCACTACCTCCTCCTCCACTACCTCCTCGTCCACTGCTATCACCTCCACCACCACCTCTACCACCTCCGGATCGTGCGGTGTACTCAACCTTGTGAGTACACCGCCTCGTCCACCTCTACTGCCTGTGGATTGTTTGGTGGACTCACGAGGTGGAGTCCACCGCCTCCACTACCTCCTCGTCTGCCGCTATCACCTCCACCACCTCTGGATCGTGCGGTGTACTAAGGTTGAGTACACTGCCTCGTCCATCTCGTCCGCCTCTGGATGGTTCGGTGGACTCACGAGGTGGAGTCCACCGCCACCTCTACTGCCTCTGGATCGTGCAGTGTACTCACAAGGTTGAGTACACCGCCTCGTCCACCTCTACTGCCTCTGGATCGTTCGGTGGACTCACGAGGTAGAGTCCACCACCTCCACTACCTCCTCTTCCGCCTCACCTGCCTCTGTATTGTGCAGCGGACTTCGGCCGTTCATCTCCATGGGGATCTACCTCCTCTGCATCATGAGGTGGAGTCCACCTCCTCCACCTCCTCTGGATCATGCAGTGGACTCGCGAGGTGGAGTCTACCGCCTCCACTACCTCCTCGTCCGCCTCTATCACCTCCACCGCCTCCACCGCCACCTCTACCGCCTCTGGATCGTTCGGTGGCCTCACCACCGCTTCTACCACCTCTACCACCACCCTCACCTCCTCTACCACCTCTGCATCGTGCGGTGCCGGCTATCGATTTTCCTTCCTCTGAAGCTGATATGGACAAGGATGGTAATCAGGGCGCCGCGCCAGCCAACAACCTACATCTTTTTCTCGCTATGGCTGCAGTTACTAGCTTTGTAATGCTCCTAGTATTCATATTTTATTACAGAATGTAAACCTTTACTTAAACTCATTGATGCTTTCTTCCCAACCCTTCCAAGAAACAAGGTAATCCCACCTAATAAGAGAGGCCAAAGATATTCCCACAGTTTGTTTATGTCAATGTTGACGTCTAAATCCTCTGAACACTAGTCCTCATGTCTTTTACTTGTCGCTATTGTGGGCATCTATGTAAAACTGAAGCTGGACGCCGTAGCCATGTCAAGCAAACACTCTGTAACTATAAGCCTGGTTTGGTACCTCTATCAACTATAGCAGCCACAGTCACCTCGGAAAATCCTTCTATCCCTTCAACCCCTCCATCGCCATCTCCTGGTTATGACTCACAAGGAAATTCCTCGATGGAGAGTTTCATGGATGTCGATAGTGGTGAAGCTACCTCAGGGCCATGTACGATACACTTTCCTGGGGCAGGTAAAGTTGTCAGCTGTGGGGCCACATATCTGGACGACTTCAATGATGATCGCTTCTCTGAGGAGAGAAAGGAAAATCTCTACTATCCATTCTCATCTAGACCTGAATGGGAGATGGCAAGCTTTTTGCTCAACTCATCCCTTTCTATGCAAGAAATCGATCATTATCTCCAGCTCGAGCTTGTAGGTCTTGCATTGTATCCATATGATCTCTTAGCTGAACAATATAGACAAAACAGAATAATCTATCATTCAAGACAGCACAAAGATTGCATGAAATTACCGACCTTCTTCCTCCTGTTCCAACATGGAGAGCGAGAGTTATGAAAACTACTCCACTCTATCCTTCCAGAACTCCCATGGTCCTGTATTACAGAAACGCTGTTGAAGTTCTTCAGGACTTGATGAAGAGTCCTTTGATATGCGACTCCCTCAACTTCACTCCACTGCAAATATTCGAGGATTCCCGGAAATTAGTCCGCGTTTATGATTCCTGGCTATCAGGAAATAGAGCTTGGCAAATGCAGGTGAGTAGACCACACATAAATGTTGAACTGTCTATCTCTAATCAAAATCTAGAGCCAGCTTCCAGAAGGAGCGACTCTGTTAGGCACGATCCTATCATCTGATAAGACAACAGTCTCTGTCATTACTGGAAATCGTGTAGCTCATCCCTTGTTGATATCTTTGGCAAATATAGATACTGATCTATTGTCGAAAGCTTCTCTATATTTGTTTAATCTTCTCGCACTTCTCCCTGTTCCAAAATATATCGAAAGAAAAACCTCCGTGCGTGGTGTACTTGAAAATCGGCTGTATCATGAATGTTTGGATATCGTTCTGGAACCACTCAAAACTGCAGCTAGTATCGGCTGCTTGATGAGCGATCCTGTAGGGCAAGTCAGGGTTTGCTACACTCCCTTGGCTAGCGCCATTGTCGATACACCAGAAGCCTCTTTGATCGCCTGTACTGGCGGCAAAACTTCTCCTTTCACTCAAGCAATTTATAAAGATTTTGGAGATGGAAAACTTCACCCTCCTCGTCTAGCTACAGCTACTCTGCAGGCTATAGATAGTATTCAAGCACGGAACATTTTTCCTCAGGATCTTCCCGCATATCAAAGAGCTTCAGTAACTGCACGGACCAATGGTGTAGTTTCTCCTTTTTGGAGAGACTGGCCTCTGGCAGAGCCATGTGAATTTCTCACTCCTGAACCCCTACACCACTGGCACAAAATGTTCTGGGACCATGACGCGAAATGGGCTATACAAGCTGTTGGAGCCAGTCATATCGATTTTAGATTCTCGATACATCAGCCAATTGTTGGTTATCGCAGCTTCAAAGAGGGTATCTCAAGTTTGAAGCAGGTGACTGGTAGAGCGCAGAGAGATGTTCAAAGATACCTCATTCCCCTCATCTCTGGTGCTGTTATACCGAAATTCATCACTGCTCTCAGGGCGCTAATGGATTTTCGCTATGCTGGACAGGCACCAAGATTCAACCAAACTTCGACTCTTAGAGTTCAAACTGCACTCAATGAGTTTCACGAAAATAAGGACATTATTCAGGACCTGAAAGCTCGGGTTAATCCCAAAGGAGTTCCTATCGTCCACTGGGAGATCCCAAAATTGGAATTCATGCAAAGTGTTGCGCCCAGCATTTCTGCCTCTGGACCCATAATGCAGTGGACAGCAGACACTACTGAGCATGCTCATATTACTCTCGTGAAGGATCCTGCTAGATCCGGAAATAATCATGACTTTGAAGTCCAGATATGCAGACATTTAGATCGCCAAAGTAGAGTTAGAAGGTTTGATCTGGTGACAGCTATGGTAGACGCTGGAGTTGACTTCCGTCTTGACGATATTGAGGGTGATGAGGGTAGAGGCGATATAGGACATGATAGAGAAGAAAGAGACAAAGAAGACGAAGAAGTTGATGCCAAGATATCATCCTCAGAAGAACTGATCACCCGCCTTAACCCAGTATCCCAAAAGCTGTTTGGCTCATTCCGTCCCAAACAGAACTTCTTTTTAAAGGCGCGTCTGTTGAAGCAGGATGCCTCAGCTCTTCTACCTCTGCGTATCTTTACAGATAACGTCTCTGGAGAAATCTCAGCATTTAAGGTCAATCGTGATCCTGACCTCAAAACGCTAACGATAGAACAAGTCAGTGACCTCTATTCTCTTCCCGACTTCTCTGGGGCTTGTCTCGATTTCCTGGAACGGATTCAAGCAAAAACACAGACTTTTGTTATAGGGGGCAGACGATCATTGAATCAGTCGATTTCATTACCCTTTACAAGAGTGAAAGTTTGGTCTAGGATCCGTATCCAAACGAAAACTTACTTCAATACTGATATACTTGCGGATTCCCATACTATATTTGCGGCCCCTCCTAGCCCTGGCTGGGAATTTGGACGACAGAATGCCGCAGTTGTCAATATCAATTCAAGCTTTGAATGGCCAAGGAGTTCTTTGGAAGGTCGGCTTAATACTTACTTTGTTGTGTCCGTTGGGATATAACTGCACTTGTTTCCCTTCTAGGACACTGTGTTGTTTTGGTGAAAATAATCTTTACAGTCGCTCAGCCTAGAAAGCCCTCTCCACCCGTGGATGGTACTCATAGGTTTTTGGCTTACTGTGAACGATTAGATGTAGTAAATCAGCCTCCTCCACCTCTTGAGTATCGAAGTCTTCCTGGATATAATGCTTGGCCATCACACTTTCCTGATTATTCCTCAGGATGCTTTGTCCTCAAAAGAGCTAGAAGAGTCGATGGCACTCCTTTTGGTGATATTATACCTGTCTCTCAATTTCGCTCTTTGGTGGATATTTGCCCTCGTTATAGAAGTACTCCTCACGCTTCTTTAACAAGAAGTTCCAGCCAATACCACAGCGATGAATTTTTCTTGAATAAATATTTCAACAAAGAACTCTTTTTTACTTTAGATAAAGTCGATCCTTGTCTTACCAGTACAGCAAAATAGTAAACTAACTGAAGAAGAGTATTACTACTAGGCGATTATGGAGGTCCAAACATTACATGTTTATGTTTATGTTTATATCAACATTATGCCGTTATTTCCATGATTACTTTCTCTTCCGTCAATTTTGTCTTTCAGATTTTAGTCAGTTTGAAAGCATCCAAAGCAGCTGAGAGCATCAACAACACTGAGAGCACTCAACAGATACTTCATGACGAGATTTTTGCTGGGAAGCATTGGGAAATGCTGGGAAGTGCTGGGAAATTTTTACTCGAAAATCCAGGTTTTGCAGATGCAGAGAGCCTTGGACACCGAATGTGACAGTTACAGAGGAAACACTGAACAGGATAAGGAATTTAAACATACCGAGATCTTGTTATCCATATAGCCACCTTCCTGACATGCTGTCGCATCGACTGGGTCGATTCCAAAACGACACACAGCTGAAACAGAGAATGAAAGCATTGTTTGGCTCAAAAACCCACAAGTAAGTTTGTAAAATCTTCCCATGACTAGTCGACTATGTAGAATTAAATTCTGCTATAAAGGATCTTCGTGAATACATCTGGGGCCGGAAAAACCAGACTCGTCATAGAACATCTTTGCACCAATTGGGGCTTATATCTCACCTGCCATGATGATTCCCGTGTTGGCTCGAAAGATATGTCCGCTGTTATCTCGAGCATCAAGAACAGCCCTTCATTTAGGAAGAACCTTCCTCCTTCCCCCAGTCTTGAAGCTGTTGGCAAAGATAGCGGTCAATGGATGTATGAGTTACAAGAGAAGTTGGAGCATTTCTCGTCTACCCCTGAAGGAAACGAGTTTTCGCACGCCCTCGAAACTAACAACCAGCTTGTCTCATGCGAGGTGCTCAGTATGTTACTGGCTCGTTTTTACATTTTGCGACAATTCCTGGTGACTTTGATCGAAATGGGGGAAGATATCACACAACCATTGCACATACAAAATTGGTTGCAAATTCAACTTCATCCCAATCTTTTGTTGCAACCGGATGAATCGGGAGACATTTTTGCTCAGCTCAGAGAAAATATTGCGAGGATCATTGACTTTTCTCTGCCCATAAACGAGATTGTCTTGAAGAGTTTGTTAGCAGATGTCCTGGTCGAGGTCCGGTCGATACTTCCCTCCGATCTTGTAATTGCGCTCGACGAGTGTCAGTTTGCTGCACGCGATTTGAGGAATGCTTTTCGCTCGGATAACTGGACTTCAAAACGACCACTCCTACGCCAGATAGCGAAATGCTTAAATGATATATTCAATGGCGCGTTGAAGTTTAAAGTTCCTCGAGCTAGCTTTATCTTCACAGGGACAGGTTTATCCAAAAATGACATAACCGATGCGTTGTCATCTGTTGTTGCAAAAACAGAATTGTGTAAAGAGGTGAATGATACTGGGGCATTCAACGACATTCACAGTCAGCAAAAATACATCGAAGAATATTTTCCTCCACATATATGGCAAAGCGACAGGTTTCCACGACTTTTGCAACGGATCTTTCGCTGGCTTCGAGGAAGGTGAATGATGAATTGTGACTGATTGAGTAAATATCGAAAGCTCATCATGGAATTGATCTTGAAGGCACAGGTTCACTGCAGAATATATATCTGCTGTATTGCAGAACGGGTATAATCATCTTGACAAGCTTCTCAACGCGTACATCTTTAGTCTGACTGGTTTCGAGCCCACGGATTACAATGGGGACGAAATAATTCCAGAATTGATTGATTTCCCACATCGGGCATTCATCTTCGAAGCGGTCAACGTCAAGATGAAGGAAAAGATCAAATCATTGTGTTACGACTACCTGTTGAGATCAAGACTAGACGGTTGGCTAGGCAGTGACGAGAACGAGTACATCGCTCACGGCTTTGCAAGGGTCAACATTTCTGAAGGACGAAAACTCATCAGAATCGATGAACCTCTTGTCATGATGGCCTGTGCGATGTGGTTCAATGGAGGTCCTGAGTCGGATGCACACTCGCTGTACAAATATGTAGCCAATCGCATTCAGGATCACAATCCCTCAACCGGTCGAAATGGATTTGAAGAATTCATTTGCTTCTATCTTCAGCAGGTCTTTCAAAAACCTCGAAGACTGGGCCAAGTTTTTGATTTGCCGGATAAAGAGAATCCGCAGGTGGAGAGTGCACTCGCCCAAAAGCAAGCAACTTTGGTGACTCTTCACATAGATGAAGTTGGATCCAAGCGTAAGCTCATGGAAGGGACAACTGATATTCGAAACATAGGTGAAGCAAAACTTCCAGGTGCACTCGGCCTAGGAATTAAGTCCATGAAGGAGTGTATTCCTTTGATTGACTGGGTGAAGTTGAAGGGACATACAGCATTTTGTTTTCCAATGAATGAAATGGGGCCTGACATTATGTGCTTCCTCAAACTGGAGGACGACCAGGGAAAACCGGAAGACTTCACTTACATATGTCTCGCTATCCAATGCAAATTTCATCAAGTGGATGGGGAACTTGAACCTTCCACGCTCAAGGATGCAATTGCTACGGTTACTCCTAGGAAGTTTTTTGCACCACGACACGTAAGGCAAGCCAGTTATAGACCTCTTGCTGTGAACTCAACTTTCTTGAATAGGTCAAAGACACTGACGAAGCAGCAGAGCGTGAAGAAAAAAGGAAGGAAACACGTAAAGGTTTCTTATGCGCCCTCGAAGAATTTCCACGCAGGGACCCGTTGGCTGGCAAGTACGGCGTGATGCGTATTATTTGTGGCTTTCCTGTGAGGGTCAATCTTGGCACTGTATTCTACCAGCACAAGGGACAGGGAAAGGCACCAAGATACATACTGGACCCAGATGAAGAAGATGGACATCCTTTAGGGAAGCTGAACGAAGAATTCTTAACCGCAGAGACCGCGCATATCCATCCTACCGATCTCCTTGGAGTGATCAAAGCGCGTGCGCAAAAAGCAAAAAAGAATGGGAAAAGCTTCTGGAGTACATTTGACCCAGCTGTTTTGTGGTCAGATTCTGAAGAAGAAGAGGAAGAATCACAGAACAGACTGCGGAGGATATCCGGAGGGGTCCGGAAAAAGTCCTTCGACAAGTTCGAGTTGGACGATCATTCGCGCATGATCATTGACATGTTAGACTCAGACTATGCACAATGTCGAGGGTTGGACCTGCCGCCTAGAGCGCAAAAGCGTAAGCGCGATTTTTCAGAGAGGTATCTGGATTACTATGAAGGTGATAATGAGGACTAGTATTACTAGTTAGTACTCGTCCCCTTTATGTAATTCATAGGCGCCCGTTTATCGACGAAGTCGCTCTCTGAATATTGTTCCTATCGTTTTCGAGGTACATATGTACATAATATTTTGACAACGATTCCAGACCTTTCCGGACAGAGTGTGCATCGGCGCATGAAGATCCTGTGAAAACTATTCGAAGACGGACGACAGTTTTAACCGGCGTGGGAGACTGCGCAGTACCTCGCAATAATTACATAATAGTTTTGAACTGAGCCTCCATGGATTTCGAATTTGAATCGTTCCCGGAGGTTGAAGACATTAACCTTGCTTCGAAATTCTTATATTCTTATTTGAGCAAAACCTCTGAAGGACTATTTAAACCTTCCTTGGAACTATGTGCTACAAGTTTGACTGTAGATCCTAGTCTTCATGACACACTGAAAGTTATCCATCGGAAACGAGATTTAGATGCCTTTGAGCGTTTTCGTGGTGCGTCTTTTGCTTTTCTTGATCAAGGAAACGTCCTCAGCTTCAATGCCCAGCTCATCTCAAACGGAACTCATGGCGTTTCCATCCTCAATTCGAAGTGGTGAATCACGCGATTCGCGCCATAGAGTTTGCTGGTAAGATGGAGGATGTTGCCGTCAATGAGTTTGACCGACCCGTCTGGAGCCCTGCGACACCTATTCCCGATGCTCGTGTCGCTGCACACATTCGAAACCTTCGGATACCACTGGGGAGATTCGAGGAAGTGCCCCTTATAATACTTCATAAATTAGGCAGTTTTCAACATGACCCGCTACTAAGAAAGAGATTAGATCGCATCTTTTCTCCTTTGTATCATACGTGAGTCTGCATATCCATCCTTGAATTTATAGCGAATGTCACCTGTCCCTGTCCTACAGTCTTCTAGTCAATACCTCAGGCACCGGGAAAACTAGACTTCTCTTCGAAGGCCTTTGCCTCCATTGGGGCTTTTATCTTACATGTACTCTCGACGCATCACTGCTTGGAGCAGGGGATTTCGCTCACATAGTAAACAATGTCAACTGCGATCGCAACTGGAAACCCGTTTTGCCTCCTATATCCGATCCCAAACACCCATCATTCGTTCAAGACAATATACACATAGTTTACCGCGCATGCAGTGAAGCGTTATTGGCTAGACTGCTGGTATTCAACATGTATCTGAAAGCCTGTTCGAAAGTGGGATTTTCCCATGCTCAACGAAGACGTTGGTTGGAAGCCCAGATATTTCCATTCGACCTCATCTCCGCATTCGATCCTTTCGGGGAGATCAAAAGCTCCATCTCTGCTCTCCATCTCTCCGATCACACCCTTGATGAGGCCATTTCTCGTACCCTGGAAGATATCCAAAATATCTGGGACATGCCTGCTGGAGAATATTTTTATATTGCTCTAGACGAAGCAAATGCTGCTTCAACGAAGCATCGTCGGTCCTTCTTAGACGAGTATGGTCATTATCCTGTCTTAAAGGAAATGCTGCGCGCTTTGCGACGTAGGATGGGTCATTTACCTGTGAAATTTATTGTCGCTGGTACCATGATTCCACCAGAGCTTTTTCAGTCGAAGGTTGGAGAATGGGATGATTTTCGCTGGTGTTCGGATACCGGGTCTTTCGACAATCCTGAGATGCACCGGCGATATATTTCCCAATTCTTGCCTTCTGAGTTAGTAAGTTCGATTACAGGGCAAGCTCTTTTAGATCGCTCATGGCAATGGTTGCGTGGAAGGTTACATGCCAATTGTTTGCCGTACCTTAATACATTTTGCTAACAAATGTTCCAGGCATCGCTATACTGCGTCTTTCATCACAGTACTACTTGACAACAGTTTTCAAAGTCCTCATTCACTGTTGGGGAGTTACATTGAGAACATCTCCAATTACAGCCCCCATGACAATACTGAGTACACGTCAGGGGAATTGGTCGCCTATGATAAATGGTACGGCTCACTTGGTGACAGTGGTTTAAACGCAGGTATGTGTAGAAGGAAGTCTTCCAGGCTTCATCGTTCCTCATTCACCCAATTCTAGGATGGATCAGCGTTATTGAGATGCACCGATCAGTGATCAACTTTCTGGTTACTTCGCAAGGGTGTACCGACTGTTCGACCAATCACAGAGCACTCGTCAGTGAAGACTACGGTTACTTCATTGACCCTGACTGCTCCAAAATAGCATTGGATGAACCTCTAACGATAATGTACGGTGCGGGGTGGCTCAAAGAAACTCATAGGAAAAAATCGCGTTTTCAGATCACGAACTTCGATATTTTTGACTCTCATCATGGCACGGATCCACGTGCTTCTCATTTCGCTCTCTTCCTTGCATTGTTGTTTGCATCAATGTTTGATGGTTTAACACAAATTTCAAATGCATTCACAGTATCTGGAATATCTACTCCTTTCCTCGAAGCAAAACTTGTCACATTCACCCGTATTGGCCCTCGACTAGAAGCGAGAGATGTACATTTCACAGACCATACTCCCGACCGACTCGTGTTGTTGGCTACTACCCCGGAAGAGGCGCTCTGTTGGTTCAAACACGAGCGTGATGAACCATTTTGCGCCTTGCAATATGCTTCAAGCACAAGTGCAACACTGGTCTTTTGTCTTCAATTTTCTGACGCGCGGACTTCTTGGGTCTTCGTTCGAGTACCTTCGACGTTCCAGAACAAGGAAGAAACGGATTTTGCCCGAGATATACAGGATCTCCATCCAACCGAAATTTTTCGTGATCAGGTGAGGAAACCTCTCAACCCCAGTCTTTCGATATATTCACCCCTTGGCAGTCAGAAGTCGCTTCGCTCCTCAACCAGATACCGGATCTCTGTCTCGATGCAGGTCCATCTGGTATGCTGCGTATTTCTGGATCGTTCTGGGTTGAAAAAGCGACTGAAGAGAGCATTCCCCATGAACTCTATCCATCTGGAATTTTGAACATTGAAGGATTAAGCGGAGCTGCGAAAAGTATTTCCGAAGACATGCTCCTGCGTCGTCTTTCTCGAATTTTCTCTCAAAGGAATGAGGTAACTATTGCACCTCCGGCGTCAGTTACTGAAGCTTCCCAAGAACAAGGTAAAAAACGAGGAAGATCCACAACGATTGACGATGACCCTGGTACGGCAACCTCTAGGACATCCCGATCCAACACAAAACAGCACGCGAAGTCTACCAGGAGCGACCATGCTGCTTCGTCAGGTTCCAGCACTCAAGCGAAAAAAGCTCGCAAAGGCGCGGGCAGAAGTCTGCGATCCCGTCGCATCCCAAGCAAAATCAGTGGATGACTTCCCGTAGGAATTATTTGCAGGACACCAGACAATTAATTTGTGCCACCAATATAAGCGAACCTAAGCGAAGATGGCCGGACAGCGGCTTCGCAAAAACTGCATCAAAACCAACTTACAACGGCCTCCCTACCCTGTTGTAAACTGGTTTTTGGTGTAAGCGAGGGTCCCATCAACAGTCCGTACGTCGCATCAAATACCGTTAATAGTTAACTGCAGGTTAACTGCAGAATAATTGTAGCGGGAAGTCACCCAGTAATGTTGCAACAGGACGTGCTTCGGCTAGTGCTCCTCGCTCTGATCGAGTTGAACCCACTGCTTCCTCCTCTTCGCATACCTCTCCGTACAATTTGCGCAAGCGGTAAGCTACATCCTTGTATTGCATCTCATGTTGTCGCGTTATATATTCATTATGGATTATTTTTACTGAAATATCACATTCTCGTCCAACATTCCCCATCGCATGTACACATTTTACATGTACTCTATTTCGGTCCCTGGTTCAGAATATCACTGAATGCATTTTTGAGCTATGTACAGCGGAAACCGTTTCTCTACCGAGATTTCCCCTCCTAGTGGACTGAGTCGTCAAGCTACTTTTAAGCTCGGTGAGTAAGGTACAATTGCAAGTATTAAATATTGTGACTTGGGTAAGATATCGTATTCGTGTCCATTGATTTTGAACTATGGTATGTTTACGAGCTCAATCCACTGGAAGGGGAACCTGGCTAGAATCGCTGCCCTCCTTAGAGTTTATCCTCGATTTATCATCGGGCAAAGGAGACACGGGCTTGCTAAGGAGACCGTTATTCTCAAACGAGAGGAAATCCTGCAGGGTCACTGGACGGGGTTTGAAATCCTAAGGATTGAAAAGTGAGTCTTGAGAAAAGTGTCCTCGACGAACAATTATTTACTTTTAACTGTTCTTCAGTTAATACTTCCCCATTTGATAGGTTCTCCCGCATGTAATCACGAACCGGAACCATTGCTGCAGCACGGCACAATTCCTTCAAATCTGAACCCGATAGACCTTCTGACGCTTGAGCAAGGATTTCAAGGGACAGTTCTGGAGAGAGTGTGACATCTTGTAGCATCTAGGATTGAATCAAAGGTAATTCGCACAAACCACGAAAGAGAGATATTACTAGTTTGAGAATTTTCAACCGCTGGTCAAAATCGGGTAATGTTACAGCAAAGCGTTTTGGTAGTCGACGGAAAATGGCAGAGTCGATATCGTTCGGCCGGTTGGTAGCGCCGAGGACCAGAATTCGATCTGTTGACGACAAGAGGCCATCCCATAGGCTGCACGTAGGGTGTAAATGCCACTAGGCTTTGACCTCGAAGTGATAGTCACGTACGTCATGAATTCAGCCTTCATCATAGCCGTTACTTCATGGTCCCCGGAGGATCTTTCCCTCAAGAACGAGTCTATTTCATCAATAAAGATGATACTAGGCTGAGTTTTTTTAGCCAAACTGAAAAGTCCTGCGACAAGCTTATTTGATTCTCCAAACCACTTGTTCGTGAGCACGGAAGCAGCAATATTGATAAAGGTCGCGCCGGATTCTTTTGCAAGAGCTTTTGCTAGCATAGTTTTGCCACACCCTGGGGGCCCATATAACAGCACACCCTTTGGTGCTCCAAGGAGGGATGAATTTGAAGTGAAGAGACTCGGGTAGAGAAGGGGGTATATAATAGATTCACGCAAGGAAGCTATGATTGGGTCCAGTCCTCCAATGTCTGCAAGACCAATCGGCATGTGAATGAGATCAATCAAAGGAGAAAGTTAGCTCACCGGAGAATTTGACTGGAATATCATCTGGATGTATAACCTCGTTTGCAACAACGCCTAAGCATTCCGATAAGTCCCGAAAACATTCCAAGGCATGATAACCCTACTTTCATATTCGTTTAGCTTGAGTTCCGTGTGACCCAATCGTTTTAAAGCCTCCATCTGCTTTGCGTTAACGTTTTTCTTATCGCCTCCAGTGAAAGATCCAATGGCCCACTAGTAAGGAGTGAGATGGGTAGGGTTGAGGATCATTGCCTTTGTATACATACTCGCAAAGTGTAATACAAGGCTGCCTTGCGGATGGAATGCTTAGCAAAAGTCGAGTTGTAGTAACAGAGAGACAAACTTGAGAGGCAACAAGGAGCGCGACTATATGAAAGATAAAGCTTAGAAGCGATAAGAGTTGGTCGCATACGCACTTTCTACAACCAGGTGCTTCGAGACATTGTGGGAGACCGCCATTTTGAGGGTGACAAGCGACCGGGATGAGAGTGATCGAGTGAAAGGAAAACGCTAAATCACACAACTAGCCGGGCGACAACTTCTCAGTGGCTGTGTACACTCTAAATATTCGGCTTTGCTTTCAACGTCGTCGTCCGCAACCTGCTTGTTTTTTATCTTCTGGTATGTGCTACCTACATTGAGTTTTTGAAATGCTCATTTTGGTCCAAGAATTGTGGTTCATAATGCAGCCTATGCCGAATCGTATGGGACTCGGTCTGCGTCCGCCTTTTCCGTCGTTCGGCCAGGGTCCCTCAATATCTGCTCTTGCCGCACAGCAGCAGGCCATGCACTTTGTGCCACCGCAGGCGCAGAAACAGACCAAACTCTTTGTTGGCTCCATATCAGGTGGCGTCACGGATTCCTTCATCAATGAACTCCTCTCGGTATTTCCACCTTACATCACAGCTTGATCCCTTTTCTTAACATTTGTATATTCGTAGGCATGCGGCAAGGTCACTTCGTTTAAGCGTCTCATAACGCCTGCCAACAAACCCCAAGGTTTTGGTTTTGCAGAATATGATGAACCTGACAGCGCTCTCCGAGCGATCAGCCTGCTCAATGGTGTTGAATTGCCCGCGTTGGAGGATGGTTGCGCCAACAAAAACTTGCTGGTGCGTTCCATCTCTTAGTTGTGTCTCATTTCACACCTACGTCGATTCTCAGATCAAAGCAGACGAAAAAACGAAAGCCTTTTTGGACGCTTATAATTCACAACGGATGTTAACTAATGTACGTTATCTCATTGTACGAAGTTGCAATTTTCCCACTATTATGTTCAGGCCGATGAAGAAAGAAATAAGCAAGCTAAAGCAAGAATTGACGAACTCGTGCAAAGAATCAACAAGGAATCCCAGGATGCAGCCGAAAGTGGCCTACTAGATAAAGAAAAATATGTTATCCCGCCTCACCTACATGATTTGCAAGAAGCCGACCTTCCGGAAACTCAGCGCGGTCTCGTCATCTCTGAGATTGCTCAGTTCCGAGAGAGGGCCGCGAAGAGAGAAAGAGAAAAGATGAAAGATGGGCCACCATTCCCCCAAGGAGGTGCACCAAGTGGTCCCAAGGCTCGAGAATGGGGCAAGCCTCCACCACAACAACAATCACCGACAGTAGCTTCCTCGCGTGGAAAGCCTTCTATGAGTGGGTTTGTAAAAGAAGAACGAGGGGCAGCGGATGATGGCCGACGAACTTCTCGTACCACGAAGACCGATGAAGAGCTTGAGCAGGAGAGGAAAGAAACCAGGAAACGCGACGAGGAAATTTCTTTCAGAGACGTAAGTGGACCGCACTTTTCAATGTCACGCAACCATTGTCTTCAACTTTCTATTGATAGCGAGAAAGGCGATACGAACCCAGAGAACGAGTGCGAATAGCAACTTTGGAAAGAGCAATCGCACGAGAACGGGCTACAAAAGAAGCTGAGGATAGAGATCGTGTAGAGATGCGGGAACGCTTGGATCTCTGGGACGACGACGAGAGCGATGAGCTGTTTTATTTGGATAGGTGAGTCTATTATATCATTCACTAATACGTATGTTAATAAGCACCCTTCTCAGATCACGATGGCGCCAACTACGAGCTCGACGACTAGAAGCCGAAGAAGCCGCTGACATAAAATCTCGGAGATTCGAAGAGCAGGAAGCTGAAAATTTGCGTCGCGAGTCAGAGGACTTTTTAGCACGACAAATGGACGAGATGCAGGCGTTGGCGGAAGAGCAACGAAAGGCTGGTTTGCTTTTGGACGATGGCGGCTTGGTAAAACTCAATGTCTCTCTGGCGCCTGCTCCTGCAAAAGAAGGCGGAAAGGAGAAGGCAACGACAGTGTTCGCAGAGGAGGAGGATGAAGAGGAGGAGATTAAGAAGAGGAAGGTGCCGTTAGTCAAGTTGGACTTCAGCGTGGCAGAGAGTAGCGAGAAGATGAAAGAAAGATTGGAACGCATCAAGGAATCTGTTCCTCATGATACGGAGTCATTATTCAAGGCAAAAGTTCGTTGGGATGGGCTTTCCGATGTGAGCTTCATTTATCACTCCTTCATTGAGGTCTTCTTGACTAACCTTCTCTCTACATAGATCATCATTGATCGCAAATTTGAGCCTCTTGTCAAACGTCTCATGGTCAAGTATCTAGGCGAAATGGAGGAAGAGGATTTGATCATGTTCGTGTTAGAACATTTGAAAGATCATAAAGGTCCCCAGAAGCTTGTTGAGGGACTTGAGCCGGTGCGCCATTAGAATATGCCTCAGCGACTGAATCTGAACAAATTCTATTTTCGAAATGCAGGTCCTTGAAGAGGAAGCTGCAGAGCTGACCAAGAGCGTCTGGCGGCAGATTATTTTTGAGAGTATGGCATACGGTGAAGGGCTTCTTACCGAAAAAATGCTTGTTGACTAGCATGAATGGTATGGATTTGTGTCGCGTCGCGTCGTAGGACAGGTGCGTTTCGTAGTCTCAATACATATTCTGGCTGAAGTGCACGCTCGTCACTTCTCGCTACACGCTACTTGGGCCCATTGGTGCCTTACGGTTGAGATGGTGGTTTAGGAAACTGCGATGAGGTTGGGGACTTGCCGTGAGTCATGACCTTAATCAACTGATCGAGACTGGCACCTCACATATTTACTGTCTGTACTTGTGATGGATTTCCTGTACCACATGAGCTTTTTAAACATTTTCCCCGCACTTTTCTGTCCCCGGTCCATCTTTCTATGGCGATCTGAGTTTGAGTTCATTGCGCGGCACATTCACAGTTGAGCAAATTTTACGCATCTGAGATGTACATAGATGTATTGTATATACTTCTATTTTTTGGACACAAAGCCTCGAAGATTCTGTGATAAGGATATCAAGCGCACATTGACATCACTGGCGCTTAAAGTCATAATTCGCGCATTTCGGTCATCCGACCACCGTTATTTTCAATACATGTCTGGGGTGCGGTGGGGTATAAAGTGGGGCGGCAAGCAGTATGATTTTGTTGTTCCCGACTCCGGGCACGATGTTCACTAAAATTTTTGCTCTTGCCCTCTGTGCGCGACGTCTATATGCCATTCCCGCAGCGAGCACGTCGGTCTCGCAAATATCAGTCACGACTTCCATCGCAAGCCCAACAGCTTCGTTGAGTGCTTCGATACCTTCCCAGTACCCTTTACCTCCAGTACAAGACTGGTGTCCATCTCAAATTTTCTGTGCTGGCGCTGTATGTTTACCGTTCTTCGACTGTTCCCAACGTGACAGATTTTGTAGGTCCTGCAAACGGTGAACGATGCCGGCCTATGGACAGATCCCAAAACTTTTGTGGACAAGGTACGACGCGTCAATTATCGCAATGCCGTCATGTTGACTATTGACAGCCAACCAGCAACTCCTCCGCGAACGTTTTGGCCAACTTTCAACAGCTTCAAACTCAGGACATCACGGAGGGTGATGTTGAACAATTCGTCGACACGAATTTTGGCGGAGAAGGACTTGAGCTCGAAGCTCTAGTGTTATCCGACTTTCCTCAAAACCCGGGCTTCCTTGGGAATGTCACAGATCCATTGCTCAAGGCTTGGTCCCAGACTGTGCACGGTTATTGGTCTCAGTTGATCAGATCCACGAATGCTTCTGCTCTCTGTCCTACCGGCTCTAGTGGAAGTTGCGAAAGTACATTGATAGCCTTAAATCATACCTTCGTTATTCCAGGTGAGCATTTATATTACTCTTTAAATATCACGTCTCATCCAGGCTTATAGGCGGTCGATTCCGCGAGCAGTATTACTGGGACAGTTATTGGATCATCGAAGGTCTGCTCCAGTCTGAACTTTACGACATTGTTAATTCTACGCTCCAAAACTTCATGGACGAGCTAGAACTTTTTGGATTCATTCCCAACGGAGGACGCATCTACTGTCAGTTATCATCTACTTTGGGATCTAACCCGGAATTACTGATCCGTCTTTGCAGACCTAAATCGATCTCAACCTCCGCTTTTCATCCAGGTGAGTGAATGTTTGCATTTGTACTACCATTATAATAAGTTTCTTACAAGATGCTATCACGCTACGTTACGGTTACAAATGATCAATCTATACTTGAACGTGCTCTGCCTCTCGCGGAGGTGAGTCTTTTATATATGCCCATTCGATGTAGATATTGATCCGCTTGTAGAAAGAGCTTCAATGGTGGCAGAACAACCGCACCGTGAATGTGACAAGTCCTTACACGAATCAAACTTACGCGATGGCACGCTACGCCGTCAATAACACCGCTCCTCGTCCTGAATCGTACCTAACCGGTTCGTTCCTTCGTTCAGTTTTGTACTTCGGATAATCAAGCAGTTCTTGAACGCTACCTCATCAGATTATGAGACTGCCCATGGATCCGGTTTGAACCTTTCCACGTCTGAACTATCAGATTTGTACGCCGAATTAGCCAGTGGTGCTGAGACGGGTCAGTTAACCATTACTTCTATATGATGCAAGCACCTTCTGACCTTCTGACCCTCCGTAGGCTGGGATTACTGCTCCAGATATCTTGCCTCTCCTGCTCCAGGTAACGGGGACCTTACCACTTTGGTTGTACGCGAGACCATCCCTATCGATCTTAACAGTATATTGTGTAAGTTGATAACCGTTATGGCAAGCTATCTACCCTGATTTTTCTGTACAGACAAAAATCACGTCCTTCTTGCTAACCTGTATGGTTCCAACAGCACCGCTGCTAATTCTCATCTCAGCCAAGCCTCTTTGATCCGGGAGGGGATCCTTGATCTATTTTGGAATTCAACAAAGGTATGCCGGTCAATCAACCATCTTCTGGAGTTTACTCTTTATTCATTTTCGTTCAGCTTTCCTTCTACGATTTCAGCCTTCGCACGAACTCGAGGAATAATGTCTTCTCAAGTGCCACATGGTATCCGTACTGGTCAGGGATCATCCCAGATGAAGTCCTTAGTAATGAAACGAATGCTTTCAAGGCCTTTTCTGCGGTGAACATGGTCTTGAATCGTTACAATGGTAGCTTCCCTACGACATTCCTCGAAACCGGCTTGCAATGGTTAGTGATCATCTCGTTGCAACATGACCATGATGTATAATTGATTGCTCGCCGCTTACAGGGATAGCCCCAACAGTTGGCCGAACTTGATAATGATTTTACTGTCCGCTCTCAATGAACTTCCATCCAATATCACCTCGACGTCCCTCTCTGCTCTCTCCGGAAACCAATCCTCTTTCGACCTCGTACCTGCAGGCCAGCTCGACTTGGCCGAGTCCCAGCTCTTCGGCCAGCCGGTAATGCCCGGAGTTAATGCAAGCCAGACTGGCAGTTCTGCCGATATCAATGCGCTGAATGGAACAGTGGTAAATGGCGGAAATGCAACGGATGGTGAGGGGTGGGGACGGGCACTCCAGAGAATGGTGGCAAATCGTTATATTGCGAGTGCATTGTGTAGCTGGTTAGTATCTTGTGCAACTAGTGGACCTGTGATGTCACTCAAGATCTCTTCTCAATAGGCATGCTACAGGAGGGTCCATCTCTGGTCTCCTTCCAAGGTTATCAGATGCTGAACTCAATGTCACACAAAGTGTGAACAACACCGGAAATGTAGGCTTCCATCCAAGAAATCCGAAGGGTCTTAATATATCTTGTCCAACAGATGTTCGAGAAGTTTTCTACTACCGACATCGACTCCTCCGGGAGCGGAGGTAAGCTTTAGTAATTGACAACTTTGATCACTTATTCAATCTGTAATCAGGTGAATACACGGTTCAAGTGCGTTTCCCTTGCCAAAGAGATGTCGTTCATCCTTACAATCATTTTTTAGGCCGGTTTCGGATGGACTAACGGTGTCGCTTTGTGGATTGCAAGCAATTATGGAGACGTCTTGGTCGCCCCTCAGTGTCCTGACGTGTTGGTCTCCGCTCAGATTGTAGGAAGTAGTACTACCAGCACCTCTTCGCCCGCCCAACAAACGAGTGCCGCATCGCCTCGAAGGTTCTCAGCTGGCGACGTGATGTTTTGGTTTGGTCTCTTGGTGGTTGTGCAAATATTGCAATGACAAGAAAACGGGTTTATTCAAAGTTATTGTTACTGGTCAGGGACCCCATTGGCATGTGTTTGTCTAACCATCAATTTCTCTGATACTTTTAGCCAATTTGTTAAATCACAGTCACTTTTTCTGTTGATCTTCTGTTATTTCTTCTCATCTGCATATGGCTTTGCAATACCGTTTTATGAACGTTGCGGAGCGCTTGTAACTCCGAAATTGAGAGCCAATGAAAAGTAACACAAGGAGGAAAAAGAGAGGAATAGAAAAGAAAAGAGTTCCATGCAAGTCTTTGCCCCGTGGGGTGGTTATCATATAAATGTGGGGTAGAGGTGCACCCGACCCCACGGAAATTGGATGCTTATGTAATGGTCAACCATTACGCCGGCCGTCGCGTTCCTACTAGTACAGAGGCTCATACTTATTTTTCCATTGGTAGATTCTCTTTCATACTTGCACGAGAAAACCTTGAACTGGATGGCTAATAACAAACCTTGTGCCGCTCAATTTGGGATGCTCACTCAGCCTCACGTACACAGGCAAAGGGAGCCAGAAGAGCGAGAAGGGAGCAATGCGACAGAATGCGACCCCTGAGCTGAACTGAGCTGTTCAACGTGCATCGCACGGATCATTGCTATGGAAATAAAATGGCCATCTTAGAGTCAAGATAAAAGTCTGTCCTATGACACGTCTACATTCAAGTTGTTTTCAATATCATGAGAAGCTTTGACAAGGTTTTAACAAGGTACAGGGTCCTGGCTGTTTACCAGCATATAACAGGACCGTCCTTGTTTTTATAACATGTCATCTTCACTAGCCTTTCAGGCTCCCAGGGGATTCACAGCTATGTTGAGCCTCGAGATCATTGCTCTTGTCTTGCAAGCGTGTGTCTTCGCTAGTCCCTTGGCAGGACCCACCGTCACTCTTGATTCCGCTGTAGTCACTGGAGTAACATCAGGCAATACTCAAGAATTCCTGGGAATACCCTTCGCTCAACCTCCGTACGATGATTTCATCCCACTACTATAATATTGACTATGCTAACTTGTAGTACAGCACCGGTCCCCTTCGGTTCAATCTTCCGCAGCCCGTTCCATCTTACAATGCATCATTCTCGGCCACGGCAATGGGGCCTGCGTGCCCTCAACAAACCATCGACCTTCCAATCCTGACAGGACTCGCAGCGGAAACGATAGACTTCATCGTGAACAGCATTTATGGTTTTGTATTCCCAGACGACGAGGATTGTCTAACGATCAACGTGATTAAACCTGCCTCCGCTACAACCTCGTCGAAGCTGCCTGTCCTTGTGGTGTGTATATTCAAATTTAATTGATATAGCACCATTTTCGTGCAAACTAATGCTTCCTCACAGTGGATATTCGGAGGTATTCCTATAGTCATATTGTATATCCACACGGTTGGACTTACTTAACCTTCCAAGGCGGGTTTGAGCTCGGGGGTCCACAAATGTAAGTCGTATATCATTCGACCATCGGAGAGCATCGTACACATTCAATTGCCAATAGGTACGATGGAACCAGTATCGTTGAACGTTCCATTGAACTCGATGAACCTGTAATCTATGTTTCTATGAACTATCGGGTCACAGGTCAATATGAGTCTAACGTACTTTTGCGATACTAACGTGTCTTGAAGCTTTTGGATTTTTATCTAGTCAAGAAGTTAAGGATGCTGGGGTCGGAAATCTTGGTCTTCAAGATCGTGGGTTGCTTTTTTGATGACCCTGTCCTAAAAATCCAGACACTAATCATGTTTTTACTAGAACGGGAGGCGTTTAGATGGGTCCAAAAGTACATAGGGGCGTTTGGTGGAGATCCGACAAAAGTTACCATGTGAGAATCAGATACACGCTTTACCTCTGTTGCTTTTTTAGCTGACGATAGACGCAATCTATGATCAAGCTGGGGGGAAAGCGCAGGTGCAATTTCAGCATCACTGCATATGGTGAGCAATGGTGGTAATACGGAAGGACTATTTCGTGCAGCTTTCATGCAATCTGGCTCCCCTATACCGGTGGGGGACATTACCGACGGTCAAGCTTGTACTGAGTCTACATTCCTCGCAGTGTCTGTTCACTGACTCGAAACCTAGATTACGATACATTAGTCGAAGCTACTGGCTGTTCTGAATCTAGTGATACATTGGATTGTCTCAGAGGCGTTGACTACACGGTGCTCAAAGCTGCAGTGGATGCCTCTCCGGGTATCTTCGCGTATCAGGTCAGTCGCGACCTTCGTAAATCAGAACTATCCAGCTATAGCTGTGTTCCAGTCTCTGAATCTTGCATGGCTTCCCCGTGCAGATGGTGTCTTTTTGACTGATGACCCTCAAAAGCTGGTACAGCAGGGCCAAGTGTCTGCTATCCCAATTGTCAGCGGTGAGCAATGGTCTACTAGGTTCATTTTATCCACTATTAATTTTGGATTGAAGGCGATTGTGATGACGAAGGAACCCTTTTCTCTCTTGCAAGTTTGAATGTCACGTAAGTTTCGTATTTCGCCGGTAATTCTTGCAGAACGCTCAGCTTAAATCTATCAGGACACAATCTGATATCGCCACCTACGTACAGACAATTTTCCTCCCGAATATATCAGATTCGGACTTGGCAGAATTGTTGACGGAATACCCAGCAGATATTACAGAAGGCTCCCCCTTCGACACTGGGATTTTGAACGCGATCACTCCAGAGTTCAAGAGAATCGCTGCATTCCAGGGGGATGCCGTGTTCCAAGCTCCTCGTCGATTCTTCCTGCAAAGTCTCAGCGGGAAGCAGCCCATTTGGTCATTCAGTGAGTGTCATTGAATCACAGTTGGCCGTTCTAAGTCGAAATGATTGGCACTTCTCCAAAAGTAAACAAACGACTCAAGGACTTACCGGTTCTGGGTTCAGTAAGTCTTCACACGAGGTGTCTCTCTCTATTTACTGAAATTTACTAAAGGCCCACGGCACCGACATTTTGAACGTTTACGGAGGGGGAGACATGGCGGACTATCTCATCCGCTTTGCTGCAACCCTCGATCCTAACGGCAACACTGGAATTGAGTGGCCACAATATACAACTGGTTCCCCTAACATGTTACAGTTCAACGATGGTCTGATTCCGTTGACGCTTTCCTTGGACAATTATCGGGAAAGTGCAATGAGCTTCACAACCCAGTTGACGTTGACAAACCCGGTATGATGCAAGATTCCGCCTCGAGAATTGAGGAAAGGTTGAGTTAGGTATATTTCAATAGTTCAGCGTATATGTGTTCAGTAAATTATTGTGGAGGGGGGCCACTGCATTTCATGCATGGCATAACACTAAACAGAGGGAATGTGTGCGTAATCGATGTGGAGTGATAATGAGTATCGAAGATTCGAAGGTGCCGATCGGAAGTTCAACTTGGCCATGTGCCTCATCAACAAATAAGCGCTACGGAGTCTGGTTCACTGGGGCCGGTGAGACGGTGATCATTGAGAGTACATCTGAGTACATATTATTTCTTATCCTTTCATAAGGCGATCGCCACGCTGAAGGCCTCGTAGTACACAAATAAGTAACAGATTCTAGCCCGAGTTCAACCAAATCTTTTATGTTGGGCCCCAGTTAAAGTACCCGGATACCAAGAGAGCCGACAAATGATCGTATTCGCCATCAAGTGACATCCATATTTAATGCATCCATTTCCATATCAGATCCTCCCAGCTATCCAGCAAGTTTACCACTTTCAAGTCCTTCAGTGCTTCTCTGTGGCTTTGACATGTCTAACACATCCTCTGATGTTATTCCTCAATGGGGAACATATATGCGAGAAATATACTTGAATGGAAAGGGACCTGAGCCTCTTGGAACTGTCGTTTTCGAGGAGATTGAGAAGAAGGCCATCGAAAAGCTTAAAGACCTTCCGGGTAAGACATCACAGCTCTCATCCTTTTTTGCCATGTTCTCACATTAAAACTCAGGAGCGTTCCTTTATTCCGGAGGAAGTGCGGGAACTTGGTCAACCTATACTGGAAACACTATCGCGTTGAACAAGTTTCGAATCATTCCGCGCATGCTTGTTCCTTGTAATAATCGGGACCTTAGGGTATGTTTGTTACACACCTGTTATGGGCTTAACAATTTCTTGACGCCTTTGTCTAGGTCACCTTGTTCGGTGTAACTTACCCCAGTCCTCTGATACTTGGACCTGTGGGAGTTCAAGGGACCTTCACTGCCGAAGGCGAATATGCACCTGCTAAAGCTGCCGCCAAGCTTGGTGTACCCTTTGTTATGAGTTCAGCATCGACTCGGAGTATCGAGCAAGTTGCTCAGGCTAGCGGCAATGGTCCACGTTGGTATCAGCTTTATTGGTACGTTATTTTGGATTCTATCGATGCCTTGATTGATGAATTTTGATTCTCCCAAGGCCGAGACACGAAGAAGTAACGTTTTCTCTGTTGAAGAGAGCAAAGGAAAATGGCTTTACTGGGCTTGTCGTGACCCTCGATACGATGTCTTTGGGATGGAGACCGCACGATCTGGAAAGATCGTACCTACCATTCGGTCACGGAGTGGGGACCCAGGTAGGAAGTTCTGATCCTGTTTTCATGGCTAGACTTGGGAAGAAGCCTATCGCCGATGAGATACCGGAATTCCCTTACGATGCTGTGACCAAACAAAAGCTCCTTGTTGACGGGGACCCAACAGCAAAAGATGCCGCCCAGTTGGGATATGCTTGGCTCGCAGAGGCCAATTTTGGATTTTATCGCTCGTGGGAGGACGTCAAACCTCTCAGAGATAATTGGGAGGGGCCGCTGATCCTGAAGGGAATACAGCATGTAGAAGTACGTGATTTTCATTATTCCATTTTCGGCACGCTGTCTAATGATTTTTCTTTTTTAAGGACGCTGAGAAAGCTATTGATATCGGAGTAGATGGTATTGTTGTATCGAATCACGGTAGGATCAAGTTAAACTCTGATTTTCACTATTACGCTGATGAATTGAACCCTTTAATAGGTGGTAGACAGCTCGATGGCGCGATTCCTTCGATCTATGCTTTAGAGAGCATCATGAAATCCGAAAAGGTCAGAGCAGCCCAGAAATCAGGAAAATTTACTATCATGTTTGATTCTGGAATTCGAACCGGGAGTGATATCATCAAAGCTATGGCTCTCGGCGCCCAAGCCGTGCTTCGTGAGTTCTTGTCATCGCTCATGAAATTCCTCTTCAACTTACGGCGAGATTGTTAGTCGGCAGACCTTGGGTGTACGGCGCAGCTATAGCCGGACAAGAAGGGGTGGAACAGGTTATCAAAATTATTCTTGCTGATTTAGATATCTCGCTCGCTCAAGCTGGATTGAAAGGCGTCGCTGACGTTCTGGGCAGAGCGGACCAAATCTTGACCAAAGTAGATTTTTAGAAAGGGGAAAAGGATCATCACTATGAAAGACGAACGATGTATGATCGGGAAGAACTTAGTTTTGTATAGTATGTATCTCTTGTTGTGTATAAATTCTGAAGCTTTTGCGGAATCTCTTTCGAAATTATGAATATGATTTTCCTCGATCGAGATCTACGTAGGGCAAAGCTGTTATAATCAATCCTGACGGAGCTATCAAATGATATCGAGAGCTATTCCGACGACGGATGGATAAAACAGGGAAAAGAAGTTCAGAAAATTTAGAGAGCAGGAACAGGGGTGAGCTGCGGTGAATGTTGGTGAGCGCTGAGGCCTGAGACTTCGGAAACAAATCGGAAATCGAGTTTCAAGATCTCACAGTCTAGGTTAGGGTTATGACCAGTTTTTCGTGCCTCTTACTCCTCCTCCGCTCTTAATAATTTGTTCACCTTACCTTTGCACTCTTCATCGGAAACGCTGGATTGCTATTCAAAAATCGTTCGGGCAGAAGAAATAGGGCTTTGCGATGCCAACGCTCCACGTGCATTCAAACAAAGAGTCTTGTTAAGCGCCTTGATTGTACAGGATGATATCTTACCAAGGGTATCATCTTAGCGCAAATGCAACATGCTTCTATGATGTGAATTGATCTTGTTTCATCTTTCCCCAGAGCTTCATCTACCCGCTAACGGTGTTTGCACTTTCGAGAGAACATGTCAGTGGAATCTTTGCACTGGATGGTACTACGGAAGGGGACCTCGTCTGAACTTTAAATAGGTGCCCCCCGGCAAGTAATTAGACAGGTTCGGAGAACTCTTTGACTCATTTATGTGGCTGAAAATCAGTGTCCACATATAAGGATCGTCTCGTTTCTCAGCTTTCTCATTCTCGATAGGATAGAGTCACCAAATCATTTACGATCTCTTACCTGGACACTCCCGTCCTCAGCTTCCATCGTCATAGACCATTGCACAGCATTGCTCTTGCTCAACACCTATTTCTTCGCAATCACCTCGTCTTTAATCCGCACCATCACAGTCTGTCCTTTTCCACCTTTGTTGTTGACATCTATTCGACATTGTCCTTCTTGAGACTCACGTTTTCCGATGATTTCCAGTTCATCTTTCATCCTCGACTTTTTAATCTTAACCTACGCGGTTTGCGCTTCTCCTTTACCTCGCTCTGCCGCCGTGGATCCAACTTCCAATACTGGTCTTAGTCATCAGGTACTCTCTGCGATGGTGGTCGGTCTCTGTACGTCGTGATCGTTTGCCTATATCGCTTCCTAACTCATTAGACGCTCTATCAGGCATTTCCATCTTTGCTGTGTCATTATTTCTTGCAGCTTCGGGATGCAAATTTTATCGCCGACGTATGTCTACGAACGTATCCACCACGCGCGCGCCTTATCGTAGTGAAGATAATAATAATGATGATGGCTTACAAATGCAGCCTGTCCCGAGCCAGATCCCACTTACAAGGGTGGATACTCTTCCTCGTTATGACCCTCGTATACTACCGGCATATTCACTCGGCCTTCGTCGGGACTCCGTGCCTCCAGCCCCCCCGTTCCCTGAACGTCCTGCTACACCACCCCCAGCACACACTAAATAGATCGTATGATCACTATTTACCACAGGAATCCGCGATGCCATCACAATTGGTTCTCCCTCCTCCTTTAAATTTGCGCCTCCCTAGCTCCATATCCCGAGATCCATTTTTCTGAATCCCAGGGTCTGACGCTTCGTGAATTCCCATTTTTGCCCGCATTTATCAGCATTTTTCAGTGTCCCCTCACGCACTCTAGCTTTCAGCTCAATCTCTCTCACATAGCTAGCTTCATTATATTTTCGTCTATTCTCTTCGCCTTCGGTTTGTGCTTGAATGTATGATTAATGTTTTGAAATTGCTTCTCGATCTGTTTTCGATTTTGTGTATGTATCGTAGTATAAAAATTCACTGCGCACCTGCCGGCCGTGCTTACTGGTGTGACCGGTGTGACATTTGACCTTATACCACCGCCTGCCACTAGCTGCCACTGTTATGGTCCTGTTCTTCACGTCCGCAGGTATAGACCCGCCGTTTAGGCCATTCGCCCACACTCTAACATCGAATATTAAGTTGTTTCCCCTGCTGCTACTATCTATATGGGCCGCGATAAAGTCGAAAGTACGAGAAATTTCATGGTTGAATTTCTTATATCATGACTCCCATTCTGTTTAGACGAAGAGCTCATCAAGTACGCCTGGCCACAGGACGTTTGGTTTCATGTGGACAAACTTTCCTCTGCTCACGTATACCTCCGAATGCCCGAGCCAATGTCCTGGGAAGCTATACCAGAAGTCCTGTTAATAGACTGTGCACAACTAGTCAAGGCCAATTCTATCGAGGGTCCGTCTGAGTCTTTGACGACTAGTCCTCCAGAAACTAAAATCATGATTCGTCAGGAAACAAAAAGGATAATTTGACCATCATCTACACCCCAGCAGATAATTTGAAGGTGCGTTTCTGATTCGTTCCCTGTTCAGTTCGTTGAACGAATGCAGTTTAGAAAACAGGAGATATGGCTGTGGGACAGGTGACATTTCACAATGACAAACGGGTGAACTTTCTCAAGGCTCGGAAGTTGGCAAACATGGCTTATTGGTGCAAGTCTTGATGATAGGTGAAACGTGGTCAGTATAGGACCTGTGGGCCACCGTAATGACCTTATTCGACAATGCTGAATACTATGCATCTACTTTCCAGTACATGCCGTCAAGCGCGAAAATCCCATCGTCAATCGGTTAAATAAAACCAAGATCGAGCGACAAGTGGATCACGAACAGGAACGAATAGATAGAATCAAGAAGGAATCGGCTATTCGCAGAGCTGCTGTCGCCGAGAAGGTGTGCAATTAATTCACTTCCGGTCAGCAGCTATTGTTCACCGATCTACAGAAAAAGGCAGAATTGGAACTTGCTCGGGCTAGAGAAGTTGAAAAAGCTGCTCGGTCTTACGACTCTCTGTTCAATGGAGAATATAATGACGGCGAAGACGACGATGAGCCTGCGATTGGAGCTAGGAAAACCGGTAGAGAGTTGGAAGAAGATTTCATGTAAGCTCTCGGTGTAACTCGGAGGCACCGAAGCAGGTCGCCCTATATCACTTTCAAGCTGTAAATCAGGTTGAAATTGCATTGCATCCATTTATCTTCCATTCCTATATTTTCCTCTACAGCTAAAATCCTCCAATCATGATCAGTAGCTGATCAGTAGTAGCGCAAGCGCCGTTCAATTCATCCAAAACGGCGTGCCTTCATTTGCCTAATTGTCATGAGCACTATATCGTTTACCCACATGAAAATGATCAAACCTATCCAAGGAAAAAACCTCGAGATACCACGTTTCTTGTTCTTCAGCCCATCTGGTGAAGGACCATCGAAACGGCCAGTCGAGCCATCACTAGGTGCCCCCTCCGACGTTCCTGGTGCGCTCTGGGCCGCCAATGCCTGTGTGGAGTCTTTCGCCTGCTTCTTCTTCACCACGGGGGTGGAGATAGGGTTATGGCTAGCAGCAACACCGTATCGGGATTGAAGGTCCCCGAACGCGGCTGCGTAATCTTTCTGTGGTGTCTGGCGGGGATTCAAAGGCACCCTCGAAGAGATGGTGTTCGCGTTAGATACGAGAGAGGTGCTGGATGTACTAGCTGGAACTTTGGATGTCATTTTTGACGCGTTGAAATTGGGATTATCGCAAATCTCTTATAAATTGTCTATCCTTGGTCCCGAGTCAATTTTCCCTTCTGTGAATTTAACTGTGGCACAGTATCATGGGCAGTTTACTGTGTAAATCGCAGCACCCTGAACCCTGAGCACCTGAGCCTCATAAGTATCGGCCCCGAATTTTGACTCAACGTCGGTAGTACCGTTATATTACCGTTCACAGGTCTGCGCGCTAACAAGCAGCCAACTTCAGCCTTGAACATAACTATGTATGCGGTAAAATCTTATGTGGTTTTCTCGACTGACTATGTATACATATACATTTGGTCGATGTTTCAACATGGATATACCATTTGAGCGCCGGGCCTCAGAACCAGCTATGTATCCAGAAAAAATGCATCGCAATCTATTGCCGCCATACATGCTGTATTGCACATGTGTGTATTCATTCAGAGAGGATCCGGATAGGAAACAGTCCAAATTATGTTTCGAAAGAGCGGCATTGAGTACTTGATACTCTAGAGATCTCCTACATATGTAGGAGGCAATAATAAAGGTCGGCTTTATCTACTACTATGATCATGGTCGTTCATGAAAGTAATTACAAGAAAGAAAAGTGGTCGGTCGGCATGAGACCTAGACCGCTGTAGATGCAGTTGAATAGGAGAGTGTAGAATCATTGTCCTGACGAAGGTCCTTGAGGACATCGTCATCTTGGGAATAGAAGATCAATCCTTTCCAAAAAGCGGCGACAGTCAGTATAAACAGAACCGCCCACGTTAAACACATTAGGATTGTCATGACTAAATGGACGTCATATAGTCCAGGAATGTGGAGGACGTCACCAAGGACTCGTGTGGTCGAAATCCACCCAACGTTTCTGTGAAGTTGTTTGGGTTACGGTTTGAGGAATGATGACTGAACATAACTTACGGAAAGGTCAGTGCCCAGCAGCCAAGTATTTCTTTAAGGTGTTTATGGACTTTGAACCAGTAGGGCAGAACTCCGAAGACAAAGAGGAATACAGCCAATCCGTAGAGCATCAGCGCTGACAGAACACTGCTGGCATACCAAATGTCCCCTGCAGTTGGAGTAATAAGGCCATGGGCAGCGAGACTATTCGGAATGTCAAGGAAGCATTGGGAGGTGGGATTTTTACGCACATTTTTCTTGCATGATCTCCTAGGTTGAGTCTGCGATTGGGGGTAAGCAACTCGGAGCCATTGACTACAATGTATGACTCACAGTGCAAGTGCAGTAAATCCAGGTGGACCTATAGTTTGATGACTGAGTCCCATCGATTTTACCAGGGAAATTCAGGACTTACCGCATGCCACAAAGGCTCCATTTGCCTGATGACCATCGAGGAAGCCGGTCTAGGTAAAGTCGCCGTAGATATAACGAAGTTGAAGGGTGTTTGAAAACATACTTACGGACATAATGCGAATGATGTAAATGCAAAGGTAGAAGAAGGTCATAAAAAATCCAATTCCTGAGGAAACCGTTATGAATTTTGGACCGAGCCAAGGAGCTAAAAATTACCCTGAAAGAAATAGCCCAAAACGAGAACTCCGACTGCTCGGGTATCCGCAGGGTTCATTACTTTCAACACATTGAAGGCGACGACTCCCACAAGCATCTGTGTACAGAGATCAGCTCTTCATTGTTTGGACGGAGGGATGACATACCATCGGGAAAATCAAGAAGGCGTAAGCAGGAGTGAAAGTAGCCAGATCGTGTGGTTGGTTGAACCAAATCATTAGCATAGGTAGACAAGTTAAACAGGCGAAGGCGACATAAATCCTGTCGAACGACAATATATGATTTCAAGCCTCCGAAATGAGACTAGTAGACATACCAGAACAGGACGTAGATGAAGCCCGGACTAACATAACCTGGGGGTACAGCATAGTTTATGGTGCCAATGATAATGGTTGCAAATGAAAGGACCTACGGATGGCGACTCAGACCTGTATGTAGATAAAGTACGGAGTTCAACACTTACGACGAGTGGCACAAATATTCCTTTCACAGGGTCGTTGATCAGCCTCCATGCTTGCCTTGGAAATACTTCAGGCATTCCTTTTAGATCCTCCTTCAGATGAAAATATAATGCTCACGTATTGCTTGCGTCATGAGAGTAGTGGTGTTGAGGATGAACAACGAAATGTTCAAGAAATAGAATATGGTCTCGACGGTAGTGAGTGTTGGTGAGTGCTCTTTGAGTCCGGAAAGCGTCACATAGACTGCTCCAGTACCCATACCGATTGGAAACTGTGTCGGGATGGTCAAACAGCAGAACCATAACTACAGGTGTGGATGCGCTACTCACCGCTTGCCAGGACCAGCCATGGATTCTGCGCGCCAGGGTGCCAACTCGCTGCTTCTCGGACATATTTGCAGAAGATGAGATGAAGGACGTTGCGTGGGATGTGGATATGAAACCACTTTGTGGTAAGGTGATTCAAAAATGATGTGCTTCCAAGTGGAAGACGTTTTAAAGGAGAAGAATGTGTTAGTATGTGGATGTTAAGAAAGAAACGTGTTGGGCCCGCCAATGTTAAGAAAGAAACGTGTTGGGCCCGCCAATCAGACCATACTCCAAGAGCTGTCCCATACTTATACTCGAGTAAGTATAGGCAAGTATCCAAATTTCAACTCACGAATTCCCTCCTTTCGGATATATCCCGAAGCGAGAGTGAAATGAACAACCTTGGCTATACAATCTGCATCAGTTGAATCATCAGCCAAGAGATAACCACAGATATCCGTGAACAATCTACTAAAAAGTGTGCATACCAGTGAGACATGCCACCACACTGCTATTGTGCAGGAGAGGCGACACAGGACTCGAAGTTACAGGAGTCTAGTGGCAGCAGTGTAAACTCGAGAGGACTATACAACTTTACGAGCAAAATTGTGGTGAACAGTCGAAAAGTCTTGGCTTGGGGGCAGCCCATATGACAACAGATGACAACACTGCATAAGATCGCACGGCGGCACATCGCTATTCGAAACACGAACCCCTACAAAAGCGCACAGGAGAGGAAAGGAAGGGATATAACCGGCACGTTATTCAAAATTTCCTTAATACTCCGTTTTCCGATCACAGTTTTCCTTTCAGCTCTTCATACACCTTTTGTAATTCTTCCTTTGGAACTTCCTTGGCGGGCCAACCGACAATTAAACCCTCTTCTTCATTGGGCTTTGGGATGACGTGGAAATGAACGTGTTGGACGACCTGAATGCTCGAACATATATAAACCGGGCAAATGTGATCTGTAACAATGTTTGAAGTCGAACTCACCTGATGGGCCAGGGCTCCATTATTCTGTAGAATGTTGTAATTCTCTGCACCTTGTGCAAGCGCAATCTTTTTTGCGATTGGCAGAGCGTCCGCAAGATATTCGTCTGGAAGTTCGTGCATCTTGGCAGCATGGTCTGAGAGTAATGATAAGGAAGTGATTGGGGTGAGTCTGATTAGATGATGAAGCGAGGACGGCTCACATTTCGGAATGACCATTGAGTGTCCCTTTGACATGAATTGAGCGTGTTTGACAAACAACGTGCTAGGAGCGCCCACTCACAATGGCGATAGGACCAACGTCGAGGAACGAGTAGCTGTAAAAATGGTTTAGTCAGAAACCATGCTCAGAATCATGGCATTCATGACACGAACGAGAGGTCTGTTTCAATGAGTTTAAAGCTCGGTATCTCGCCTACAACCAAAGACAAATCACTTAGTTCAAGCCTAAGGTTCAAAGTTCGGTGAGATTAACATGCATACCTTTGATGATCTTGCAGAAGATACATGAAGCAAGAGACCTGTGACACGATGGTTATATTTCTTCACTCAATGTAAAACGAATGCATAAGTACTTGGAAGCCATTTTAGATGAAGTTTGTAGGAATTGTCGACCCCAGTGATCAGTGATTACGACATAAGTTGGAGCGGCATGATAAAGCGGCGACGGAGGTGCCGGTGATCAATGATTACCGCGGTCACGGACAGTCACTCAGGCCGGTCATCGTCGCGCCTGGCGCATCCTCTGATTTTGATTCACCCTTTTTGTCACTCCCTTACTCAAGGACGTCTCATTAAGTGAATCTGGTTTTCTCTTAGCTGGAGTCCAGACTCTCATGTCCAAGATTTGTAACCAACGTATATTTTCACGAGTTGTCCCGGGGAGCGGGATTTTACAGCTGATCATGGGGAACTGTGTCCCACATGGTTTTAACCATCTTTCCTGCCTCTCAAGGAGATAGTATGCTTGTCACTCATGATGTTATTATTTGGTTACATTCCTACAGATTGGGGTATCACCGCACATCATGGGCACTTGGTCAGGCCTAGGACTCAGAGTCTGTCAAGCCATGGAGTCAGTTGGCAGACCTCCATCTGTAGGCTAACTCCAAGCCCCAAAGGTAGTCAATGCATGCAATACTTATATGCACCATCATCTGTATGATGGCACTCACTCACTACCTCATGTATAGGCAAAAGCCATAGACTGGTAGATATTAAAATACAACACCCTACTTCAGTGACTATACGTCTCTGCTAACTTGGTCTTCACATATTCTCCTGCTGTGATGATCTCGTATTGAAGAGGTCGGTCGGGGGATACGCAACCAGGAATGGGCTGTGTGCACATCGATATGAAGGCTCATACCGATAAATAAGAATATGTATGAATGGCTTACTTCCAGTTTGGCATCCCAGTTGGCACCCACAAACAATGGTATGGAATATCGGCATACACCGCTTCTATTGATAGCACGATGTACGGTGGACTTGAAGATACCATCTGGAGATCCAAATCAGCGGAAAAAAATTCGAAAATTCAAAATGCATGTGCACGTACTTGTCCATCGAGCAAATTGATCACCTAGACTACGAGAAAAAAATTAATGGTATATCGTACAGTGGCGGAAGACCAACTTGATAACAAAAGTTCCTAAACACAAAGAATATAAACAGGTCAAATGAAGTAGACAAACGTAATTTACAAGACTGACCCGGAATTGGGGGAGCATTGATCCACTCTTTTTCAGAGTTGAGGACTTGCAACGCCTGAATACCCGGTTCCTGCCAGAGGATTGTGAAACACTTATGTTGAAGATTAGACTACGTCGAGGTCAGAATGCTAAACCTTGGCAAGACACAGACCTCCCAGCTTATGGACATCACTTTATGAGTTGCGAAAAGATAGATTGAAATACTTACTCGCTATGGGCGCCAATGCCGATAATGTGATCGTCCGTTACGTCTTCTTGCGGTGGATAGCGGAGGGTACGCATGAGCGCAGCAGCATTGTTCGTCTGAGACGAAATATTTAGGTCAGGGAGCGGACGGAACCAGGAGGAACCACCTTTTCTTCGAAAAAATCTTCTTCTAAATCTAGCGCAAGAGCAAAGATCGGGAATAACACTTTCCCAATATTTGCCACTGCTTCGCTAATGGTATCGTGGATTAGTCTGTGAATCTGAAATTATGAATTCGATGGAAATCTTTAACTAATAGCGAAGTGCGGCCTCTCGAAATTTGGGTAGTTCAGGAGGCCAAGTATTGAGTCCAATGCTATGGCCATTTTCGGAGACCACATCATGATCCAGAAGATTCAAGGGCTCCCCAGTGAACTCGAATCCCTCTTGAAAATCACCCCCGCCATTAGGATCGTTGTTACCACTGAGCAAAGCTGAATATCCCATCATGTTAGGTGTTGTTTTGTTTTCAATCTACGTCATGGTAAGTAAAGGTTTCGCAGTAGGTCATAACAAGAGGTGCAAGCTTTCCTTCAGTTTTGATTCCAAAGGTAGGGCAAAGAACTCCTTCGACTGTGATACAAAGTCTTCGATAAGCGTCTGGGGAACACCGTGGTTGGCGACTATCAATATTAATCAGAGAGGTCACTTGGTGCGATTGAAGAGGCTCTATGTACCGTAGAAGAAGCCTACGTTGATGCAAGCATTTCGAATCTCCGTAGCTAAAGCGCGTCGGACTGAAATGTCGGCCCCGTTACTGATTATATGAGAGAGGTCACTACAACGTCATTTGTCTACGTGAGCGACATTTTCTGTCTTCGAGGGTAAATTGCTAGTGCACATGATAGGAATAGTTTTGAATGAAGTTTGAGCGATATCTGCACTGTGGATCAACGACATGATAGAGCAAATAAGACCAAGGTGAGATAAGCGCCGGTATCAATATCTATTTGTTAAGAGATTATGTACCCTATATACATAGTACTGGAACATACAGTAAAACATAGGTAGAATGAGCCATTGGCATGGATGGAGATTTTAGTAGACAGAAAGCATTCTGATTTCACTACTGTATTTTGAACATCTGCACTATGACCTCCGGATTCTCATTTTGGCCCTCAACGTCCTGTATTGTATAGTGTATCTCGACGTCAATCTCACGAGAGTTCGAGACACTTTTGCGGCAATGAAAGTGGCCATATACGACATATCCTAAACAAACCCATGTTCAATCCCGTATGAACTATCGAAAGAATAGGTCACCAACCTTCATCTACCACGAAAGGTTCTTTCAGCAAGAACAGAGTCTGTTTCCAGTGAGTGGGGATACTGATCAAACGCATGAGATGCCACCCCGATAATCAGATGATGTTCATCACACCTTTTCGGGCCCGTACTGAAACTTGTCACCACATCCGTTTTGGTTGCATCACCTGCAGGCTTTTCCACAGACTTTTCCTTCTTGTGATGCTGGCTCATGCGTCTTTGAGGCGCAGGTCGCCCGCCCAAAGGCCAGACTTCTGCGACAACAGCATCGTTTTCCTGTATAACATCTACCTCCTTTTCAGAAGCGACTGGATTGCCAGACGCGGTGAAGAAAGTGTCAAAATATAGAATGAAGGCAGTGACTTTGGTACGTCGATCGACTGAAGATGTCAATTTGAACGAGGATATGAAGTCGAGCTGGCGGGTAGTAATCGAGGAGAGATGGAGTTCCTAAGGGTGAGAGTCAGAATAATCCGAACGAACCATAAACAAAATGGGATCACGACCTTCACGACAGACGGGGTGCTTAGCATAGCATGAGATCCAACGACATCGATGACAGCTTCATGATACAATTCCTCTGCCATAACTGACATATCAAAGCCTATGACCGCAGATTCAAAGACAGTCTTAGAAGCATCAAACAGATAGTACCCACCATAAACATCGTTCCAAAAAGTTATGCGGTCCTTCACTATTTCACTAGCATCACATAGCCCAAGCATCATTTTAGAGTGGGCGGGAGCCATAACACCGTCAAGCTTCAAAAATCGGTCTCGGGCAACCAAGACAGAGTCAAGCATGCTTTCGTACAACAACGCATATCCCATCCATTCGGAGATGATAACATCAACTTTGACTCCTTCAGGTAGCTGGATGTCTTCGACCTTTCCTCGGATAACAGTAATGACACTGTCCAAATCATTCGCTTTTACGATTTTCTCGGCCTTCATAGCGATGTCTGAAGCATCCACAGCAAAAACTTTCCTTGCACCTGCCCTTGCAGCAAAGAGAGAGAGGATACCAGTGCCGCAGCCAACATCAAGGACTATAGCGTTTTCAAATACAGAGGGTGTTCCGAGAATATAGCGTGCATAGGTGGATGTCCGCACTTTGTCCTGGATCATGACTGCGTGAATGTCATTAGCGCCGTAGCTTTCGAAATAATGAGAATCATCATCGCGCTTTGGTGGGAGACCACTGGGCTCTGCAGTTTGCCCAAGGTTGAAACGTTGGTTGACGATCTTTCGATATTCCTGAAAGTCGCGTTTTGTTTCTGTTAGTTTCTGTTCTAATAATCGAATGCGTCGATCCGTAGAAAGAGAATCTTCATCTTCGGAATCAGTCCAATCGTCAGGCTGATATCCTAAGGCGTGTTGAAAGATCTTAGAGCGGGTAAGATACGTGCTCGACTCACGAAGCATAGGATCATCCTCCACAACTGGACGAAGAAAATCATCACTCGTGAAAAAAGATTCTTTTCCCGTCAACGATGTGATATTGGCAGGGGCGGGTTTCTACATTAAGGACATTAAGATGGGATTCAAATCTCTGAATTAAAAATCGTGTACAGTTTGACGAATGAAATTTATCAATCGTATACGCCCGTGCACATCCAGTGCTGAAGAGTTGTATGAGCCACGAACGATGCCCAAATTAAGTAAAAAAACGAACATAATCTTGCGCAAGCCTCGTTCAGATCAAAACCATGAGCTGCCTTGTCGTATGCAATGATGTCTTCTACGTTGCCAGTCTTGTTGTCAAAAAGAGATCTGCAGTCGCCGCGTTGCGTACTCGAATCAGAGATCCAATCATCCCAGGTTTCGTCTTCGTCTTCGTCGCTCGAGGGTAAATTGGCATCGTGGTCATCCTCGATGATTGGATCGGTAGGATGAAAATGGATGCTCATAAGGAAGATTGGGCGCTAATTTTCAAGATCTAACCACCATCATGCAGCCAGCGTTTGACTTTACACAATGGCCTCCCCTTATATCTAACAAAGATCGTAACGCTCTACAGTACCGTGCTACTAGCTATGCTCTAGCTCATGGCTTACTCTATCTGCCTATCGGTGTCCAGCCTCCGAAACTCACTTCAGCAATACATGCCCCGATATCTTTGTTTCCTACTCCCTTTCCAAGAGATCAGTTCGAGCAAGCACAGAGGCTACAGTCTATCTATAACATACTATACTCGCGCATTGCGATGGATATTGAGTTCTTGGATCAAACTATGGGAACTGAGGTAGGGGTAGGGCAGGTGGATGAATTCACTGGCCAACTATGGTCGGGATGGCGTGATTTGCGCGAGAGAGGACTTGCTCAAGTGCATGTTCAGTAATTCGCCTTTCGAAATCCGCTCATTGGTATCGGTAGCCGTTGCATCTAGGTTTATTTCGATCTGACTATTTACTGCATCAACGGGACTCCGAACTGTCCCTTAAGCAGGTGGAATTCAACACCATATCTTCCTCTTTCGGAGCCTTAGCACAGAAGACTGCTGAGATGCATCGGTAAGCAACCCGTACGTGATGCAGATCTACTTTGTTCATCATCGATACTTTGAAGGAGTTTGGAAATCTCGACAAAATTTTACACCAACTCGGCTCATTTAACCGCTAGCAACCTGCCTCCTAATCATAGCACGTCGGGTTTGGTAGAAGGACTAGCGGCTGCCCATGCGGCGTACAATGTTGATGGGTAATAGCTTTTTTGAGGTCTCCATCAAGTATGTTCTTGACCCTCCCGCAGGTCGAGGATCCTCTTTGTCGTTCAAACTGGCGAGAGAAATATCTTCGATCAGCTTTGGTTAGAATATGAGCTTTTGGAAAAGTAATTCATCTTCCATCAAAATGGCACATGCTTGTCACTGATCGCTCTCTAAAGATACTCTATTCACGTCGTCCGGCGTACATTTGACGAGCTTGCTCATCAAGTCAAATTATCGGAGAAAGACTTCGCGCTAATTATAGAGTCTCCAGACGAGCGTCCGGTGGAAATTTCTACAGTCTATTATAGATCAGGATACACCCCGGATGATTTTCCTACCCAAACACAGTACCAGACCCGGTTCAAACTCGAGCGTTCTAAGGCTATCAAATGTCCTTCGATACCTCTTCAACTTGCGGGAGGCAAAAAGGTCCAGCAAGTACTCACTGAACCTGGGGTCCTCGAGCGATTTCTTTGCGATGAGAAGAAATATGGCTCTCAAGGCGTGTTTTCCGCTCAAGCCCTTGCCGATCTTCGGACAAGCTGGATGGAGATGTGGCCACTAGATTTAGATGGTGACGCTGGAGTTGGCCAGGCTCGAGGGAGAGCTTTGGAACTTGTTCTCAAGCCGCAACGTGAAGGAGGGGGGAACAATGTTTATAAGGAAGCCATACCGGAATTTCTCGTTTCCCTACCTCCGAGGGAGCGGCCAGCGTGGATTGCGATGGAGCTGATTTCTCCACCTTTGGGATTGAAGAACTATCTAGTGCGTGCAGGGTCGGAAGAGTGTGTCGAGACAGAGGTGGTAAGCGAACTAGGTATATTCGGTTGGTCGTTGTTTGGAGAAGGGAAAGTCATAAACGAGAAAGAGGCTGGATGGCTAGTGCGGACGAAGGGCAAGGACAGTAATGAGGGTGGTGTTGCTACTGGATTTTCAGTTTTGGATTCTCTAGTTTTGGTCGATTAGTGTAATATACACGATCTAAACTTCTAAAGATACTAGTGTACGCAGCATAGTCGTCCTACTACTATACAATCGCTCAGAACTCCAGGATCGTCTGGATTAATTGCGGCGCTTTACAGTATAATGTACGCTCCGATGTTTTTCATGGAAGGCAGAAAGTATATCGAAGAATTATCTCCACATGATAACTTTTTCTTGATTTTCCCCCCTCCTTTACCCGGAATTTCACCGATCCAGGTATATAGAAATGATGCGGCAGCGAGCTAGAGATTGCTTTGGTGTTCCAAAATGGTTCTATTCACAGCTCTCCTCATCAACACCGCAATTGCTCTTGCTACTGCATCCTTGTATTGGGATGGGCGGGTTCCACAGACAATGACTGAATCGGACCTTGATTCCTCGATTGGTCCATACTTGACGTTCGTGTCTACGATATACTATATCCTCTAATCTCAGTAATCATGTCTATGCCCCACTAGCGTTGTCAAAGGGAGTGAGGACGCCTCGCATGTAGTATTCGTTTCGTCTTATAAATTTGAGTCGACCGTGCTAATTCAAGTCACGATATTAGTACACAACTCTTCTCGGAACAGATTCGACGCCAACTCCTCTTTGGAGTTCGGTCGTCTCAGAGCAAGTCGTATCACTTACCATAACGAATAGTTCTATTTTCGTTCCAGGGGGCAGTACTCCCCAGAATGGGTTCCGCAGGACAGACCTTATTGCTCAGGGTAACGGAAGTAACTCTGCCCTAGACGCTATAATGGAAGTTGGAGTTTCGAAATTTTACTTCTCTGTCCAGGAAAATGAACAGCTTCCCTTGAACTACTCGCATGAATACCAAATTGTATTCATAGAACCCTCAGACGGAACCCATGTTTTTGAACTTCAGTTAGGTTAGTTGTCAAGTTAGGTGCCAGTGTAGATATTATCCTCTCTAACACGAGGCTTCATAGGCACACCTTTCAGCAACCCAAGTACAACTGAAGTTGCCGCTGATGCAAAATTTCTGAAAGTCCGGGATCATGCGCTCAATTTATTGTTCGAAACCCCCTTTACTGCTGGTCGATGGCACAATTTCGCAGTCCAGGTCGATTGGAAAAATTTGACTCTTCAAGTTTTTTACTCCGTTGGTGCTGCAGAACTAGTCGCCGTTACCTCTGTAGCCCCGAATCCCACTGCTGCAACAGGGTCAGCGGGGCAAGGTGACTTCCATGCTGCCCTCTTAAAGGTGATCAACACTCTGCTTTGACAGTATAAGCAACTCCTTCATACCTTTGTCCTTCAGCTTCCTATCGTGGACCCAAGTGAACCTGCTGCAGAACAAAATGACGTTGTGCATTACGGGATCCAAGAAGGGACCACCGAGGGATTATTTTATTCAGGTCTATTCGTCGAACAGGTTTCGGTATGAGACTTAATTGTGTACATATATATTGAGTGGAATTCTATACCTGAACTGGAACCTCATAAGCTTTTCGAAAATAGGGACATCAACAAGATTATGTCGTTCATAGAATTACCCTTGCTGTTTGCTCCCATCTGAGCCCATATGTGATCATTCGCTGTAGCAGCCCCTATCTGAGACCACCTTCATTCTCACCATTTGCCCATTCTCCGTCCATATCACAATAGATTGTACGTAAGGTAGGGGACTAAACGATTTACAGATCCTAGAACTAGCAAAAGGTTCATAGTTGGTGACTATGATTCGGCGACATCCAGTTCAAGGTAGCAAGATAACTGTCCCAATCTAGACTGTTTATTCATACAGTAACATAAGAAATTAATCAGATTTCAAGACAGTCACTCACTCAGATCCTACTCCCATTGGTGCATCATTCCACATATTCTTGAGTTGTTCATCAGTGTCAAACATCGACTGGGGGACCATGGGGGTATGGTGGTTGTTATTGAGCAGTTGTTGAAAGTCCATAGATGATAATGACTCAAGCCACGGTTGCAACATATTGGGAATCTCGACAGAAGATTGATTGGATGGTGGAGGTGCGGTGTCGGTGGAGGATGTCAATTGAAGCGGAAAATCACCCAAGACAGCAAGATTATGTAGAATGTCACTATATTCAAATTAGCCTAGACACAATTCACATGTATATGAAAATCTTTACCCACCGACGTTGACCAGCAGTCCAAGACCTTCTTCACTTTGAGTCTCCATATTATGGAAAAGAAAATGATTTTACCTGGATTCAGCATTTTCAAGGACTCGCATACAGCCATGGACACCGGCCATAACACCTGCAACATCAATGGCCTTTCCTGCACGCCTGGCGCTGAATAGTTTGAAGAAGAGAATAATTGCAGATGTGAAGGCAGTATGCTGCATTTAACATTAGGTACAGTTATGAAGAGTGTTTACGGATGGGATACACACAAGTAGCAAACTCGGAACAAGGACCGTTGGTGCACGACAGGAAATAATCAATGCAATTCCACTATTTGCACGAGCTGCATTGTCACAGCTTGCAAGACATGAGTATGTGATAGAGGTTGGTTTACCGCCGGGGGCAACAAATGGGTGATGCACTAGGACTCTCAAGTCATGATATGCTGAACTGAGCATTGCGGCTTGAACAAAAAACAAGGGATCTTCTATGGTTGCAGAAAATCGTACTACAGGATGGATTAACAAGGTTTCTTGTCCCATACTTAATTGTCATGGCTTACAGTGGGCCGGTATCTTAGCTTCCCAGCTATTGATCTTGGAGTCTAATTGTGTTACCAAGCGCTCCTCCCAACCCTGGCCAGTGTAGCCGAGAAATACTTTGGATTTATTGATGGAGTACTGAATGAAAGATGTTAGAAATCCAAAATGATACCATGATTTGTTATCAACATACAATTGTTCTTAGAGCATAAGAGAGGATGAAACTAACTTCGATGAAAGATATGATAAATGCAATCTTGGATGGCTTTCCTGGAGGCTGCTTAAAGGATTCCTCTGGGTCTGATAACAACCAGAATTCATCATCACAGTCAATGGGATAGTCAAGGTCAAAACTGTGCATGAAAGTGAGTGGATCAATCTATTCGAACATTGACAAATCTTTACTCTTCATCGTGTAAAGAGCAGGGTCGCCCCAATGTAAGACAAAATTGCCTGTCAAGGATATACAAGCACCTAGTCATCGTGGATGGTTCGGAACAGACTTTCGATTCCGAACAAGTTAAAACGAACCAAAACGCGCGCTTCCACAGCTCATCAACGGCAGTCAATCTTGAGGAATAGACCTTTTTTCTGTGAGCACCAACTGCTTGAGCTAACCGAAGACCAGCCGAGATGAGAGACCAGCCTTCCTCCTGAGAAGGACAATCTTGAATGTAGATAGTATACAGCTATATCATTATCATGAGTGGTAACAATCGAGAAGATAGCGTGCCGGACACAAACCACTATTGCTTGCAAGTTGTACAGGTTTGGAACAGTTAACGTAGCCTTATTGTAAAGGTTTACTTGCGAAAACCATTTCCAACCAGATGATAGCCAAGATCCAGTTTTCTCCAGTACTACCCTTGGATCTGAAGAAAATCTGGACCCGATTGCAATGACCAACATTGCAACGTTGGCAAATTGAGGATCACGATAATGAACGCCTTGAGTAATTAACGTTTCGAAGGTGGGTCGGTGTAACAGGGCATACAGGTAGTTGATGTGTTCAAAGTATAACGCAACGAGGGAGTCAAACAGATCTTTCTCAGGAAACGTAAAGAGATTGAGGAATATCTCCGGCTCTGATTCCCACTACATTAGAAGACGAGAACAGTGAAAAAAAAGTACACAGAAAGCTTAGCGTGAAATGGCCTACTGGGAACGATGACCAAAATTCAGGACGTTTGTACAGTAGTGTAGGAGGTGGCAATTGCTTCGAGGGAGAGGCCGAATACTCTGTGGTCTGACGTCTATGTTCAAAGATGTCCGAAACAAGCTTGGAGTTACTGGATCGCCCGTGGAATCTGGGACTCATGCTAAGTGAGGAGATACCTTGTTGAAGCATGGTGACACCATCGAAAGTTTCGTCGTTATCACTAAGTTGAAGCTCGAGCTCTTCTTTACCATTGACATCGGCATTAGGAGGTAGTGTTTCGAGAAATCCACTAGCTTCGTGTTCACTGACATTGTCGAGCATTTCTACTGCAGAGTATCTAGCCGAAGACGAAGGGACTGGGGAGGCAGAGCTCTGCGCCTGACTTTCATATATAGTTCAGATGCTTTTGATATTGAGTCTCTGGACATACCTGTTTCAGCAACAACTCAACCTCAGATAGTCTAGATTCGAGGCGTTCAATGTAGCTATTGAGCAAAGACTAAGAGGAGGATATCTGCCAAGGGGCTGCAATGCTCACTCTTTGGAAATCACTCGATTCTAGGGTTGAACGTTGAAAGTTAGTACTAGTACAAGACGATGATCAACACTGCAAGGCTCGCGTACTTTGAAAGTACCCGTATAGGTACATGATAACTTGGCCATCGTACAAGTATTGCAACTCCCATCACCGTTATTCGTACTAACACCTAACATCAAGTTGAATGTAGCCAAGCTGATCCAAAGTCGAAACTAAACTGACATCGCACTTTCCTTTTTTCATTTATCAGTATTAGAGCCAACCTGGGAGCGGGACTACATCACCTCCTCTTGCAAGTATCACAGCTTGTACCTTTCCGAGTTTTGGTGCTCGTGCTCATGTTGTAGGGACTCTTGACTGGTACCATTGCGAGGTAATTCAGCAATTCGTGCGGCCACGTGCAAGATTGTGATCCCGGAGATCCGAGCGCTGAGCGCTGAGCTGGCGCGCGCACTTTCTTATTTCAGCAGTGTACTACAATTCAAAATCTTCAGTCTTCCTTCTTCTCGTGCCATGTTGGCTCTTCTAAGTCTTCCATTCATTTGCTCTTGGTTTGGACAGGTATCTTCCAGCCTCACGCCATTCGTTTTGCATGAACGACGCTCTCGTTCTCCAAGCGGTTGGGTCCCCGAACGCAAACACGATGCTTCTGCAGTTCTTCCTCTACGATTCGGACTCAAGCAGTCCAACATTCAGAACTTAGAGGAATACCTCTATGATATTTCCGATCCTGATTCGTCCAACTTCGGCAAGCATTGGACACCACTAGAGGTTGCCAAGACGTTCGCGCCCAGCGCCGAGAGCGTCAAGGTAGTTCATGAATGGTTGATAGATAATGGTATACCTAAGGATAGACTAAGGATAACACCAAGTCAAGGCTGGATTGAAGTGGATGCCACAGTGGAAGAGGCGGAACACCTGATACTTGCGGACTATTATGTTTACAAGCATGAATCTGGTCAAGAACACATCGGTGCGTATAATTACACGTCCTTCATTTGCAAACGTGTCGACTGAATCCCTCCGTTCAGCTTGCAATGAATATCATCTTCCCCAACACGTCGCACCTCATGTTGAAATTGTTACTCCCTCTGTCCATTTTGATGCTATAATTCGCCCTACACCCATGAATAGAGATACTGCTCTGATGAAAACGGACATCACTGTCGTTAATACAACCTACTTGGGAGTCGGACACTGTGATACCCAAATTTCTATTGACTGTCTGCGCGCGCTTTATGATTTTGATTACACTCCGATCGCGTCCGGTCGGAATAGTTATGGCATAGGTAGGTCACTGTGATTTTTATCGGTCCAATATTGTTTTAACCTCGTTGTCACTAGTCGAGTACACGCCTCAAAGTTTTCGCCAGTCAGATATGGATCTATTTTTCACCAATTATTCCATTCCTGAACTCATCGGTCGCCCTCCTTACCAAGTTTCTATCGATGGAGGTTTGTGTGGATGTCTACATGTCATCTGTTACTGACACGAGCTACATTTTGGAAGGTTATCAACAAACTTTCAACCAGAGTTTTGATTATGTTGGAGAATCCCATCTGGATCTTCAATATGGAATGGGGCTGGTTACCTCCAAGTTAAATGTCACATTGTATCAAGTGGGCGACACTGTTAATCCGAGTATAATCGCCGTGTATTTTCCTGTTCAGGAGTTTGCTAAATCTATCTCCAGACACATCGTTCAACAATTTCCTTGATGCTCTTGACGGTTCTTACTGTACCTATGAGGGTGGAGATGACCCCACGGTGGATGCGATTTATCCTGATACGCAAGCGGGAGGATACGATGGTACATAATTCGGCGTCAAATTAACTGTTTTGCTGTTTTAATTATTTGCAGGCCCGTCAGCTTGTGGTACCACCAAACCCGCAGCTGTCATCAGCACATCCTATGGATACAATGAAGCTGACCTTACCCCTTTCTATGCTACTCGCCAGTGCAACGAGTACGGTGAGCTGATTCACACGTCCGGTGAATGAGCATGTTGATGTTTATCCCTATCTCAGCCAAGTTGGGCCTAATGGGTGTTACGATCCTATATTCCTCTGGAGACAGTGGAGTTGCAGGTCTCGGATTTGCTCAGCTCTCAAGTAATTCATTCTCATAGCATGTATTGTAGGCAATGGTCAGGTATGCCTGAATGACGATGGTCTGTCCTAGCTCTGTTTTCGTTCATCAAATCGGTGTTCACTAACGCTTCTCAGGTTCTCAATCTGTCAATGGGACCCGATTTAATCCGAGCTTTCCTGGTTCATGCCCATATGTTACTTCTGTTGGAGCTACCCAAATTGCTGAAGGAAATTCAGTTGATGATCCCGAGGTCGCTGCTGCTCGAGTCACTGCTAGTGGAGTCTTTTACAGGTGAAGATGAATCCATCAGTTTTAGAAAGATTGATTTTGAGAAATCATTATAGCGGTGGAGGATTCAGGCAAGTCTTTTGAGTGTCACTGTCGATATGAATATTCACAAATACCCTAGTAATGTCTTTGGAATTCCGAACTATCAAAAAGATGCCGTCGCAACGTATATCAAGAACTTTAAAACGGACAATTTCACGACTTCAGCTTATAATTCTTCCGGAAACGTAGATTTCTTTTTCATCCGATGTTGCATTGACTAATCGGATTCTGTAGAGTCGCGCGTTCCCCGACGTTGCGGTCAACGGGTAGGTATACCGTATTTCTTTCATTAATCTGCGGTACTCAAATCTAATTCTAGTGCTGCGTACGTTGTGGCTGTAAGTTTTTCACCCGAAAATGTTTTACTATGTACTGAAATCTACTTGGTTCTGCAGGCCGAGGGCGAATTCATCCTCGAGTGGGGCACTTCTGCATCCTCACCCACTATGGGATCTATACTTGCAATGATAAACGACGCCCGTCTTGCAATTGGCAAAAGCACCATTGGTTTTATTAATCCTACGGTATGTGCAGTAACCCCTGGGACCTGCAATGAGTTATAATGTTGACGTATTACATGGGTTCGAATTCAAGATCTACTCAACGCTGTTCCAAGAGGCTTTCAATGACATCAGATCTGGTAACAATCCTGGTTGTGGAACGGAAGGCTTTACTGCTGCTAGTGGCTGGGATCCCCTCACGGTGTGTATTGAAGGTGCTCGTAAGTATCATCAGAATTTTTACTGACCGCAACGCAGGGACTTGGAACGCCAAATTTCGAGAGGCTGAAGGAATTATGGCTTGCTCTGCCTTAATTATTTACTCTGCTCATCCATCCTTATTTATTGCATGCCTTGATTTAGATACTGTATATAATATCTGATCCATAGTTTATTTACTTAACATTAAAATATGCAAGAAATTGCTTGGAATTGCCGATTATGACCTTTTGACATCTACGTCATTCAACACTGGGCGCCTGCTCTCAAATTATTCTTCGTTGGTTACGGTATTCAACTCAAAACCTCGTTGAAATGCTCTTTCCCGACTTGACGCGACCAAAATCACCGCTAGCCGCTTGGACTACGGCTACCGTTTGGTGAAAACTTTACAATATATGCAAGATATCAAATAAAAAACAAAACTTGCTAACCCGACGCAGTCATGACGTACTTGACAGTGTTGTGGATCTCGTCGAGCTATATAAGTAAGGTCTGACATTGGCGTTCGAGTGTTTTCCCCCACAAAACATGACCTCCCAGGCTGACAATTTAATGAAAAGCCTCCCTCCTACGCCCTCCCTTGACTCAGATGGTCCGCATACAACCTTCGACGACCAAAGGGCGACTCTCAAGCCCACAAAACATCATGATCGCGTTTCAGAAGTGCCAACCGTTGCTGAACCTCCGGCATTGGCAATAGGAGAGCGCGAAAGACCAAAGGATCCTGAAACAGAGGATTTGGGGTGGAGTGAAAATCCAAAGTACGTTTGATTGTGTATATTTCATACTTAGGTTGTAATCCAATCGTTTTCAGAGTGCCCATCCCAGTGGTCAATGGATTGAACAACGAACACCTGTGGATTCTGGTTCGCAGGTTCAACAAGGTAATTGCTATTGCTCGCTATCACATCATTCTGGCTTACAGATTCTATAGCAAGTGTTTCATTTCAGGCGCATCACAAATCTCCCCCCTGGCGTCTTAGATTGCAATTCTGCCACTACCAATGATTCTTACTCTCCCGACAAGCTACGTAGTGCTCTAGAGCGGTTTTACCTTACCATCGTTGTGGGTGTCGCTTCCGCCCTGAAGCACATCGCTCGTATTAGGTCTTGGACTGAAGCAAGTCGTACTGCTTGGTTTTGTGCAGCGTACTTCTTGGCATGGTACAAGGATGTACTCACTCCAACCATTTTGACTTTGCTCTTGACCCTCGTAATGGTTCCCTCTTCTCGGACAGTTCTTTTTCCCCCGGCACCCTTGGCTGCAATTGACACATTGACTGGAGGTGTGAAGAAGCCTCTGGCAGGTCAACTAGGAAGCAAGGATAGCATAACGGGTGCCCAGGAACAATTCCGTGGAGAGACGGCTGAAAAAGAGGCTGATCACTTTGTGACGGGTCTCTCTACTATTGCTGTCAGTGTTGCAGTGGGCAAGGAGGGACAAGGAGCGGGTTCTTCGTCTCCAGCAGAGGAAACAAACTCTACAGGAGAGATTGTGGATGCCAAAGTTCCAAATATTGTAGACATTGAAGGTGCCGTGGATGCTCAGCGAGCAGCATCGACCGCAGATAAACCGATGAAAGACGACACAGGCTCAAAGCAAGCTGCGACATCAGTTCAACAAACAATGTGGGACAATTTGGGTACCCTCATGAGTGCCCTAATCATGATCATGGATATATGGGAAATGACTGGCAAGTATGTACCGCGTATGCGAATTAATCTGTTGAATCTCAACTTGAATCCAATCTTCTCATTTAGTGCACTGACTTCGTCGCCGCCATTTAAATCCTTACCCATGCGCTTTCGAATTGCTTCTCCAATCGCACTTTTGACTGTCGTATCCCTTGTCCTTCCCGAGTTTTGGGTATACAAGGGAATCACACTTGGATTTGGTTTAGCATTCTTCGGCCAACCAATTTTCGACAAATTAGCTCAGAAACACGTTCTTAAGTATTTAGACCACTGGATACCGATGTGGCGTCAGTACTTGGATATTCGAAAGTAGGATCAATTCGTTACACCAATTCGTTACGTTGTTTTATCTTTCTTTTACAGTACGATTCTATTGGGGGTGCCGACCGACAATCAACTGACGCTCACACTCCTCCGGCTTGGAGAAACGAACAAATCTCCTTTGCCACCACCTCCTATCATTGTTGGACTAGACAAGGGTGCATCATCTCCGCCTCCTACTGTTCATCCTGATGATCTACCTCCGGAATACTCGGAACAAGTGCAGGAGGTGCACGCCGCTTCGGAGACATCTACAGACGCGCTTGAGGACGAAGATTCTCCCAAGACTACACGCAAGTCCAAAGGGTCCAAGCTGCTTGGCCTCGTCAAAGGGACTACAAAAGGTGCAGTTTCTATATTTAATCAGAGGAAAAGGAGTTGACTTGATCATGACGGAAGTTGGCGTCGATGGTGTACTTGGAATAGAGAAAGCCAAGGCCGTTGTAGGATCCAAAGAGGCCAAATCTAAGACTGGTATCGTTCAACCAGTCGAGGTTGTGGAGAAAGTACAGAGAGAGGATGGACCGAGCGTGTTCCGTGGCAAATGGAAGGGGACTCAAGGCGTGCTGACAGTGAGCACCACTGCAACACAGCCGTTGGTGGCGTTCTCGAAAGTAGGGCTGAAGAAGGATGTGGATTCCCCTGCCGAGACGGCGGTATGGAGTTTATTGATCAACGATATTTTGGAGGTTAGGAAAGTGGGTGGTTTCGGATGGAAGGGAAAAATGATTGTAGGTTGGTCAACTGGGGACCGAGTGATCGATGGATGTGAGTCTCAATTTGGAAACCTTCGTCGAAGTTTACTAGAGCTTATGGTTCCTTTTGTTTGCTTAGTGGAAATCATTGACGTGAATGGCAATGTGTATTATATCACAGCGTTGCCGAGGCGCGATGAGTTATTCAACCGGCTTGTAGCAATTGGGAACCAGCGTTGGGAAAGCTGCTAGAGGTAGAGTAGTGGTAGTATAGAAAATATAGTTGAGGTTGCACCCTTCTTGCCTCTACTTAAGACACCTATAATGCAAATGAGGAGGGGATTCGGCTCGGCTCGGCGGTATAAAATTAAATTTTGTGGCGCGGTCCGAAGAGCGCGCTCTAAATGACAATCCTGATTCGGTGTTTTTCAGTGCTGTCCTTCATGCAAAAAGATCCATTTCATTCATCTTCTCAGAAACCATAACGCTCCTTCCTTGACCCGTTCATCAATTATCACTGCTGCATTCAAAACCCCATACCAGGAACTGTTGGCATCACAGTGGTTCCAGACGCGCGGTTACCTCCGGCCTCTCTACGCCTTTACTTTGTGCCCTGGACATCTTTCCGCTTACCACAGCGCAATCCTTGATCCAGTCCTCAGTCAGAGTTTCTGACATGGACGCTTTAGAACTTTCACGGTGGACTCGCTTCGCAGCCAAGGGAGGAATAGGAAAATGTACAGCCATACAAGACTGTGTTGCAGAAAGTAGTGAAGATCTTATGTTCTTGAAAGTATGTCCTGTTTTTTTATCCTTCGTTGAAAGCTCTTTCCCTTACATGCGAGATACCATAGGATGACGAAATAATTGTGTTAATGCAAATACCAGAAAACGAGGGAGTTTATCTAGTGAGTCCACAAACAAAAACTGCTCTTCAATGTGACCGCGGACCCTGATACTTCTCTAGGGCTACTGTGAAGGCGTTGTAGGGAAGTTCCATGCACAAACTGTTCACTTCCATTCAAAACTCAAACGACCTGTAATGACCAAGCGAAACTCATCAGCCATGTCTTCCCGTGTCAAGTCACCCACAGGCATTTCCCCGACACCTACATTGGGTTCAAACTATCGAAATTCATCTTCTTCCACCCCCGTATCTTCTAATCCAGCTACTCCTCTAACACCGGCCTTCGATCGTGCAACATCTCGAGATATCCAAAACTTGAAGCAAAATTCATCCCTCGATGCTCAGGTTACAGATCGTTTAACATTGTCGAGGTCTCCTCAAAACGCGCTTCTATCTGCCGCTTCTGAAACGGGAACGGCGTCATTGCCTCTACAACCGACTGTAGCAACCAGTCGCGTAGCTGTTGAGAGGTCATCAACGCATCACGTCCATATGCCTTCTGTTGCGCACTCGGAGGCATCACAGTACTCTTCGACATCTGCTTCGACTGTGGACATTGATTATGGATTGCCCCGGGTGATGTCTCCACCATCTATGTATAGTGAGCCGGACCTCCATATTCGACAACCTAGTATTGCAACCGTCATGTCATCCGAGTCGATGGGAAAGCAAACAGTGCGCTCAGAGTCAGATGTGGATCAAGACGTGGTCCCCAGACGTTCCGGTTCAATCAGATCTTCGAATGCTTCTACCATGCGCTCAAACACTCCTTCTTCCATACCGCAATCATACTCTCCAGTTCCAGCCTCTGAAACAAGTTTTTCCCGCGAGGAAATCAATGATCCCCGCGGTTCCGTAGCTTCAGTAGCGTCAGATGGAGAAGTGGGCATTGGATTATCATTGCTGGCGAGTTTAGGTGAGGGTGATAGCGATGACGATTCCGAAAATGAACGCGGCGACGAAAGAAGTCATGATCTATCGAGGCTGCTTTCCAAATCGATTGAAGATAACCGTACTGATTCAGGCTCTTCGGTTGGTAGCCTTAGCGTTGAACGACGAACCCTTTCCCCTTCGCCTATATCAGAAGATGCGGTTGCCGCCTTTCCCCGTCCCCCCTCTACTCAGGTTGCTGTTGCCACAACATCTGATCCAATAAACCCTTTCGGAACCTTTGGCCGCACTATAACTTCTGCTGGAGTGCACGGCGGACTGGACACTATATTTGGAGGTAGAAATACACGTGATTCTCATTCCTCAATGGCGAGTTCAGCCTCTCTTGGAACGGATTCGGGTGTCTCGAAAGACACTGACTCCTCGGAGAGCGGTGGTGCCACTGCCATTGATCATTTTACACTACAAGCTATGGTCCACGAACAGCCCATCGAGTTAGAGCACACACGATCTCCCACTCTAGCTTCCGTCCGCTCGAACTCTGTCTACTCCTCTACCGGCCAACGTTCCCCTTCATTACAGGCTTCTTCACCTCGAAATCTCTCCCCGCCTTCCCCTGCTTTTCCACCACCAAACTTCCGGTTTCCTGCTCAGCGGCCTGACAACATCAGTCTTCCTGCGATGAGTCCTTCTGAAATCCTTCCACCCCACTCCCCCACCCTGTCTCATACCTCCGGTGCCTCCGCAAGTGAATGGGAGGGTGCTTCTGATATTTACGATAATTATTTATATCGCTATTCAGTGGCGTCGAAAAGCTCGAGACTCTCTCAAATGAGCATGGCCTCAAGATCGGGTTTCAATCACAGGAATATACCATCTACATCCACAATGCCTCCCACTGCAATTGCAAGCATGGCGAGCCTGGTAAATATGGCATCAAATCTTCGTCTTCCTAGTGATCAAGTCAGTGAAAATGCTAACGCACAACTACCCAGTCCCCTGGACGATCAAGCTGAGCATACGGATCTAGAGGACCCATTATATACCTCCCTCACTGCTGAGTCAACGGACACCAATGCCACCATCACCCCTTCCCGGATACCACCCCGTTATGATTCACTCACCATGCAAAGACCTTCTAGTGTCGTTGCTTCTTTGAGGTCCCTCAGCTCACGTCGGTCCATTGTTTCCAGTCATCATCCAGAGTCTCCTCACCACTCGGACGAGTCTGACGATGAATCTATTTACTCCCGCTTATCGTCGAAACCTTCTCTATCCCTGCTCGAAGCGCACGCTGCGTCATTGTTGGCACCCGAGAACAAGGAAAAGGTAAACACAACGTCGGCTTTGAATGTAGTAAAGGCCAGTCCTAGTGCAAACATCACAACATCTGATAGAGCTTTGGCCACTGTGAAGAATGATAGTCGGAGACCGTCTCCGTTGGACCTCACCAAGGATCAAATTCGATCCAGTGAAAGAAGTTCGGGTGGAGGGATGATCGGACCCTCTCCATTATTGCATACTCGCTGGGGAAGTCCCGTGAGCTCAAATGGCATGAGCTCAGGAAGCGCCTATGATGGGAGAAGTAGTGGAGGGTATCCAACCCCACCATTTACTGACATGCGGGGATCATATGATGAAAAGAATCGAAATCAGGCGGCGGGTTCAGAGGATCGAAACTTCCAGGAACCGAAGATAGATGATACTGTGCAGAATGACCCCGATTCTTCTGTGTCGACAATAACGCGGTAGGTCATGTTTTTCAGTGTTTCTTGTACCTTATGTTTATTTTGATAATACAGACCCTTGGTAATTGAGGACGACGAGGAGTTACCTTCACACGCAATGGATCCTCAAGAGGGAGAGGCAGATATGAGTTTGGTAACAATGGAAAGTGCAGAGTTTCGTTACGCGGACGATCTTCGGAATTCCGTTCATTCCTCTTCGACGTCTAAGTCTAAAAATGAGTCACTAGGTGTGACACCTATTGTGATAACCCCAAGCATTCAAACTGCCTCTACTGGTTCGCCTTCTTCTGGCATAGCAGATAACTTCCCAATCTCCCCCGTTTTACCTCCGTCCTCCAACTTCCCTGCCGCATCTGCCTCAACTGGTCAGTCAGTGCCTCGTCCTTCTCTTGCAGAGCTCAGGGGGTATCCAAATACTGCTGTTCAGGGACAACGCCAATCACTTTTTCTCCCCCATCCAAACGCACCAAAAGCACCCCTTCAAAGTCCAGGGCCCTTGTATATCCGAAAGGTCGAAAATTTTCTACAGCTCGAACCGAACCTAATTCGCCAGGGCCCCGACCCCAACAAGGTCGCTTCCAATGTGTTACGAATGGTTTTGAACAAGCCTCCTCCCCCTCCACGACCCGTCATGCTACCCCCTCCCTCCTCTATCCCCATTCGTGGAAACATCAGACGTAACCCACCTGCTCCTCCTCCTCCTCTTCCTCGTGGGCCGACTATCTATGCCCGAGTTGATGTAGATCTTTCGACATCCAATGGACCCGTACCTATCACATTCAGCGTCGAACCCATGGGTCCGCCACCGCCACCCCTTCTTCAGTCACAAGTTGCTATCCAACCAGATGCATCACAGCATCAACTTCCGCCTCTTACCTCTGACCAGCAACAAGACCAACCTCAGCTTCCGCACATGAGCACAACACATGTCAAACGAAGCGTGACAGTACCCACGACCTCTCTCCCGCGTACCGAGCCTCAATCCGAACCTGGTGGAGTCATCCCCAGTGAGAACGCGACGCCTCGGCCCCCTGTATCTAGGCCGAGGTCAAAAAGCTTTTCTACCGGCTTCAAGTCTCCTGTGGTAGGCAATAGCTTCTCGTGAGTGTTATTTTCATGATAGCTCTGACATTCGGCAACACTCAATCATTGTACAGTACTTCGGACGACATTCATCCAGTCTTGCGAACTCGGGGATCTTCGGCATCTCTCTCTTCCACTACGATAGGACCCCCTTCACCGACGAAAGCTTCGATCACTTCATCGCCCTTACGTCCTTCGTCGTTGAGTAGACCTTCATCGAACTCCAAGCTTCGTAATGTGCACTCTTCTCCTTTATCTCTCCCTTTCGATAACTCCTCGAGAACCCTATCCTTGACTGGAGGTGGAATCAAAGCCCCTTCAAGTCCACTTGCCTCCGGCTTTGGCTCATCGTTAGCAAATGGACGTACAAGTCAACTTCGAAAAGTCACATCTATGGCTTCCCTCCCCGGAAGGACATCACTCTCCAAAGGTTCTTCCGAACCTCAAGACAAAATATTGACCACGTCGTTGCCGGAAGACTCTCGGCGGTCAAATACAACGAGTGCACAAGATTCAGATGCTGTGTCCATCACCAGCTCCAAATCTCGAGTGATGTCGCCGCCTCTCATCGTGCCGCAATCATCGTTGCAGCAAAAATTTTCAATGCCCAATTTGCGCCGAAAAGCCTTCAATAAGGAAGACGATGTCAATTCCCCCATCACCGAAAACGAGACTTTACAAGTTAGGGACATGGACTTTGAGCTTGTGAGGCCCAATATTCCTTTTTCCCCTGACCGTTCCAGCGAGGATTCTATTTCTCCCGGGCTCGGTCGGAGATCAGAATCTAGGGCCACAGAAGGTGTACAGATGCACCTCAGAGCGGAGAGTCCCGCAATTTCAGTCTCTTCTGGTATCTCTGGTACTTCTCGTATCACCACTGGGGTATCATCTGATTCCGCTGCGTTCCGCTCAAAAGCATCGAGTAAAGCTTCTAACTCTGAAGCTTCTATGGATGCCCACCGGCAGCGAGAACAGAAGTGGATGACGCTCATAACCACTGTACCTCCCGAGCAAGCCCGGAAGAACAAGAAAGTGCGGAAGTTGCTTGGAGAAGGCGTTCCAGCATCCGTCAGATATCTAGTCTGGAGCTTAATGACAAATGCCAAATCAAAGGGTGTAGCCGGTGTCTACTCTCAACTGAGTAAAAGAGTGCGGGTGGCCGCCTTTGCAGATATGCAGAGGGATGTGAAAAGATGTTTCGGCGAACATCCACATCTACAGTCTACTGAAGGCCCATTGGTGTGTTTACTACAAGCATACTTGACCATGGTGCCAGATGTGCAGTATTCCACTGGTAAGCTTTCACTTTGGTTGTCTTAACTGTTGTTTGTTGATTCCGACACTCGTAGGACTGACTTTGATCGCCGGACACACACTCCTACTTGCTCCAGAGGAAGACGGGTTTTGGATTTTTGTTTCCATGATGGATTCTGCTCTCCGACCATATTTCTCTCCTAATTCAGCACAGATGGAGGTAGATGCAGCTTTGTTTAGCCGTGCACTTGACTCAAACGATGCGCAAGTGTCAAAGAAAGTGTTGGTCGACATGGGTATCAATCCGGCACACATGTGCTTCCCTTGGTGAGAAAAATAAATTGAGGATTACATGTCGATCTTTGCTGATTCAGTATTTAAGGTTCACGACGTTATTTGTTGGTAGCTTACCCGGGGATTATGTCAACAGAGTTTGGGATCTGTTCTTGTATGAAGGTATCTGCATATTCTCTTGTAATCATCCGAAGATTCTTATATTCCTATTTGATAGGTGTACCTATGTTGATTCGCGTGGGTCTAGCCATTCTTTATTGTTGTCGTCGCGCCATTTTGGAAGCCGCGTCTGAAGATGCTATCTTGTACTACCTGAAACGACCTTCGCCCACCTGGTTACCCCCAAGCCCCGATGCTTTCATGGCTCTTGCCTTTTCATTCAAGGTCAAAGATGATGACATAAGAAAGCAAAGGATCAAGATGGAAAGGCAAGTCAAGAAGCAAGCTCAAGTTCAAGGAGCTCGACTAGTTGCTAACAGTAGTGGGATCTCTTTACCTCGAGATGCATAGAATCAACTGTAGGACTCAGCCGATTCGTTTTCTGTTTTCTTTTTCTAGATTGTGAATATATGGGTTCTTGCATATGCCATCCCTTCAAATTTTAAACCTTTCATGGGTCGTCATATCCCTACTGCTTTCCACATCGCTGCACATTATATCTCATTTATCGGAAATTATTTTTATCGTATCATCACATACTTTCGTTGTTGACTTGCTATCACTTTCCTTCCTCGCATACGTACAGTGATCCTTACTCGTGTAGTACTTAAGTAGATTGGTAATGCTTAAAAAAGGATAAACGCAAGAGGAGCCCGAAAGGGAAACACGTGGGGCGAAGCCCACACTCACTATGCGTCCTTCAACCACCCGATTATTGAACATTCTTGTCCCCGTGAAACGGCAAGTTCTCGTCTGACCGAAATGCTTAATCACCAATGTGAACTTTTCCGTCTAGTGCAGTTGATTACGCTGTGAAGATTCGCGTAAATCCTCAGCAGACGGGAGTTGATTTGAATGTCAAACATTCTATGGTTCGTCTCTGCTCTTACCTTATGAGATATATTGACTCTTGCTGTTTCCTAGAACCCTTTTGATGAGATTGCTATCGAAGAAGCAGTACGAATTCGCGAACGTCTTCCCAAAGGCTCAGAACCTGTCACTATTACTGCCCTGACTATCGGTCCCCCGAAATCTGTTGAAACCCTTCGAACAGCTCTCGCCATGGGTGCGGACGCTGCTTTCCACGTTGAATTACCCGAAACATCCCCTGCACCAGAGCCATTAGGTGTTGCAAAGGCGGTTCAAGCGATTATTGAGAAGCAGCTGAACAGCGTGGATATGGTCATTCTAGGAAAACAATCCATCGACGACGACCTGGGACAAACTGGGCAAATGCTGGCTGGCTTGTTGGACTGGGGTCAAGCGACTTACGCGTCCAAAGTAGATCTAGACTTGGAACAGAAGAACGCGGTCATAACAAGGGAGATTGACGGCGGTCTTGAGCAAGTCTGTGTTAAGTTTCCTCTGATAGTCACCACAGATTTACGGTTAAACGGTGCGCAAAGCTATCATACTTTCCTTTCTAGTAATCAGACAGCATTCTTCAGAGCCTCGCTATGCTTCATTGCCCAATATTATGAAAGCTAAAAAAAAGCCTGTAACAAAACTCACACCCGCTGATCTGGGTGTTTCCTTCAAGCCACAAATGGAAGTCATCAAAGTCACAGAACCCCCCAAACGTGTTGGCGGTACCAAAGTAGAAAGTGTTGACGAACTAGTTGAGAAATTAAAGGCTGCTGGTTTCACGGCAGTTAGTTAGTTTTGTTGGTACTATTTCACATATTGTGGTGAAACGCAGTTTAGCGTTTTTGTCTACATTAGTGCCACACACACCGAAAGTAGAAAAAATTCCGCTCGATGGAAATATCACTAGAATAATATCTTCTCAATTGGACCGATAGCAGTGTGGAAAACTCAGTCGAATCAAGTTAATTCTGAATTATGTATACAATAGACGAATCTTTTCGATGGTGCAGACTGAATCGAGAATGCATAAACATGTACATATCTAAACTGAGTATAACGAGAGGTGAACATATCCTGTTTGTACTGATAGCTGGTGATGGGCTAGGGCTAGGAAATTTATTCGGGCAGACGATTCGAGAGCCGGATAAATTTTCGCTCCGGGGTTGCGAGGAAAACCGAATGTGAAGACTGACCCAACTCGACCAAGTGAAGCCACTGGCGCGTCGAACGAGGTTATGTGAGTGGACCAACCCAGAGAGCTAAGCCAAGCCAAGCCTGTGGAATCATGGTGAGAATCCGCCACGAGAATTTCTTTCACTGATATTACCTAGTTCGGAACGGAGCGCCTGCGGTTTACCCGTTTATGCAGGTCTTGCCTAACATGAAGGCGATGAACGTGGATGGAAGCCAAGGTGTCCAGGTTTCGCCAATATTTGAGAAAGGCATCTGATTTCCACCTCCCCATTGCTTTCACAACGTCGGGAGGAATGCCCTTTGTGAGATAATGGGTAGTACCTCCAATCCTAAAGGAATGACCGGTTATGCGCTTGATACCGGAGCGGGACCAGACGCGATTGCAGTAGCGAAGAAAATCTTTTTTGGTTAGTACTTGCAAAGAATTGTCTTCAAGACGATAGGAGAATAGAGGATCGGATGGAGAGAGCTTGTTGACCTCGATGTGCTTAGAGAGAGCTTTCACTGGGTTTGATCTGGCTGAATGATTCATGATGACTGCCGATTCTCCTCTCGATTGGTGTGTTTTGGTACACGGGAGTCGTAGTTTTGCAGAAGATTTGTCGTTTGGCGTGGTAGTGATAGAAAGATCACTGAGTAGAGGCAGGTGGGAACCCACGTACTTGGAGACGAGAGGGGAGTTGGACAAAACTTCTCCTAGTCTGAGCTGACCGTAGAAAGCAGTGTCGGCGCAGGCAGTGATGCAAGTGTTGAAGGCATCGCGCCCTGTGTTGTCTGTCTCATCATGAAGCAGGTCTAGCCATGTATCTTTCACTGGCTCGTGTTCCGGACGGAAGGAAGAGGGAGGCGCTGCTCTTTCCACGCCGTTGAGGACCTTGCGAAGTCTGATTCCACCCCTCCAACCATTGCCTTTCGAGATGACTAGGTGTTTTACTGCAGCGAGTTTAGCTCTGACTGTGCCACCTGCCTCTTTTCCAATGAATGAAGCGGCGTAGTTACAAAGTGTCATTTCCGAAGGGTCAGTTATATGCGTGTGAGAGACCCTATTAGCCTCACACCAATCTACGTAGAGGGCCTGATAGTTGTATCTTCTGATTATGGTCGACTTGGCTACAGCGGACTGGATGGCGCGTTTCGCAGCGGCAGATAGTTGAGTTTGGGCTTGGGCGACCTCAGGCTCTGGCAAGTGAGAGGTAAGGATGTTAGATTGATTAAGGGAGAAGCGGTATGGAGGCATCGCTGAGAAAGGTTGTCGCAGTGACGGAATGAGTAGGAAGAATTGATTGTTCGGTTGGACTAGTTATTATAAACAGGCTCGATTTGGTAATAAAGTTTGGGTGTAAACAGTCGATAACAATACCAATTAGACTACATAACAAACGAGAATACAGGATTATTTAACTCTAGTGTCCGATGGGCTTATAGAACCATTGATGTAAGGAAATAAGTGACGTGGTATAGCAGGGGGATGGGGATAAAGTTGTTTACGAGGTGGAAAGATGCCCCGAGAAGGTCCGTCAGCTGGGTTGTCATGTGTGGACACCCAATTGCACTCGACCCAGATGCTGTGAGCCTGCATCAGTTCGATGATCTTCCGCAAGACGAAATTCTGTTCTGATCCTCGGGAACAACCCTTTCTCAGTGCCCCCACTACTCCCTCATTATCGGAACGAACTATTATCCGGGCGTTGTTGATACCTGTAGAAACTAAATTGCGAACAGCCAGCTCGACAGCTACCATCTCGGCCCAACCGATCTTTCGTTCGGGTGAGCCCCAGCCTGGTTTGAATTCCCAAGCTAGCCACCTATTGTTTAAAACAAGGCCTATTCCCCACGAAGTGGAAGCATCAACAAAAAGAGAGATGTCGAGGTAGTCAGGAAGGGTGAAGATGGTCATGCCCACAAAGTCTGATTGAAGAGTGGTCAGCCACCAGGTCAAATCCTCCTTCAGGAGAAGACCAATACGGTGAGCTGCGGGTGGAGAACGGGTGTTCTTGAAACTAGCACGAAACTTGTATAGAGAGACGAGACGTGTTCGTCCAGTGGGAAGAACCAGACAGACATGGTTAAGTGTACCGATTAGCTCCTCTGCTTTGTCAAGGGTCATGAGGGCATCAGGCTCAGTGCGAGGGAGAACTCGGGCAGCGTACTTCACCTTTTTGTCGAGTGGTAGCTGTACCGTCTTGTTTGGTAGATCCCACAGGAACCCAATGTATAGGAAAGAGAATGAGAAGGGAACGAACTTCTTTGGGGCCCATGGCCAGCCCAATTCATCAGCGATGGCCCAAACCAGGGACTCGTCGTAAGAGTAGGTGTAGGAACCGTCCGCGTTTTTTGATTTTGGAAATCAAAAGAAAATAAAGTCATCTACCCACTTCAGTAAAGCTTCTATGCCACGCTCAAGCAAGATTTTGACCATGACGTCGGCAATGCGACCCCAAATGCCTGGTGCAGAGCACTTGCCGAAGTTTAGACAGAGATCGAGGAAGATGAGGTTGTCGAGGAACAGGGCTACGAATCACCTTGTACTACGGTGTAGGGGAACGTTATGGAAAGCAGCATCGACATCGAAGACTGCTACTTGAGTACCTTCCGGCACCACAGCAACTTGTAAATAGCAGTCTGCAAATGTGCCCCAGTCACAAGGAAAGTCGTCAGAGTCAATTAAGGAGTTGATGGATACCTTTGAAGAGTCGATTATCAAGGAATCAGGAAGGGATGCTCGAGCTTCTGCGGCTGAAGGAAAATCGGAATGCGGATAGGAATG